GTCCAGCAAGATGCGGCTGATGCCGTTCATGTCACGAAGTCCCACCCATCACCTCCCATCCAGTGGCACATGTAGGAGCAGAGGTGAGATAATTTTTACAACAATTTTCATTTTGTGAAATTCTTCAGGTAATCGATGAAATACAATATATTATTTAAGTAACTGAATCTTCTTCTTTGGTTATTTCGGTAAAGTCACGTAGAATGAGAATAAAATAACACAATAAAATTCTCACGACGTTTCGGCCACAACGCAAGCGGCCGTCTTCAGGTGAAAGATACAGAACTGTCGGGACGACAGAGCTTGTGGCCGAAACGTCGTGAGAATTTTATTGTGTTATTTTATTATTTTATTATCATTCTACGTGACTTTACCGAAAGAACCAAAGAAGATGAATCCTTGCAGTCACGAAAGCTTTAAATCTAAATTTAACTGAATCTTCTAATTTCCGACTGAAGTTCAATACTGGTCCTTCAATGCTTCAGTTTTCTAGATTGCTGGGTGCAATCTAGAATTTCCTCTGCCCAACCATCCGTGTCACGGATTCCCTAACCCCTGCTCAAGTAGAAGCTCAAAACCTTCATGTTCTCTTTTGCAAATTACTTTCTTCTCTATGAAGTGTCCTATTTAACCGCACTCTTACCATAAACATTTCTACAACTATTTTTTTGGTGCTCCCCATGATGCAAATTCCCCATATTTGTGTTACGGTGTCTTCAGATGCCGTTGCAATTCATCGTCTTCATCAATCCATTGGATGACAGCCTTCCCAAACTATTGCCATTTCTCAGTCCTACAGTTCAGATATCCACCAAACACTTGCGATGACTGCCATTATAACGTCCAATGGGATTGCAGCTGCATTTAGGTGGATATAAGAGTCGAATGGTATTGTAGTGTACTTTGGTATTGTGTTATAGAATGCTCCTATGTAATCAATACCATGGGATACACAAGGAACTATTTCAACTACGGTGCCATCACAAGAGGTCTTCACAAGAGGACTTAAAAGCCCACGATTCCTGCAAAATCCATTCACACTGTTACCAGATACTTTTAGTCGGAAACCTTTAAGGATAATACAATTACACTATGCATGGGAGATTCATCCCAATCAGCCTCGAGGCTGGGCTGGCTTTTACATTGAATAACTTTGAGTCTGGACATAAAAGTAATAAAAAAACGTGTCCAAATGATGAATGTTTGAAAAGTATTTACCCTGACATCAAGCGTCTGGTATTGTGTGATTTAATGAGTGGCAGCGTGTAACGCGTGCTTTAACTTGTAACAAGATTGTTAATGGTCCAAGTTAATGTGATCAAAGTTATGACAACCATCAGTGTCAATTTCAACGAAAACAACATCACATCTCAATTACACAATTTAATTGAACAAAATGATTCATGTCCGGATAACTGCATGAAATTACACGCCTTTATTAAAAGTGTAAAAGCAATTTTCATCGTCCATTTCTATAGTGACAGTGTATAATTACTTTCTGACAAAAACAACTGCCAGTTAAAAAGTCATCACAGATAAATCTTATTTCAAATTAATCATTCCAAATTTACATTTCATTACAACAAAGAGGTTTTTGTTCTTCTTGAACAATCACATGTATTTTATTTAAAAATATAAAGTGCTTCATTTACATATAACCCACAAATGACTTTGGTGATGTTGCATTGGCAGTGGTGCACAAGCAACATTAACAAATAACTCAATACATTCGTAAATACCACAACCTTAAAAATAAATAGAAATAGACCATGTTGCAGGCAATGGCCCTTCATAACACACATAGGCCAGATTGTTCATAGGGATTGGAGACTACATAATGCAGTCTGATGAGAATTACATTTTTTTATGTTTTCTCACGACCTGTTCTTAATATGCATATGAATAGTTACATAATTTTAGCTACTGAACAACAGATTACCCCTTCAAATAATAAACAGGTATTTTTCTTTCGATTTAAAGCTTTCGTGACTGCAGGGATTCATCTTCTTGGTTCTTGACTTTACCGAAAGAACCACGAAGAAGAACAACAGGTATTTCTTTACATTAAAAGTTAAATTATTAAATGTTGCTGGGATATTGCATTGTGGAAGCTCTAATAACCCTCTTATTTTCTTCTCAATTTGTAAGTGACAGAAAAAATGTCTACATCTGATTGGGAACATGTAGATAACATGATTGTCTCGTCAGCTAAGTGCAAAGATAACCTGAATGCCAAGTTCAACCTCCTGTCCAAGAAGAAGCCAGATCCACACATTAAAAAGTTAGACGGTGATAAGATTGTTATCAATCAGAGTAACAGCCCAATTTCCGACAGCCTAAAATCGGTTCTAGCTAAAAGTTTGAATTTCCCAGTCACCCCTAAACACATCCCAGTTGATGATATCATTGCCCGGGTCGACGTAGCCCTTAAGGGTTTGAGACACATTCCTGCAGACGTGGCAAGATTGCAAATCGCTGCAATCCTCAAAAATGCTCAGACGCCTATTAGCAACATCAGTAAGGATGAGCGCTTAGAGATTTCTCAACTAAAAAAGAGAGATGACATCATCATCCTCTCAGCCGACAAGGGCAATGCCACTGTCATCATGGACAAAACCACATACAACAACAAAATTCAAGACCTACTTAATGATGGTAGCTATACCAAAATCAATAGAGATCCCACCAACCGCCTGGTTACAAAAACCAACAATATCATCACTATTTCGACATCTTTAATGTAACCAACCAAGCGGCTTTCCTTAAAACCCTCTGCTGCTAGACCACCCAGATTTTATTACTTACCAAAAATCCATAAAGAAGGTACACCACTTCGGCCTATCGTCTCCACTATTGACTCACCCACCTACACACTGACCCGATTTCTATCTGAGACCTTACAGCCATTCACTGGTAAGACCACCTCAGCTGTACTTAACTCAGCTCGCTTGTTATTGTTAATTAAGGAAATCTCACTATATCCAGGTGATTTCCTTGTCGGTTTCGATGTAGTATCTTTGTTTACCAAAGTTCCTGTTCCTGACACCATTGCAATCATCGAAGGTTTGGTCCAACAAGGACTGAATGCTGATGTACCGACCCTGGTTAGACACTGCCTCACCAACACTTACTTCACCTGGAATGGAACAATCTATAAACAAGTTGAAGGTACCCCAATGGGTTCTCCCTTATCTACAGTTATAGCCAATATTTTAATGGAAAAAAATTGAGACAGATGCCATCCAGGCATCCACCCTACGTCCTTCCTATTGGAAGAGGTACGTAGATGACACGTTCGTCATCTGGCCACATGGCCTACCAGCTCTGGACCAATTCTTCAACCACATTAATTCCATACACCCAGCCATCAAATTCACCATGAAGGTGGAAAAGGATGGCAAGTTACCATTCATGGATGTTTTAATAAAAGAGACCAGATGGCGTAATGGAACACTCGGTCTACAGGAAAGCCACCCATACGGATGCCTACCTAAAACATGACTCCCACCACAATCCATCCCAGAATAATTTCCTCATCAAAACTCTACACCATAGAGCTCGATGTATTTCTGACCATCCCCACCTAGCCAGTGAACTGGAACACGTACACCAAGCCCTCAAGACGAATGGATATTCAGACTACACAAACCGTTGGGAAAGCTATCTACGTGGCTATACCGAAAGACCCAAATAATTTGTAAGTGAATATTGTAAAAGTAATGGTTCCATATCTTACACAGAAACAGAGAAGAAACGTGATAGCATGAATGGAGAGTTATATATCTGTAGTACACACACAGGCGTCCATTTACAGGAGACTTTTGGAGGTGTGTCACCGCAAATAAACACAATTGGCAACATTTACCTCAAATTGTAATGGAAGCTTGATTCTATTTTTTTACTATAATCTATAAAAGCAGAGAAGAATGTGTATGCATCGGATGCTTTGCTTAACAGCCCTCAATCATAATCTAAAATTGGAATATTTATCCCAATTTTTTGTTATTAATCGATACATTGTATGAGATTCCAAAGGAAAATAATCGCTGATTTCTAGCCAATGTTGGAGGAGTGAACAATGTTCTGACCAATACTCATCAGCATCATTTGTCACCTAGTCCTAAATGTTACAATCGATCTGCTGCTGCGATAACATCTCCATAACTTTTACCAAAGACCGTTTCATTCTCTCTGCAGTTAGGGTTTATATTACAGAAGTTAACTTTCTAATTTTCAAATATATGTTCATACGACAGATATTTTCTATTCACATATGGATCGCAATTATGGACATGAACGAATGACGTAAAAACATTTAAAAGTGCTTGGAACTTTAGACAAACAGGTGGAATATAGCGTAAAGACAATTTTGATCAAGAAAAGTATTTGACTTTATGCAGGAAAACATCGTTAGAAGGGATGAGATGAAGGTGGCTTAGGAAGGCATTGATTCAGCACTGCATTGAATTATAGTTCATGCTAATGATGACATATTTGGCCAGCTTTGTCATCCCTTATGCGAACCAGCCATGTCAATGTCTCATCATTAATGTCCATTCACGAAGAAAATGATCCATCTCATACCAGGTAGTACGTCGTGCACATTAATGGGGAAAATTAAATACTTTTGGTAGGCCAAACGTACAAAACCCATGGATGTGTATGATGTTTCTTCCTTGCATTAAGGCAGTGTTTTTGGCAGCTGCTTGTGCTCAGCAGGACTATAAGCTTATGTAGGCAATCGATTACTCTACCGATTATCGGTTAAATTACTCAACTAATAAAAAAACAAATTTTGATTCAAAGCTTAAAATTTAATTTTAAAAAAACAGCCGAAATAAGAATTTCAAAGGGGCCCCAAGCAAATCGGCCACAAAAAAATGCAATGCGTGCGTATCGATTAATTTGTCGATTAATCGACGACACGTAATCGACGTAGGCAAAGTAGGTGTAACAAACATCGGGTGAGTGAAACGAAAAATCGCCGGACCGGAGGGGGGGGGGCCCTTGTGGGCTTATGGTAAATAATGCGGTCGTTGCCATGGTGACCCCGGCCTTGTCATTGTTCACGCCGGGCGAGAGGCCGCCATGTTGACGATCGCGTCTCTCCGCCGTTGATCCTTGGTTCCGCCCGCTCCGCGCAATCCGCACCCATCGGCCGCGTCCCGCCGTCTCCCGTCGTCCATTTCCTCTTCGCATCCAACGCCGAGAGTCCCGCGAGGCGATCGCCGCCGTCATTTTGCTCCGATCACCCCGCTAGGAGCGGGTATTTTTGAGACGCTTCGCTCGCTCCGCTCAAGGGAAACCCGGCCGTCGCCGCCATGGCGTGCGGTGCCACCCTCAAACGGCAGCTGGACTTCGAGCCGCTGCTCAGCCCTTCGTCGCAGTCGCCGAAGCGGCGGCGTTGCACGCCGCTGTCGCCGCCGTCGCCCACCTCATCGGGCAAATACCTGCAGGCCGAGCCGACGGCATCGCTCGGCGAGAGCCACAACTACCACCTCCACTCCCCCGCTGCCGCTGCCCGCCTCACCCCGGGTAAGTGGAGCTCCGGGCGGTTGGGCCTTCTAGGGGAATCCGAGGATCCATCCGCCCTGCTAGGCCTCGCTCGGTCCCGGCCTTTAATTCGCGTCGCCGGCTGTTTGTAGACTAGTTTGTCAAGTCGCTTTATAATAAAATCATCGTTATGACCGGAGAGTTTTGCCGGTGTACGTGTTTGTACGTGTTGCCGAGATGCAACCGCGCAGAAGTAATTGGACGGTACGGCCGTTTAAACAAGGGTGCGGCATTGCTATGCAAATCCTGTAAACGTGCTTTTTAGACTTAATTCACACGCTCAATTAACGTCAACCTCTTAATTTCCAACGTTTGATGAGGCGTGTGAATGTCTGTGGAACGGTAATACGGTTTTAAACGCCATGGCCGACGAAGCATTTAAATTTTAAACCCAGCCAACAAAACCCCAACATGGTGCTGCAATGATTGATTGCAACGCTAATACGGTCCCCGTCGCCTGCATTTACACCCACCACCAACCCCCCCTTTGTGCCAAGCGAATTCAACAATGATACAGAAGGACGTGCGCACGCCATGGCGGAAGGGCTGTGTAGTCAACTCGGCGTTGCACTCTTTTTGTGGTTTAAAAAATTGTTCGCAATGGTTTTTTGTTTTGTTAAAATCTGACGGCTCCCGGCGTAGACGCTGCTGGAGCCCCCACAAACAGGGGGGACCCCCCCCCCACTCCCCCTGTGTGCTCATCGTAGCCAGAGATAGACCATCTTGGAGGAAGAAGAGCTCGCTATCGGTTTATCCCATTTCCACATTTCCTCTTGGTCTTAGCCAAAGTCTTAAATGGCCGCTGGATTAGTATCGTGGCTTCTATCTCGGCAGCAGCAATAACAATGCGGTTGTTGAGTCTCCTTGTGAATTTTAAAATGGCTGTGTGGCTTTGATAGTGCCACCAACCCCCGTCGTGTTCACAAAAGATTTGGCCTTGCCAAGTCTTTGTTGTTAACATTTCAAAGAAGTATTTTCACACCCGATTAGCGCGACTCAATTTAAACCTATAAACGCCCGATTGTAAGGGCGTGATTTAAGCTTCTGAGTTGGCGTCAGTATATGCAAAATAATGCACCAGAAATAGTATATACTTTTCGTCCAGAGCAACAATAGATTGTACTCAAGCCTACGTGGCAATATTCCTTATTTGGGGCTGGATACGCGCTCATTGAAAAATGGACCTTCACTTTTAACCTTTTGAAATGTTACAAGCGTCATTATAGACCTGACGTTGAGTTCCGTTGGCAGGAGCAGTCTTAAATTTAAGTTTGTCTGTGGCAAGACAGGGCGCGAAGATGTGTTTTTTCCATTAAAGCCCTTTCTCTGCTCGTATGATTGTGCAGTTCTGATGCGTGTTATGAAATGGCAATAAGCAGCAGATGCCACGAAATAGGGTGTGGAGTTAAGATGTGCCAGTGAGGAAACACTAAATTGTGGTGGGCCCTGTTCTCTTGGAACAATCATTTAGTTTGAGCGCTCGTTTTATCTCTACATACCAACACGTATTTTTTAAGATTAATACGCAGGCAGAAATATAATGTAGCTCCGGATACCCAAAGGTGGAAATGTAAATCTGTCGTAATGAAGTACATGCCACACTGTAGGAAGCCCTCTTTATGGGACTGTTTCCTTGAAATGGGTCGCATTACTCGACAGTATGTTGCAATTTGATGTGGCTTAGGGAATGATAAGCTAAGAAATAACATTCATCGCAACGTTTGTAAAAATGTAGCATGTGCTCAAAAGGATTTAAACAGCGCTTCTTGTTGTTGGCTTTTGAAAGGGATCTGCACAATGTCTGCTGGAATGTTTTATGGGCTGGGTCCCAAGTTGCCTTGTATTGGTGAAGTCATAATGTTTCACGAGCTATCGCTGTGGCTCTGTATGCTTTAGAAATTCTGAGTCCAAATGAAAGGTATATAAAAAAGAAAATATTTTGACAACACGGCACCCATTTTGAGTGTGCTTGTGTGTAGTGAATGATTAAACCCGTGGCTGCTCAATATTCTATCCCCCTCCTTTTCACCGGGGTTTGTATACACTGAAAGCAGAGCCTCTGTATGTATTAGCACTGCCGCTCTATGATATTTATACAAGCATACAAAGCATACAGAAAGGGCTGGGTGGTGTGGAATAGCCTTGCACACATTTTATATTTAACTTTTTAATCAGTAGTCTAAAAAAGGAGAGGTTTGTGGATTCCACACTATTGATAGGCACTCGTGCTGATGCTGTACCTTAATTAAACCAGACACGTAAAGTTAGCCAAAACAACTCTGGCTATCCCTCAACCCGTACCTGCACTGCCACTCCCCCATGTCGCATTACAGTGCATATCAAATGAGTCGCCATAGCAGCCAGTGATTGCTGCCGTGACAAATCGTGTGGTGTACAATGCAGCCCATTACTATTGTTGGAGCTCTGATGATGTTTGGCTGTCAGTTTTTCTCAGTGTTATTATTTAGTTAATATGACTGCTGTGAAGCTGGGCTCGTTTCTTTTCCCGTTCTATAAACGTCGAGTGAGATTTTTGGTAAGCAGCTGGATGAGCTCCTGATGGTAATTCTTTATGCCACAGGCTTCGAGCATTAGAACGAAATACATGCCCATGTGTGCCTGGCAGCATAGATGCAGAGTGGTGTGACATCACAGCGTGAGCTGGCTGGCCTTGATTGTAAATTTGGCTTTCTACAAAATGTCGCATTCTTGCACATCACTGCATTGGACTGCTTCTGGTGCGTCTGGTGTGCAGAGCAAGTGTTGGCCAACCTGAAGCAGGAGTACTCGCGCATGCAGCGGCGCCTGCAAGTGGACGGGCCACCCGATGCACACGCTGGAGACAGCGCCTCCATGCAGAGCGGCCCCGCCTCTCCCAGTATGAGCCACGGCCAGTGCCACGCCGTTTGTGCCCCCAAATAAACCCCCCTCCTTGCCCTGGGATCGACGCTGGTTCCGCAGTGCGGAGCATACTCAGCCAGTCCCAGCGCTGGCTGCGGCATTGTCCATCAAGCACCTTGTAACGATTGCAAGCCTCTCCTGCAAGCTTGCTTTAAGTCTGTCAGCAGTAGTGAGCATTCGCATGCTGGCTCCAATTCACTCTGCTTTGTGGAATTTAAATTTAACCCTCCAAATATTACACACTACTCTATGTACGATGCCTTTCCCATACAAACCCATATTAAGGCTTCCTGGCATGCCAGCCATTTGACATGGCAGCATATACTCGTACTCTCCCCACCCTTGCTTTGCACGTCAGATGGTATGATGAAATTGTGGTATGTCTGAACTTGAGACGAAATACAAAAGAGCATCAGCCTCATATTGAAAAGCCACAGCAGCTGAGCCTATTAAGTTAATGCATGCATCCACACTCCAGCCAGTTTTATGGCATGCTCTTAAAATTGTATTTTGAAATGTTATGTGAAAACCATCAGCCTTACAAGGAGTTATCTGCAATTACCATCAATTTCGCAATGCAAGCGTGATGGTGAGAGGTGATGTGCTGTGCACTCTAGTAGACTGATAAAATGTTGATGTAATTTGGTATTTTACGGAGTGCTGTATACAATGAAGGCAGAAGCTTTGGGAACAAGAACTGGCTTTAATATTTGCATGGAAATAAGAGCATATTACAGCTGGCACTTCACTGTTTCAATAAAAAAAAAATATATATCGATTTGTCACAAGTTCCAAAGATTAAATTTCATGCTTAATTGCGTTTAGATTTGAAATGCATATAATTCAATTATGCGTGTTATACCGGCCCCAGTCCATGATTACACTTGTACTTGCGAGTAATGGGGTGTTATATTGTGAGGCTGACATTGAAATGATTTTTCTTTCTCCGTACGCTAGCGAGCGTTAGTGGAGACGGTGGGCGACGTGAGCAGCCTCTGTTCACACTGCGCCAGGTGGGGCTCATCTGCGACGGGCTGCTGCGCGAGCGGGAGGTGCACATCCGCCAGGAGTACGACCAGATATTGTCCACCAAGCTCGCCGGTAATTCATGGCACTCCGCACCAGGGATAGCGGCCCATTTCCAATTGTCTTTTATGGTCTTTTAATGTTTTATTTTTGGTTGTTACGGTGCGTCTGTGGTTGGCATGACTGACGTTTTGTTGACATGCTGGGAGTACCTAAATAAACTCCCAGCATGTGGAGCGAAACGTTGGGATATCATGCTGAATAATACGCGTTGCCATTGTGTATGTGCTTGTTTTATTTCAGAGCAATACGAGGGGTTTGTGAAGTTCACCCAGGACCAGATTATGCGGAAGTATGGGGAACGACCAGCCAGCTGTAAGCCCTGCTAGACAGATTAAGCCATCTTATGTACTTTGTGCTATTTTATCAAGTAATTTTAAGATTAAAAAAATTCCTGATTCATACTTTCATTGGATTTTAAACGTTAAGATTAATATTACCATTGTTAGGTTTGGAATAAGCATTTTATTAGTACCATAATTGTTGTAAATTATTTGTCATTTCTGAACCACCCTTATTTTGGTTTAATATTGGCTCAAAACAGCATCGCACAATTTCTTACAATGGCATGATGCAATTTTTACACGACACTTCCAGAAGAGTTATACTGCCCGAAAGAGGCTGAACCAACCCACCCCATTGTGAGATGTCACACATACATTCCAAGCAGATGTATGTTTAACATTCTTTTCCTCTGCTCCACAGATGTCTCCTGAAGATGCCAGGCTGCAGTTGTTCTGCTGCAAGTCGAGATGCCTGACTTGTGTAGAGGCCCACCCAAAACAGTCAAAACAGTGCAAAGGGATCAGTGCGTAACACTGCGTTGTGGAAGCTGACCCTGCCTTCATCAGAACTAGCAAAAGTATCCGTGATATTGCTGTTCATAAGAATTGTAACTAACACTGACTTCCGAGCTTTACTTTGCCTTTTGGTCGATAGCTGTTATTATTTTTTAAATTGGGGAATGCAGGCAAGATATTTTGCAAACAGACATTAAGTGTGAAGATGGTTTGTGGAGCAAGTGTTAACTATTTGTATTGGAATAGCAGGGTTGAGAAATATGTGGGTAATCAAAGATTCTCACAAAGTAAAGGGTTTACAAGTAACGTGTGAATGGGATACAGGCGCCTTGGAGTTGTGGTTTGTAAATACAGCCAGGGAAAGCATAAAGGGTGGATTTCATTACAGGCTTATACATCTACCCAGCCTTGATTTAGAATTCTAGCAATCAGCAGGTTTTCACAAGGAAAACCTACATGTGTTAGAAGTTTTATGTCATGGAAATCTGGGATGGGTATTGGTCCCAGTGTACTTTGTTTGAAAACTGGTCTATGGGAAGGATATGGTGTTTGCAATATGAAAGAATTCAGGGTTGGAGAGAAAAATGTGCATTTTATGCCTGTTGCTTTTCAATTGCACCCTTTAAAGGACCTTGATGTGAATTTGCAAGCAAATTATCAATATTTAGATGGAAATATAACATTGGGGTAATGTATACAACTACACCCTAATGGCCAGTTAAGTGAAGTGACATTTCCAAATGTTCCATACTCTTTGGTGCTATTGGGTAAAGTCACGTAGGTAAAAAAAAAAATAACAATCACGACGTTTCGGCCACAACACAAGTGGCCTTCATCAGGTGAAGGGATCAGGCTGTCTCGACAGCGCTGGAGTGAAACAGCCACGCTCAGACCGCAGACCTTTAAGCTGTGTGCGAGCAAACAAGGTGTCCTGACAAAGAAATTAGCATAAAAAATAGCATTTGATTGGCTGATTTTAGAAAAGAGGTGGTGTACGTGCCGGTGGACTTGCCGTTTGGCGCGGGGGGGGGGGGGAGTTTACCTATTGATGGTGTGAAAAGGGAATTTATAAGAGCTGCGAAAGTTTGGGGTACCACTACTTGGAAAATATACTGTACCATTGAAATTAGTTTAATGTTTAGTTCGATTTAGAACATCTTTCCAATGGTTGCTTAATTTGAAACCATCTTCTCGGTTGAAATTGTGTTTGTAGATCTGAATTGCCTCGTGAACAAATCTCTGATAAAAACCCGTGGGTTTGCAAAGAACCTTGGTATCGGAGAATATTAAATCGTCATTAATCAGAGTAGCACCCCGATTTCGGACAATCTGAAAACAGTACTGGCTAGGGGACTGAATTTTGCTGTCACCCCAAAACACATACCAGTAGATGATATCATCTCTCAGGTCGATGTAGCCCTCAAAGGCGTAGGACACATCCAAGCAGACGTTGCGAGAGCTGAAATAGCCACTATTCTTAAGAATGCTAAGAAACCCATTAGTAACAGCAAAAATGAACGCTCTGAACTCGCGAATTTAAAAAACAAGTGATATAGTCATCCTCTCAGCCGATAAAGGCAATGCTACTGTTATTATGGATAAAGAGTCATACAACAAAATCCAGAATCTGCTCAACGATGGAAGTTACTCAAAAATAAATGACCCTACCAGTAGCCTAGCGATAACCAACAAGATCATCACAAGTTCGACCTCCCTAATCGACCCAACTAAACGTCCCTCCCTAAAACCTTCTGCTGCAAGACCCCCTAGATTCTATGGTCTTCCCAAGATTCATAAAGAAGGCACGCCACTACGACCCATCGTATCCACGATCAACTCCCCTACCTATAGACTAGCCCGTTTTCTGTCAAGATACCTTGCTGCCTTTCACTGGCAAGACCGCCTCAGCAGTACTTAACTCGGCCCAATTGGTCTCTATGGTCAAAGACGTTGTACTGTCCCCTGACGATATCCTTGTCAGCTTCGATGTGGTCTCTTTGTTCACCAAGGTCCCAGTACCTGATACCATTGAAATAATTGAAAATTTGGTCCAACATGGACTAGACCCCGACACACCTGCACTGGTTAGGCACTGCCTCAACAATACCTACTTTACTTGGAATGGCTCCTTCTACAAACAATGAGGGTACCCCCATGGGATCCCCCTTGTCACCAGTGATGGCCAATATTTTCATGGAGAATTTGAATCAGACGCCATCCAGACTTCCACCCTCAGACCTTCCCTGTGGAAGAGATATGTGGATGACACTTTCGTCATTTGGCCACATGGCCTCCCAGCTCTGAACCTTTTCCTACACCACATCAATTCCAGACATCCCGCCATCAAATTCACCATGGAAGTGGAGAAAGATGGCAAGCTACCATTCTTAGATGTTCTGTTTGAGAGGAGACCTGATGGCTCATTGGGGCATTCTGTCTACAGGAAACCCACCCACACAGATTCCTACTTGAAACCTGATTCCCACCACCACCCAGCCCAAAAGAATTATCAAAACTTTATACCATAGGGCTCATTGCATTTCGAACCAACACCACCTGACCAGTGAATTAAAACATGTACACCTGGCCCTCAAAAGGAATGGTTACTCTGACCGTACCATCCGCCAAGCTGTTTCTCCCTCCATACAGAAACAACCACTTGATACTCTGGTCAAAACCATCACACTACCATATATAGCAGGCGTTACTAAAACGAATTTCCAAAATTCTAAACACAAGATCCAGGTCCGGTTCAATACAGTACACAATTCGTGATCTGATCCCATCCGTGAAGGATGTCATTCCTGACTTACAGTACCCCGGGGTTTACAAATTGAGTTGTACCTGCGGTGATTGCTATATCGGGGAGACAAAGCAACATGTCTCTGACCGAATTCGAGAGCACAAATCAGATTTGAAACACGGCAAAACGAATTCTTCTGCCGTGGCTGTTCACTGTTACAACGCTGTGGGTGATCACGATATAATTTTCTCCGATACCAAGGTTATTTGCAAACCCACGGGTTTTTATCAGAGATTTGTTCACGAGGCAATTCAGATCTACAAACACAGACACAATTTCAACCGAGATGGTTTCAAATTAAGCAACCATTGGAAAGATGTTCTAAATCGAACTAAACATTAAACTAATTTCAATGGTACAGTATATTTTTCAAGTAGTGGTACCCGAAACTTTCGCAGCTCTTATAAATTCCCTTTTCACACCATCAATAGGTAAACTCCCCCCCCCCCCCCCCCCCCCGCGACAAACGGCAAGTCCACCGGCACGTACACCACCTCTTTTCTAAAATCGGCCAATCAAATGCTAATTTCTTTGTCAGGACGCCTTGTTTGCTCGCACACAGCTTAAAGGTCCGCGGTCTGAGCGTGGCTGTGTTTCACTCCAGCGCTGTCCTCGAGATGGCCTGATCCCTTCACCTGATGAAGGCCGCTTGTGTTGTGGCCGAAACGTGATTTTTGTTTTATTTTTTTACCTACGTGACTTTACCCAATAGAACCAAAGAGTATTTCCAAATGTCTCTGGCTTGGAGTTGCCCTGGTTGGTGCTTTATTGACTTCATGCAAGTCGCATGATCTTTGTGCCTGCTCCAGGTACAGGACCCAGACTTGTTAATTTGGCTGGTGGGGTTTGAGTTTTGTTGACTTGGAGAACACGTTCAAATTTTGCCAAACCGCCTTACCCACACAAGTGCAACCTCGCCAACTAAAACGTATAACCTAAATGACCGTGTTTCACACTTCTCAAGATGACTGGTGTTAACGTTCACTTGCAAACGCATGGCACAATTTGATTACTTACTATTGCAAGCATATTGATTTCACTTGCTGTGCATTGTATAAATCTTAAAGAGCTGCTGTCAATTGCTTAGCATGTACAGACATTGCTTTAAGATGTTGCACTGACTGCGTTGCCTGTTCTTTTTAACGTATGAGGTTTGGGAACTTCTTTGCTGTTTTTCTTTTTGTTGTGTTGACTCGTTTTATTTCTTGGGTTCTAGACCCATAGATTTAGTATGGTTTGAGACAATTCCAGTAAATGTTAGTACAAAACAACTAGTGCACCTGTAACAATGCCTTTGTACTGTACATAGGACTGCCAGTTAATGTGCGCATATGAAACATACCGTAATAAAGTTACCTTACACCATCCTTATTCTCTGAGCCCAAGTTTTATGTCCAGCAACAAGGCGTACCTGTGAGAATGTGGGGTTGCTTTTCACAAGCATTCTATTCCACCCTGCGAATGTAGTTTTGTATTCCCAACATGGAAGTGTTCTGTTTGACTTTTCTGATGACATGGGTCGCAGTATACTGATTTACACACATTGGTTCAAGTGAAAATGTCTCGTATTGATGTTGGGTATCCAAATTTACCCATTTTACTCATGATTTGCAAGCTTTGTGGTATGGGGCAGACCTTGGAAAATAACATTTAATGCTTTAAAAATATTTTGATAGTTACCCCTCGAACTTGATACCTCCTTATTAACACATGGATCTGCCTGCAACGAACATTTCTCATTAATTTTAATTTTCTTTTTAAAATATTGAAATGCATTAGGTCTTTACACCATTTTGTAAGATATATATGGATATTCATTGAACAAGATGACAGAGAATGCAGATACCAGCTCCAAGACATTGGTGAAGGTTACGACACTTCTCGATTCAATGTGCAAATCGTAAATGTTTATTAAAGCACAAACCGCATTAATATTTACAGCATGTGAGTATTTACAAGAACCTATTGCAGTGCAGTGGGAACTGGATTATCTTGACTATCCTTGAAGCACCGCCATGCATGCAGTCAATGTTTTATACTGGTAGGAACGAAGTTGTAAACTGAGTGTACCAGCCTGCAATAGATTAATGTGTCCGTCCGTCCCCTTTAAATACTTTAACGAAGTGAAATCTCGTGCTGTTGGGTGTAAAATCAGCAATAGACAGCGCAGAGACTTGATATGTCTTATTGCCCCCAACATTTGGAAGTCACTATCTCATTTGCGAACTTCTACCAGCCCACCCTGCAGGGACCTGTTACAAGCCAGTCCAGTCGTGGTCCGTTGATTTAATTTGCATTCTGTTTGGAAATCTAATCCACACTTATGCAATGGAGCCTGATCATGTTAAATTACCTTTGCATTTTCATTGGTGGGTAGTATTTTCCATAATGACTACGACATATCCACTGTTTATTCACTAATTGAAAAACTATTTGTTGACATTTCCATCTATGCAATATTACCACCAAGCAGGATGGCTGACTCAGCAGCCACCCCAAGTCAGACGAGCCACATGGTCTGTCTTGCGCTTGGTGGGCTTGACGAAGCCCAGAAACTGCAGTTCGGAGACGGCACGAATGAACCGTGCGCTGGGTGCGTAACAATTCAGGACAACAGCTGGGCCAAACATGATCAAGTTTTGGAGATATTGCAGCCAACTGGTTGGCCACCCGAGTTCATTTTCATTGGGGCAGCCCAAACAGCCATCTGATAATATCTTAGAATAGTCAATCACCCCTTCTCAATCCTCTTCTGGATTAAGGCCTCCCTCTACCATCTCCGTTATGGAGGTGGTAATGACCATACTGCACTATGTTGATCAGTGTGCATTGGTGAAGGGGAGGTGCCCGTAATAGGTTCAGATATCACTCGCCACTTAAGCATGGCTGGGAATCTAGCTCATGTGGCTGGGTTCGTAGTGCATTGTCACTGTTCCACCCCTGTAGTTCCTTATTCATGATTAAATATTAGGCATGCAAGGAAGTGTTGATTAACCATTGAAAATATATTTAATTGCATGGAATTATGCATGCGGGAATGGTATAAATTGTTACTGATTTATGAAAAAGCTTGCCACTTTGTAGTAGCCATTCGACTTTTGTATTACCTATTGAATCCTCAATCTGTCTCGAGTAAAGAAAAAAATGATTTGCCAAATTGTACATACATATAGCACTCTTCGTTATGCCTGTAAACAGTTTTAGGATTCAAGAGCTCTTCAGGCAGTTGCTCGGCTAATCTTGTGACAAACTGGAAAAAGTGAGACCTGCACCAGTGTGTGCTCTGGCAAGATTTGGTAAAGGACGTCCTATGAACACGCCCATTTTCTGTACCAGCTAATCAACAGGCAATGTGTGAGTATATTTGGCTGAAGCTATGATGGACTCCAAAAACCACAGATGCTTGGCAGTAAAAAGGATACTGAATTTGTTGGTCAATGACGTGAGGTGTTTCAGCCTCTTCAGAGTCCTTCCCGGCTTGCAGAACTGTCTGGAAAGCCTGGGGTCACAGGCACATGGCAGTGGTGATATAGACAAAACTTACTTTAAGCTTCACAAAAAAATACTTTTAAAACTGGATTTAAAAAAAAATTGTGGACTTAAAAAAACAAGGACGTTGGATTGAATGCATAAAAAAAGTTGTCGTTAGAAAAGATAAGTTGATTCCTGAGAAAATTTTTTTTTTTTATGATTCAGAGCTCTTGGGACTATCAGCAACTCATTTGTTGATAAATCCCATTTCATTGTTTCATTTAGAGGCTATAAACTCCACCCTTTAATCCCCAATTCACTTTAGCTGTGCCATCAGCTGTTTTTTAAAATAATTATAGTCACTACGTTTAACGTACAACACTGACATTTATTACCAATGTTCAAAAGTTGTTATAGTTGCTGATGGAACAGACAATATTGGCAAAAAAAGGTTCTTTATCCTTATGGAGTGCATTTCAGAACTCTCAACCACAGACTTAAGTGGTGGTTAACCAGCTTCATATGGCTTAACTCCAAAACGTCTCTCCAGGATTAAGTCTCTGCTGAAGTGCTATTCCTCCATTAACGTAATCAGTTTGGTCATTGTACTCACACCTCAATCGCATATGGTGGCAACTTGTTTTGTGTGTGCTTACCTGCAGCCAGTCGTACAGGTTAATCATGCAACCGCACTCCAGGTGCAGCTTATAGGCGATGCATAGATCTGGAGCCATGTTGGTGATGCTGCCCTCCGTGCTGCGCAAGGCCTTGTTCTGATGGCGCACATCATCACCACAACAATAATTTACAAAGCATTTTTATGTAACCGCATCTCAAGATGATATATGAAAGTGAGATACAACATTGGGGAAGAAGATCAAATAGGAAGGGGGTAAGGGCACGTGCACATGGGAGACGGAAATAGTGCAGTGCAGTGCAACATGGGGCCAACAAGGCCAAGTTTAGAGGGCTGAAGCAACCATGAATCCCAGGGGAGCCAGAACCCATGACCAGCAAATAATTTTGTTCAACCGCTCCCGGTTCAATGACAGTCGCTACCCACCAGCGTTTATGGTATATCAGGATTTAGACGTGCTCAAATCCCATTCCGTCTGCCGATCAACACGCAGCCCATTGACTGTCGAAACTAAAAAGGTCCTTTACTTATCCAGGAAAGATTGAGTTTACAATTCAATTTCTTTCAAAAGGTTGTTTGACCAATTCAATTTTACTGAGTGTTTTGTACTTTGAAATTGACTTGAGTAACCTAGACCAGGGGTCGGCAACCAAAATAACAAGTGACATTTTATTTTCGAATTTGGTTAAAAACTTGATATTTAAAGAGCCGCAATGCATATGAATAACGTCAAAAAGCAGTCCTTAATTAGGCCTAGAGACAGGAAAAGATAACACAATTTTCTGCATTCACAGATTCATGAACCGACCTTTCTATACTGCCATGCTTTAGCCAACTCGAAGCGCACGAAGATCTGAGTTTTTCTAAATATACAATATCCGCCAAATCTTTGCCGCCATGGCAACGGATCACAGAAATCTTCCACCACGCTTAGCCGACCAGCTGCTGTACTACGTATGAAGCTCTGCTACAGCCGCTGCTTTTTGCTCACCTGCAGGTAGTAGTAAGGGTTGGTGAGCGCCATCTGGATGGCTGCACGTGGCGACGCGTTGAGGTGCTGCTTCAGTGTGGAGGAGTCGCTAAAGTAGCTCACTTCGTGCAGCGTCTGCCCTTCAGGTGGCTGCAGGTATTTCCTGTGTAAAGGCAAATATGTTTCAGAAGCAACGTGCAGTTTGCTTTGACAATCGGTTGGTAAAGCTGGACAGAATAACCCAACAAGACTGACAAACGCGAAAAGCTCTGCAGCTGAAGGTGACACCTAGTAATGTATCAAAGGCGGCCACTTTGCTGCTAAATACGTGCACCTATTCTATACAGTGCTTTAGGATCCGGTTGCTTTTGTAAATAATTAGAATGTGTTTTGATAGAGCGTCCTTCATGCCAGGTGGATCTCAGAGCACTTTACACACAATAAAATGTAATTAAAACAGTATCTAAAAAATGGGTTGAAGTACCTGAAGCGATTGCGAGTTAAAAAAATATTCTTTGAACACTTCAAATAAAGTGGGTGACGAGGGTTGGATGGGTAGAGTGAGAAGGGCAGGGGGCAGACATTGGGAAGAGGCAAGGGGGGGGGGAGTACAGAGCTAAAGGAAAATGAGAGATGTAGGGAAAGGTGAGGAGAGATGAAGATGGTAAAACATTAAATATTCAAGTGCTGCAAGCTAAACGGAAAGTGAGGGTTAGGGGGGTGTAGAACACGGACATCAACATGGGATGACAGAATAAAATAAGGGAATGAATGTGCTAGCAGCAGAATGGATGCTGCAATCTCGAAAGTGATCAACTAAATCACGATCACGCGCACCAGGTAGTTATAGGGTTGGCACTTTTCTAATTGCACCAAGTCTGGAGCCAGCCTAAAGGTGGCCACATATCAGTAAAGCGAGTGTGAGGCGCAGTAAAAGTCTACTAACCTGAAAGTGCGAGTTGAACACAGATATAGAGATGAAATGCCCCACTGTAAACCAAGCCGAATTAACCCCCATGCAATAGGATATGGCACACCATGGGATGCTTGGTGTGCCATATCGGGCGACTCTTTTCACGCTGTTGCGGCCTCCACCCACCTGACCAGATCGTTGAGCAGATCCAGAGCTTTGGTACGGAGCACCTCGTAGGGAGTCGACTTCTTCTGCTGCTTCTTCGCCGCCTGCATCTCCATCAGTGTCTGCCGCAGGAACATTGTAAACGGAATGGTCCCGATGCGACGCGCATCCCTGTGCCTCGATACGTCAGCCGTGTGTGCTATGCAGTGGGCATGGTATTCAATGCTAAGTATTATGCAGCCTGCTAGGCACAGGCTCAAAGGCCCAAAACACCAAGTGACCGGCAACAAAAAGCACGATTATACTTGTAGTGGATAAGAGTTAATGTTTCTTGAACTGAGCAATGTTATAAGGACTTTGGGAGATGAGATGATGGGGGAGGAATTCCAAAGTCAAGCAGTATATGGAAAGAAACAGAGTAAGAATTGTTTTGACCTGGAGTGTGGTGGTTGAACAGAGTATACTTAGCTTTGTAAAGCATGTGTTGTATGGTGTGCAGTATGTAGCACGTGGATTGCAGTGTCTCGTGTATGGTGAGCACTGTGCATCAAGTATAGCACACAGCGAAATTTGTGCGCTTGCCCTCACCTTCTGCAGCTGGTGCAGGTCAGTTTTTCCAAGCACTGGCACTTTTTGTGCCGGCAACGCCATCTCTTCGACGTTGGGTGCCTCGCCGGGCTCGCCAAGTGCATGCAGGCCTTGTAGGACACCCTGGAGGGACGTGACCGCACCCTGTAGCTCAGGATCAGTAGGGGCAGCCGACAGCTGCTCCACACAGCTCTCCAGCAGACAGCAGAGCTCATCCCGGGCGAGCATCCTGGCACACGGCAAGGCGAGCGTGTCACTGCAGTAATGCTAGTTGCAATTCTATTTTAGAGCCAGCAGGGGACTGTAAAACAAAAACAACGATCCCTCATGTAACCGAAATAGACTTTTGGGGCAAATGCCGTTGGCGAACATCTATGAAGTTCAGCAGGGTACACGAGGGGGTGGGTGGCCAATACAATACCTGGCCACCTTTGACTCCCGAATGGCGATGTTTAGACATCGAACCAGGTACTCATTGGAGGCGAAGTCATCCTAGGGAAGGCCCAGGACTGATTCAGATAATCATCACTGCTATTGGCCACGAGTGCTAATCAAACCCAGGTCGCCGGGTTCATAGCTCAGCGCGCTAACCACTACACTACCACTCCACTACCGCCGGGGACTATAACCACCTCATGAACAGCAATTGCCTCTCTGTGCCACGGTGCCCCATCCCCCTGATTCAATGATTCAACGGCAGCTCCCAGGCAGTTATGGAAACACTCGAGGTCAACCACATCAGACATTTCTGGTAATCAATGCTCATTCTGGGTTTGGAGGCCCTGTTGAACCTAGACGTTGCCACAACGAGGAGGGGCCTTATCATCAGCCTCATAAAAACAAAACACCTCATCACGAGCAATCAGGTTGTTGGAGAGGAGAAGGCTTCTCCTACATGGGGACTATGCTCATCGCCCATTTGGCAGCAGAGGTCTGACCCTCCGCACCCGGTAAGTGGAATGATCTTCATTGTAAGCATAACGCTGTGACGCACACAATAATAACGATGGTGGGGGCGATGGGGGATGTCTGGTGAGGAAGTGAGGACACTCACCGGAGGAGATGCATGGCGGATGAGTAGCCTTCACTTTCCCACACGGGCGACTCGAGGACGCTGCAGTACAGCTCCCGCACCTGCAGACCGCGAGAAGTGTGCACGTCGCCAAAACTCAATTACCGTGGCACGGCACTCAATCTAACTTCTTAAAGGAAAAAATATATAATGCTTATGCATGGATTTTGTAACTCTTTCCAACAGGTTTGTCCTCTGATTAGCATCACCTTCTGAGCCGCATCACGAGATGACGTCATATTACAACGTTTGCAATGGTGCTCGAGCAAAAATTTAATACGCACGTAATTAATACTGCCCGAAACATCAGCCTATCATATATTTTATCTGTTATAAAGAAGTGTTAATAAATATGGTAAGTTTTCTTGGAAGGATCAGGCTGTCCAGGTGATATAACCATCTGGCAATTTGGCAGTGTTTTCTCAGAGCACTCTGCCTGTTAGTAGGAGGGACTGGTGAGTGGACAATAAAGACCCTGTGACGTCCTAGGCCGGTACCTGCTTGCCGAGTGGGTGTCCGGGCAGCTGGTGTGTGAAGGTGTGCAGGCCCCGCAGCATCAGGAAGAACCGGCGATGGTATCGGTGAAGCTCAGACAGCAGGATCCACACAGTGTCCTAGTGGTACCCGTATGAATGATATACATGCGTAAACGACAAATACCTTGCCACAGCCTTGTAGACTTGGTGCAAGTGCTGTTAGTGAGCACATATTCAGGTGGAATACTCTTGCCGCTCACCTACAACTTGGTTACCTCCCTTCACTCCCCTCTGTGTCTCCCTATTCGGCCAAAACAGAGCTTATTTGCACAAAACGTTTATCTGGCGTCTCTTGCTCCCACACGTGTGCACGGTCTTTTTCGATTTGCGTGTTTACATCACCGTTGAAACTGAAATACAGAGCTTACTTGCACATGTTCATGTTTTTGTTTGTTGCGGTTGCACCCGATTCAAGAGCCGAATGGCTCACAGGGCATACCTCATAAGTGAAACTTAAAACTGAATCTGAAATAATGTACCGAAACTCTGCTGGCACCTCTTGCTCTCATTATATTTTCACTCTTTTTTTATCCTCGTGCTTTTCATTTACCACCAATAAATACCTCGTTTCTGAGTTGTGCAATATTCCTTAAGGGGCCTGTACTCGTTCTCTAAAATTTTCAAGTCGTTATTTTTTTCTTTGTGTTGTTGCTGTGCTCAAGCATCACAGATCAATTGTATAATATCCTGGAAACTGGCCAAACGAGATCGTCCATTTCACAACAACAACAAAAATAATCATGTAAGACAATGAACATTCAATCCCACCGAGCTACAGAGTAAACTCTCCATTCTGCATGGTAATGGAGAGTGGAGTTACATGAAAAAATACTAAAACACAGATCATTCAAAACACATGTTAAGTAGGCTTGTGTATTGTTTATCGAGGTAGAATGGGGGTGATGACACCAAAGTCCGTCTGTTTTTATTGCTTCTTAAAGTAATCGGTTTAACTTGCAGATGTGTTTGCAGTGACATGGGTCACTTATCCTTGATGAGTGAAGAACAGCTAATAATTAATCCAGCACGTGCATTGAGCTCTTTCTTTTACAAGCGCAGTTAATCTGCAACCAAGATAATTGAGAGTTTACTGTATGCTAAATGGGATGCAGTATAATGACAAGGAAGCAGGAAACGATGCAGCCAAGGCTGGTGTCCACATACCTTAAGGTACTCGTTATCGGTCAGGAGTCGGTCCTGCTCACTTGCCTTCCTACCCTCCACGTACCTATGAAGTGGACACGAGAATCCTTTAGCATTGTCAACTATAAACTAATTTGAACGATTTTTATTTTGCCAGTTAAGGCCCACTCAGCTACATAGCTCTTTTTCAGAAGTGATCTGGTCACAAATGTGTACATTTATAGTAGCCAAATACTGTAAATGCATGTTTCTAAATCGACATGACTACGCGGAGAACATGCAAACTCCAAATATACAGGCGTCATGATCGGGATTGAGCCCACGACCTCCTGTATATCAGGCAAGGGAGTTAACATCTCGCCACCGTGGTGCCCATTTTAGTTTCACACGGACCGGCCATTAGTATCAATTGATGGCGCAGCACTGCATTGGTTGTGAGACTGTCCACGTTGCAGGCTGTGTCCATTGAAATTTAAAGTCATTTAGAGCATTATATGGATCGCAAAGGGGCAGTTCCACGATATTAAAGTGCCTGAAATCTTACAACTATAATACTTAAAAGGTAGATACAAGCCAACAACAACTGTTAAAATATAAAGTTCCCCAATTTTGCATGCACATTTCAAAACACTTAAAAATGTGGGCCATTGTTTGTATGATCATGGTGCGGATGTATTTTTTCTTCGGCATAGTATGTCATCCAATTGGGACTGTAGTTCAGAGAGAAATTATGGTACTAGAGGGGAATATTTTTGACCTGACAACACAGTTTTGCCAAATTGACACTTTTATCACGATAATAAAGGTGAGCCCTTAGAAAACAATATACTTTGGTTGTTGTTAGATGATGCTAAAGTGTGTATTTTAGCAGTTTTTGTACAACATCTGGCCTCAACATCATGTCAGCACATTTACCAAGATCTGAATATACAACACTTTCATGATACCTGTCCTACAGTGTGGTGCCAATACTTAGATTCAGACCCAAACAGGCTGCAGTCCTTCCATATGCGTTGTCAGCAACACATTTTTGGCCGCACATGGCAAGACTCTGTTCGCAACACCGAAGTCTCATCGAGGACTGGTTTTCCTGCCATCGATGCAATTATCCACTCAAGATACATCCACCTGTTTGGCTACAAGATACTCCCCACACACCATGCCCTACTTCTATCCATCCAGGTAAAGAGCAGATCTCAACCATCTCCATCGTGGCACCATCCAATCGGCCATCCTATGGACTCATGTGTTCGTAAGATCTGTTGAGACACCTTGCAGGAGGCTTTCTACAATGCGGTGAAACATGCATACTCTGGTTGGCACAACGGGCCTTCGTCATCTACGCAATTCTGATGATGATTATGATAAGGCGTGTGTCTTAATGGGTGGTCCGTAACAGGTACTGAATCCAATTCAGACCCTAAGTAAGGATGTACACTGTGGCAATACTGCTGACGAACCGGCGGAAGGAAGGGGCCTGGCGCACGGCCTCACAGAGCTCCGGCCCGAGTGACTTGACGTGAGCCTTCAGGCTGGACGGCGGCATACACAGCACGCTAAGCGGCTGCTCGTAAAAGTGCTCCATCATGGCAAACTGGCAGGATAAAAAAAGTATGCGAGTCAGCGAGCAATGCAGCAATCGAACGAACATGAATCGCTGAATGCATGTTTCCTGACTATACTCTGATTGTGATGGTGGAACATGCAGTATAGACATGTAATAAAAATCACCCTTCCCTCTTTTAGTTGATGAATGTCTAAGATGTGGGTTGACAAATCATATTCAGGAATGAATTGTATGTTATATCATAGATAATGACTGGCTCGTTTGTTCTCTCTTGTTCTTGCCATTAGCCTTAAGATAACATCTGCATAAAATTTGGATATTTTTTTCCATGGGGTGGGGCAGTGGAAACAGGTCCCTGCAGGGTGGGCTGGTAGGAACATTGGAATTTTGCGCAATTTTATTTTTACACCCCAACAGCACGAGATTTCACTTCGTTAAAGTATTGAAAGGGGACGGACGGACGGACACATTAATCTATTGCAGGCTGGTACACTCAGTTTACAACTTCGTTCCTACCAGTATAATTGTTCATGAACCATGCTACAGTGAGGAAAAAAAGTATTTGATCCCCTGCTGATTTTGTACGCTTGCCCACTGACAAAGAAATGATCAGTCTATAATTTTAATGGTAGGTTTATTTGAACAATGAGAGACAGAATAACAACAACAAAATCCAGAAAAACGCATGTCAAAAATGTTATAAATTGATTTGCATTTTAATGAGGGAAATAAGTATTTTACCCCCTCTCAATCAGAAAGATTTCTGGCTCCCAGGTGTATTTTATACAGGTAACGAGCTGAGATTAGGAGCACACTCTTAAAGGGAGTGCTGCCTATGACCCCAAGAACACATCCCCACCATCAAACATGGAGGTGTTTTTCTGCTAAGGGGACAGGACAACTTCACCGCATCAAAGGGACGATGGACGGGGCCATGTACCATCAAATCTTGGGTGAGAACCTCCTTCCCTTAGCCAGGGTATTGAAAATGGGTCGTGGATGGGTATTCCAGCATGACAATGACCCAAAACACATGGCCAAGGCAACAAAGGAGTGGCTCAAGAAGCACATTAAGGTCCTGGAGCAGCCTAGCCAGTCTCCAGACCTTAATCCCATAGAAAATCTGTGGAGGGAGCTGAAGCTTCGAGTTGCCAAACGTCAGCCTCGAAACCTTAATGACTTGGAGAAGATCTGCAAAGAGGACTGGGACAAAATCCCTCCTGAGATGTGTGCAAACCTGGTGGCCAACTACAAGAAACGTCTGACCTCTGTGATTGCCAACAAGGGTTTTGCCACCAAGTACTAAGTCATGTTTTGCAGAGGGGTCAAATACTTATTTCTCTCATTAAAATGCAAATACATTTATAACATTTTTGACATGCATTTTTCCGAATTTTGTTGTTGTTATTCTGTCTCTCACTGTTCAAATAAACCTACCATTAAAATTATAGACTGATCATTTCTTTGTCAGTGAGCAAACGTACAAAATCAGCAGGGGATCAAATACTTTTTTCCCTCACTGTATGAACCCAGCCACCTGGGTTCGATTATAGGCCACAGATAACAGAAGTAACGAGTGATATCTGAACTGCTCCTGGTCCTGCCTTCACAAACCCACAATAACCACCATGGTGAAGCATGGTCATTACAACTCCCATGACCAACACAGTATGGGGAGGCATTTATCCAACATTGGATTGACAAATGGCGTTATATTACTATAATATACTTTAATCCATTTCTATATGAGCTACATTTACACACAAATTGACGTGTGTATTGTGACTGTAAGAATCGACTTTTGATCTTGGAATAAATGGATTAATCTCTCCTACCTGTAAGCCCTTGACAAAGTTCCTGACGGAGAAGTCATGGTAGAGGAAGATTCCGATGAGCACCTGCAGGGCCTTGCCGTTCAGTTTGAAGAGGAAGCGATCCGTTAGCAGCAGCTGAAAGGTAGAAATGAAGAGCTTCATTCACATTGTCCCGAAGTCCATTTGTACCCGAGTGACTGTGGCATCTTTGGCAGCTCAACCCACAAGAATGACTCGGCTTGGAATAATACATCATTCGTGTCACATGGCTGCTTTCGACCAAATCACCCAGAATGCATCAGATCCCGTCAGATCTCGGAAGCTAAGCAGGCTGGAGCCAGGACAGTATTTAGATTGATGACCTCCATGCACGATGATGCAGGAAATTCTAGTTTTACAGTACTTATACGCACCCGTGTTTATTCTCGCCGCCTTTACTAACCCGCACCGTCCAGAATTTTGAGATTATGGTAAAATAACCCACGCAGCCCAGCACAGCGGTGTGGGGAGGCCCTTGTCCAACAGTGGGTTGACAAAAAATGGCTGTTTGTGTGTTGTTGTGAGTAAAGGCCCTTCTTCAGAGTGAAAAGGCAGAGATATTGACTGTTAAATTTAGATCACACTTTACAGTGTGGTGCCTTAAACTCCTTGAATACAATTGAACACATGAACACTTTTTGAATTAACAGATACCGAGTAGCAGTTAGCTGATTAGCAGATACATGTGTAGGGGAGTAGTGGGTGACGTCACGTCACGCTCACCCTCGGAGAGAGTGGCGTCGCAGAACGTGACGTCAGGTGGACCCTGGGGGGACGGTGACGTCATGCCCCAAGGGGGTATTTAAAGGGGGACCCGGGACGTAACTGGGGGTCGTCGGGGGTAGGAGTGGGGACTCAGGGGAGTTGATCCTCACCAGAGGTTAGGGGAGGCTACCCCGCCCGACCGGCCGAGGTTGGGGCAGTCCCGGCCCGGGGCAGGGAGGAGAGCCGAGTTAGCCGGGGTTGTAGGGATCCTGGTACCCCTGTCCCCTGGGGAGTTATCGGCTAGGGGGGGTGGGTTTGCGTAAGCCCCTAACCGCAACCTGCTTCGGAGTCGTGGCTTGCGCCGCAACACGTGTACACATGAGCCCATCAACTAGCAGCTCTGTGCTGCTTGCACAGCCCCCACCTGGTCGAGTGTAGAGGAGAGCAACTCGGTGGCAGGCGGCGTCTGGAATCGCTCCACGCACAGCAGAGATGACACGGAGTGCGGTAGCAAGCGGTGCAGTGCCAGGGGCGACGTGGCGATACCCAGCACCAGCACCAGGGGTAGCCGGTCCACGTACTGACTACATGCGCGCACACGGCAACACGGACAATGGTACGAGACTACTTAACGGCCATTGTACCAGTGGCATAGTGTGGTTGGCACAGGTCCTGATCTTATGTTTGCTATAAAGCCACTCAACCACATTATCGCCACTTCATCTCGTACCATTAGCATTCTCATTCCACCTTCTAGCTGCCATATGGGACGGTCCTCATTAGATTTGAACGACTGTTTGTTGGATCCTGGTACAAGGAATGAAATTGGGGCCCCCTGTTCGATTCACAGCTATGTGTCAAGTTGACACAAGGAGTGAGATTAATTGGCGATTGGAAGCATCCAGCTGGCCAGCCTCCTCACACCTGGCTGTGCCAGTTCGAGCTGGACGTGAGCCTCTCTACTCCAAAGGTATGGACTGCTGTGAGTGACAGTCTGGAATATAGGACGGTATGACCCCTTACGGTTAAGTGCTATAGCTGTTTTAATAGTAGTCAACTCCAATTCCCTCTTATATAGCACAGCGCCTGAGCCATTCTGGGCCATGTGCCTCAGTGCAGTTGCACTGCCTGCACACTCGATAGCCACGCGACTGCACTGCGTCCTGAGATCCTGCTGGAAGTGAGCGTTTGGGAGCATGTGGGCGACGTGGCACCTGCAGATGCGGATGAGGTCCTGCAGCACACGTGGCGGAAAGCTCTCGAGCTCCCGAAGGATGATAACGATGGGGGGAGTCGTGCTGTGCCGCCCGCTCACCTTCCGCTTGCCTTTCACATGGTCCGATACAGGCTACATACAACAAAGATCCCCATTTATTGCTTTAACAGACTTTTTGGGGAAGTGCCGTTAACTATGAAGGCCGGCATGGCACACGAGGAGGTGCGTGGCCAACAACACATCCAGCCACCTTTACCCTCCCTAGTGGCGACATTTACACATCGCACCAGGTACTTATTTAAAGCTGAGTCGACCTAAGAGGGAGCCCCATGAGCAGTTGAGATAATCGTCGCTGATGTTGGCCATGAGCGGGAATCTAACTCAGGTAACAGGGTTCATAGTGCAGCATGCTAACCGCTACACCACCGCTCCCTGCACCCCATATACACATATGTGCGCGCGCACACATGTACAGCCTACTGTCACTCGTGGAGTGTGGAAGCCTTCATCCATATCTGGCGTGGGGGTTTCTTGACCATATTCCAGCACACTGGGCAGTTTGTGTAGCGTAGACATGGGAGTGTGGAAGTACAGTACAATGGATACTGCTACTTTGCACAATGACAAGCTCTTTTTTGAATTTGGCACCAACCCAAGCACTATCCAGGCACAACTCACTGTAGCTTTCTAAAGTTAATGATATCCAGTGCATTTCGGATGAGTTTATAAAAGGCCACATAAGTTGATATAAAACACAAGGATATATACCTTGCAGCTGTGGGTTCAGACCAACAGAACGTGTGCACTGTGTTGTTTAAGCAATGGTTGTATGTATGCTGAACTTCTTTCGCACCGTACGTAGCCAAGCATGCTAATCGGAGGTGCGGTCTATCTGTTGTTAAATGACTGGGTCTGTCCGACTGGAGCAGCTCTGCTCAAGGGCGCATGACGGAGGCGGAGGGTACCTGCGGCAGAGACGAGTACCAGTTGCACAGTGCGGAGAACGATGGCAGCACCCGCCATGCCGACAAGGGCTTCCTGTCGCCCAAGTCGTCACTTTCTCCCTCGTCGTCCTCGCACGATATCTGCCTCCCAAGCAGCGTACCGAGAATCTTCTGCACCGCCTGCTTCAGCCCTGCGAAGGTGATCAACCGTCGTGCGATTGAGATGTGAGTATGTGGCTCAGAGGGAAAGGCGCTGAGCTGCCACAGCTAAGATCTCAGGTTTGAATGCATGCAGCCGCCAGTTATCAAACCAGGTTTTCAAGTGTAATCAGTTCATGGTCTTATGGGCCGAGAGAAGTGTGTTGACCGTCATCCTTCAAATCTGGAGCCGACACCGATGGATGGGTCCTTATCTTCTCATGAACAAAGCTTCAAACTCGTGTCGATAACCCCGAGACACACATCATAGGTACATCTCTACAAAAAAAGAGCTGTTCGTTCCATTAATTAACCCTCGAGCTTCTCCTAACATTAAGAAACTAAAGTGGGACTCGCTCAGCCTTGCCGTAGACCTGTAATTACAGACACTGACCTCTGCACTCCTTCGGCTGAAGGGACACGATGTGCGGCGTGACAGACTCACGCAGCCGCTCCGTCAGCGTTTGGAACACCACCTCGTGATCCGCTACGTTCACGCCTGCACAAACGCAGAGCCACGCAAAGCAATCAATGCCACAGCAGCACTGCGCGTGCCCCACTACGGTAGGCAGAGGCAAAGACAACATCCTAATATGACATCCCTGTGACGGCTGGCACAGTTACACAATGACCGTGCAGGTGGGGTCAAAAGGAACGAACGGCACCTGTGACAAAGGCGGCTGTCGGAATTTCGTTAGATCTCTGCCGCTCTGCCCAGCTCTGAAGGTTGTCTGAGGCCACCCCTCGAGCTCCCGACAGGAAGGAGATCATCTTCTCAAACACCTGGGCATTCATCTCGACATGCACTGCCTGAGCATGCATACAACATCCACACAGCAAAGCCTTTTGGCTATGTACGGTGCAAAAGAAGTGAAACATACATACATACTCAGGACACAGCCACCTACAGAATAGAGGATGTATTTATGTCTGTGAATATAAAACAGAGGTAGGGAACCTGCAGCCCGCTGACTGTACACAGCCAACGACTTAATTTCATACAGCCAGCTACAACATGAGAACCGCTTTGAAAGGCCTGCAAACAATATTTATCCGTCACTCAAATAATCTTTCCTGCACTGATTGGGTACAAGACGAGTATATTTTTGACTTGTCAATACTGCGTTTCCAATTTTAGCGCGTTAGAAAAGATCACAGCTGGTTGTCGAGCCAAACGTAAGAACATGATTGGATGGATCTCTACCGATGAGAGCTGTAAAATCATCTTACATGCAAATGCAATACTGACTTAACGCATCGCAAGACTGTTAGATAAGATGGCGATGGATTCTAGTGTAATTTCTTAAGGAAGCTTTATTGTAAAAATTAATGCTATTATGTACATGTTAACGTGTATACTTTCCAACTTTACTTTACTTACAGGGAGTACAAAAACCCTCTTATCTGGCCTCCACAAACAGCTCATGAACAATGTCGTGTTGCAGAATGATGAGATCGCTGTTTACAGTCACGACCATCATCACCTCAGCAGATGTCTTCAGCTCCTGGCTGAGTGTCTGGTAGGTTTCAAACCTCAAACGGCTCTCCCTGGTCACCTCGCCATTCTCGTTCTGGAAGCACACCTCTGACAAACACAATTTAACAAATCCATCTGCGAACTCGATCGCGCCTCCGATTAGCACGGTTGGCTACGTACGGTGCGAAAGAAGTTTAACATACATTCATATATACACTCAAGATATGTAACTTAATGGCACTCAATGTGTCTCCCGTTTTCGATCAAGGATGCACAATTCAGTCATCTTACTTAACTTTAATACAGGTTTTTCTTTGGGTTAGATCGCGTAAATATATAAATGTGTCATTAAACCCGCCACCACCCAACACAAGCAATTAGTAAGGGTTGTCACGTAAACACCGGTGTGCTGTACTAGTAACGAATTGGCATGTTCTGTTTTACGTGACAAACCTTAATAATTGGCTGTGTCGGGTGGTGGCGGGTTTAACGACACATTTATATATTTATGCGATCTAACCCCCAAAAGAAAAAACCTGTATTACGGATATTGGTCGCGAAAGCCTACGCGTTAAACTTACTTACCGTCGTTACTTTTCTTTTTCTTGACAGAAGGCTTAAAGGCAAAGCACCCCTAGAACAGAAAAAAAGCATTATTTAGAGCAGTGGTTCTTAACTTGGTGTGCACGCAACCCCTGCGGATGCGAGATGCCCTTTCTGGGGGTGCGAGATGCCCTTTCTGGAGGTGTGAGATGCCCTTTCTGGGGGTGTGAGATGCCCTTTCTGGAGGTGCGAGATGTCCTTTCTGGGGGTGCGAGATGCCCTTTCTGGGGGTGAGAGATGCCCTTTCTGGGGGTGAGAGATGCCCTTTCTTGGGGTGTGAGATGCCCTTTCTGGGGGTGAGAGATGCCCTTTCTGGGGGTGCGAGATGCCCTCTCTGGGGGTGTGAGATGTCCTTTCTGGGGGTGAGAGATGCCCTTTCTGGGGGTGAGAGATGCCCTTTCTGGAGGTGTGAGATGCCCTTTCTTGGGGTGTGAGCTGCCCTTTCTGGGGGTGCGAGATGCCCTCTCTGGGGGTGTGAGATGCCCGTTCTGGGGGTGTGAGATGCCCTTTCTGGAGGTGTGAGATGCCCTTTCTGGGGGTGCGAGATGCCCTTTCTGGGGGTGTGAGATGCCCTTTCTGGAGGTGTGAGATGCCCTTTCTGGGGGTGCAAGATGCCCTTTCTGGGGGTGCGAGATGCCTCTCTGGGGGTGGGAGATGCCCTTTCTGGGGGTGAGAGATGCCCTTTCTGGAGGCGTGAGATGCCCTTTCTGGGGGTGTGAGTTGCCCTTTCTGGGTGTGCGAGATGCCCTTTCTGGGGGTGCGGGATGCCCTTTCTGGGGGTGCGAGACGCCCTTTCTGGGGGTGCGAGATGCCCTTTCTGGGGGTGCGGGATGCCCTTTCTGGGGGTGCGAGACGCCCTTTCTGGGGGTGCGAGATGCCCTTTCTGGGGGTGCGGGATGCCCTTTCTGGGGGTGAGAGATGCCCTTTCTGGGGGTGCGAGATGCCCTTTCTGGGGGTGTGAGATGCCCTTTCTGGGGGTGAGAGATGCCCTTTCTGGGGGTGAGAGATGCCCTTCCTGGGGGTGCGAGATGCCCTTTCTGGGGGTGCGAGATGCCCTTTCTGGGGGTGCGAGATGCCCTTTCTGGGGGTGCGAGATGCCCTTTCTGGGGGTGCGAGATGCCCTTTCTGGGGGTGCGAGATGCCCTTTCTGGGGGTGCGAGATGCCCTTTCTGGAGGTGCGAGATGGCCTTTCTGGGGGTGAGAGATGCCCTTTCTGGGGGTGCGAGATGCCCTCTCTGGGGGTGTGAGATGCCCTTTCTGGGGGTGCGAGATGCCCTTTCTGGGGGTGTGAGATGCCCTTTCTGGAGGTGTGAGATTCCCTTTCTGGGGGTGCAAGATGCCCTTTCTGGGGGTGCGAGATGCCCTTTCTGGGGGTGTGAGATGGCCTTTCTGGAGGTGTGAGATGCCCTTTCAGGGGGTGCGAGATGCCCTTTCTGGGGGTGCGAGCTGCCCTTTCTGGAGGTGCGAGATGCCCTTTCTGGGGGTGAGAGATGCCCTTTCTGGGGGTGCGGGATGCCATTTCTGGGGGTGCGAGACGCCCTTTCTTGGGGTGCGAGATGCCCTTTCTGGGGGTGCGGGATGCCCTTTCTGGGGGTGAGAGATGCCCTTTCTGGGGGTGCGAGATGCCCTTTCTGGGGGTGCGAGATGCCCTTTCTGGGGGTGTGAGATGCCCTTTCTGGAGGTGTGAGATGCCCTTTCTGGGGGTGCAAGATGCCCTTTCTGGGGGTGCGAGATGCCCTTTCTGGAGGTGCGAGATGCCCTTTCTGGAGGTGAGAGATGCCCTTTCTGGGGGTGCGGGATGCCCTTTCTGGGGGTGCGAGACACCCTTTCTGGGGGTGCGAGATGCCCTTTCTGGGGGTGCGAGACGCCCTTTCTGGGGGTGCCAGATGCCCTTTCTGGGGGTGCGGGATGCCCTTTCTGGGGGTGAGAGATGCCCTTTCTGGGGGTGCGAGATGCCCTTTCTGGGGGTGTGAGATGCCCTTTCTGGGGGTGAGAGATGCCCTTTCTGGGGGTGAGAGATGCCCTTCCTGGGGGTGCGAGATGCCCTTTCTGGGGGTGCGAGATGCCCTTTCTGGGGGTGCCTGATGCCCTTTCTGGGGGTGCGAGATGCCCTTTCTGGGGGTGCGAGCTGCCCTTTCTGGGGGTGCGAGATGCCCTTTCTGGAGGTGCGAGATGCCCTTTCTGGGGGTGAGAGATGCCCTTTCTGGGGGTCCGAGATGCCCTCTCTGGGGGTGTGAGATGCCCTTTCTCGGGGTGCGAGATGCCCTTTCTGGGGGTGTGAGATGCCCTTTCTGGGGGTGTGAGATGCCCTTTCTGGAGGTGGGAGATGCCCTTTCTGGGGGTGCAAGATGCCCTTTCTGGGGGTGTAAGATGCCCTTTCTGGAGGTGTGAGATGCCCTTTCTGGGGGTGCGAGACGCCCTTTCTGGGGGTGCGAGATGCCCTTTCTGGGGGTGCGGTATGCCCTTTCTGGGGGTGAGAGATGCCCTTTCTGGGGGTGCGAGATGCCCTTTCTGGGGGTGTGAGATGCCCTTTCTGGGGGTGCGAGATGCCCTTTCTGGGGGTGCGAGGTGTCCTTTCTGGGGGTGCGAGATGCCCTTTCTGGGGGTGAGAGATGCCCTTCCTGGGGGTGCGAGATGCCCTTTCTGGGGGTGCGAGGTGCCCTTTCTGGGGGTGCGAGATGCACTTTCTGGGGGTGCGAGATGCCCTTTCTGGGGGTGCGAGATGCCCTTTCTGGAGGTGCGAGATGCCCTTTCTGGGGGTGAGAGATGCCCTTTCTGGGGGTGCGAGATGCCCTCTCTGGGGGTGTGAGATGCCCTTTCTGGGGGTGCGAGATGCCCTTTCTGGGGGTGTGAGATGCCCTTTCTGGAGGTGTGAGATGCCCTTTCTGGGGGTGCAAGATGCCCTTTCTGGGGGTGCGAGATGCCCTTTCTGGGGGTGTGAGATGCCCTTTCTGGAGGTGTGAGATGCCCTTTCTGGGGGTGCAAGATGCCCTTTCTGGGGGTGCGAGATGCCCTTTCTGGAGGTGCGAGATGCCCTTTCTGGGGGTGAGAGATGCCCTTTCTGGAGGTGCGAGATGCCCTTTCTGGGGGTGAGAGATGCCCTTTCTGGGGGTGCGAGATGCCCTCTCTGGGGGTGGGAGATGCCCTTTCTGGGGGTGTGAGATGCCCTTTCTGGGTGTGCGAGGTGCCCTTTCTGGGGGTGCGAGATGCCCTTTCTGGGGGTGCGGGATGCCCTTTCTGGGGGTGAGAGATGCCCTTTCTGGGGGTGAGAGATGCCCTTTCTGGGGGTGCGAGATGCCCTTTCTGGGGGTGCGAGATGCCCTTTCTGGGGGTGTGAGATGCCCTTTCTGGGGGTGAGAGATGCCCTTTCTGGGGGTGCGAGATGCCCTTTCTGGGGGTGCGAGATGCCCTTTCTGGGGGTGCGAGATGCCCTTTCTGGGGGTGCAAGATGCCCTTTCTGGAGGTGCGAGATGCCCTTTCTGGAGGTGTGAGATGCCCTTTCTGGGGGTGCGAGATGCCCTCTCTGGAGGTGTGAGAAGGCATTTTTGGGGGTGCAAGACATGGGCAGATTTTTTTCATAAGATAAATAATCGAAAACACAAATTAAGCACGGGCACGTAAGTTCTATCAAACCGATGTATGTATTAACATTATACGTTTGTTTTAAACGATTGAAACCCAAAGGGGTGCAAGGCTGTAGGTAAAGTTTTAAGAACCACTGCTTTAGAGATACCTTCAACACAATTCTAATGCGATCAATACACGTAGGGCTCTTGAGGGAATATCAATGCAGTATTCAGGGCGATGGAACACGAAATTCTACTTCGCTAACAAGTGAATCTTTTGACGACAGCAAGGAGATAGAAGCCATCATCACACACCTGTCAACCCATACGGTTTACCTGTATTCTTTGTTTGTGTTTCTCCCTTGTGATGGGACTTTGTAGGATGAACGTTAAGATTTATAAGGGGTTACTGGTTGACGAATTTTATCTGAATTGGTCTGTAATAAGCTAGGGCACTTATAAAGGGTTGACAGGTATGTGACTCATGCAGCCAGCTATGGCTGCAAAGTTTAGTAGTACATGTTATGTATGTCGTTTATTGTAATATTTCAATCACAGTTCCTATGATCATTGTTACATTGCTTTTATAGCTTTATTTTGGCGATTTAGAAAACGTTTTGGTTTAGCCTTATTTGTTTGTTGTAGTACAGAGTTAGACTGATAACTTTAATCGAAATTGTCTTATGGTTGTTATTGTTTGACCTGCATCCCACTGGGATTTTGCACACAGGCATTGATATACGGTGCTTTTTCTGGAAGACTTTGTTGTTTTTAACTGGATTTTTCTGTTTGCGCGTAGTCACTTTAAGATGTTTCTTGTTCATATTTTTGTTTGTTGCGGTTGCACCCGATTCAAGAGCCGAATGGCTCACAGGGCTATACCAAATAAATGAAACTGAAACACGTATGCTTTCGCGACCGATATCATCCATAAGAGGTTTTTGGGTTAGATCGCGTAAATGTGTCGTTAAAACCCGCCGCCACCCGACACAGCCAACTAGTAAGGGCTGTCACGTAAACAGAAAGTGGCCAATTCGTCAGTAGTACAGCACAGATGAAGCTAGTTGTAATTACTGGCGAAACGTCGTACTCGGATTGCAAATGTTGTGGCGTGGCTCTCCAACACACAACCGGTGTAGTGCTGTACTAGTATACTACACTACTATACACTACACTACTATACACTGTATAGTAGTGTAGTGTATACTATACACTATACTATACACTGTATAGTAGTGTAGTGTTGTATAGTATCGATTTAAAGCTTTCGTGACTGCAGGGATTCATCTTCTTGGTTCTTTCGGTAAAGTCACCACGTAGAATGGAAATAAAATAATACAAATAAAACATAAAATAAAATTCTCACGACGTTTCGGCCACAACACAAGTAGCCTTCTTCAGTTGAAGGAACATAATTGTCGGGACGACAGCGCTTCAATGAACACTGCTAAGCTTGGCAGCTGGGTGGGAGGAGCAGAGCGCCTTGACAAAGGAGTTTACATATCAACAGAAGAATTTAGCATTGAAATAGCTGTGTTAATGTGTTGGATTAGCAGGGTGTTAAAGTCAGAAATTAGCATGTAACTGGGAGATTAGCATGATGTTAATGTGAGGGATTAGCATGTAACTGGTCACGGAAATAGCTATGTTAAAGTCAGAGTTTACATATCAACAGAGGCATTTAGTATATTTACGCTAAAGGACTGCAACTACCCAACTATCATACAATAAACCGATGTGAAAGAACTAAGTAAAAACTACATCAATATAATAAATGTACTCGATATATTCTTCAATAAGTTGAGCTATTAACATAGAGTAACTGGGTATACACTACACTATATGATGAATACCATATAGTAAGCTGATTTAAAAAAAGTAAAATATAAACTACATCAATGTTATCAATAAACTCAATATACTCTACATTCAGCTGAGCTACGAACAATAAGTCGACGTAGAATTGTGTATAGTATATATAGTGTATAGTTGTGTATAGTATATATAGTGTATAGTATACACTACACCACTATACACTGTGTAGTAGTGTAGTGTTGTGTATAGTAGTGTAGTGTATAGTATACACTACTATACACTACACTATACACTAGTGCTGTACTAGTGACGAATTGGCCACGTTCTGTTTACGTGACAACCCTTACTAGTTGGCTGTGTCGGGTGGTGGCGGGTTTTAACGACACAACATTTATAGATTAACGCGATCCAACCCAAGAACCTCTATCATAGACATCACCAGCGGCGTGTATAGCCCATTTAGTGGGAGGAGTGGACAAATAATGTAAAATCTCGGACTAATCACCGCATTACGTGATAATTGTGATAATTGAGCCGAGTCACGAGGAGAGGAAACATCGCGTTGTTGTTGCGGCGGTGGTGGAGGGTCTCACGACACACATTTTTGGAGCAAGATCATCAAATAACGTGGCCGAGACCAACGTTAGATGGTGAATCGTGAACTAATGTCGCTTGCATTCGGGCACGAGGCTGCCTGCTCCCTCCAACGAGGCCGCCCTCCCCCGAGCCCGTAGTGTCTGCGAGCCCTTTGGCTTGTGAAGTCTACCACAGGCGCCGGCTTCACCATTCACGACGGCCTTCATCCAGCAGTGGAGAGACTGCGTGGCGACGAGGCGAGGCTTGGCCTGGGAACCGGGAGGTGGACGGTGGTGAAGATTGATGGGGAACTTCTTACCTTGGAGACAGAAGTTGTGGAAGTCATGATTTTGTGGAGTTTAAAAACAATAAACGTTTAAAAATTTATTAATTAATTTTTTTGTTTAACTTCACGCGTCGCGCGCACGGGCGGAGAGTCGTCGACTGCGTTCGCTGCGGCGCTCGCGATCCGCGGAATCGATTTAAGTCCCGCGCGCAAAGCAAAAGCGATTCGCATTTCAAAAGCACGCAAGCGGTTGTATCAATCCCGATGGTGTGCCGTTTAGGGTAAGGCTCGGAGGTATATTACGAGACTGGATGAATAACACGATTGCAGACGAGACACGAGAGAGAGAGAGCACAAAATGAATCGATTACTCTTTTGTGGAATCGATTGCCGCGAGATCTTCCCAGGTTCGCGCCACGCGGGCGTGAATCGATTCACACACCTCTCATGTTTTTTTATATAAATCGATTCGCGCATGAAATATGTCATAAGTTAAGGATTATACTGCAAGACCAATATGATCTCTGTCATCGATGTATGGTGAGGTGTCAATGTAGGAACAATTTTTTAATTCAGTCCTGATGGGATCGATACCAAGGATTGAGTGATGACGTCACGCTTCTACATCGGTTTGCAAACGTCGATGACGTCACGCTTTCAGACTGGTTAGTAAACATCGATGACGATTCGCTTCCAGATTGTGAGTAAACATGGATAACGTCACGCTTCCAGATCGGTTCGCAACTATCAATAACGTCACGCTTCCAGATTGGTAAGCAAACATCGATGACGTCGCGCTTCCAGTTTGGTTGTGGATCGTTGATGACGTCACGATCCCATATTGGATATCAAACATCGATGATGTCCCTATTAACGTTCACTCGTCCATTCCAAAATCGAATAAATTTCGTTGCCCACTTTTTTTTCTATACGCACGAATACAGAATCGCTGCACAGTGTTTCACGAACAAATTATCTCGACCAAAATTAATTGATTGGAAAAAAAACTGACTCGTGACGTCATTATCATGCGGGAACGGCGCGAAACACGCTTTCAGAGTGAATTTTGATTTAAAGCTTTCGTGACTGCAGTAATTCATATTCTTAGTTTTTTCTGGTAAAGAGAATTTTTTATTGTTTTATATATATTTTGTTATTTTGTTGTTTCTCTTCAACGTGGCTTTCAGAGTGGTTCGTAAACATCATCGATGATGACGATTTTTCACACCTGATGACGACCGTTTTGTGTTATGGTCGAAACGTCGTGAGAATTTGTATTGTTTTATATATATTTTATTACTTTATTGTTTCCCTTCAACGTGACTTTACCGAAACAGCTAAGAATATCATCGACGACGGTTTAATTAGGTGCAAAAATCGATTCCAGCAACCGCTACGGATGAATCGGTTTGCGAGGAATCGACAAGGGAATCGATACGGGCCCACTGTAATAAACACGTGGGTTGGCCACTCGCTGTGTTGTGTGTGTGTGTGCTGCAGGAAACACGCGAGGCGCAGTGTGTCCTCTGGGGCCGCCTCAATGTCGAAACATCTTCGCCAATTAACGTCGCCGCGGTTAACTTAAAAGCCCGGCAACCTCCACCCACCCCCGACATGGCGTGCGCGTTCCGCAGGGCAGTGGCTCGCCAGGTGGGAGCTTTGCTGACATGACATTAACCGCGTTACATAGTAACACAGCGCACGCACGGCTGCACAACCCATGTGTTGACTCGTGTACACATAAAGCCTTTGATTGTCAGCCGACTGCCATGTGAGGGGCTGCTCACGCCGTGCGAGTTATTTAACTGCGGCATACTTCACGGTGGTCACTAACCGGTTGGTAAAGGCGGACAGCGAATATAGTACCCACAAAGTAGTACTGTACAAAGATAAAGATCCCCACGTAGGTAAAAAATAAAATAACAAAAATCACGACGTTTCGGCCACAACACAAGCGGCCTTCATCAGGTGAAGGGACGAGACTGTCTGGAGGACAGCGCTGGAGTGAAAAAAGCCACGCTCAGATCACGACCTTTAAGCTGTGTGATCACTCCAGCGCTGTCCTCCAGACAGTCTCGTCCCTTCACCTGATGAAGGCCGCTTGTGTTGTGGCCGAAACGTCGTGCTTTTTGTTATTTTATTTTTTACCTACGTGACTTTACCCAATAGATCCAAAGAGTATGGATCCTTGCAGTCACGAAAGCTTTAAATCTAGAATCCCCACGTAGACTTCACCAAACTGTTGGTGGCAATCGCTGTAAACGACGAGCACCTATGAAGGGCCCCGTACGGCAGCACCACGCCCGGCCGCCTTTGTTCTGAGTGACGGCCACGTTTCCGCATCGCACTCGTTTGAGAATGAGTCATAGTTTTCATAGTTTCATTTATTTTGGTATAGCCCTGTGAGCCATTCGGCTCTTGAATCGGGTGCAACCGCAACAAACAAAAAAACTGAAACATGAACAAGAAAACAACTTAAAGTGAACTTTGTGCGTGTGCAAACAGAAAATCCAGGAAAAAAACATCAAAATATTCCTGAAATAGCACCGTACACCAACGCTGTGTGCAAAAATCCCAGTGGGATGCAAGTCAACAACAACAAGAAAACTTAGATTAAGGCCATCAGTCTAACTCCGTACTACAATAAACAAAAACATGGGCAAACCAAAAAACTTTTAGAAATTGCCAAAATAAAGCCATAAATGCAATGTAACAGTGATCATAGGAACTGTGACCAAATTTTTAACAATAAACTACATAAATAACATGTAACACCAAACCCTAGAGCCACAGCTGGCTGCATGTCACTCCACAAACAACAGAAGCATCGGTCGGAGTATCAAATTTTTCAATGCACCTTTAAGATCAGCACACTAAATCAAAATACAGATAATACTTTACAGCGGTCATCCGGAGCGAAACATTTTATTTTAGGCCACTGAATAGCAGTGGCAGCTAGGGGTGTACAACTCCTCTAGAGCAGTTTTGAGTGAAGATCTCATAGGTAGTGATTCAAGTTGCAGTTTATTGGCAATAGCATTCCAGACCCTGGGGGCATCAATAGCAAAGGCTCTTCCTCCGAGTCGACCTAGGGGATGCCCAAGACCGGTTCAGATTATGGTCACCGGTGTTGGCCGTGAGCGGGCAATCGAACTCGGCTGGCCCGGGTTCGTAGCGCAGCGCCCGAACCGCTCCCCGCAAAGTAGTTTACTGCAGTCTTGATTTGAAGCTTTCGTGTGACTGCAAGAATACATACGTAGGTAAAAAATAAAAAATAAATCACGACGTTTCGGGCGCAACACAAGCGTCCGTCATCAGGTGATTTATTTTATACCTACGTGACTTTACCGAAAGAACCAGAGAGTATAGTTTACTGCAGGTCTCTGACAACCCCTTGGTGAATGGGCTTCTCAACCCTGCTCAGCTTCAAGAGATTTCGGCCACAATCCATGTGGGTTTATCCATGTTCGTTCAATTTCTCTTGCACCGTACGTAGCCGACCGTGTTGATCGGAGGTGCGGGGAAACGCAATGTAATGCTTAAACATAACATTGGGAAGGTTACCAATGACCAAAATCACCCGGAATGCGCCCCCAAACTTCAGAAGCTAAGCAGGCGTTGTTTGAGCCTGGCTACGTTGGCGACACTGATGGTGACCGCCGCGCACAAACAGGGTGCCCATTATAATCTTGGTTCTTTCGGTAAAGTCGCCACGTAGAAGGGAAACAATAAAATGATAAAAATATAAAACAAAATTATCGCGACGTTTCGACTGCAACACAAGCAATCGTCGTCAGGTGTGAAAACCACAGCAAGAAAATTTGAAAAAAGTGGCGTTTATTAAATTTCTTATTGATTGCCGGCGGGGCTGGCGTGGTTGGGCATTCGAGGCCAGTGCGGAACAATTAGATTGGTTTTGTGCGCCGATTGCTCCCACCACGTCTTCTCGACCCACGCTGAACCAGCGTGCAGCCGTCACCCGGTAGCAGTGGGTTGCGACGAGAAGGTGGTTTTGGAGACTTGGCAGTGTTCGCTGACAACAAGTCTCGTATTGCGTTGTCTCTTTGCACGCAGCTTTCGCGAGTGCTGGCCGCAGATGAAGAGGCACTGGTTCCGCTGGTGCGAGTGGTTCCAGTCACCAAGCAAGAGGAGTACGTGTTGGCAGTGCTGGGCCTGTAGCATATGCTATTAAGGGGCCCTAAATAGAAACGTTAAAACATTTTTTTTACTTGCATAGTAAAGTAATTGTATTTTTTTAAATGCTATACAGTCAGATAATACGACAAATCGCTAACCTTAAACACCCAGTCATTCATAAAAGTTGAAGGCGGTATAGTGCTATCGTAATAGAGCAAGTGCAGAATCACCGAACCGGAATTGATAGCTTGAAAACATTTAGCGCGGGGCCATTGAAAGTGCGGGGACTGTAGCATTTGATACTTTTGCTACTAGGATAATCCGACACTGCGTGTTGCCCTTTGTGTATTACGGAGAGAGAGGGTAGAAGTGGCACCCGGTCTGTGCACTGCACTGAGTTTGATGCCCGGCCACAGTTAACGTCCATGGCGAGTGATATCTGAACCGGTATTTAGGCCACCCTACACCAACTCATACTAAAAAGGATGGTGAAATATGGTCAAACAACCCCATGACCCGCATCGCGTAGAGACGCTCTCATCTAGCGATGGATTGATAAAATGTCTGTACGTGTGCATAACTGTAACTCCGGGCATTGACAAGAGAACTAGTAGTGTTGTGGTGCCCCTTTGAATTAAAAAGCCACTGTCTTCCCACCAAGTGGAATTCCTACATTCCTGTACTGGAAACCTTCATTCCGCAGTGGATTGACAAAGGGGTGGTGAGCAATTGCGAGCAATATTTTTTCCATTTCAATCCCCCCCCCCCCACCCCCAGCCTAGCTCTGGTTTCCGTGCTGTGCCTCGTGTCACTCAGCCTCGACTCCTCCGTGCCCGCAGTTTGTCCGGGGCCCTCGCTCATTTCCAAGTGTCCGTGCGGGCGCTGGCGGACGGGGGCCTCCTCGGTCCGGTCTTCGACGTGGACGCCGAGGCGCGGAGTTTGGCACGCAAGGTGCTGTGTACGACCATACCCGGCCCGCCCCCCACCCCCCCCCCCCCCCCCTTATTTCTGTCCGCACACGACGAGGCTCATATCCCACTCGCGCGCATTTGCCGGGGCTGATAAATGGACACTGCGTTTGAGGCTTTGTCAACGAGTAATTAACAACACACTTTTATACAGAGTCGTTTAATGTGGCACCTAATCCTGCAGAGTCCACAAATTGTCACAATTACGGAGTCGCGATTCGATTCGAAAATCTTTTCGTTTCTACTGTCTTGTTTGTGTTATAATTTCTGTGTTGTTTGGCGTATTTGTAGCATTTTGTTCTTGCAAGCATGATGCATTGCATGTATCGCCAAAATAGGAAATTATTTTAAGGTTTTTGTGTTTGTTGTGTGTAACTCTCCGAAAGTGTTTTAGGGTTGTTACCGCATTTTATTTGGGATGATTCCCTTCTTACGTTGAGGCACATGAAACATTTTCTCTTTTGCAAGGGCAACAAGACATTTTAAGCGCACCAAACGTTTAAAAACAGTAAATTTCACAGTTTTAGATTATTTTTTAAAATAGTTTAATAAAACATCGAATAAGGCGAAGTAAAGGTGAATTATTGCACTTCAACATTTTAAGTCTACAAAAAATATTGTAAATTCTGAAAAGGAAAGTGACTTAATTTTTACAAGTAGAGGCCATGGAGAAAATTGCTCCAAATGTAAAAAAACAAATAGACTTTAGGAAGCCGCAAAACATAATGATAATGTGTCCACGTGTAGGGCTAGTGCGTGCACTGATGAACTCTCCCTGCAGGTGCCATGCGACTCGGTGGTGTCGGCGGTGGGAGTACAGAGACAAGGCCTGCTTGGGTTTACCGTGGATAGCGCCCTGCTGACGTCGGTGAGGGCACCCCAACCTCCACGCTTCTACGCCTCTTGATGATGATCATCGTCATCATGGGCCATGGTTTTTCCACCACAGGCCTCCCCATGGCATCACCATCCGTCATGATCCTGAGATATTCCACAATCCATCTCACTCCTATACGGGACCTTTCTTGTCAGTATCAAAATATAGATAATTTATTAATGTGTTTGATTATTTTACATACATATGAGAATAGGTTTTCCCCTTTTTTCTGGCAACAAAACAGGTGTTGAGATGTTAAAACACCAAACTGAAACCTTTTACAAGGAATCAATGTCGGCATTAACCACAATACTTGTGGTCAGAATGCAAAAAAAACATACTCTGATAATATATACATTGTCTTTGAAACTGATTGGTCCACACCAGAGACAGCTTTCTTTTGAGCCTCGTTCCAAACGGTGTTAGACCAGAGGACACCAAAAGGCATACAGCACAAAGACATTGCACTATCAGAGTAATGAGAGCTCGGGGTGAGCAACTACATCATACTCTGATAGTTCATTGTCTTTGTGCTGTATGCCTTTTGGCTTCCTCTGGTCTAACACCGTTTGAGATGAGGCTCAAAAGTAAGCTGTCTCTGGTGTGGACCAATCAGTTTCAAAGACAATGCATATATTATCAGAGTGTTTTTTGTTTGCATTCTGACCACAAGTATTGTGGTTAATGCAGACATGATTCCTTGTCAAAGGTTTCAGTTTGGTGTTTTAACATCTTAACACCTGTTTTATTGCCAGAAAAAAGGGGAAGACCTATTCCCATATTTTGGTACTGGCAAAGGAGGTCTCATGATATTTTACACACAATTCACACATCCTATCAGTCGCGAGGCATTGGTTAAAATGTAGACAGGAGCCAACCGAGTAGAACGATTGGCCACGTACGGTGCGAAAGAAGTTCAACGTACGTCCTTAGAGTCATTCCCTTGCCCCCTGTTTACGCTCTATTGCATCGCCGATCCTGTTCACCAGACTGTGCTGCGCAGAGTGGAGGAGGATGGAGAGTGTTTCGGAGCCACAAGCGAGCTGTTCTCTGGCCTCTCCAGGGAAAGAATAATAATCGAGTATAGGTGAGAAATTTCACTGCTCCTGACGTCAGTAAGGTTGATGGTAAAAGGTGCAGTCCTGCAATTACTTGTTCACGTTACTGCTGGTGGAAGGGCCTGCACTAGAGGGAAGCTCTACAGAGCCCCTCCATAGGGTATTGGGCCTACTCTTCCTGGTGGCCAAACATCTTGGAAGACGTGGGAATACCCACAGCTTACTCCACCACGCACGATTTTCCAATGATAGACTAACTGTGATGTGCCCATTTATACTGTAGGGTGGACAGATGGGGGCATTTTTTAACTGCCGTGCGACTTCTGCATTGCAAGCCCAGCGTGCAAACTTACTTTTAATTCAGGGTCTCTAAATGGAATGCGTTCGGATGTTTTTATCTGCAGCTCGCCTAACATCGCTAAGAAGTTCCACGCTGGGCACTTGCGGTCCACCATCATTGGTAAGCACCTGCACCGAATGTTAACTGATGAACGTGTGATTTATGCTTCATCTCTGTGCTGCTGTTGCCATTGTAAACTCTCATGCACTGTGGTGGGGGGGGGAGGGACGGGCGACGCGTGTCGTTACATCGATGATGCAACGCTCCGTCCATGTGCTCACATCTTGCTGATCTCTTCAACGAATATAAACCATCACGCGAACTCCGGTCGTCCTTGCAGTGGCTTCTGGCTAACCGTCGAACAAAGACGATCACTGCATCGGGCGCTTTCAGATTCGCTTCTGAGGCCGTTTGGAATGCTCTCCCTTCTGATATTAGGAAGCCACTGGAACTATGCACTTTTATATCTAAATTTAAAACTCATGTCTTTATAAATGCTTTTTGGGTTTAGTTTGTTGTCCTTCTCCCCGCGCCTCCGAATAGGACGGTTGGCTACGTACGGAGCGAAATAAGTTCTACACACATACGTCTCTCCCCACAGGAAACTTCCTTGCGAACCTGCATGACTTCCTGCGGCACGATGTAATTCGTATGAACTACCTTGGTGACTGGGGCATGCAGTTCGGTAGGTTCGCTCTCTCGATATTATTTTTCATGACACGATGCATGAAGGATTGCCCTCATCCTGCAATGGCTTGACAAAAGGCCTGTTGCATGTACACAATGACATTGCGAAAGTCTCCGTATCTTCTTTCTATTGAGGGGAGTATTGTTTTCTTTCAAATGCACGCAAGTTAAAAAATAACATCTAGGCCTAATTTGTTTTCTGTATTATTTCAACAATTGGCCAGGCATGCTGGGAGCTGGGTTTCAGCGTTTCGGCTCCACAGAACACCTGGAGAGGAACCCTATTCAGCACCTGTTTGAGGTGAAAGACTTCACCAGACACCTTCACCTTATCATCATAATGACTCGAGATGTGCTTTATAGTCAAGGTGACCAGCAGACAGGGCAATGCAATAAAACAATGCAGGCACGTTATAAAGGGAGCAGCTGAGTTTGATAAAGGTTAACGTATCTCATTTGAGGTCGGTGGTAAAATCACCATCATTATCTCATGGTTGCTGACACTACTGCAGTCCTGAGCTTATAATCGTCACTAATGAATCCTTATTGGCTCATGAATAAATCTTGAATGATCTAGTAGAGGACTGGGGAATCTACCTCCTGCGGGCCATACTTTTACGTATTTATGTTGAACTTCTTTCGCACCTTACGGAGCCAACCGTGCTAATCTGAGGTGCGAAGTTTATTGAAACTTCCAATAGCGAAAGCTGCTCCAAATTCATAAAGCCCACGAAATGGCCCACAAACGAATCTCAGCCGCTTGTTTACTTCAGAACTGCAGCCTGACACGAATGTGCTGGTGCGAAGAAAGCAGCTACAGGCATCGCATTGGTGCGGTTAAGCTTCTTTAATTGAATAACGCTCATGCGTGTTTAAAGGCATGGCTCGCCAAAGCCTAGTTAAGCACTTTAAGCAAAGGGCTCCCCACCTCTGGTCTAGGATGCCACAATCTATGTGCAACACTCCAGGGCATCTCGAGATGTTAACCATTTCGCCTGGTATACAGGTCGTGAGTTCGATTCCGAACCCTGACACCTGTATATTTGGAGTTTGCGTGTCTCTCCCCGTGGTCGCGTGGATTATTCTCTAGATTCTGCAGTTTTTCCCTCCACATTAAGAAACATGTGTTTAGAGTATATTCAGTTGCTGTAAATTTACACACAATAAGCCACTTTGTTGAGCGATAATTTGTGGCCGTGTCCCTTCTGAAAAAGAGCTACGTACAGTGAGGGAAAAAAGTATTTGATCCCCTGCTGATTTTGTACGTTTGCCCACTGACAATGAAATGATCAGTCTATAATTTTAATGGTAGGTTTATTTGAACAGTGAGATACAGACTAACAACAACAAAAATCCAGAAAAACGCATGTCAAAAATTTAATAAAATGATTTGCATTTTAATGAGGGAAGTAAGTATTTGATCCCCTCTCAATCAGATTTCTGGCTCGTAATCTCAGCTCGTTACCTGTATAAAAGACACCTGGGAGCCAGAAATCTTTCTGATTGAAAGGGGGTCAAATACTTATTTCCCTCATTAAAATGCAAATAAATGTATAACATTTTTGACATGCGTTTTTCTGGATTTTGTTGTTATTCTGTCTCTCACTGTTCAAATAAACCTACCATTAAAATTATAGACTGATCATTTCTTTGTCAGTGGGCGAACGTACAAAATTAGCAGGGGATCAAATACTTTTTTCCCTCACTGTAGCTCAGTCGGTCTTAACTGGCAAAATAATAAATAATTTAGTTTTGTCTCGTGTTTTACATTGCATGAAAGGACGCTGAATTGATGACTGTTGTCTTAAATGCCTCGCCCTGCCAGGTGTATGTGCAAGCGAACCGCGCAGCCAAGGACGATCCGGCGCTGGAACAGGAAGCGCGAATCTTCTTGCGGAGCCTGGAGGACGGCGGAGACGAGGCTCTGTCTCTGTGGCGGAAATTCCGTGCGCTCAGCGTGGAGAATTACAGCATGACGTACCAGGTATTGACCCGCACCACGCAAGAGGATCATATCAGAGTGAGGCAGATTGGGTAGGCAGTCGTGTCCTCAACGTAGAAATGGCCTTGCTGAGTGTCAAGGCTGTGTTTTTAGAAGGGCCCTGCACTGGGGCGATGTGACCACTTTGTTCTTTACAAAATTGTAAATATTAGGGGGAAAACGCTCAAATACTTGAATGGGACAGGCCAAGAATCCCTTTGCTGCATGCGGCTATCATGCTTGCATTGACGGAACAAAGAAAATTGAGCCATGTTCCACTAATCCCACTTCATTCAGAGGCATAGTTTGACAAAAATAGGAAAGTTTGACAAAAACAGGCCATGACAATTTCAAAATATCACTCAAGTTTTTATGACATTGCAATGGCTTTTTTTATCTTGAAGAAAGTTTTTATTTGTCATGCTTGTCATTTTCCAGACAAGCTCTCGTGTGAACGTTCCCGTGTTTTTGTCGTCTTGCTCTCAATGCCCCTCCCCAAGCGGCTGGCAGTGCGGTTTGACGAGTACTCAGGCGAGTCCCTCTACAGGGACAAGGCCCAGGACGTGGTGTCACGGCTGAAGGAACTGGGCCTCTTCACAACAACCGAGTAAGACGGCAGCAAATACAAATATCCCCCCGTATAGCCTTAAAATAGGCTGTAGGAGCAAGTGCTGTTAGCGAGCACCTATGAAGGGTTATGGTTAGGGTGGGGCAGTGGCTTAGAGGTTAGCGTGCTGCGCTACGAACCCGGCGACCCGGGTTTGATTCCCGCTCATGGTCAACACCAGTGACGATTATCTGAACCGGTCCTGGGCCTCCCCTAGTCGACTCAGCCTCAATTGAGTGCCTGGAACGGTACGTAAAGATCGCCACTGGGAAGGCAAAGGCAGCCGGGCGTGGTGCTGGCCTCCCACCCCTTATTGTGCCGTGTCGGCTATCATAGGTGAGACAACAGCACAGAAAAAGCAAAGATTTCATTTTTTATGTCAGTACACACACACACACAGAGTGGCCCTCGCTCCTAAAGGTTTATACCCCTTTTCCACTCGCACATCCGAGCCGAGCAAACACAGGGCCCTCACGGTACGGATGGTTTTCCACTGGCTGTTTGCTGTGACAGAGCCATGATATGTTATGTTAGGCTGACAAGACCGTGGTCAAGCAGGGCCATAGGCCAGGCTAATGCGACGTCAGTGCAGCACAGAGCGTCACCGCATTGGCTCGCTCATTGCGTGTGATGTCGGTCGACTAACGAGGCGACGGCATCATCGCGTCGTCTACATGCGTATGGACTCGTTGATCGCATGTACAGCCCTGGCGCTTCCTGAGCTGTGTTGGGCTGCTTGGCCTAGCCCAACTGTGGCTCGGTTGCGCAGGGGATGAAAAGTTAAAGTGACTCGGCATCGATGTTGTCGAGTTGCACCAAGGAGGAATGCGTGAGTATCCGTGTGTGTCACCAGGCAGGGCACGGGGGTGGTGGATCTGTCGCCGGGACGTGACATGACCTCACTCGCCACGCTCACGCGAAGCGACGGCTCCTCCCTCTACCTGACCAGGTGTGTGGAGCAGGGCGGTGGGGCGGTGGGATGGTGAGACGGTGGGGCAGTGGGAATGTCGTGCGAAGTGGTGTTCTGTACCCTACAGAGACGTACGGCTTATTTTATAAAACGATATATAAGAGACAGCCTGTAGTGACACCAGCTTGTAATATAGAGACACAGTCTGGAGCAACACCATTAATGCATTCATTCATTGATCAATATTGATTCTTAGGCATTTGATATATAAATTAAATTATATGTGTGAGAAACATTTTTTTTTGTACGGCTGGCAACACCCACAGACCTTACGAAGAGTTGTATTCTGCAGTGAACACTATCAACCAGTAATAAAAAAATCATACAGGGCAAACACGGTACAGGCAGTCAGTAAGGGAAAGGTTGCACACACCCCTGTGGTACAGGACGCTTGAGCAGTGCGCAAGCGTTGAGCGTTGAGAGGCATACGTGTCTGCTTTGTGTTGTGTGCTCATTCTAACCAACACAGGGACATAGCGGCTGCTGTTGACCGCATGGATCGCTATTGCTTCGACAAAATGGTCTACGTGGTGAGTGGACTCGCCTCCCCCTCGTGCTCCCTTGCCCACTCTTGTGCAGGTGTTTGTGCGCTCGGCTATAAACGTCGGTGCCTCGGGGGACCGAGCTAATTTCTACGCTGTGTCTGCCCGCTCGTGTCTCGTGCAGACGGACAAAGGGCAGGAGGGACACTTCCGCCAGGTGTTCGAGACCCTGAGGCTCATGGGAAATGGCTGGACGGATCGGTAGGGAACTTTTAACAGCACAGTTTGGGGACATTGCAAATTTTCTCAAATTTGGGGTGCCTGCAAGCGACCTCTGGTCTACATGGCAGGGGGCACCACTTTTTTACCTTCACTGCTGCAGAGAGCGAGACAGTAAAATTAAATGTGGTGTTTTAATTTTGTGTAGTCATTGGTGAGCTGGCTGAGATCATCAACTCACTGTACTTGAGAACCCAGTTTAATCACTGGTGGCAGCCTTTATTCAAACCTAGGAACTCGGCGATGCCACCTCAATGCTCTGTACTCTGAGCCACCTGGCCACCAAAGCAGGACCAACGACCATTTTACAATTTGAGGTGGTATTGGGGAATGCCTTCATCCAGCAGTGGATTATCAATGGCTGTCAGCCAGCCGCTGCACTTATCTTCACAAATAGACATTTAAAGATAAGCCACATAATGACTACGGCCATGCAACCCAGACTATGGACCATATAAGTAAGCCACTGTAGCCTGCGCTCCTTCAATGGAGGGACGGCAAAACTACGCACACAAAATCTTTCCTGAAGCCCTCTCGTGGCTAGCAGACCTCGACGATGGCATTGAGTTCCTGAACGTATTGCCACTGTACACAAAAGTAGAATGTTGATCACAATGCGGCTGCCTCCACCAGGTGCGTTCACGTGGGCTTTGGCCTGGTGCAGGGCATGAAGACGCGGAGGGGCGACGTCGTCTTCCTTGAGGACGTGCTGGACGAGGCCCAGGCCAGGATGAGGCAGAACATGGACTCCACGTCCAGTGAGTGCCGCGCAGGCAGACCGTACACGTCTTGTTGAACCCCCCCCCAACCCCCCGCTGTGTTCCGGGGAACCAGGCAATTTCCCCCGTGTTGCGGGGAAACAGGCAATACGGTAGCATTGTAAAAATCACATGATACTTGAGTTACTGGCCAATTTTACATTTTATGGCAAAATAGCCAGTGGAAAAAAAACACCTACACTGTTAGGGCCCCACACTGGCTCGGCTCCGATGCCCATGGGAAAGGGGTAATGCATCATATGCCTTCAGGCCTGTACTCGGGCAACTGCAATAAAGAGTAAACCCCTTATGACAGCCTAACTGACGTTTTTTTAAAATCTCAAGAGCTGCCCTGCCATTGACAACACTCGTGCCCACGCTACGTGACCTTTCGAACCGAGCTTCGCCGAAGCAGTGGCCACGTTTCTGATTTGATTCTTCGCAGCCACCAAGGAGCTGGATGACCCAGAGGGCACGGCAGAGAAGCTCGGCATTGCCGCCATCATTATTCAGGTGCCCTCCTACACAATTCCATCTGCTGCGTTGCATTGGCCACTGCACAGACACACACACCCACCGCTCGTGCTCCAACCTGAAGCCCCGCTCGCCTCATTGCGTTGGTCAGGACTTCCAGGGTGACCTCAAAAAAGGCTACAAGTTCGACTGGGCCCGAGTACTGCAGAGCCGAGGCGACACGGGTGTCTTCCTGCAGTACACACACGCGCGTCTCTGCAGGTGGGTGACTATCGTAGCACATGCTTCCGCGGATTTGTGCGACATGCCCCTTGCGTTACGCTACTTGCACAGATCGTGCTGGATTCCTCGATTAATATGCGACATGCGATACGATCTCGCGGTGTGTCAGTTGAAAGAATGGGCAAGGTTCTTAAATGCCCCAGCCTCTCTTCACCCGGCGTTATAAATAGGTACATCTGTTATTCGATCGGCAGGCCGTGTGTGGTGGGGTAAAGTGTGGGTACCCCCAGAGTCGACTGGCAGGCCAGCCAAAGTGGTTTTTGGCTGAAATGAGCATGGGGGCGGTGCTCATCTCATGTTTACAGCCTTGAACCATTGGTGGAAATTCCACATTCCTACGGATGGGGAGGGGGAATTGTTTATAGAGAAAACCTCGTCCAATTCCTACCAAGTTAAAGGGCTGATGCAAACGAACACATGGTCATTTGCACGGGTGCCACTGTTGTTCATTGACTGTAGTCTGGAGAGGAGCTGTGGGGTGGCGCTGGGAAAGGAGTTCAGTCCAAGCCACCTGCAAGAGAGCCCCGCGCCAGCGCTGGTGCAGCACCTGATGCGGTAGCTTGAGCATGCACAGACATGGACATGCACGCACTGAGACACAAGCACGCCTATGCACAGACGCGCACGCACAGACACACACCACACACGCATGGACGCGCACACACTGATACGCGCATGGACACACGCATGCACGGACACACACATGGACACGTACAACAACTGCCATTCGCCACTAAGTGGCGGTGACATCACCACGGCGCTTGTGCCAGGCTATGTGCACGTTAAGGCCACGTGAAGTGCACGCGGCAGATCCAGATGCCATGGGTCGACTGACTGAGACGACTGGCCGACACGTATACGCGCACAGACACATGCGCGGAAACACACGCACAGAAACGCAGGTCCCTACGCGGTGCCAGCTGAGAGTTGCCATTGGAAATATCTTCAACCGAGGCTTCGTGGTAACCTCACCATTGTCAGCATTGTTTAGCTTAGTCATAATAAGTTCATGAATTCGTTTTACAAAGTGCCTTTCAAAAAAAATCACGAAGCCCTGAACAATTAAGCGGCAGTATTATGGCCACACGAGAAGTAGTCCGAGCTCAACGGATAAGAGAGAGACGTTTGGGAGCAGTAACAAATGTGGAGAGAGAACCAAAAGCAACAGAAAAAAAGGAATGTCAAGGCATGCCTTGAAAATATCAGAAGAGGCTGTCATTGGCATCAGCAGCATCACTCATGGCCCTTGGTCTGCTCGACGACAACCTGTGGTGCTTTAGTCAAGCCTTCGTGGATTTCATGGAGTCCTTCAATTCGTGTATGTATGTAGAACTTATTTCGCACCGTACGTAGCCAACCGTGCTAATCGGACGTGCGGGGGGACCGCTCGGTCATCGGTGATCAGAATAAGAAACTTATTTTTTGACAAATAATTTTCGGCAACAATGACATCGGATGTTGCTCACGACCGCGCGTGTCTGTGCGCGGGGCGGCCGCAGCTACGACGAGGCGGTGGAGGAGGCGGCGTGCGAGCTGCAGCCTCGACCGCTGGTGCAGTTCCTCTTCACGCTCAGGTGATGCAAGTCCACAGGTCGCCCGGTCGCCGGCTCTGCTCTCTTTACACCTGGGTGTGCCAATAATGCGGAGCGTTGAGTAAAAACGAGCCCTACGTCGTTGGCAGCGGCAGCCGAATCGTATCATTCGATGTCATCCGATTCTTGTACTCGTATGCATCGAATTGTTTGTGTAACAATCGATTTTGTCGGATGTCAATTATATGCTTATTTATATTCGTATTATATAAAGGCTAATATACTTCTATTCCCCCGGGTCTTTGACCCTGCCTTTACAAAGCCTGGCGAAGTATACTCAATCCCCCACAAGCCAAATGGTGTGGTGAGGCCCCCAGCCAGGTGGACTGAGAAGAGGAGGGGCTGTTGTTTATTAAGGATGACAATTTGTTTAGAGGTCCCCACCAGATGGGCAATTCGTTCAGGGGGCAATCCCGACTGAAATAAGCTCTGGTGGCTGCACGAATATTAAGGGCATATCTACAGCATAGTCCACATTGCACAGTTGTACGAATGTATGTTAAAATTATTTTGCACCATACGTCGCTGCACCTTTAAAGAACGCAATACACTCCGTTAAAGTAGACCGTACTTGCGGGTGTAATAAGCGCACCGTTGTGTTTTCCCATGGCAGTCGGTTGGCAGCGGTGGCTCACCGGAACCTTCCTGTCAAGGGGATGCCCTCCGATCTCGCCCAGGTGAGCCAACCTGAGTCCGTGACGCAGCCCTACGCCCAGGGCCGGATTACGATGTTGTAGGCCCCTGGGCTACAGGTACTGTGAGGCCCCCAGTAATATTTTCAAAAGGAAAACAAAGTTAAGGAAAAATGAAATTTCTCTTTACATGACTAACAGCAAATAAAATTCAGCATTCACAAATTAAATAACTTTTCACTTAATCTCTGGAGGCCCTCCAGCTAGCGGAGGCCCCTGGGCTGCAGCCCCCTAAAGCCCCCGTGCCTTAATCCGGCCCTGCCTACGCCACACGCTCTGTACCAGCCTGGATCTTGCCCGCACATTGTCATCATAATGGTCATGACTCACTCCTGCAGCGGTGTTCGCAGTTGTGCTTCACGGCCCTCCGACGTGTTTGCGGGTAAAGCGCGGGTGCTCCCACTTCGTTAAAGGCGTCCGGCCAGCGTGGAAGAGGGAGCCAAATAACCCCTTGGGATGACTTCTCTGGAGGTCCCGCGAGTGGAGTCAATCACGCCAGCAGTGTGGCATGAGCAAAGCAATTGCAGGGCTACACCTCTACCCTTATTGTTCTTTGTCGGTAGGCTCGTCTTTACTGTGGCAAGAGGGGCGCCACGGTGGCAAGATGTTAACTACCTCGCCTGGTATACAGGAGGGTGTAGCTTCGATCCCGACCCTGACACCTGTATATTTGGAGTTTGCGTGTTCTCCCCGTGATCGCGTGGATTTCCTCCGGGCCCTCCGGTGTTTCCCTCCACATTTTCCCCGCCACATTTTCCCCGCCACATTGTGGCCAGGTCGCTTCTGAAAAAGTGCTCGGTGGGCCCTACACCTGGTTAAAATAAACAAATTCGTTTCGTCTTAACCATTGTTATCGTGTCGCCATGGGGGGGGGGGGACGCAGGCCAGGCTGCACCTGTTTGTGGCGACGCGCTCTGTCCTCGCCCGTGGACTGCGGCTGCTGGGCATCGTCCCCGTCGACCGCATGTGACGGCGCCGTTCGCTTCTGCGGCAGCTCCGGGCGGCTACAGCTTCAAGACGATCGCCAGGCGGCGGGCGGGGAGACGGGATTGTCGCAGTGACGGCGGGGGCAGGAGGGGGTTACCATCACTCGCGGAGACTGAGGTGTCTACGTTCGCAACAGGGCCACGTGGGAGCGGCAACCTGCAACAGCCGACTCGATCCAATGTCGACGATGTTGATACAGAGTCAGAATATTTATTTATACTGGAGGAATTCGATGAGCTATTGAGCTTTGTTTCACAGATGTCCAGAAATGGGGAGGCGGTGGCACAAATGTGGCGATGCTCAGGTACTCCGACTTCTGGCTACAGGAGTTGGAATCCTGCCCGTGGATTCAGTGCAGTGGGGCAAATCGGAGCGTCCGCACGAATTGTCAGGGAAGTTCTTGGCCAGACTGGCTGCGTGTGCGTGACCAATGAAGCCAGCAGAAGAACGACAAACACAGCTTGCACACACTGCAATAACTCCCCCCGGAGAAAAAGCTCATGGGAAGACAAACATCGTTATCTTCCACGAGAATCGTGCCAGTTATCTAGCAGGAAAAGCCTCACGAAGTCTGAAGACTCTTTTTCATAAGGATCCAACATTGGGATGTTTAACCAATAGCATGAATGAGCATTTGGCTTCTTGATGTGGGAGGAAGCCGGAGAGCCGAGACAAAAAACGTCCATGCATATTAGTGGGTGACACTCAGCCCTGCCATCTCCTGGTCACACCTCGCAGCCACACGCCTTCCACACGTAGCAAGCCCCGGTGGTTACTGATCCGCTAACCAGGCTTGTCAGAACTGATGCAGGTTGAATATTTTTATGATGATTTTGTCATAAGCATTCCATTGAGTTTTATCGAATTTAAAAAAATTTAAGTAATGAAATGTGTGCATTGTATTTCATTGGAACATTGCAAAGGTATATTATATTCCATAATAATTCCATGTAGTTGGAATTTACGTGGATAGTCGTGGTCTGTTCTTTAATAAATATAAATTCATAGAGTGTTCTTTGAAGGGCTTGTCCACATGGACCGGTGTTGAGAGAGAACATTTTGGAATCATTAAAATCTACACTCCCCGGCACGCACACGATTAAATTAGCTGCACTGCGGCTGTTTCGTAGGTAAATAACGACGAAAATATACACTAAACGATGGTAGTATTCAATCCAGATCGCCTTTGTGAAATGTGTGCAATGGAATTTCCCAAATGTTACATCCATATCCACATTTTCGAACGGTGAATGTACCTGTTTTAGAAGTCGAATTTTGGCCTCTAGTTTTCCTTGCTGGGTTTTGGAGTACACTGAGGATATTCAGACCAATTAATAATAGGATCAACAGGCAACAGTGGAAACCAAACGACGGAGGTGTGCTTTTTTGTCCGTCTCGGGAGAGTATACCCGTCTGAGCTGGCTGCGTGTGTTACAGAAGTGTCTGTCCTTTCATCCAATTTGGCTGGGCCAGAGGGAAATCTATTACTAAAATTGGGGGGGGGGACGAATAACAATTTGGTGGAGCCATTGTTGCCTTGGTTACGAGTTGCCTTGTAATTGGACGAGATCACTGCACGGAGCAGCGGACCACGGCCACTTGCAAAAAGCAGCCACTTACGACGGCAGAAGGACCCCCCTTGTACAGCCTCTACCACACGGTCGGTAATTTAACCATACTTCACTACGCTGATCCATGCAGGTCGGTGAAGGAAGTATCTGCACCCACCCAGGTCCGGTTTCGATCTCGAAAGTTACATAAGCCGTGGCCAGGAATCAAACTGGTCGCTGGGTTCGGTAAAGTCACGTAGGTAAAAAATAAAACAAAAATCACGACGTTTCGGCCACAACACAAGCGGCCTTCATCAGGTGAAGGGACCAGACTGTCTCGAGGACAGCGCTCGAGTGAAACAGCCAAGCTCAGACCGCGACCTTTAAGCTGTGTGAGAGTAATTAAGGTGCCTTAACAAAGGAATTAGCACAGGTCGACCCCCTCCCTACCTTTCATCATGCTATGTCCGCCTATTAAATGCAAATGTTTATGCTAATTCCTTTGTCAAGGCACCTTAATTACTCTCACAAAGCTTAAAGGTCGCGGTCTGAGCGTGGCTGTTTTTCACTCCAGCGCTGTCCTCGAGACAGTCTGGTCCCTTCACCTGATGAAGGCCGCTTGTGTTGTGGCCGAAACGTCGTGATTTTTGTTTTATTTTTTACCTACGTGACTTTACCGAATAGAACCAAAGAGTATGAATCCTTGCAGTCACGCAAGCTTCAAATCTAGAATTGGTCGCTGGGTTCATAGCTGCAGTGCGCGGACGAAACACGGTGCCACCACTTGCACCGCTCGTCAACACATTGACGTTCATGAAATCCCACAGATGTACAACTTCGCAATGTTTAATAAACTGAAGTTTGAACAACGAACATTTCTCATGTCGCGTCTGTGATGTGTCTGGTTTGCCAGTGATGTTCCTGCGACGTGGCTGTAATTTATAATCAGTGACGTACTGGGGATCTGCTTGTGATGTGTCGGTGATGTGTCTGTAAAGTGGTTGCGCTGTGTCGGTGGTGTGCTGTGATGTGTCCGTTGTCTGTTAAATTTGTGATGTCAAAAGTTGGAAGGCGAATTGAAATCGGGCTTCAGATCTCTCATCCAATGCAGCTTCATTAAGGATTTTAGTTCGAATAAAGATTCGCCCTGTCCCTAGGATGGGCTGGTAGTTAGGTTGTATTTATATACCACAGTATATGAATACAATATTTGGGGTATATGGGCACAGGAGCATCTTCTTTGTTGGAGAGAGATCTCAGTGTCCCCCCGGGTTCATAACATAGCATCGAGCTCTGGTTAGTATCCGAGGAGCACCAAAGTCATATAAACAAAAATTGCACTAGATCAATCATTGCCTCTGGTGGCTGGGTGGAGAGTGTGTAGAGTTAGAAAGTTAGAAGGTTAAGAAGCGTACACAGGTTCAAATCCACCAATGTAATTTTTTCTTAACTATTTTGTAATTAAACAATATTATGAAAAAAAATAAGCGGGGTTTGAACTCGTTGACTCAGCCTCACTCTTCCACACAATTCCGCACACTCCACTCACCACCAGAGGCTCGCCTCTATTGAAATCTTGCTGTACGCTTTAAGACTGAGACTCGTGTGCAACTGGCAGATGACTTAAACAGGACTTGAATTTAAGTCTCAGTTATATACATCACCGCTCCTGTAAGTCTTGCCCAGCCTACAGTGGCTAATGCAGTGATTGTGTCCTATTTGAAATACCTCGATTGAAATCCAGAAAAAGAAATTTCACTTTTTTTATGTAGCGTAGCAAACGTATAATTGGTTTGGAATCCCACCAAGTCCTGTTTTGTCATTATTTTCGGTGTATGCGATGAAACCATCGCACTTTTATTGCTGCATTAATGCACAGTGAAAGGACTTGGGTGTACACATCCACACTGGGTCTTCGTGCAGCTCCATGGCGCAGCAAAGCAGCACCTGGGGCTACAAGCTTCGGAGGTTACCAGGTTCAAATCCTGCACGCAATAGCCGTGGGAAATAACAAAGAACTAACGGGTGTGACTGCGGGCAAGTGGAATGCGTGATTAACGTTTGTTCCTGTCTCTCGATGTGATACAGGTAAGTGAACTGTCAATAACCATGCGTGTACGTCCCTTTCTCTCTAGGTAATGCAGGTGTCTAGCGGTGACCTGCAGAGATGAGGAAATCGATTTTCTCAAAATATTGTGTAAAAAAACTAGGGGCGCTGTTCCACCAGTTGCACCACCCACTACTTCTATAGCCCCGCTCTCTACCCCCCCAGAGTCATGCAGTGAGCATTACGCAAAATAATCTTTAAACTAGGGGGGGGGGGGAAATCGAAGTTTTCTGCAAAACTTCGGGCACACAGGAACGGCCTCTAAAGACGCGACATTCCCAGCCTAACCGGGACATGTGCTCGCCTTCATGAATGTCCCTTTAATGGGTTTATTGTATTATAATCAGGTGCTCTGAGCAGCACAGAATTTTTTTTATAGCAATCCTACGCTGCACAGTAAACTGCGAACAACCCTTACGGGACAGTTCAGGACTATGTATGTTGGTCTTCTTTCGTACCGTACGTAGCCAACCGTGCTAATCGGAGGTGCGGGAGGATGAGCATCGGGCCAAGTTGAACCTTTCCATTCATAAAGATGCCAGACACAAAGCACGGTGCAACTCCTTTCGAATTGTATACAGCATTGTTTAATTATCGTTGGTCAAGTCATCAAGTGTGCTGGTCTGCCGAGCAAGGAAGCCGAGGCTACTCATCTGCTGTGGTCCATCCACTGCTGGATGAAAGCTTCCCGACACCGACGCTATCCCACCAACAACAACAACCCCTGCGATGCAGTAAATGCAACGAGCATCCTTGCACGCGGGGCCCATTCCATCGCTCCACCTCGGCACCCACGAGGGCATCCAGTGCAGAGACGGAGCGATGGCATTGGAGCGTGCGCGCAGGTTGCTGGAGCGTTGCACCTTGGGAGCGTGACGGATGGCGGCAACTGGGGTGATCTTTCGTGCGGCAGCGGATTGTGTCAATACCGGTTCTTTGTTTTTGTTACGGACTGTATATTCCTAAGCTACAATCGATCGTCCTGTGCCAGTTTTAACGCTAGTTCCGTTAAGTTCCATGCACGGTTCAAGCTGTAAAAAAAAAAAAATCGCATGGTTGTTTTACCAAGCACCAGTTTTTGTGAGCTGTAGAATCAACCGACTGATTAAATATGAGCGTACACAGGATTCACCAACACAATAAAATAACTTTAAAAAAACGAATTCCAAAACCACCTTTTAATCACTTCCCCCAGATGCTTTCCGACCAACACCCACTCCACATGACATCGTAAAGTGCGCACACTTTACAAAAAGCCCCTATAAATCAGCATCTAGATATAAATACGGTATTTTTTGCGGGTCTCGCGATGTTTATGCTTTGGAATTGGTCAATTGGATGCAATTATTTGACACACGCCCAACACGAGTGCAAAAGGCATGGTTCAGTTGTTTATGTGGGATTTTCCATGCTAGGCTTGCTGCAATGAAAAGCAAAATTAATTGACCAAAGCTTTGTGCACATCACGGGGGTTATATGTCCACCTTAATCTACAAGTACACCACAGTAATAAACCTTTAAAAGTGGATCAATCTACAATCTATTAGGCCAACAAACGTAGTCGTATTTCAAACAAGGATTACCCTTACATTAGCCATTCTTGAAATGCTTTTTGTACGCCTGTCCAGCAGAGAGAACTGCAATACAATCCAAAAATAACTTTTAATAAAAGCATTGCACACAGGATTATCCAAATACCACCCCGTCAAAGTTTGTTTAAAAGTGTTTGTCTATAAATCAAGAGGTAATTTCTGTGCGCCGAATTGGCGTTTCAGGAGGGATACTGAACGACTCAAAATGACGTTGGATTTTTTTGTTTCTCTAAAACTGAACTCGGACCGTCTGTGTGGTGTAGCGTGTGTGGAGCGAACCACGTCAGCCTCATCAACCTAGAGCCCAGGAGCCCGTTAATGAGGCCTCCGTCGGGTGCGGCCACACTATAGAAGTTGGAGGTGTCCTACTAGGGAATGGTTCCCTGTGGTTATTGGTTAGATTACAGACAGGGTCCGTGATGTGTACCACAACCCACCACTCCTCACCCCGCTATGCATGAGAGCGCTCCTGCACCATGATATTAAATATACGCAACTACCGGCTACTGACTTGACACCGAGCCTCATTGTTCATGAGCTGCTCTGCGTTAAAAAAAATAAGTGCCGTAGTCAACACCTTGAATGTGGACCAATCAAAAATACCATTCTTGTCCAACATTGTGGCTACCTCTTGATATTTAACGTTTTTTAGCGGTGTCTGGACTCGCATGCCAAACAGTAGTTGCACCCTGTAGTTGGTTACATGATATGTCACGAGTGACATTTAGTCCGTTTTTTTGCAATGTAAATTTAGTGTAACGGTGAAATCTCACATTCTGAATTGTATGAAACTGGCCACAGGTCAAGGTTCAGTGCCTAGTTCTGCCATGAATAAAACGCAATCCAGCGACGCAAACCCAAAATACCCGGCGCACAGCGTGAAACGCCTGCAGGAGTGGAGGTGTATAAATCACGGTGGACCACGCTTGTGTAAAACCCCCAAGAGTGCGTGATCTTTTATGAGAGAAAGAAACTCACAATGTAACTGGCCAAACTTTCTCACACTTAACAATTTACCTGCTTTAATTACTCAACTGTGACAACACGTAGCAGCAACCCCCGCCGTCTTTGAAAAATTGGCAGGGACCCTCTTGGAAAAAAAAGAGTGTTGGGCAAAGTGCAGCCTCCCGGAGTAAACAAGCATTGTAAGAATGATGATGATAAAGCTAGGTAGTGTTTTTATTTTGTTAAATCAGAATAACATTTTAAAATAATTAATATTAAAAGTTCAGTTGCCTAAACAGATCAACATTTGTAAATCTACTGCTTTTAGTTGTTGTTTTCCTTTTACCGATACACTAATTCTAATTGTGCTTTTGGGCACAATTGCACATCAGCATAAGCGGTCTCTCTGAGGTATGACTGTGGAGATTTTTTTTACAGGATCTCTCACAAACCAATCTTTCCGAGTGGCCTCTGTTATCCATGACCCAGTACGGGTCACTTTTCCACACACTCTACAGTGAGGTTATCACGACAGTAAAACACCATCTATTTAACTCTCCAAGATGCAATGAAGCAAAGTGCAAAGCCAAACGTGTATTTTTGTTGTGTACTCATTGATGACCGCTGTGCTTGAGAACCCGGTCTCACCACGGGTGACTGATTATATTTTCACCGAGGGATATCAGCAAGGTCTGGTTCAGCGTTGACCTTCAACACACCCGGCCACCCTGACTATACAAAGTTTACACTTCACACGCCAATGGGAAATAAAAAAAAACAAATAAAAACCAACCTTTACGTATGATGACTTTAAAATCTTGACCAGTTACTGACCCAAGTGATCCAGTGTTTACATAGAAATTACCTTGTGATGAGGCTTACAAATCAAATGAGTGAAACAGTACCTGCACTTTTTAGACTTATCCCCACAATCAACGTTTCTCCCAGACGACCGACAACTTTACGATTAAAAGTTTTCCCACGGACACCACTTCGTCGCAGCGCATGACTCACGATTACGTACAGACACACAGAGGGCTGAGCGAGCCGCTACAGAAGCGTACATTACTAGCCCGGGTGGCGGCCCGTACTCGTGTTACTCACCAAGGCCGCAAAACAGAACCGCACTGAACCGAGCTTCGGCTTGCGGTCGAACACGGCAAGAGTTTTACTTCATCGCAAGCGAGTCCACGCATCGTTATTTGACCACTTACGCCGCTATTTCAGCATCATCACGAATTCACCTTTAGCCGCGTGGTCCAAAACACAAGTTAGGTGGGTGGGAGGGGGGGGGGGCAGAAATATCCCTTGAAATACTGCCCCCGGTGCCACGACGGAGTGTCGACAAAGACCCTTATCGAGAAAAGTCTCCAATGCCGAGCTGCAGTGGGGATATTGGAACACGCGTCGGACATTTCCCAATCCACGTAGATTCTGTTTGTGTCTTTACGGGCGTGACTGATGGGCAGCGGTGGCGGTAGTGGCAGTGGCGGGAGACGGTGGTTCGTCTCAGATGGAAGTGCTCGGCTTCCTGTGCTCCGCTTCGCTCCCAGGGGGCGGCGTCAGCTTGGTGGTGTCGGTGCGCGGCAAGCCGTACATGTAGATGGAGAGGCACACCAGGAACGTGCCCACCATGAACAAAAGGCCTGCAGTCACCACGGCACAACACGACGGAGCACTGAAATGGCACCTGGCGGCGTTTCTTGTCGCGGTGTTCCCTCACAGGTTTCACTGCTCCCTCCCTCGACCGTTGCCCAAAACGCCTCGTTTCTCACCACCATCTGCAGTGCCGCAATTTCCTCGCGTTTTAACAAGGGGATGACATATTCTTGGTTCTTTCGGTAAAGTCACGTAGAAGGGAAACAATAAAATAAATACAAATAAATAAAAAATAAATTGTATTGTTTCCCTTCTACGTGACTTTACCGAAAGAACCAAGAATATGAATCCCTGCAGTCACGAAAGCTTTAAATCAAAAGGGGATGAAACTGAAGTGACCAGAGACCACAACTGAAGCAATGGGAGAATACGCTCCACAGCAGCACAAGGAATGGCCTGGCAAAACCTCCTTACTGTGCCGTTCTCTACAGGCATCTCGCTGTTTTTTAAAAGCAAATTGTCCTGCACCTCCGATTAGCATGGTTGGCTACGTACGGTGCAAAAGATGTTCGACATACATACATACATCGCGTGCACACAATCGCCACATCTCTGTGTGATCCACCAAGAAGTAATGTTAATGTGTCGAGCTACTTAAAAGTGATCCCTATCAGATATTATGAAGGCTGTAATTGGAGAAAGCAATGGGCTTCATAACATTATGGGAGAGAAATCTTGGTGTGTGCAATGAGGCTCTGTACAAGCAACTTGTGTTATATTCTTGGTTCTTTCGGTAACGTCACGTAGAAGGGAAATAATGAAATAATAAATAATAAAATTATACAAATAAAAGTTTCGATTGCAACATAAGCAATCATCATCAGGTGTGAAAACCACGGCAATAAAAAAATTCAAAACATTTCTTGCTGAACCAAGAATGTGAATCCCTGCAGTCACGAAGGCTTTAAACCGAAACTTGTGTTATGGTGAAACTATTAGTGGCATAGCAGCTCGCTCATTGTCCGAGCCACGCTATGAGGAACAGAAGCCTATGATAGGCTGAAGAGGAGGAGTCAGGCTGTGTGAGAAGATCTCAAGAAGGCCCCCCCCCCCATTGACAGGGAGAGGGCCGTCGGATTTCTTTACGATGCCCACTTCTGCAAATACGGCGGGGGTCACATCCAACTACATTCTAGTTAGTTATTTCAATGCTAAATTCTCCTGTTTGATTTGTACTAGGTGCCTCTGTGAATGTGTATGCTCTGACTTTAACATAGCTATTTCTGTGACCAGTCACAAGCTAATCACTCGGCTATTTCAATGCTAAATTCTATGCTAATTCCTTTGTCAAGGGGTGCCTCTGCGGATGTGTATGCTTTAACTTAGCTATTTCATTGCTAAATTCTATGCTAATTCCTTTGTCAAGGGGTGCCTCTGCAGATGTGTATGCTTTAACTTTTAAAATAGCCATTTCTGTGACCAGTCACAAGCTAATCACTCAGCTATTTCAATGCTAAATTCTATGCTAATTCCTTTTGTCAAGGCGCTTTGTTTCTTCTCACACAGCTTAAAGGTCGCGATCTGAGCGTGGCTTTTTTGCTCCAGCGCTGTCCTCCAGACAGTCTCGTCCCTTCACCTGATGAAGGCCGCTTGTGTTGTGGCCGAAACGTCGTGCAAATTTTATTGTGTAATTTTATTTTATCAATTTATTATTTTATTCTCATTCTACGTGACTTTACCGAAAGAACCAAAGAAGTTGATGTGTTGCCTAGTATAGCGATAGGCTTCATGATCCATTGCCGTCTCAAGGTGTTCTAGATTCCTGTTGCTTATGAGATAAAAGGCTGTTGGTCTTGTGTCCACCCTGAGCACCCATCAGACCCTCACACACCCCAAGCTGCAAATTATTCCACCCTGTAACAGCCGGATAGGGAGACGGACGAAGGGACAAACATACCGACTTGTAGGCCGAAAAGGTGCATTGAAGCCACTGTGGAAAGCACGATGGCAGCAGCAGCCGAGAAGCCCTTCATGATGTTGTCCGTGTACTTCACGACCACCGAGGTGTAGAGGCCACCCACGCTGGCGAGGACTACGTGGGGGGAAACAGCACCACCGCACAGCAACAGCAGTAGAACGGCGCAGCAGCACAGCAGTAGTACAGCATGGTCACCAGGGTGAGTGGCGTGGGTTTCCAAAGGCCACCATTGGGCATTGCAGCATCAGGAGGAGGTTGGTACTGCCAGATGATGAACTCTGAAAAATCTAGAATTAACCGAATGTGGCCAAGGCGATTTAAAGAGGCAACCTGGAAACAATAGCAAGCTGTGTATCCTAAGGACGTCCTGGGAAAAACAAGATAACCTACATATACATTGTAATTTATATCACCTATCTACATATCCATTCAGAGTAATTGATTCTTAAAATGTGCGATTTGATTTGTGCATCGTAACCATGATGAATTGATATGATTTGTGATACGGTTTAGCAAACCATCTGTGTTCAACCACCACACCGCACCTCCGATTAGCACGGTTGGCTACGTGCAGTGCAAAAGTAGTAAAAAATACATAGAAACATACTGCAGGCCAAAACAGTGATCTTTCTGCTTCTTCCCCCGCACTTTTCCCACGTTGGAATTCTCCTCCCATTGTCTCTTTTCCCAAGCTCTCAATCACCTCGCCCCATTCAATTCAATACACTTTTTTCTCCTCTCAACTATTACACCTTTAATAATGACGGTTTGTGTCTGGCTGCTTGCGAGTTTTGGGCCTGTACTTAGCGACTGTGATATATATAGACAAAAATGTTAATCTCTGCAAAGGGCAAAGACCCAGGGGGCCGGCCCAGGACATGCTGGCGGGACTATGTCGCTCAGCTGGCCGGAGAACGCCTGCAAATTCCCTAGGAAGAGCTAGAGTCCATCACCAGGAAAAGGGATGTCTGGACCGCCGCTACTCAACATGCTGCCACCACGATCCTCACCAGGACGAGCGGATTGAGAAACTAACAAAGTGCGAAACGGAGGGATCTATGCCGTGCGCAATATGATCGACGAGCCGACTCACATATGACGAACCACACCATGGGCGTGTAGCCGTGCAGGAAGCCCTTCTCCATCACGGCGCTGCCGTCGTTGGTCACCACGCCCAGGAAGGTGACGAGGATGCCCCACAGGTACATCTGGATGTTGCGCACCCACAGCGACGTGTTGGAGCTCTTGAGCACCCGCTCAAAGTACACGCCTGCGGCGCGACAAACGGGGGGCCTCGTTAGAAAAAAATATCAAAACAAAGTCACAAGCCAGGAGGCGGCCCAAGTGGTTTAGGTGGCCAATTCCATGCAAAAGCGCCGAGCCACCACCTTTCCTGAGAGCCATAGGAAGGGTTCGCATCCAGATATCAGCGATCCCACGATTAAACTAAATTTTAAACACAGTTCGTATAAATATACCTCTTGAAGTGACTTCAGAAATATGTGATGTCATCTTCTGAGGCGGGGGTGGGAGGCATTCGACAAGGTGCGGCATTGCTGAGGTGGTTACTGACGGAAATGTGATCTCATGACAATACTGATCGTACGATTGGAATGTCGTCGAACAAAAGCACCTTTGTTCAGGTCACCGAGTTCATTACACGCCGATGTCTGGATACGAGATGAAAGTTGATTTCAAATCCTCCCTGCGTGCCTCAACCAATTCAGTTTACAACGCGTTCGTAGAAACGTTACAATTCTCATAAAAAATAGGGCCACGTTGGGGGTGTGACGATGCAGAGATTTTATTAGTTTGAAGTACAAAGCGTCTTTCATTGTGGGACCACATTTCACCACCCAAAGTGAGCGCTATTTGATGGATAAATATTGCTGGGCTTCGTGCAAGCAAACGTAACCCTTGTTTTCTCTGCCAAGGCCCACTAATGCAGTGTGTGCGAGATTGCATCATCGATAAATTGCTGCACTTAATTACATTTTCAGGAAATAGTTTCCAGTTTTACGATTTCCCCCCCTCCCCACCCCCATTGAAACCTTAACCGCACCTTTTGTAAGCAAGAGGTAACAGCAGTAAAGATTATACAATGGTTGGAACAGGTGTCAATTGAGCAAGCAGTTGCGGCATCAACCGTGCCAAACAAACTCTGACAACGAGATAAAGAGTTTTAACGTGGCCCTCCGGTTAAATAGACGCTACAAGTAACGCCATCGACGAGCTGTGGACACCAAAAGCAACAGGAAGGTTGAGTGTATTAGGGTCCGTCTTAAACATTTGTTTTCACTTGTATACCCGTCTGTGTAAGTTATGTGCCTTTTACACTGTTTATATATATTTTTGTTAAGTTTATTCGGTTATATTTGTCAAAAGTGTTTATCTGTCGAGGGTTTTTATTGAGTTGTATCTGTGAAAGGTTTAAATTTGTTCAAGGGTTTATTGTTTTATCTATTTATTGTTTTTATTAATTCAAGGTTTTAATTGTTCATGGTTAGTTAAGGGTCTGGTTATTTTGTGCAAAGCGCTATGATGCCTTGTGTGAAAGCTGCGGTACGAAATCAAATTTGAGCTCGTTAACCAGGGTTGGAAAATATTGGTCCTTCTTTTAACAATCACGGTCCCTGAAAGAGGCCCTCTAGACGAGTATTAGGGTGTGTGGGTGTGTGGGTGTGAGGGTGTGAGGGTGTGTGGGTGTGTGGGTGTGAGTGTGTGGGTGTGAGTGTGTGTGTGAGGGTGTTGAGGAGGCTCGTGAAGGACGCTACTGGGCAGTTGGAGGCAGTCACCCTTCAACAACAACGGAGGTCGGAGGAGCGACGCTCACAACAACGAGCGGAGCACCGGGTGGCTAAAGCACAGCAAGTTGGCACGGTAGGGGGCAGAGGTGGTGCATCAGCCAGTCATCTCAGTCATCTCAGTCAGTCGACCCGTGGCACCTGGGTCTGCTCCGTGACCTCCTGCCAGCGGGCGTTCGACACTTCACGTGGCCTCAAGGTGCACATGGCCTGGCACAAGCGTCGTGGTCACATCACCGCCACTTAGTGGCGAATGGCGGTTATTGTTGTTGTTGTGTGAGGGTATGTGGGTGTGAGGGTGTGTGGGTGTGAGGGTGTGTGACTGTGTGAGGGTGTGTGGGTGAGGGTGTGTGACTGTGTGTGGGTGTGAGGGTGTGTGGGTGTGTGAGTGTGTGGGTGTGTGAGTGTGAGGGTGTGTGGGTGTGTGAGTGTGTGAGTGTGTGTGGGTGTGTGGGTGTGAGGGTGTGTGGGTATGTGGGTGTGTGGGTGTGTGAGTGTGAGGGTGTGTGGATGTGAGGGTGTGAGAGTGTGAGGGTGTGGGTGTGAGGGTGTGTGGGTGTGAGGGTGTGTGGGTGTGTGACTGTGTGAGGGTGTGTGACTGTGTGTGGGTGTGAGGGTGTGTGGGTGTGTGAGTGTGTGGGTGAGTGTGAGGGTGTGTGGGTGTGTGAGTGTGTGAGTGTGTGTGGGTGTGTGGGTGTGTGGGTGTCAACAGTCTGGACCACTGGACGGGTTCCGCAGGATTGGAAGGATGCCCTGGTGGTCCCCCTTTTTAAGAAGGGGGACCGCACAGACTGTAACAACTACAGGGGCATCTCACTCCTCAGTGTGCCGGGAAAGGTCCTAGCAAGGATTATTCAGCATCGCCTTGCCAGGCACGCTGAGGAGAGGCTTGCGGAGCCCCAATGCGGTTTCAGGAAAGGGCGGTCCTGCACAGATGCCATATTTTCTGTTCGTCTGCTACAGCAGAGGTGTAGGGAATTCCAACAAGACCTACATCTCTGCTTTATTGACCTGGTCAAGGCCTATGATACCATCAGTAGGCCTGGGCTCTGGGTCGTTCTTCGTGCTTTTGGAGTACCTGACCCTCTGCTCACGATCATTAAGGACCTTCATGATGGTGAGCGGGCCCGGGTAAAACTACGTGGCCGGGAGTCAGAGCCATTCCCTGTACACCTTGGGGTGCGACAGGGATGTCCTCTGGCTCCCACATTATTTAACATCTATTTTGACCACGTAGTTCGTGAAGCCTTCAATAGCTGTACCGGGGGAATCTCCATATGGTACAGATATAATGGGAGGCTAATCGATGCCCGGGTGCGGTCAAGGGATGGCTCCCTATTGCTCAACCACGTTATGTATGCTGATGATTTGGTAATAGCTGCTCAGTCAGAGGAGGAGTTGGAGACGCTGCTGCTGAGACTGGAGCGTGCCACTAAGAGGTGGGGCCTTACCATCAGCCCCACCAAAACTAAGCACCTGCCTGGGTATTTTGTGCCATCGGACACTCCACCCCCACAACTCCCAATCGGTGATGGGGCAGTTGTGGAGAGAGTGGAGAGTTTCCCATACCTGGGCAGTGTGCTTATGACTGGCTCCAGTTTAACAGCAGAGGTCTCACTCCGAATCAGTCGAGCGGCAATATCTTTTCATCGGTTGCGTAACGCTATGTGGAAGCTACCTGGTCTGTCGCTCCGCACTAAGCTTCAGGTCTTCTCGGCCACGGCCATTCCCTCCCTTCTCTACGCTTGTGAAACGTGGACCCCCCTAATGGAACATCTACGCCGGTTAGAAACATTTAGGCTGGCCTGCCTACGATCCATCCTGGGTTTAACCAGACTGGATTGTGTGAGGAGCTCACAAATCCTTGAAAGATCTGGGCAGGGTCCCATCGGTGAGCTCATCCGGCAGGCAAGGCTGCGATGGTTGGGTCATGTAGCCCGCATGCCCAGCCACCGCATGCCGAAACAGCTTTTGTTTGGCCGGATTGAGGGGGCTAAGCGGGCGCGGCACGGGCTAGAGAAGAGATGGAGTGATGTGGTACAGGAGGACGTGGAGCTGAGTGGACTTGCCGATGACTGGTACCAGCGGTGTCAAGATCGGCCTCTGTGGAGGAGGCTCGTGAAGGATGCTACTGGGCAGTTGGAGGCAGTCGCCCTCCAACAACAACGGAGGGCGGAGGAGCGACGCTCACAACAGCGAGCGGAGCGCCGGGTGGCTAAAGCACAGCAGGTTGGCACAGTAGGGGGCACAGGTGGTGCATCAGCCAGTCATCTCAGTCAGTCGACCCGTGGCACCTGGGTCTGCCCCGTGACCTCCTGCCAGCGGGCGTTCGACACTTCACGTGGCCTCAGGGTGCACATAGCCTGGCACAAGCGTCGTGGTGACGTCACCGCCACTTAGTGGCGAATGGCGGTTGTTGTTGTTGTGTGGGTGTGAGGGTGTGTGGGTGTGTGGGTGTGTGGGTGTGTGAGTGTGAGGGTGTGTGGATGTGAGGGTGTGAGAGTGTGGGTGTGAGTGTGTGTGGGTGTGTGGGTGTGAGTGTGTGAGGGCGTGAGTGAGTGGGTGAGTGTGTGAGTGTGTGAGTGTGAGCGTGTCAGGGCTTCTTACCAGCAAACCCCGAGCACACGACCGCAACGGCGATGGCCATGAACCCCAGAAAAGGATTTTGCTCCACCTTTGGCAGACGACATTCAGCATTAGAGGTGAACAGGTGAGGAGCTTAAGACAGTATTCGCTTGTTATTCACGAACTTGTGATCTGCGATTTTGGCTAACCGCGAATCGCATCTGGGACTCTGCACGACTGCATCGAGAAAGAGTGATGAAATAAAGTGATGAGAGAGAATGCAATGAGAGAAAATGATGAGATAAAGTTATGAGATAAGGTCAAGTGATGAGATAATTTGCACGTATTTCACATCTTATTTATGTATTCATTTATTTAAGGTAATTCATTAAACATATTTTTGTTGGCCAATATAATTTGTCGGTTTTCGTAGGCCAATATAATTATCCGCGAAATTTGCTATTCACGAGCATCTCCGGAACATATCCCTCATTATTAACGAGGGAATCCTGTATATTTGTGTTCGCAACACAAACAAGAACACCGTATAGCTCTGCGACAAAGTCCTACCACCGTGTTTGTTCGGCAAAATTAATGACGTTTCGCTCGGAGGTGAGGTTCCCGGGACGTCGTGCCGAAAAACGCACGGCACAGCAGCACAGCACAACCGCAAAAAACTACGCAGTGGCATAAGTGCATGCACCATGTACTGCAGACGCATTTCAAACACAGGCTTTTTTTTTTTACTCCAAATAATTTCGTGCAATCTGATTAGTCGAGTAATCCAACCGAAATTCAGCTAGAGTAATCAATTAATGATATAATCAGATAGTCCAGCTCCACTCCTAAATACCAGGCCTTAACGTGCCCTGCACTCCCAGTTCGCGAGAGGGCTCAGATCGCCGGCACCAAGGGAAAGGCAGTGGTGCAGTCCAGGCACCTACCCACCATGACCTTGGTTGACTCAGCCGGCGTCCACTGCACCAGGGTGACCCCGCCGCACAGCACGAACACGGAGAACCACTGCAGGCGGCTGAGTGAACGACCCAGCATGAGCACGGTGCAGAGCGCTGTGCACGGGATCTTCAGCTGGTACGTCACCTTCATGCAAGGAGGGCGGGCGAGGTGAGCGCGCGCGTGCACGTGTGGGTGGATGCGTGTGGGTGGATGCGTGTGGGTGGATGCGTGTGGGTGGATGCGTGTGGGTGGATGCGTGTGGGTGGATGCGTGTGGGTGGATGCGTGTGGGTGGATGCGTGTGGGTGGATGCGTGTGGGTGGATGCGTGTGGGTGGATGCGTGTGGGTGGATGCGTGTGGGTGGATGCGCGTGCATGTCTGTGTTGCCCAACCGATAACATTTGGGTCCGTTCGAGGTGGCCGTGTGGGACTGAGGTCAAAGGTCACAGAGCCGAGCTTGAATCGTGGGTTCGAATATAAGCAACCGCCTGGGATTAAACAGAGTTCTCAGGTTTAAAAATGTTAAAGGTGCAGCCCTGCAATTGGTTGCTCACATCACTGCTAATGGAAGGTCCTCCTCCACTCAAGGGCGCTCTAGACAGACTCTTGAGTGGATATTTGGCCTATTCTTACAGGCTGGCCAGACATTTTGGAAGAGGTGGAAGTATCAACACTTAACTCCAACACACGCGACCTGCCGATGAACTGTGGTGCGCCAGTTTATACTGCAGGGTGGACAGAGGCGGTGAGGAAGGATTTAAGACACTTGCCCCGTTGTTTCCACTGCCGTACCACATGAATAAATCGGCAAACCTTGGTTTTTAAGTAGTGTGTGTTGGAATATTCTGCTACAGTGTTGTAGACATATTGACTTTCTTGAGTTGGTGGCCTAAAATAAGAGAGACGCAGTGTGGTGATGTCACGTAACATGCAATGACATATCCAATGGTCAATTGTGCCTTTTTCTCTCTAAAAAGCACGTACTGCGCATATTATTATTATTATCCGTGTTGCCAACCTGCACCAACTTTTCTATCTCAAGAGTTTCTTTACTAACGAGAGTGTTAGAATCGGTTTAAAGGATTCTCCGATTATGGAAACTGCTCACGGAAAAAGTAACAAGAACAGATGCCACGTGTACGGTCCCTCAAGATGGCTCCGATCAGAGATCAACACAATTACGATTTGCCTCAATGTTAGCCTGCTGCGTTGTGTTGAAACATTTAATGCTTCTGTCAACGTCACTGGAAACAGAGCCAACAACACAAGACAAGAGGACCCTGACTGAGCTTTGCCCTTGTAACAACACACGAGACCAGCTTCCCACACGCCGGTCTCCTCACATTCTCTCGAAGTGAAGTTCACACTGCGAATGTTTGTCAAAATATGAACAAATAACAAGTTTTAATCGGCGGAGGCGACCGTTCATAACCTTTGCGGTTGTTCGGCTTTGTGTTGCCGTGCAACGAAAGAGACCCAATGGCCCTCACAGCTACAGTTGCTGAGCAAAGGTCCAAAACGCCAGGTGGCCAGCAACAAACAGCACTCTTAAATGTGTGCAGTAAACAAGAGTTAAATGTTTCCTGGTTGAGCAAGGCTACAAGAACTCGGGAAAAGGCACAATGGGCGGGAATTCAACAAGTTGAACAATGTGAGTAAAGCAAAGAGAGAAAGGTTTTGAACTAAAGCACGGTGCTTGAACACACCATGGATGAGATAAAACTGTCAATCTGGTAGACCGAATCATACTCCACGAGTCTTACATTGATAGAGACGCTTCTCACGAAACGCGAAACAAATCACACATGCGGGGGTGTCTCTGTTACTTCCAGCGCATTTTGCAAATAGACTAGGCAGTATTTTTAATAATATATTTGTATATGTGGGTTTTCTAGTCTTTTTCGGACAACTCCTCAGATATGCAACCTACCGTTTGCTTTTCTCAACATTGGCGGTAGGAATCGGCGGGTGAAAGTTCACGAAAAACGGTAAACCACGGGTGTAGCGAAAGGAAAGTGCTAAGGAGGCGACCGACTATCGCTTGTCTGTTTACCGACACAAGAGTCAGCACAACGCAAGCCAGAGGTGGAAATGTTTTCCATATTATCAGGATCAGGTATGTACCTTGAACTTCTTTCGCACCATACGTAGCCAACTGTGCTAATCGGAGGTGCGCGGGGGGCCAGGACAACAAACTAAACACAAAAAGCAGTCCTTAAAGAAATTAGTTTTTCATCTAGATTGAAAAGTGCACAGCTCCAGTGGCCTCCTAATATCGGGAATGCCTGTAACTTGTGCGCCCAGCAAGGGGGGGCCGACCAAGGACTCGGAGGGCATACCTGGTAAACGGCCGCATCGAGGTTGCTGAGTGCCACGTAGCCCATGTTGTTCTGCAGCGCGTACACCAGCGACGGGATGGCGAGCTTTAGGGTCTCCTTGCGGTTCACGATCACGTCCTCCCAGACGGACTTGGCCATACCCCGCACGCTGCCCGTCTCCCTGTGGCACACAAGAATAAACGTCCCCTGTGTAGTTCGCCATGTGAATCGGTATGTGTATTCATACTTGAAGAATCCGATGAGCTATGAAGCTCTTTTTCACGGATGTCCAATAGGGGCAGGGGCAGAACGTTACAACAACAAAAACAATACAAACACATGATAGGGGTGCAAAGTAGAGGAAAGGTAAGCAAGTCACTAAATAAAAATATGCAATTAAAACGAAACTATTTTTAGTGTAAGCCTCCCAGAAATATGGTAGCGCCAGGGAAACAATGTGGCTATGATGTTATAGCAGACTGAAAGCAGATGGGATGGCGAGTACCAGGCATTACATTATCCAACTATTCATCCATTCAAACAAATTCTCAGGCTCACGAGGAATACATCAAATCAGAATATGTATTTATACTGGAAGAATTATATGAGCTACACAGCTCTTTTTCACAGATGTCCAGTTGGGGTGGGTAAGAATGTTACAACAACAAACATGCAAGAAGAAATTATGATCAAGTATTTCACATATATGCAATTGTTTTTGTTCCTTTAGATCAGGGGTGGGGAACGTCCGGCCCGTGGGCCGTACAGTGAGGGAAAAAAGTATTTGATCCCCTGCTGATTTTGTACGTTTGCCCACTGACAAGGAAATGATCAGTCTATAATTTTAATGGTAGGCTTGTTTGAACAGTGAGAGACAGAATAACAACAAAAAAATCCAGAAAAACGCATGTCAAAAATGTTATAAATTGATTTGCATTTTAATGAGGGAAATAAGTATTTGAACCCCTCTCAATCAGAAAGGTTTCTGGCTCCCAGGTGTCTTTTATACAGGTAACGAGCTGAGATTAGGAGCACACTCTTAAAGGGAGTGTTCCTAATCTCAGCTTGTTACCTGTATAAAAGGCACCTGTCCACAGAAGCAAGCAATCAATCAAATTCCAAACTCTCCACCATGGCCAAGACCAAAGAGCTCTCCAAGGATGTCAGGGACAAGATTGTAGACATACACAAGGCTGGAATGGGCTACAAGACCATTGCCAAGCAGCTTGGTGAGAAGGTGACAACAGTTGGCGCGATTATTCACAAATGGAAGAAACACAAAAGAACTGTCAATCTCCCTTGGCCTGGGGCTCCATGCAAGATCTCACCTCGTGGAGTTGCAATGATCATGAGAACGGCGAGGAATCAGCCCAGAACTACACGGGAGGATCTTGTCAATGATCTCAAGGCAGCTGGGACCATAGTCACCAAGAAAACAATTGGTAACACACTATGCCGTGAAGGACTGAAATCCTGCAGCGCCCGCAAGGTCCCCATGCTCAAGAAAGCACATAAACATGCCCGTCTGAAGTTTGCCAATGAACATCTGAATGATTCAGAGGACAACTGGGTAAAATTGTTGTGGTCAAATGAGACCAAAATGGAGCTCTTTGGCATCAACTCCACTCGCCGTGTTTGGAGGAGGAGGAATGCTGCCTATGACCCCAAGAACACCATCCCCACCATCAAACATGGAGGTGGAAACATGCTTTGGGGGTGTTTTTCTGCTAAGGGGACAGGACAACTTCACCGCATCAAAGGGACGATGGACGGGGCCATGTACCATCAAATATTGGGTGAGAACCTCCTTCCCTCAGCCAGGGCATTGAAAATGGGTCGTGGATGGGTATTCCAGCATGACAATGACCCAAAACACACGGCCAAGGAAACAAAGGAGTGGCTCAAGAAGAAGCACATTAAGGTCCTGGAGTGGCCTAGCCAGTCTCCAGACCTTAATCCGATACAAAATCTGTGGAGGGAGCTGAAGGTTCGAGTTGCCAAACATCAGCCTCGAAACCTTAATGACTTGGAGAAGATCTGCAAAGAGGAGTGGGACAAAATCCCTCCTGAGATGCGTGCAAACCTGGTGGCCAACTACAAGAAACGTCTGACCTCTGTGATTGCCAACAAGGGTTTTGCCACCAAGTACTAAGTCATGTTTTGCAGAGGGGTCAAATACTTATTTCCCTCATTAAAATGCAAATCAATTTATAACATTTTTGACATGTGTTTTTCTGGATTTTGTTGTTGTTATTCTGTCTCTCACTGTTCAAATAAACCTACCATTAAAATTATAGACTGATCATTTCTTCGTCAGTGGGCAAACGTACAAAATCAGCAGGGGATCAAATACTTTTTTTCCCTCACTATATAAGGCCCGCGAAATCATTTGATGTGGCCCTGCCAAGGCAACCGCAGGCGGGACTCGAAATTCAATAAATCTAGGAGCAAACCTGGAAAAGCAGTTGCGAGTAGCAACATCATCAATACCAGCTCACCAAAGAGAAGCAGTTCCAGCCATCACATTAGGGGTGAGTTAATTAAATGTTTGACCAAATATAACAGGCTAATTTTGAAGTTGCTAATTTTGTATGGCCCGCGAATGATATTATAAATATCCAAATGGCCCTTGGCAGAAAAAAGGTCCCCCACCCCTGCTTTAGATAATAAACAGGACAGACATTGAACACAATGCAAATGACGCAAAAACACAGGACAGTGCCGAAAAGGCGGCCATAGGGGTGCAATGGTGCAGACCCCCACCAGTACAATTATTTAATTAATCGTCCAAGCTACTAATTACAGATTCCATTACTCGACGAATCAACACGAAACTGGTGGGAAACAAGTCTCGCCTCCATTCCCACGTATGCCGCTGGACAGGAGGTAATGGATGAGGCTTTGTGACGTCAGTGACGTCATCAGCCGCGTGTGGCTCGTAGGGGGTTTCTCAACTTCGGGGGAGCAGCATGTGGGGACGGCTGCCATTTTGCCAGGTATGGGCCACGACAAAAGTGAGCAATTACAATTTTTTGGTCTAATTATCAGCTCATTTACACTGTCACGGCCAATAATCAGCATTCATAGCGTGGTGACCTTTGTTTAAAACAGCGATCTGCAGCAACGCGTGTCGCCCGGCCTACGTTTGCGCGCATCCGAGCCGAACGGTTCCTGCAATGCTGCGGGGCGAGGGGGCGGGGGGGGTCGGCGCCGCTCACCTGGTGAGCATGGCGAAGCTGACGATGAGCTTCGCCACCTCGGTGAGGCACACTGCGGTCGTGGCAAAGTACATGTCTCCCGTGGTGGTGCGCGTGTAGCGCAGGCCCACGATGTACGCGGCGGCCACCAGGGTCATCACCGTCAAGCAGTACAGCTTGAAGGGCAGGCTCACCTTGTCCAAACCTGTGTGCAGTCACATGCACCACACACACACACACAAAAGGATAATGACAACGACCCTTCGTCAATCTGCTGCTGGATAAAAAGACTTCCGCCCACGCTGTGTCGATCGTCGGCGTTGTTTTGAGAACACTTCACCATACTGGCCCGGTGAGGTTTGGTAAGTGGTCAAGGCTAAAACTCAGGTCGCTATTTTCAAAGCGGAGTGCACTAAGCACTATGCCACCACTCCTCTCACGACACGGTACCTTTCAGAATTAAAACTACATGTTTTTAGTACATTTTTGTAATAACCGACTTATTTTCGTCGGCAGTATAGGTGTTCCGATTGTAAACATAAGAATAATAAAACCGTTAAACAAAACTCTCTGGTCTTTACCAATGGACCAGCTATCGGCGGCACCGATTACTTTATAAGAAAAACGTATAATAATTGCAGCCCGTTACAAACCCACTGCTGGACAAAGGCCTTCTCCACACTATGTCAGTCGTGGGGATTGCTTGAGCAGCCTTCACGTCACTGAGTCAGTGAAGGAGGTGCTCAGAGCCAGTTCAGATATCACTCGCCACTTATTAGCGGCGAGTGAGCGACTTATAGAACTGGTATGGCGCATGAAAGGGTGTTGTTGCCGTGACCATACCCGGCTGGCTGTCTTAGTGTCCCCACTATTCGTGTTTTCACACTGCCCCAGACGCTCTTCGCAAGTCCGAATAGATCTAGTAGAGGCCCAGGATGTGAGCTCAGCTGTCATATGAGACTGACGTTATCTCTGTGGCTAGGAAGTTAACTCAGGGCTCCTGGTTTTGTGGTGCAGAACTTGACCCATTGCACCCACCGCTTTCATGAAAGACACGTGGTAAGAAAATAAGTCTTGGGCACATCGGTCCCTAACCACTAACCATCACTTTTAAATTATAGCTCCCTAAACCTAACCCTGAAACGCTCACCCCAAAGACCTCACTCTTATTGCCTAGCGATAGAAACAATATACTGAAAACTGTAAACCTTAACCCTAAACCCTCTCGCCGAACCCCATCTCTACATGAAAACTAAAGATGTGGCGTCTCTTCATATTCGTTCAACTGAAAGCTCGAAGCAGTAGAAATTAGAAAGGAATGCCAAAAGATAAGAGCAACTCAAGAAAGGGTCTGTGCTTGGATGAACAGCTGCATCTGCGATTAGATACCAATCTGCAGGGAGAGCTTTGCCAGTGACTTGGTTTCTTTGTCCATATCTGCAGGGACAGGAGTCACAGAGTGAAAACCCATCGAGATGAAATGTTCTGCAAGGGAGACATCGAATTCGCCCCGGGAAAAATGTTTATCTTGACAGTCACCGAAAGTCAAGTTATTACTCTCCCATAATTTTGACTCCTTTGAGGCATTTGTAAAACATAAAAATTTAAATAATGTACCACACTTCGAATGACGTGTTAGCTTTTAATCGTGCCTTCATAACATACATATGATATTTCGTTTTAAAGCTTTCGTGACTGCAGGGATTCATATTCTTATTATTTCCCTTCTACGTAACTTTACCGTAAGAACCAAGATTATATGTATGACATGTTAAACTTTCAGGCAATGGCCCTTATCCAGTTACTTCTGGGCGATTGAAGACGTCAACTGGGTGGCTTTTGCCACCGAGTGACTTGAAGTCTCATTGTTGACGTGTAGAGACCATTTGGACATATTGGCGGTACACCGGCGCAGCATAACACACCGGCCCTCATAAAACAGTCCAAAAGCTAAATTTTTAAAGGACATTCGTCTCCCGAATGCTTCGACATCACGAGAACGGATGTTGACGCACCAACCCCGCAAGATTTTTCTGACCGGGGTTGCAAATCGCGGGTAAGTAAATAATTATCGCGAAAATTGTGCTTTTTTTATACAGCACACCGCCGGTGCACCGCCAATACGTTAATTTGTCAATCCACCAACTGAATGAGGGCCTCCCCATACCGTGCAGGTCATGAAGGTCATTCTTACTGTCCACCACGCTGGCCGTTTCGAGCTGAAGGTGGGAGGGAGTCCAGAACGATGGATTTCACCTGCACTGCCCTTTGGTCCCTTCAACACCTACGACTCCCAACACCCGTTTCATGCGCAGTGGTCACCCGTCCAAGCACCATCGAGGTTGAACCCTGCCCCGCGACTGCTGTCTGACGGAATCGGGTGCATTGTCTGTGATTTAGTGACGGGCCTTTCTGTTAAAAAATAGTCGTGTGAACGATGAAGGAATGATGTATGGTTGTCCACCAACATAAGGATGTTGAACTTATTTCGCACTGTACGTAACCAACTGTGCTAATCGGACGTGCTAATACTATGAACATATCGTCACATATCGAAGTCTGGTAAAAATGTCAAGTGAATAACTATATGTTGACTCGTGATTACTTGTGAATGTAACTCGAAAAACTGCTTTTTTTTTCGTCTATTCTCCACTTGGAAGGCTAGTGCTCAAATTAACGTTAAACATAATTGTGCCCTAAGTTGTCAACATGTTCAAGGTCTATGGGCCAGTTGGCAAAAAAACATTCGTGAAATGCAAGGAAAAACTTACATTTAACTACGGGCAGTACATTTCAAACACTTTTAAGGCTTATCCATGGGTCCTTTTTACCAATGTAGACGAGTAGTGGAGGACGTCATGTCACTCAGGGGGGTGAGAATGGATGACGTCAGGTTATGGGGATATACAAGGGGGAACCCGTGACGTAGAGGGGGTCGTCGCGAAGGGCCAGGAACGGAGAGAGTTAGGGAGTCGGGATCCAGGGGAGGGGAAATTAGAGCCAGGCGAGAGTGATATTTCACCCGGCCGACCGAGTTGGATGATCCCTCGGTCGGTGCTGGGGGAAGATCACGTATAGCCTGGGTGGAGCTAGGGAGCTCCCAGTACCCTTTCCCCTGGGGAGATTATTAGGGTTGTCACCTGTTAGGCGTAAGCCTTGAATAAGTTACCGGCAGTAGCCCTTAATAAACCTTGGCATCCGCCCCTACTCAAGAACCGTGTCAGCGTCGTCAGTTGCACCTCAACACCAGCATCAAAATGATGAAAAAAAATGGTTTAGGCTGTACCCACACTGGCAATAAAATATGCGTTAAGATGTTCAAACGTCAAATTGCTACCTATTACTGCAAGGCATCAAGTCTGCATTTACCACACAATTGTGGAAAAGCATGCAAACATTCTCTGATAATATGAATTGTTTTTGAAAACGGATTGGGCTACACCAGTGATGGCCTTTTCTCACCAGTGTCTGACCAGAGAATGCCAAAAGGCGAACAGTGTAAAGGCATTGCAAGTAACAAAGTATTAATAGCTTGGGTTTGAGGAGTTACAACTGCATTCTCTGGTCCAACACTGGTGATTACCAACACAATGCCGCCGCCTCCCCATATGCGTGCAACTATTACGTGAAGTTTTGTTACGTTTGACTGTGACGTTACAAAATTTGTGAATCTGCCACTACAGGAACCGCACCCGATTGCATCGCAACTTTTTTTTTATTGCGTCAGAGCCCATGGCATTCTCCGATTGCGTTAAACAAAACTTACCTTGTGCCAATTCTGCAGGTAAAGCAAAACTCTGGAATGCAAGCAAAAGGTGCAGCTCCACCGTAATGCTATACTTGTAAGGCCATACGCTGTCGCAACAACTGCAATAATCCTCCTCCGGGCAATGTACCCGACTCCAGTCGCCACGACCATCCCCCATAGTCCACATCTGTCACGATTACCCATCTTTGTTGTACACCTGCAACCCCCTGTTATCGGTCCACTGCAGGAGGAAGGCAGCCCCACTCCTGCCTGTGGGGTCGTGGGGGTTATTGGTCCGTGCGGTACTCTATGCTGGTCAGTTCGGGTTGGTGAAGGCGGCAGCATAGAGCCACGGAAGCGTAGTAGGACGGGTACACCAATGGATATTACTGCACCGCTCTCTCTGCAACCCACAGCGTGGACCTCACAGCAGGATGACAACCTGCGTCTGCATGGTGCCCACCCATCCCAGCACTACCCAAGCCAAGTGATACCTGGGTCCTGGCCAAGACCCCTTTCCCCTACTCAACCCACACGCTTCACCAATCCCAAACTGACCGGCGTGGTGAAGTACGGTCAAACGGCCACGCACGCTGCTTGGGGAGGCCCACGTCTATAGCAGCGGATTGACTAACGGTTTGAGAGCGCGCGATGGCCCAGTGCAACCACAGGCTCGTGTACTCGCTCCATAATGATGACGATGACCAGTGGCTGCTGTTCAGTACTGGCAGTGGAGGCGGGGGGGGAGGGGCAGCGAGTGACAGGCAAAGACCGCAATGCATTCAGCTCACTCATAAAGGACTGCAGCAGCTGCACAGGGTCGTCGGCCAACAAATGATACAATAGACGTCCACAAAGACCCACCGTGTAACCTCTTTCAGACTGCTGGGCCATGTCTCTAGTTAGTGATGTTTGCAAAAAACTGCAGCAGCTCGTCATTTAAGACTGAATAAACCTAAGGGATGCTCAGGACAGGTTCAGATGTTACTCAGGTTATAGATCACACACACACCACACACACACCACATGCACACACACACACACCACATGCACATACATACCACATGCACACACCACACACACACTAGACACACCACACACACACACGCACATACATACCAAATGTAAATGCGACCTCCACACACGTGTACACACCATAAACAGCACGTGTAATCTACGCACCACATTCCCATGTTCATACATTGCACATGTCCATACACGTCATTTACATATCACATACACGTTTCCACCATGCAACATACACATGTACATACGCCACACACAGACACCTTACGTGCCATATCGCACTTATGTGCATACCATATGCCCGTATACTTTGCATTAGTGTAAATTCTAACAACACAAATGTTTGCAAGACACGTGCAATTATGTAGGACATATACATTCTATGTATACATTTCGCATTTACATTAATACATTATGTACAGCAAATATGCTGTGAAGCTGTCCCATACATTAAAACACGAGGCAAGCCCTCTTAAAACACTGAACACGTGACCACATCGCGTTTTATCCTTCAGGATGGTTGGGACCAATGCCCACTTCAGTACTGGCATCTGTGGGCATACCTCACTTGCGCAGCCCTTGCCCTCCTTCCTGCCAGACTATGCATATACCCTCCAGCATCAACTTCTTCCCAGTTCTACCCTCAACTCAAGCCTTACGCGACCCTCAAAGTGTCCGAACTGCACACCCAGCATTCACATTCCCTCCAGCCTTGCCCCCCTTTCCTGCGCTGCCATCACTTACAAGGTTCTGCCCTCCTTCACGTGCACGCCTTCCAGACTCACTCTTCATCCCAGCCTTGCCCTCCAGTCCAGCCTTGCCCTCTAGCCTTGCCCTCTAGCCCAGCCTTGCCCTCTAGCCCAGCCTTGCCCACTAACCCGGCCTTGCCCACTAGCCCGGCCTTGCCCCCTAGCCCAGCCTTGCCCCCTAGCCCAGCCTTGCCCCCTAGCCCAGCCTTGCCTACTAGCCCAGCCTTGCCCCCTAGCCCAGCCTTGCCCCCTAGCCCAGCCTTGCCCCCTAAACCAACCTTGCCCCCTAAACCAGCCTTGCCCACTAGCCCAGCCTTGCCCCCTAGCCCAGCCTTGCCCCCTAGCCCAGCCTTGCCCCCTAGCTCAGCCTTGCCCCCTAGCTCAGCCTTGTCCTCCATCCCACCCTTGCCCTCCTTCCCTGCCTTGCCCTGCAACACATGCCCCTGACTTAACTTCCCGAGCTATGAACTCCTTCCCAGCCTCGCCCTGTAGCCCAGCCTCACCCAGCTCCCTATCCTCGCCCCCCTCCTTTCCCAACTCTTGCCCTGCAACAAATACCCTGGCATCACTTCCTCTAGCCCTGCCCTTCCCGGCCTTGCCCGGTAAAGACATGACGCACGCGGCGCTCTCACCTGCAGCCATGGCGCCTTGGGTTGCGGGAGCGCGACGATGCGGGGCGAGGACTCAAACGCAGTGCGCGAGCAGCTGCAGCAGTAGCAGCAGGGGCTTGCTGCTTGCAGCAGTAGCAGCAGGGGCTTGCTGCTTGCAGCAGTAGCAGCAGCAGGAGCTTGCTGCTTGCAGCAGTAGCAGCGTGGGCTTGCAGCAGTAGAAGCAGCAGCAGGGGCTTGCTGCTTGCAACAGTAGCAGCGTGGGCTTGCAGCAGTAGCAGCAGCAGCAGGGGCTTGCTGCTTGCAGCAGTAGCAGCGTGGGCTTGCAGCAGTAGCAGCAGCAGGGGCTTGCTGCTTGCAACAGTAGCAGCAGGGGCTTGCTGCTTGCAGCAGTAGCAGCAGGGGCTTGTTGCTTGCAGCAGTAGCAGCAGCAGGGGCTTGCTGCTTGTAGCAGTAGCAGCAGGGGCTTGCTGCTTGTAGCAGTAGCAGCAGCAGGGGCAGCAGCAGGGGCTTGCTGCTTCTTCAGATGTCAGGGAAGGGCGGCTGGCGTTGAGCTCTACCGGCCCGCTTGACAATATGGCCAGAGCCGCCTGTGAAAGAGCGCGGACGACACGGACGATAGCAGGAGAGATTAAAGCGGCAGAGAGGCGACCAGATGGCAAGGGCCTGCCGGACGTTACAGACGGCAACAAAGGTCATAGACGGTGTGGAAGGGAGTTGACAGATGAGACCGCACCGCCAACACAGGCCGGTACAAACAAGACGTGAGTGTGGACACGACGAGAGAGAGAACAAGGCAACAGAGACTACACTCTACAGGCGAGGCAGTATAAGACGAGGCAGTAGAGACGAAACCGGCAGTGCAAAACGAAAGAGCGGTACAGTCTTAGCAGGCAGACAGCACAGGACAAGACGGCGCAAAGGAGAGAGGTAGAGATGAGCTCCAGAAAGATGGCACAGACTTTACAGAGGAGAGACAGACGGTACAGGCGGGGGTAGAGCGAGCCAGTGCAGAGGAGAAGTGCGAGCGAGGCCCGAGACAGAATCAGCATTTGTAAAAAAAAAAAACACCGGAGAAATCCGATGAGCTGTAAAGCTCTGTTACCCCCCCCCCACCACCACCGCAGACGTCCAGTAAAAGCTGCGAGTCAGAACGTCAGAACAACAACAAACAAACAAACGAGCAAGAAGACGGCGGGTAAGAGACAAGGGACGGGTTGGCAAGAGACGAACGCCAGCACGCACCGGGCTCCCGCACCACCAGCAGCACCACCAGCAGCAGCACCACCAGCAGCAACACCACCAGCAGCACCACCACCAGCAGCAGCACCACCAGCACCACCAGCAGCACCACCAGCAGCAGCACCACCAGCAGCAGCACCACCACCAGCACCACCAGCAGCACCAGCAGCACCACCACCAGCACCACCAGCACCACCACCACCACCAGCAGCACGCACACGGCTACGCTGTAGGCCACGCGAGTGCGGACGTGCGGGGAGCGGTGCGCGCGCGCCGCGCCCACGTGGCGGCACCGATGACGTCGGAGACCCGCGTCGGAGAGGCGGCGGGGCGGGGTGTTTGTTGTACGAACAATGACGTAATCGGTTCCGAGGTGACATGACGTCACGGGCGTGAAGCTTGGAGCGGCGGGGAGGGGGGTGCTGTTCGCGTGGCTTCACGTGGGGCCGTGGGGGAGCGGTGGTGTAGCGGTGAGCGCTACCACGAACCGGGCTCGTTCGATTCCCGCTCACGGCCTACACCAGTGACGGTTATCTGAACTCCCCTAGGGTCGACTGGTGCGGTGTGTAGTAAACATCGCCAACCGGGGAGACAAAGGCGGCCGGGCGGGCGTGGTGCTGGCCACCCACCCCCTGGTGCGCCACAGTATCGGCCATTCGTAGGTGCCACTCGCTAGCAGCACTTGCCCCAACAGTCTGTTTACAGGCAATACTACGGCGGGGTGTCATTGTTGACCGCCGTGGGTGAAGTATAGTCAAACAACTGGACCCCCCACCCACCCGCCCCCCCTGCACTCGGGAGGGCTTAATCGAGCACGGGATTGACGAAGAGAGACCCACCACCATTATTAACGTCTGCCGAACAAGCTGTCAACTTGCTTTAGTTCGCTTCAGGGCAGTCAACTTTGAATGGGGCGCCGCGGTGGCTAGGAGATGTTAACTACCTCGCCTGGTATGCGGGAGGATATGGGTTCGATCCCGACTCCTGACGCCTGCTGCTGTACCGTATATTTGGAGTTTGCATTTTGCGTGGTCGTTTCGCTCCAACTCAGTGAAGTTGCACTTTGATGACTTTTGCTCACACAGTAAAAATTTGTCAAACAAAAACTCTTTTCAAATTCACATCAATTCAGAATCCGGTAAGTTAATGTGACTGTGCAAATTAATTTTGATCAAAGCGACCTCACATTTTTTTGCGAAAATGACTGAACACCGACCTGTCCTTCCAGTTTTTATAAATAGTATTTTTATGTATTCACATCAATACCGAATCCAGCAAAAACACAATTCATCTCAAGGAAAACTTTTGGGAGATGATCGTCAATTTACACCAAATGTGATATATCGATAAATGTTTGATGAAATAAATTCAAATCAATCTTTAAATTGTCTATTTCATTAAATGTTATTTGTATGAAACCGTCATATGACGGGCAATTACACTGGTATACTTAGACTACAACGTAGAGACCCACATACCGAACAAAGTGAACCACACAGGCTTACATTAGAGATCCACAGACATAGAGACGCAGAAGCTCAAAAACGCACGTGTATCCTTTATTTAAATGTCTATCTCATGAGCATACACAAAGACTCATAGACACGCAGACTGACACAGATACCCATAGACCTACGGGGCCATCCATAAATGACGTCACGCGATTTTGGACGATTTTTGACCCCCCCCCCTCGTCACACGGCGTCACAAAAAGTCAAACCCCCCCCCTCAAATATGACGTCACAAAGCTCTGCCCCCCCCCAAACCATTTTTCCATTTTGAAAATAAAACATGCTTAAAATCGATTTAAAGCTTTCGTGACTGCAGCAATTTATATTCTTGGTTCTTTCGGTAAAGTCACGTTAAGTCAACGTGACTTTACCGAAAGAACCAAGAATATGCTTCAAATCGCTTTAAACTATTGTCATTGTAGTGCGTATTTAATGTGGCGCTGCACTCTGATGTTGTAGGAGTGTTGTTATAACAATTAGTGTTGTTATAACAATTCCATATTTATTTAAAGTTGCGCATTTTGATGTGACGTCACATTTCTCAACCCCCCCCCCTCGTCACACATCGTCACAAATGTCTGATCCAATACTGGTGTGCCATCATCATCATCATCACCACACGTTACCTTTGTGTTCCCATTATCGATCCACCCAAACGCATCATGTTATTATATTTTTAAGCGTTGTGTTCTTTATATTGTGTCGTGTTTTACTGTAGCCCTGGTCGATCTTTCAAAGAGGCAATGCTGTTTCATCTCCCCGTTAATATGAAGACTGCAATAATCACCTGAAACTGGACAATCCAAGACGCATGAACTGCCACGAAAAGACAGATTGCATGACGGGTTATCTCGTCATACACGGTGCTGATGTAATAACAGAGTGCAGATCACAACAACAGGACAGCAGTGCAGTTCTTCAGGAACCGCTCATGGTTTTTGTCATAACGCACAAAGGCTTTGGTGATTTTGTTTTACACTGTTGAATGTCGTTTAACAACAAACAAAAAAAATCACCTTTTAAAAAAATTTCGTTTGAAAAGTATACTTTTTTTGTTGTCCCGGCGTGCACTATTATTTTGTTATGCTGACTTTTAAAAAAAAAATTTTGAATCGTCATTGCCATATTTCAGCACCATACGATGGATTTTTACAGGACTGCCCTCTGCTGTCCACCACGTGGAACAATCGTTCAGGCCTCCCAGCCGCCTCTCAACAATGCGCCGTGCGCGGTGGTCAACCAATCACAATCAATCCGAGCACTATCCAGGCGCAAAGCTGCCGAGCTCCACAGAAACCGATGAGATAGGGGCTCGCATGCTGGGTGATTCGGTTCACGGAGCTATCTCACCGTCTCGTCTATGCGTGGGGATTTTTGAGAGTGTGTGTGTGTGCATACTGTATGTTGAACTTCTTTCGCACCGTACGTAGCCAAGCGCGCTAATTGGATGCTCGGCGATCTTTGCCCCCACATGAAGCCAGTCGCATTCACGAAACGGGCCCTCTTGGAAAAAAAACATACGTAGCCCTTGGACTCAATACTGATCCTTGCATGGGTAAACAAAGGACGTTGCTATCGTCATAATCATGATGTATCTGTCGGCAGCCCTCAACGTCAGCATCCGTGATCAATCCATCAAACCACCGCTGGTCCCGTACCCAAGCGCGGTCGCCATATCTCACGATCCTGCGATGCGAAAATTCACCAAGTTACCTGGCCACCAGCTGACTTAGCGGTTCCATTTTCTCGACGCACGCTCCTCCCTGACGCGTTCCATTCCTTGGCTGCCACTGAGTTATTATTCTTTGACCGCCGTGCATCAAAGACGTGTCCTGTCCAAACCTTTTTTTTATAGTTTGATATAATTCACATGCGCGTGTTGTGCCTCTCTTTCTGTATTTCAAGCTCTCATCACTTATTTGAAAACAAATTAGTTGGTGGTGATGCTGCTGCTGCGTTCATAGTGTCACAAATAACCAAAACACCCACAACACATTCGTCAATAATACTGCCTTCATAGCACTGACCCAATCGTGGTTTATTATATAACGTTTCTGAAGAGCAATTGCCCGAAACGTTCCCAATCATCTTGTTTTATAAAGGACAATTGCCCAAAACGTTACCTATCATCTTGTTTTATAAAGGGCAATTGCCCAAAACGTTACCTATCGTCTTGTTTTATAAAGGGCTATTGCCTGAAACGTTATCTATTATATATTTATTTTATAAAAGGCCATTGACCGTGACGTCGCCTCTCATCTACGTTGTTCCTGGTCAGGGGCCATTCTCATTGACTGCGTTAAGTTCAATATTAAAACAGCAGGGGTCGCCACGATCGTAAATCGTGAAACAAGCGTGGCTAATATTCTTTGGGTCTTTCGGTAAAGTCGCGTGTGTTGCGATCGAAACGTCGTAGTTCGTTCATTTTATTTTATTTTTGAACCTATCTACGTGACTTTACCGAAAGACCCAAATAATTCCTGCAGTCACGAAAAGCTTTTAAGAGAATCGTGGCTAAATTGGGTTTGGGAAGAGACAGGGTGGGGGGAGGTGGGTTGGCCAGACCCAACCCCTGATGCTTCTCCCAACACCACCACCACCGCCATCGCCCTCCACGCCCAACCGTCAATAATTGCCCACTTCTGTCGCGAGCCCGTCACGTGAAGCGCTCTCGCCGCTGTGACGTCACAGTCCACCGGGTTCTCGACAGTCGGGACAATAGAGGGGAGTTAGGCGAACACGTGCCCATCCCGCCCCCAGGTGTGTAAGTGCGTGCGTTCACGACATCGCCTCGAGACACGAGCCAGGTAGGACCGCCACAGCGCACCTGTTCGTTCTCGCATCGTGCCCTCTCGCTTGTCCATCTGTTCGATTGTTTTATCGATCCATTGCGATGGGGTTCGTTGTGTTGCGTGCGAGTGGTAAGCGCTGCTACTGGCTGCTGTGTGTGTGTGTGTTAACAAAGTGACGGGGAGCGGTGCCGTTGTGGTGAGCGCACTGCGAGACGAACCTGGTGACCCGAGTTCGATTCCCGCTCACGACAATACACAGTGGCGAATATTTGAGCCGGTGCTGTGCCTCCCCTAGGTCGACTAGGTCGACTGAGCACAGTAGTAATTATCTGTATATATATGTGTGTGTACGTTGTACTCGTTTCGCACCGTACGTAGCCAGCCGTGCTAATGATGGAGCGGTGGCACACATGTTAGCGCACTGCGGAACGAACCTGGCGAACTGGCTTCGATTAGTGGCCACCGGGCCACGGCTAACATCAGTGGCGAGTGATATCTGAACCGGTCTTGCACCCCCCCCCCCACCCCACTTCACCAGCCCGCACTGACCAGCGTGGGGAAGTATGGTCAAACACCACCACCGACGGAGCGTAGGGAGGCCTTCATCCAGCAGTGGATTGAGGAAAAACTGTTTACTTGCACACACTTAACATTATACATGTAGCTACTTATAGACAATGTATTATTATGTCAACAAAATGGTTGTAATGATATGCTTTACTCTTGAAAAAACTATTGTATCAAAACTCTGCTTGGGTTAATTATATCCTCTTGAGTACAGCATTTGATATGACTCGGTGGTCTTGCCAAAGTTATCTTACCTAGATTTGTAAAGTACAAACTTGCACTGTAGCTAAAGTACGATGTAAGTAATATAGTACCTCTGTAAGTATTACCGTGTGTACGTACGGTCCCGGCTGGGTGACTGACATCCAATCTCACCTTTTAATTTGTTGTTATTTAGGCAGCTAGAACTTATGACCCGAAGGTTGATTTATTTCTCTCGCGCGGAAAAATCAGCCTAAAGTTCTTCAATGCGTTGAAGAGGTCCCGTGCTAAACAATCACAGGAGCCACGTCCGCCACTTATATTTCTCCGTGAGTGCACCGATTACATTGCCTCCCCGTAGAGTTTGACGCTAAAGTCAATGTAAAGTGGACAAAGAACGCCTCCAAGTTACTCGTATGTGCACGGTACTGATATGCTGAACGTATCACCGGCCGTGCTTTCTCCACTGCTCTTTGTGAAGTTTGTGGTTGGCTCGTGGCCGCACACGCCCCTGTGAATGACAAGAGGCCAAGCCACGAACCCGTCTGTCAAGCCACCGTGCCACTCCGACTGCTAAAGCAAACCGCAATCTTTACATTGCAACCCCAACGCGACAACGGTCAATGAAAAGAAAAACAAGAATGGAGAATTGCTGAAAGGGTAGTTTATAAAGCGTTATACAAGTGACCGTTGAGATATGCACGTTAACATAGGAACAGTTCGCCCTGTTAAAATGTTATCACCAGTCGCCCCTTTTTACTGATCGTATTATATATGTATTGTATGAAACGGAGATATTTACAAAATATATTGTTAAAAAGTTTAAGTAAGCAATGAGGTATGGGGAGGTTGTATGCTTCAAATAACAATGAAAAGCAGAAATAGGAACATGAGTGAGTCAGAGACATCACATTGTTCACAAGAGTGAGTGGGCACGGTCAGGAAGGACACTTCACTACAAGGGATAATGGTCCGTGGTTGTCAGAGATGAACGATGGAGTGGCAGCCAAGGAATTTAATGCATCTGAGAGGATGTTCATCGAGAGGACTGAGCGATGTGTTGGACCTAGACGAGAATTGCTGCTGCATCGTTCGTAAAACCGCAAGGGACAGCGATGTCTTGGGAAGGCCTTCATCCAGCAGTGGAAAGATCACGCCTCATGATGATGATGGTCTTTAAAAAAAGCCTCACTGAGTCTCAGGTTACTTTTCAGGAAGGGTCTTGTGCTGAACAAAAAAATGGAACAAAGGCGAAAGTTCCATTTATTTAAGAATTATTTTGATTTGCGGAGAAAACAAGTACCTGGGGGGAAATTATAAAGTGACGCCTCTACTTACGAACGAGATGACGGCTTCTTGTAGTCAGTTTGTTGTCCTTCCCCTCCCCCACACACCTGCAATTAGCGCAGTTGGCTATGTACGTTGCGAAAGAGGTTCAACATACATACAAGTACACTTGCTCCTCTACTTACGAACGAGTTAGGTTCCAGAGGTCTGTTCGTAAGTCGATTTGTTCGTAAGTCCAACTTTGCTCCTGTCGATTTCATACATGTTGTACGGCATGTACACTAAACACGGGTAATGGATTTAAAAGTTGTATAATCTCCTGCAGATATAGATGCCACTGGTTCGTCATGTTCTGCAGATGTAGATCCCACCACCGCACGGCGGTTTAACTTACGACCCTCGATCCGAACAGGCAACTGGACATACGGACAGGTTTGTTCGTATGAAAGTCGAATGTTCGTAAGTAGAGGAGTCCCTCGATATACTCAGGGATAACACTGAAAAGTCAACAAAAGGGGAAAATTTGGTACTGCAAAGGAGGTCCCATGATGAAAGGACAGGTTAATTAACCCATTTGGTGGACTGTTACCTCTTGGGCACATCACAGCCTACGGGGTTTTGGAGTTCCACACATTTTTGTGATCCACCCACCCTTGCCTGCGGGGTGCTTGATCACAATGCTGCCCCGCCGTAGCTACGATGCAGAGGGCAGTTTGGATTCCTAGGCAGGAGGTTAAAGTTCAGTCTGGAAACTTCCCCCACCCCTTAGGTAAAACTGGTCCAACTGGGCCTTCGTCTAACAACAGACGCCTATGGATTACCGGTCAAGGGGGCATACTGACGCATACACGGCAGGCGACAAGAGCATTGTTGGTACGAGTATTGTGTTGACAATAAATGCATGTATGCGCTGTCGTGGTGAAATGTGGGTAACAGAATAACAAACCTACAAGCGTCTTGTTCAACACATAAATATAGTGCAAAGCAAGTTCAACATACATACAACATCGTGTTTTAGCCAATCATACTTGTTGTTGTAACATTTTGGTAAATGTTGAATATGGAAATAGCTAAACCGGTTTTCCCTGAGTATTTTAAGTAGTGTGGCATGTTAAACAAATCCAGCTGGGTTGCCGCTAATAGAGGCAAAAAACAGCACCATGTGACCCATTCAGTGCAGTACAACAAAATAGTTTGAAGATTATTCTGTAATGTTGTAGTGGATTATGGATAAAGAGGTGAGATACTAAATGCGCAGCCTTGCAATTAATTTTTCAAACCACTGCTGGTAGAAGGACGTCCACTCGAGAGAGCTCTGAGAGAGCCTTTCTAAAGGGTGTTTTGGACTCTTCTACACTGGCTCGATGTCTTGGAAGAATTGGGAGTAACCCTCCTGTTACCCCACCAAACGCGACTTGCCAGTCGAACAATTCTGATGTACTAATTGATACTGCGGGGAGGGGGATTCAAGTAACTTGCAACATTGTTTCAACTGCCGCACCTGGAGATCAAACCGGCGACCTCTACATCACACAAGCTCAGTTGCGAAATAAGTTCAACATACATTCATACATATGTAGTGTTCGATCTCCTGCGTAGGGCAACGTTCCGTGGTAACCATCTGCCCTCCCCCCCCCCCCCCCAGGATTCGCCACCCGCATCCCCCTCTCGCAGGAATGGAACCCGTACCAGACGCCGACCCAGAGGCCGACCCAGAGGCCGACGCAGAGGACGTCTCGCCCGGGAAGGGAGCGTCGACCTGCTGCCCGCGATGCCACGTGGTGCACAAGTCGCTGTCTCGCTGGGTGCTGCCACCCGACATCCGTGAGAAGTACCTGGAGAGGGCCAACTGCCTGCCGCCGCCAATTTTCATCATGCTCATCAGCCTTCTAGAGGTGTGAAATTGGTGACGGAATATTTTCGTCGATGGAGTGTTGTAAAAAAAAAATTAAGTCGACGATCACTACGAGTGGATGCAAATCATCAATGCGTGACTGTGGTTAAGACTATCTAACAGAGACTTAAATATTGTTCTTGGGTTTTTTTAAAGGTGTGCTGCAGCCGATTTACTATTATATTTTTGGCCACCCAGGTCACTCTTGCAAATGCAATTATCCTGGTATCGTGAGTTCTCGCCTGGTAAAACAAATAAACTTGACATTTGATGCAGACTAAGATAATTTAGGAATGTCAGTGACTGCAGTGCATTGAGTAAGACCAAAAATGGAAATTGGCCATTTTTGTACAGTATATAAAAAAAACATTATTACCGAGTTCGCTGATGGGCTGACCTGATCAATATTGGGGGAGATTGTTGAGCGCCCACTCACACCGATATTTATTGACGAAGAGTAAACAACACTGCTGCTAGTTGTAGTCATCGACCAGACGAAATCCACAGAATCAGACTTGACTTAAACTCCACGGGTTATTGCCGACTCAACGAGGGCTCTGACTAAAGTGAAAAGAATGATGACCAAACACCGCTCCTAATCCTTGTTAGAAAATTGCCACACGCGACGCAGCTGGGCTTTTTACGCCGGAAACACGTGGGTCAACACGGAGGGAAGCGATGCGTGGTGATACATTACCGAAATATGATCACATTTGCTAGCACGATAGCTCAACCCAAACCTGATTACGTCTCGCAAGATGCCACGGGTGTGGTACAAACTTTAAAAGTTCAATGTTTAAACATTCGACCGTCTTTGGGAGCCAATAAGCTCTTTCCCTGTTTTTGTTCCCTTCAATTGTCTTCTTTTCCTCCAGGAAATCCTCGCTATTTCTCAGGAATCTCTCTCTTTTTCTTAGGAAGGGCCCTGCATTGGGATGTTTGGACTTGCATTGTTTGTTACATAGCAGGGGAAACGAGGGCACCTGGAGAAAAAAAGCTTCCGCATATCGGTGGACAGCACGCGCGTGCCTCTGAGTATCACCAGGAAAGGGGACCGAATTCGTGACAATCTCAGAGCTTAGGATGGTGGTGACCACGATGCACAAACAGGTTGTCAGAGATGGCTACAGGTCTACGTGGTGGTCAGCAGAAGGCAGTGCTCCCTGCCCTTCACCATTGCACACTGACCTGCGTAGCATGAGGAGGAGCAGTGGTTTGACAAAGGGGCTTTATACGTCTTGAATGTGCCACCACCCTATGCAAGAAAACCCTTGAAACTCCCACCCGTGCACACTTTACAAACAAGTGTGTCTGCACGTACAGGAGCATTTACTGTGTCGATGCATGCGATCCTGCTGTGTCCTCACGCAAAAAGCAACGGCGACTGTCGGTCACGGTGCTGACGTCCCCTCGGGGTCACCTCGCGTCACGCTGTTGCCGTGTTGCCGTTCCAGCTGGGCGTGTTCATCTACTATGCGGTGTGGAAACCCCAGAAGCAGTGGATCACGCTGGACTCTGGTATCTCCAACAGTCCCTTCATCTACCGGCCCGACCGGCGGCAGGAGGCTTGGCGCTTCGTGTCCTACATGCTGGTGCATGCTGGGTACGTCCCAACGAAGGTGGCGGTCGCTGGAGTGGTGGTGCTGGTGGTGGGAATGTTTCTACTTAGAGCTGGGATGTCCGATTATTTCAGTGACCGACGACTCAGTTTAACACGTCGTTGGCTTTCACGACCAATATCATCCATCATACAGGTTTTTTGGGTTAGATCGCGAAAATATACAAATTTAAGAAACGAAATAGGAGGACTTCTCCACAAATCTGGCTGTCGCCTAATGAAGCTAGTTGTAATTACTGGCGAAACGTCGTACTCAGATTGTAAATGTTGCGACTTGGCTCTTGAACACTGTACTAGTAACGAATTGGCATGTTCTGTTCACGTGACAAACCTTACTAATTGGCTGTGTCGGGTGGTGGTGGGTTTAACGACACATTTATATATTTACGCAATCCAACCCAAAAAACCTGTATGATGGACGACCGACTACTGTACCGATTATACGGTTACTGTAAGAGAGGGCTTGGTGTTGTCATGGGCGGTGTCACCTGCATCACGATGGGCGTGGCTTGTTGTGGAGTTTCCAACCTTTGGGAAAAGAGCCCAACAAAAGTGTCATTAATGATACAAATTTTTATCATTAATTGACTTAATTGACTGATCATCCCGGCTCTACTCCGACTGTGCTGGCCTTCGGACCAGAACAGAACCACGTCTTTTCCACCAGGATTACACGTGGGGTGCACATCTGTATTCCAGAGCTTTCGAAGCGAGGGTTGGTAGATCTCAAATTTGAGATAAGGTGAAACTCCAAACCCACTGGGCTACGAGGTGGTCAAGAGATGGCAGTCCACGAAGTGGATTAATTTTGTCCCTGTAGAGCTCTGAGTGTTATCCTGTCTTCTGTGTGGGTTTTTCACAGGCACTATGGGTTTTCAGCCACATGCTAAACACTTCATGAACGAATTTGGCCAAAAATCCCATTGCAGGACCATTGAAACTTTCCTCGATAATTAATGGACATTATTATTATAGGAGCATGAGAGGATGCCTGTCATGCAGAACTTTGAAATCATGTGAAACATAGTGTGTGTGAGATTCCCAAGTGGCAGGGCTATGAGGTGGCCAGAGGATGAGCAGTACAGGAAGTTGATTGGCGATTAATAGACCGTTTTAGTGTTTTTTTTCCCACATGTATACGTAGTTTTTCACCAGGTAACCCTAGCTTCCACACACATAGTAGAAATATCTAACAAAGAATTAGCCAAATGTTCCAAGCAGGACCGTTCGGAAGTAGAAAACAAATTATTTAGGTGATACCGCATTGGCAGTGGCGCGAAAAGCACAACCAACAACACACACATCACAACAAATCTGAACAGGGAAAGTATAGACAATATAACTTTACGAGCATTGACCCTTTTTACGTGCTTTGAATGAGGATCATTGCCCATACCGTCATCTATTATATGTATTTTTCCTCCTGCAAAAGAGCCTTGAGGAAAAGCGAGACCTCGGATTAAAAGAGGACGTTATTAGTAGTATTATTAGCATGACCATTCTCCTACTCTGCTACGTTCACTGACACTGCCCGTGGTACAGTTATACCTCGAGGGACTCTACAGATATTAATTGGGCCCTGTGCGTGCCTGGTCTTGCAAAGTTTCGTGAGACTGCGATGCACCGCAGTGGCTTCCTTCACCCACCGCGGGCGACGATTGTTTCCCCACCTCCCCTCGCTGATCCACACGCGTGGGGTCGCAGGCAAACAAATCGACAAGAGAGATGGCAGAGAGATGCGACGGACAGATACAGGCGTGGTGGCCCGGTATGCCGCTTGATGTCATGAGCCGTGGTGGAAAACACGTTCCATCGTCTCGAACGCTCGCTTTATTATCATCCGTTCATTAAGTGCTTGGTCTGTAGATAATCCTTTCCTCTGCTGCTTTCTACATCTGTCCTTGTTGCACATCATCGCATTTTTTTTCTTCCTCCTCGTCTTTTCCCAAATTATCTTCCCGCAATCGCCTCCTTCAGCAAGCCATTCCCTCGCACTACGACCTGCCCAATCCAGACGTTCTTCCCCGTCCTGATAGTTTGAGAGAGAGTCCAGGTTCTTCCGCAACTTGACCCAGGGCCTCTTTTATTATTTATTGTTTTATTTATTGTTTTATTTTAAAACTGTAGCTGATCGCGTGCCCTGCGTCACCGTTGCAGTTTGCATAGACGTTTGAACACACGTGAGCGATGTTAGGCATGTGTTTTACACAAGCCAGAGATACATGATTTCGCAAGCCGCCCACGGGTTAAGACATTTGACTGACTTCAGGTTTTGCTGTTTTTTGTTGGAGCTTGGGTCTTTGTGAGAGTAAATCTGTCTGTTTTTTTTAAATCACAGTTGTTGAGCAATGACTGGCTCAAAGACCCAAACAATCCTAAACGACCAGCAACAGACAGCACTATTGTTTAACTATAAAGAAAACACATAACCACCTCGCTTGATCATTTGTGTAATTTAAAGCTTCCTCATTCAAAAGTGTCTTCATAATCAGTTTAACACGTAGGCTTTCGCTACCAATATTATCCATAAGAGGTTTTTTTTGGGACGGTTAGATCGCGTAAATATAAATGTGTCGTTAAACCCACCACCACCCGACATAGCCAACGCATTAAGGTTTGTCCCGTAAACAAAACATCCAAATTAGTTATTAGTTCAGCACACCGGTGTGCTGGAGAGTAAACCCAATTATAAATGTTGCAACAGCTCCAGAATTTGCTTGTGTTGAACCAATACTGCTGATATCTATTTCAAGAAGGTTGTGTCTATGATGGGATGTCTTAAAGATGACTTTAACAAAAAAATGTATGCTGAGGAACGGACATATGGAGGTATATTGTCTGCTAGTTTATTACCATCAGTGACTGGGCTGAAACCATAATTTAATTATTATTTTGTATTAAGTTCACACCCGCTGTTTCCTGCGCCGCCATCCCTCCACCCCTGGCCACGCCCCTACTTTTCAAACTCTCTCGCTGGTTCTTGAACCTTCCGGAAGATCCCAGATCGTTCCCGTCTGCTCCTTTGCCTGTTATTACCACTTGTGACCGCTAGTCCGCGGTACTGTCCTTACATCAATACCGTGCTGTGTGCATGTCGTCGGTGGTAGAGAAACCTTTAAAAAAAAAAGCTGCCCATTCGCACGGTCGGGTTGGTTGGCCTGGAATCTTTTCAATTCGTCAGTTCCCAATGCGGCCTCCATGAACTACTTTCTGTGCGTGCAATAAGAGGACGCGAACCGGCGACGCCTTTAACGCGTTGTGCAGTGCGCGTGTGTGATCAGTGAAGCAAAGAACAGGTTTCAGTTGTAGTCGCCCGTTGTTATTTGGCCTTGGGGAGGGGGGCGGTTGCAGTGACGCTGGGCTGAACTGGCTCAGCAAGAATTTACACAACAGACGAATTGAAGAGAGGCCGTGTGTAGCTCCTCCGTCACCCCCTCCCCCTTCACGCCGGGGTTTCGCATCAGCGACAATGATTCAATCGGTAACGCTCTTTCGTCAAGGCTCGCGGTGCCACATGTTAATCGCTTCACTTCAGAATAAGAACAATTGTGGGTGCTGAGTATTACCCTATTCTCAGGATTATAGCCCCCCTCCCCCCCCACCATGTAATCTGGTAGGGGTGTATGTATATGTGCGAGACCAGATTTCTGTAACTTTATTGACAATGGGCACAAGTTATGGGGATGTGTCTTACTTTTCCCGAGTGTCTTAGAATTCAGAGAAAATATTATTTTCTTTTCTTCTGGTCTTGATAAAAAAAATTATAGTGGAGGTGCAGTGGTTACCACACTGCACTGTGAACCTGGTACCTGAGTTTGATTCCTGGCCATGGCTTACATCATTGGCAAGTTACATCTGCAACGTCTCCCAATCGATAAACCCACGCTGACCAACTTGGTGAAGTATGGTCAAACATCCCCCACGAGTGACAAGGCACGGGGAAGAAATTCATCCAGTAATGGATTGACAAAGGGCTGCAAACGTCATGGGTAATAATTCCCTTTCTTTATCCAGGAGAGCCCTACCGAGGTTCAAGACTCACTTTGAAGCAGGTCCCGCATTGCAATGTTCAGCCGAAACTGTACCGAGCATTTTGTATGTAGGAAGTAAATTCTATAATAGTGAGCGAAAAACCCACAGGCCAATGTTTGTTGTTTTTCCTGTTACCTGAAGCCACGCTTGACCAAGCTGAGCTGTGGAAAAAAAAGCTCCTCCCTGTGGACGCAACGAAAACCGAAGCTGGTCGGCAACGTCCCCACCACCACTGTCGAGCACACTGCTTTTCCAAGATTTTTCGTTGTTGTAATTTAATGTCATGTTTATGTAATGTGACGATGGACGCTTTGGGTGGCATCCAAAAAATATATATTTACTTTGACTCTCCTTGGAGATGTAGTCAGACATTTCCTGGACGTAGCAATCGATAGCTAATAAAGGTGGTTCATGACTGATGTTGATGCCGATGTGGAGGACATCACTGACCTCTGCTGCTGTTGCTGCTGCTGGTGGTGGTCACGCAGGGTGCAGCACATCATCAACAACTTAATCGTGCAGCTGATTCTCGGGCTTCCTCTGGAGCTGGTGCACAAGGGCCATCGCGTGGGGCTCGTGTACCTGGCGGGGGTAGTTGCCGGTGAGGCCTCTGTCCCACCACACCACACACGGGCAGGCCCTCTCGCGTGTCACGTGTTCTGGAGGCTGGTGTGGGACAAGGCAGTGACGGTGGTGGCCACAACTGAGCCAGTCCCCACCAGGGCCCCTGATTTAATGTTCTGTTGTGTTTTTAAGGAATTTATTTTGTCTTACCGAAGCGGCCTATCATCAAAATCACGAATAAAATCAAAGTATCGGTACATTTGATATTATCGCCAGCATTATACCGCAAGGGGTGCTATGTTTCACAGATGAGTATTGTCTGCCAGTAAGTAGGGGGGGGGGGGGTGGGCGATGTTGTAATGTGGTTTTACCCAACTAAGTAGCTTGAGGGGTAATTTATCAAATTCGGACAACAACGCCGGCACACGAAGCCAACTCTAATTCAAACCAAGCTGCGGGGTCTTTAATGTCCACTTCGAAGCAGACGGCATGTATTCGATGGCTAATAGGAACCACAGTGTTAAGCACGGTAGCTGTCGGCCTCGAAACAAACAGCAAACACGCTGCCGTTCGGCCATGTCACCGCCCCGTGGCCAAATCACTCGGAACGCACCTCATCCAGTCGGCCAACGGAGTCCGCATCCAGTGGAATCGCGTCGGAACGACACACGTGGCAGAAACGGCCATCTATTTACACCGATGGGACCGTTCATCATAGCCCACAAGAGCGACCGCGGCCACCGCGGAACCGACACTGCCAGATTTCGATCGTTCGCCGGCAGCAATCGAGATAATCGCCACGAGGCCACTCGTTAAAATCATCCACTGGCTCACCGACCAACCCCGACATGAACGTAAAAACATTGCTGGTCTGCTTCCCGCCGTATGAACGAAGCCTCGTGTGTGGGGCCGGCTGCGTGACCGGCCCAAACGGTGTCTCGTCTCCGTGTCGGCGTGGGCAGGCTCACTCGCCAGCTCCGTGTTCGACCCGTGTGTTCAGCTGGTCGGCGCGTCTGGCGGAGGCTACGCGCTCATTGGGGGGTACTTCATGAACGTAGTGGTGGTGAGTTCAACTACGCGTCGGTGAAGGTCCACAGACGCTCACCGCTGCATCGGTTGTTGCAGTAAAGCCGACCCGGAGTGTCCATTTCGGTTGGGATAGAGTTTGGCTACCGTTTAAGTGGGTATCATTATAACTCAACATCATCATCATGCATCACCATCTCCAGTATCACTCTCATCATCAGCAACAACAGCATCATCAACAGCGGATTACTTTACGAGTGATTTTGCAAGACTATTAGTTTTGCTTTTACGCGGAGTAATATAATTATTTACAGCCCTTTGTCAATCCACTGCTGGATGAAGGAACTCCGCAAGCCGTGAAGGTCGCAGGGGTTATTTGAGCATACGTCATGCTGGTCAGTGAGGGTTAGTGAGGGGTACGCAGAACAAGTTCAGATTTAACTCACCACCGATGTCATCAGTGGCCAATGATCAAACTCGGTTCGCAAGGTTTTACACAGTGGTGCAAACCACTGCACCACCACTCCCACCTACTGCGTGGCACCTGACAAAGAGACGATATTTGTGGTTTGTAGTCTACTCTGTTATAACGACTCACGTTTCATTTGCCTTGCAGAATTTTAAGGAGATGAAGCCTCTGTTTGGAGTATTCCGACTTCTCTTCATCGGCAGTATAGGTAATGTTACAATTCAATGTCCTTTCCTTGGTGATCAACGTCAGTGTGGAAAAAAAAACAATTGTACCAGATGATTTTTTATTAATTCGCCGAGATACCGGCTTGGAACTCGACACGGCCAACAGTGCCGCTGTCGCCCGAGGCAACTCGTCCGGTTGGACACAACTGCCCTGGTCGACTTTGTGATTCTGAGTGATTTTCAGCCTTTGTCCAGGTTTGGGTAAAACTCAACGCCGATTTGTTCCATGGCGAGGAATTGAACTCTGAGTTACTGGGTTCATATCGCAGTTCGCTAACCACTGCACCATCTGGAAATAATACTGCAGGAAACTAACTGTAAAACTGGGTTCAAGTTAAGGAAAAAAAAGAGCATGGAAGGTATGCATGTACTGTATCTTGAACTTCTTTCACACCGTATGTAGCCAGCCGTGATAATCGGAGGTGCAGGGGGAAGGACAACAAACTAAGTCTGGACTTCCCACACAATAACTTTTGCAGAATACTCTTAAGTGCACATGCTGTTGATCTTTGTTTCTACTTCAGTCAATAAAATGTATTTTACTGCGTAAAAATTTTGCCTTTCCAAAATAACTTTCACTTCCAGTATAAGGTTTACGGCATTTAATGTTTAACCTTCATTTCTCTGCAAAGGCCTCCTTTTTTTGCTCTGGTATTGCCCTGTGACTCTCAACTTCTCCCTTGACAGTTTCATGTATTAGGTATTACCCTGTGAGCCATGCGGCTCTTTACTCAGGTGCAACCGCAACAAAAAAAACATGAACAAGGAACATCTTAAAGTGACTACACGCAACAGAAACATCCAGGAAAAAAACAGCAGAGAGAGCCGCGGGCTTAGTGAGCTTTCACCCCGTTGAAATTATTAAATAAATAACAATGGTTCGGTAACCCCGTTAATCAAACAAAGTTGTCCGCCTTTTGGCGTTGTTCTCCGTTCTGCCACTGGTTAGACAAGGCCACAAAAAGAGGCTGTCGATCAATTTCAAGAGCAATGCGTACATTTTAAAAGCACGAGTGCGTGCATGTTTTACCACCACATGCATGATGTGTGGTTAATGCAGACTTGATGCCTTGCAAAAGGTGGGTCTATTTGGCGTTTAAACATCTTAACACCTCCTCTATTAATGGCGGGAAGGGGTATAAAAAGCCTTTTATTTGTTTCCATCGCACAAGGTTGTTTCTCAAGTGTGGCAAGTTGACGGTCTCACCTCATTCTCTCAACGGCGGCACAAAAACAAACCCATCACAGTAAAAAAAAAGATGTGGCTTACCACTTCATTTGTAAAAGTCTCACTCCAATAATTAAACAAAATAAAAATGCAGTTTGAGCGCCGCACAGAAGGGCGTGTAGATAAGAGGCAATGGAAGAGACCTCGGAAAGGAGTTAGAGCTATCGCCTTCAGAAGCTGCTCTGTAACGTGTGGAGATGCACTTCCTCTGCGAGACTTCGAAATTGGTGACACCTTCTAACGGCGTGATCGCGGTGGACAGCGGCAGCGGCGATGCAATTTGGAGGGAGGAAAAATAAAAATGAATAAAATAAATATTGCGGGAAATATATTTTGCCCCGCAAATTTGCAGGAACCGCATGATTGTACATTTCCGTTCACCGAGGGTGGTTTGCGAGCACAGTCATCAAGTCGTTCCTCGTTACCGGTTACAATCAGATATTTTTTGAGTGCCACACTGTGGCCAGATGTAAAATTGAACAAGTAATATTTTTTAAAAACTTTTTTTAAAACACGCTTTTATGAAATGTACCGTACTAGTAATGGAAGAACTCCACGACTCCAGTAAGTAAGGGGAGCGTGGTGATTTACAGCCAACGTCAATTGAGCGTGGACAATTAAACCCAAGCCGAAACATAACATGTAAAAAAATAATGTTTAAAAATATATTTTATATTTTTCATGATAGAATATAGTATTGTCATCAGTATGACATAAGTATACCAAGTTTGCAGTCGATACGACATTGGGAAGTGGTTTAAAATTAAGTTACAAGATTTGAGGATACAACAGTACTTTGTTTCTGGTGTTCTGCATGAGTTAACCAGCGTACACGCTGCTCTTTACACCCCCCCCCCCCCCCCATGATGATGTATGATGAACTTCTTTTACACCGCACGTATGACAATTAATGTTTTTCCCACACAGTGCTATCAGATGTCGGAGTGGCCATTTACAGGAGATTTATTGCCAAAGAGATTGCGCAACAGGTGAGGCATTGTCAGAACCGTTCTTGGATTCCCGTCACTCATAATCAGATAGGAAACTGTTGACGCTTTACAAATTCAAATCCGTGTTGTGCAATCACGAGCCAAACTCGTCTGGTATAGGAAGCTAAGCAGGATGGAGCCCTCGTCGTGCTCGGATGGGCAAGCATTATAATTATTGTAGGCTGCAGGGCCACAACATTTAAACAAGGCAAAGATCTCCCGTATAGCCTTAACAGCACTGTTGGGGCAAGTGCTGTTAGCGAGTAGCAGCACCCCTGTGAAAGCCGACAACGGCGCACGAGGGGAGGGTGGCCAGTAACCACGCCCGACCGCCTTTGTCTCCCCAGTGGCGATGTTTACGACAAACCGCACCAGGTACTCATTTGAGGCCGAGCCGACCTAGGGGAGGCCCAGGACCGGTTCAGATAACCGTCACCGACGGTGTTGGCCGTGAGCGGGATTCGAACTCGGGTGGCCGGGTTCGTAGCGCAGCGCGGCGCTAACCGCTGCACCACCGCTCCCCGCACAAAACACAGTCAGTCAGTACACGCCTTGACAAAGCTGCACTGACCGACGCAGACAAATAACCTCCACAACCCTGTGCGTACACACGCGTACTTTGTACGATGGATGCAATTTCATCAGCTTCAAAGTGACGTGGTCAGAGAAAGAGGGCTTCACCCGCTTGTTATCGTCGGCAGCATTCCCCCACACCGCGTGCCGAATGACGGGGGCCCAGACATCGCCAGGATTAACAAACAGGGGAGTCTTCCTTTCGGCGGCGGTGTCAATGCACCAGCCCCATCAGAGTTCGCGTTACAAAACCACCCATTATAGCCGGTCCATCGCAGGCTCGATCATCAAATAAACATAAAATAAACGGTACATTGACAATGACGATTGGTGAGCGCCCTCCTGCAAATGCTGCCAGCAGTACACGCAGGGTTCCCTTACAAACATGCTGTGTTGCAGGGTAACAGGAAATGTGACATTTGTACAGGCAGAACGATATTAATTCATTATTTCATCCACGTCCATTTATAACCAGCTCAAGAGCCCATTGAGATAAAATGTTATTTTTAAAAGGAGTTCATTGCCCGGAGGCCATTATCGACCTTTATAAATTTCTCTGGAAGATTATTTCCTGTTGTCACGGTCTACGCATTTTTCCAGAAATGTGTTACAGTCCCCCCCGCCCCTGACCCCCGCTCTCCCAAGTAAGCTTCTTTAATTGAACACTTTCCACCGCCATCCAGCCGTGGAGTTTTAGCACGACCTCGTTTTTGTTTTTTCTTGCTCGTTTCTCCTCGATTTTGTTTGGCAAAAAAAATAAATCGCTGCCATCGTGACCAATGTCGACTAACATCGCTTCGGGGGCAGGTGTCGTTTGTGGCTCACATAGCGGGCGGGCTGGCGGGCGTGTCCATGGGCTACGTGGTGTTCACCAGCTACGACCAGAGCCTCGTGAAGGACCCTCGCTTCTGGGTGTGCCTCCTCGGCTTCGCCATCTGCACCCTGGTCGCAGTCGCCTTCAACATCTGGCTCTCGCCAGCCGTCGATTGTTTCCGTTGAAGCGTCCGGACAGCCTCCTCCCCACCGACCCTGTCGTGCGCGGCCACACCGATCTGCCTTGCCCGTGATGAACGCGGGACAACTGCGGAGATCCAACTTCGTCGTTATTTATTTGCTAGCGAGTCTCCCCCAGTGCGGCTGTGTGGGTCCACCGGTCTTGGTGTGCAACGTTACAAGAGCTCGGTGCGCTCCGTGTAGTTCTGGAGTGGAATTCAACAATGACTTGCTGCTTGCACCCTGTGGTGCAACTTTGAGCCGGCAAGGATTGGTTTATATTTTTGTTGTATTGTTGTGAATGTATTCATCTTTTATACGGTAAGAATTGGATTGGGCCAATAATAATAATAATAATGTATTGGAACTAAACTGGTCTTGCAACGGTTCTTTTTTAAATAGCTTTAACGGAGTGTAACAAAAAAAATATATAGATAGTTCGTGATCTACAATTGGCTTTCACATACAATGTCATTATCAGGGGTCGGAAACCAATATAACAAGAGCCGTTTTTGTCGAATTCGGTAAAAAAAAAACCCTCAACATTTGAACAGCCACAATGCATGTAAATACGAGACGGCGATCCTAAAAACCTAATAACGTCACGAAGCAGTCTTTAAAGAGCCGCATTGTGGCTCTGGAGCCACAGGTTGCCGAACCCTGGTTACGATGCAGAATTTACGACTATGATGAGCCAAGAATGTCTGTGTGTCCCGCACGTGACGTCTCTCCACGTCGGCCAGCCCCCCCCTCATTAATAATCATGAACAGGTGACGTCCTCCACATGGATCCTCGCCCCTCATTAATCATGAGCGGATGACGTCACTCCACATATAGCCCCCCCCCCCCACCATTAATAATCATGAGCAGGTGACGTCACCACATCGAACAGGCCCCCACAACAATTATGAAGTGACGTCTTCCAAATGGACACCCTCCCCATAATTAATAGTGGGTGACGTCACTCCACATGGGGGGGGGGGAGGCGCCTCCTCCCCCCCTCCTCGGCGTCAACTTACAGCCCTCACCACAGAGGCAGAACCCTCACGTCATCACGTGATCTCCGTGACGCTGTTGAGACATCAATGTAAAAAGGACGTCATGATGAACAAGGGATTATAACCTTTAAATTAACTAAGTCTGTGTCACCGCGGCCTTACAAATTGCACATGCAATGAATATATCACGTCGCGGCCTGATTTTCGCTTGCAAGTTTCAGATTTACTGAAATGCACCCGTCCTTGGGCGGCCAAAAGGCGAGTTATAGTTTTGTTTAGATTATATCGTGTAGGTTATGTCGGGAAGATTATCGTTAAAAAAAAAACACTGGCATAGCTCGACGGATCTGACAAAAAAAATGAACGAATTATGTATCGTCTGTTTACATTCTCAGTTTCTGTTCGTTACGATGTCTTGTTTGGATAACAAGTAGTGCCATTGTCGTCGTCACTTGTAAATCGTACAATACACGTTTTCATGGAAATTTGGGGGCACTGTGGCTTTTTTTTCCACTGCCATCTTTCAAAATGCTGAGGCGGCACGAATGCCACCACTTGTGTGCGAGTGGCCGGGAGAAAAGGGGGGGGGGGGGGAAGTAAAAGAGATGCACGCGTGCACATCCTGGAGACAAGTGGGCTCCACATTCACGCAGCCTCCTGACTTCCCCATGTCACACACAGCACTCTGCCAGTTTATAGAGCACAAAGCCCTGGGCTCACACTTTCCTTCACAATCCCAAAACGTCCGCCCCCCACCCTGCCTGGTGACTGTGCACAAACCTCCTCAAGGCGGTAACACAAAGAGGCCTGGATGCTTCGTCATGGCTTGGCTCAGCTCTGGTTCAAGTGAGTGGGCTCGAAGTCACGGTTAACTTGAGCCGGCTCTGAGCCACGGTGAACTTGAGCCGGCTCTGAGCACGGTCCCAGCAACGCTCAGGATTTCCGTGAGCCGAGCCTAAAAAAATAAAAATATTTGACGAGGTGATGCCCACTGAGCTGTTTAGCTCGTTTTCATGAGCGACCTGGCCACAAATGACAGCTCGACATAGTGGCTTATTAGTGTGGAAATTTAGAGCAGCCAAATACTCTTAAACGCACGTTTCTACATGTGGAGGGGAGAACATGCAAACTCCAAATACTGTATACAGGCGATAGGGTTGGAGGATCCAATCCACGACCTCTGCACATCAACGGATCGAGTTAACATCTCCCCAACACAGCGCATCTTAAGGAAGCAGCCGAGTGGCTCAGCCCCGAGCTGGGCCATGTTAGACGCTGAGCCGTGAATAAGAATATGACCCTGAGTAAGCACAGGAGGGCACAGTGTAATGCAGAATTCGTCTTTTATTATCATTATTAAAAGGGCTGGGGACACGTGACAATGGTGAACACTTATTTGAGGTAAACACATTGTACAGTTATGCAGTAACAATGCTAAACCCACGTTGCATATGTAAGTTACCACAAGGTTTCAAACGTTACGTTAACTTTATGCTGCGGCTTCATCTTCGCAAACTTTTCCCCTCACCTTACATTTCCTAACTTAGTTTTTAATGCTTTCCAACTAAGGTTAAAAGCATTTTCCACATTAGCTCCATCTACCTGTCCATAAAGGGGAAATAAAATAATGATCTCGAAGATGATCCAATATGAACCAAGCTGTAATATAAATTTGTGTCACTATCAGGGTTTTAACCTACTGAAAAACCAGGAACATTCACCAAAACGTTTCCCAAGACATGGGAGGCACAAATCAGGCCAAAAAATATGCCAACACATTTTACCCTGACAACCACCTGTCCGGCTTCAGTACTGCTAATTAAATACTTCCAAAGAAAAATGCATGTTGGGAAGAATGACTAAATCCATGTGTGTGCATGATTTTTGTCCCCATTTTTATTTCAGCTTTCTTGCCCAATCCCCTTTTCTCACCCCAAAGGCCTCTTCCCCTCTCCAGCAACCGTCTCCTCTCCCTCGCCAAATCTCCCCCCCCCACCGCCTGTCCTCCCCACCCGCTCTACATCGCCAAACCTTCACCCCGCGACTCCCCTCTTTGCCCACGCGCCGCGTCGACGATCTCAGTGATCGGACGCCGTCACGAGCTCGAACCACTGGCGGAGGGCGTCGCTCAGCGTCTCGGGGAGGGCGTTGACGTCGCGCAGGACGACGTAGAACGGGAACGGGAACTCGTCCATGTAAGAGCGGATCTCGGGCAGCGTCCCGGGACCCCCGAAGATCGGCACTTTAATGTCGAGCAGCGAGTCCTGGTGGCCGGGGAGCGTGGGACGGGGGTGGGGGGTACGTAAAGATGAGGGGTCGTAAGGGGGTCAAGAGAGAGCAAGGGCGGTCGGCAGAATCTGCCGAGTTTGCGAATGCCAACGGTAAAATCTTTACGTTTCACAAGACCACGGTGGATTGCAAGACGCTGGCGGAGGGCAACTGGGATGTGTACGGAGGCAGGACTTTATGCGAGCAAGAGTGACTGCTTCTGAGGAATCGGGATGGGTGAGGTGGATGTGTGGCGTGTCTACGAGTGAGATGCAAGGAGTGTGAGAGGTAATCGCAATGTCCAGCCTACCTCTTCGCCTCGTGAGTTTTGAGATTTGGTTGGGACTCTTATCTGCCAGTAGCGGTTGGTGCTATGGGAATTACAACTGCCAAGAGTAATTCATGGAATTTACGCGGCAAAACATTGTGGTAACCCTCGTATGTACAGACACACACAACAAATTTAGAAACATCCCACTAAATACAGAATAACTGTCCGTTCTTGGCCAATTAATGCAGTTGCGGAGGCGTGCAGTGGTTCGAGGCGTGCACGGACAGACGGGGTAGGGCTCGCGCGCCACTCGCTCACCTTGCTGTCCGGGTTGTCGAGGGCGACGAAAATGAGGAAGACGCCGGCGTCCCGGGCGGCGCGAATCGCCGCCTGCACGCGCTGCTTCCCCTCGAGGAAGAGCCCCCGGCCGTCCGACACGACCAGGAGCAGCTGCGACGTCTCTGTGAGGACGAGGCGCAGGGGGCGATGGGTGAGCGGGTTGCCAGCCAGGTGCCGGCCAGGTCACAGCCGGCGCAACGGGGCGATCCCAGATTGAGGGCAGCGCAGCCAGGGGAGACACGCGAGACGATGTGCGTGAGCCTCGTGAAATTAGAGCAATATGCTTTGGGCATTATGGATGAGTCAATTGAAGGATCTCAGAACTAGTTCTGCAATATCACCTTCCAGATATTATTCGTCGTATGTATGTTGAACTTCTTTTGCACTGTACATAGCCAATCGTGCAAATCGGAGGTGCGGGGGAAGGACAACAATCTAAACACAGAAAGCATTTCTAAAGAGATGAGTTTTCAAATCTAGATTTAAAACTGCATAGCTCCAGTGGCTTCCTAATATCGGAAGAGCATTCCAGACGGTCGCAGAAGCGCATCTGAAAGCCTGCGATGCATTGGCTTTCTTTGTTCGATGGCAAGACAAAAGCCGCTGCTGAGAGTTTGACCGGAGTTCGGGTGATAGTTGATGCTCCTTGACGAGATCAGTAAGGTATTGTGGTTAATTTTTTGCAAGATCTTGGCAAAACTGCACGTATATAGTTGTGCTGTTTGTCTCAGATCGGTCAGACTCACCCAGGGCTCCTTTAATTCCACTTTGCTGGTTCTGCCGCGCAGAGAGAAACATCCTCGTCACCTCCTCCAGAAACTGAAAGCAAACGAAACACGCACAGGTGAACGCAGGTGAACACGGCGGCATCGTAACGGTGAACCACCGGCAGCACCCACGCAACGAGATGCATGGGTTCTCATTCATAATTAGTTTTTTTTTTTGGGGGGGGGGGGTTTAGATTGCGTAGGTACAATGCCAATTGTCAACTATGTTTTCCGCCACCCTCCACAGCACTAATCAAATAAAGTTGTCACATGGGCAAAGACGCACATATTGATCTGTTGTTTATTTTAGCAGAGCGGAGCGCCGGAAAGCAAGCAAAATATTTAGATTTTTTTCGACGTAACATTTCGCTGGAGAATAACACAGAGCATCATCAGGCGTTAGCAAACGCTCAGCTATTGTGTGACGCATGGATTCTGCAACACATTCTAGCACGCGGTTGTCCTTGGAAATTAATTAGCGATATGAAAGGCGACGGGAATTTGTCAGCGTAAAACATGTTTACAAATGTGATCTGGATTGTCTCTCAATGTCATAATAAACCTTTATTGGAAATCTTTCAAAAGGCCACTCTGCCATTGGGCTCCATCACATACACATCCGTGGAGGGGAGAGACAAAGAGTGGGAGATACAGCTGGGACTTTTACCAAGGGCAAGATACAAAACGTACAAAAAGAATGAGAAATCTTGAGTTTTATTGCAACGCCAAAAATGCGACGATCCTTTGAAGCATGGTGGTTGGGTGGCTGGACGGATTGACTGGGTGGCCGGGTTGAGTGGGTGAGGAGGCGGTCGGGTGGGTGGGGCTGGTTCCAGATGACCACGGCAGCACGAATGGAGATTCTGGAGCCGTGGAACCGGGGCGCGTTCGTCACCTGGGCGATGTGAGTCTTTTTCTGCTGGAAGGTGCAGCTGCGCAACACCGCGGCGCCGCCCTGCTCCGTGAACGGCTCGTGGAAGGGGTGCAGCAGGCGCATCGTCTCCCCGAAGCTGAGGGGCGGCAGGGGGAGGGGGCAAGCGCCGAGTGTGTCGGTGTTTGCCCAACAGCGTTTGCATGTGTTGAGGGCCACCCACCCCCTCTCGTGCGCCGTGCCGGCCTTTATAGGTGCTCGCGAACGGCCCCAAAAGTCTGCTAAGGCTGTACGGGGGACCTCTGTCTTTGCTTTGTGTATGCACATGTGTGCGTGTGGATGCATGGGTGTGTATGCCTGCTTTGTGTGCGTGGTGGGGCACAGTCAGTCACACGCTGTGCCGTGAATCCAAAGACTTGGGTTCCATTCCCAGCTTAACAATAGTATGCAAGTGTTGTTTCAGAACGCGTCTTTGGCCTCCCCTCGGTTAGCTGAACCTTAAATGAGCGTGGTGTATAAACAACAAGACAGGGGGGGAGTGACCGTGTCGGCCTTAATAGGAACCCTGCTAACAGCACTTGCCCCAATAGTCTTCGGGCACCACGGAGAACGGTCATTGTGTCTGCATGCGTTAAAGACGCACGAGCGTGGTGGGTGGGCGCGCTCTCACCTGCAAACCGCTATCTGCCCGACTTCCAGCAGGCTCAGCGCATTGCCAATCACGGCCAGAGACTCAAAGGCGAGCTGAGGAACAAGGGAAAACCGTGTGGTAAGAACAGCGGTCGCGTGCATTTTTCTCCGGGTCCTCCGGTTTTTCCTGCCACATTTAGAATCAACGTCACAGGCTGAGAGTATTTGGCTGCTATACATTTCCACATGATAGGCCACTTCGTTCAGCTTCTGAAAAAGAGCTACATAGGTCAGTGGGCTTTATCTGGTAAAATAATTAAATTTTAGCTTATCTCTCATTTTTTTGGTGCGTCAGATGGCAACTACAACAGCATCGAACTACTACAAGTCAGTACCAGCCTGTCCTTTGGACAAGGTCAATAATATTCCAACTCATGAGTGACCTTATGCCTCATCAGACTCAGTCCGGTCACATTTGATTTCATTGAAGTTTAACTATTAAAACGAAACCCTCACTAATCAGCATGGTGAAGTATTTTATTTTACCAGTTAATGCCCACTGAGCTATATAGCAGCTTTTCATAAGCGACCCGGCTATCACAAATTATATCGACAACGAAGCGGCTTATCACGTGGAAATTTTATAGCCGCCAAATACTTTAAATGTATGTATTGAAATGTGGAGGGGAAAACCGGAGGAACCACATGAAAATCCACGCGACCACAGGGAAAACATGCAAAAACTCCAAATATACAGGGGTCGGGGTCGAACCTTCTGCATATCGGGCGAGGCAGTTAACATCTCGCCACTGTGGCGCCCTGGTCAAATAACCTTTCCCCCCATCGCTTCTGCACCGGAAGCGGCACCGCACTGTCCAAACCACGCACCCCCCCACACCGCCCCCCCCCCCATACACCGCCCCCCCCCCCGCACCTGCTTGGAGTGGTTGTCGAGCATGCTGGACGAGTCATCCACCGCCACGCACACCTGGTAGCGCCGCTTGCTGGGCTGTGTGCGCCGCAGCCAGATCTTGTCCTTGCGGAAGCCGCTCGCCACGTAGGGGATCACCTTGCGCATGTTTAACCGCTTGCCGGTGCGGAAGTCTCCCCTGGGGGAAGCGGGTGGGGTGGGGTGGGGGGATTCGTGGGTACATCGACGAATGGTCAAGCTGACGACCTGCAGGGCCGCTGGCGCTTCAGCCAGATTGGCGGTGCAGCGCGAGTCGGCATGGGCCCAGGCTCAAGGAAGGAATTGGGGGGACCACCCCCTGTACAAATCCCCCCCAGCCCCCCCCCCATCCTTGGTCCGTGGGCCCCCGTGCAGTTGCACTGCATGCACACTCGGTGAGCTACGTCATTGACGAGGCCTTTGTGGGAGAACAAAACTTTTTTTTTTTAATCCTTGGCTAATAACGCATTTCGTGCAATTTGTTGTGCATCATGTGACTTGTCATCCATCCACTCGCGTTACCCGCTGTGTGACAAACACCTCCCATTGGACAGAGGACTAACAGAGGCCTAAGGAAGACCGTGAGTGCAAAATTCGGCTCAAGCCCGGTTGAATCGATGATCGTTGTATCGCAGGATTGTGGGAGGTGTGCGGCGGCTTGGGAGAGGGCCTTCATCCAGCGGTGGATTGACAAATGGCCGACGACGATGACGACGATGATCGTTACATCCCGTGCAGGCACGCGCAAGGGGGATCTCACCGGAGTTTGGCCGCCTGCGTGGGCTCCAGGATGAGGCGTAGGTGCTCGCACAGCTGCTGAGCCAGCGGGCTCGTCAGGTGGATGTACCTCTGCCAGGCCTCGGACGCCACTCGCGCCTGCGTGCACATCACGAGGGGGACGCACGCGCACACCGGGCTTCACGAAATACTCCGCTGCTGCGTGTGCGTGCGAGCACGGTAAACACGAGAAAAAGCGATGCCTCCAATCCTGTCGGATCTCACACGCCGAGCACAGCTGAGGCTGCGAAGCACTTGGGATGGGAGACTTCCGAGGAATACGAGGAGAAAGAATCTTCACAATAACCTCCCCCCCCGCCCCCGCCCTCCGGAACTTTCTCCTCAGGCTACACTGCCTGGACCCCTCTTCTTCCTGTATTCAAGTCTCTCCTAAAAAAACGTTCCTTTTGAAGCCACTGATTTGCTTCTCTCGTCTCCTTCCCTTGCTCGATCGCCGCCATTCCCCGACCACTTTCCTCCCGTGTAACCTTGCGCTCCGAGACGTTTTCTCCGTTATGGGCTCATCGTTATAAATAGGTGTTCTCGTTGTATTGGGAAGCGACTCACCTCCTCCAGTCGCTCGTCCGTGGGGTGTCTCCACACCTCCAGCTGCTGCTCCAGCTGCTGGCGAATGACCTCCACACTCTGACGGTGACACGGGCGCGGAAGCAAGGGTTTGTTGTTATTTTCAGGCGATCTCTGCCACAGGCACTGCAACAGAGGGTCTGAACTGAACATCGTCAGTCACGTGGCAGCATGTTGCCTCCCAATGATTGGTAAACACACCCCATGTGACAGAGAGAACGCCGAATCACATTGAGAAAGAGAGAGGTCTCTCGTCGGCGTGCGTGTACGTACGTCTTTATCAATCATCGGGGAGTATGCGGAGTGTCACAATTTAATTTGTATCTTGAATAGAGTGGAGAATTGTAAACAAGAAAAATCAGACCGACGAGGTTCGCTGGTTTAAGTGACCCCCGCACACTGTTGGCTTTGCCTCTGATTAACTACCCAGAATGCACCCGGCTATCTCGTCAAAATTCAGAAGTTAAGCCGGTTTGAGCCCGGACAGTGCTTTGATGCATGAACACCACGCGGAAACAGGTTGCCTTAGCTGGCTCAGGGGGGCCCACGCTACACAGTTTGCAGTAGAAGGCAGCGAAGATAAATCCATCTGTGTAATGGACGCAGCTAAGCTCCCATCTGTGATCCCCACCTTCACCAGCCAACGCTAACAAAGTGTGGCAAAGCATGACCCAATAACCCTCACGAACCGCACGGCATGAGGAGGCCCTCATCCATCAGCGGATTGACGACCAGACCGATGCGTAACTTTGGATGTTTGTTCGTTCATTCATTAGGAATCTCAGGAGCGTTACGAACGCTTGGCAGACGCGCCACTCTCGAGCACAACAACAACCGTAACAGACCCGCACACGAGCCGGAGAACATCAGAGGCGGTCGCACAGTCCGGGTGGGCATTACGCTCGCCGAATCCACCGCACGGCCCAAACCCGCGACGCCGGTGCCGGCGGCACCTGTGGGTCGGTCTCGGTGAGGGCGGTGAGCGAGGTGTGGAAGGTGGACTCCCGGCTCCGCTCGGTGGGCCCGCTCCCCGGCTCGATCTCCGTCATTTCCACGTCACCGTCCTCCTTAGTGGCCCCCTCCAGCTCCGAGCTGGGCTCCGCGGACTCTTTCCCTGGGGGTTGAGAGAAGATGAAATATAAATAAAGGGAATGAATTAACCCTCCTGGAGGAAGCATCCTCCACTCAGAATGGGGACACGCACGGGTGGAGGAGGACGCAAGCTGCGTTTAAAGAGAGAGACATTTTCACGACATACAGGTAGTCCCCGACTTACGATATTTAGATCTTACGATGGCAATTAGCGATATGACAATATTGTAAAATATTTTTAATTTCGCGCGGCAGGCAAACGCAGCAGCGTACGAGATACGATTACTGTACTTATCATCGCCACCCTCTTCTTCCGGGAACTAAGTTAATGTAGCCATCAACAACCTAACATCGTTCAAGTATGCAGACGACGGACAGAATCTTGGTGAGTACAGTAAAATATGATACGTTACAATACGTTCAATGCATGTATGATACATAGCTTTAGCGATTTCATTTTAGGGTTACCACGATACGATACATACGTTCAATGCATGTTAAAAGTTTTTATAGCATATAGGATTGTTTCCTGAAAAAACTTTCTATTAAATTGCAGTTCTTATAGGTAGGCTAAGAATTTACCTTGTTTTTTTACTTTAAATTCTACTGTGCAATACAGTATTGTAATTAATAAATACATACAGTATATAGTTTATACAGTACGGTACGGTACTGTAAATTGCTCTGTTTTGCTAAATCATCACCGTTCTTTAAGACTCCTGGGTAGGCTAAGGCCATTTTCGACTTATGATATTTTCGACTTACGATGGGGTCGTCGTAACGCATCTCCATCATAAGTCGGGGAACTACCTGTATTTCACATAGCACCAGTCCAGTAAAAAACATTACGGAGGTCTGCCTCATATACGGAACGTGGGGACAGTGTTTTTAGGCGTCACTCAGCGGCAGTGCCCACAGTCACCTGGCACGCTGCACGACGCCGGCTTGTCCTGCGCCGTCATCTCCTTGGCCTCCACGGCGCGCAGTTCCTCGTCCACAGCATCGTCCGCCTCGTCCGGTGGTGGAACCTCGTCCGTGGCGGCATCGTCCGTGCCCTCGTCCTCCTGCTGCTCGGCGCCGTCCGTGACCGCCCGGGACAGCTCCTGCTGCTCCAGCGTGGCGGCATCTTGCGAGGAGACGGAGGGCACAACATGGGGTGTTTGCGCGGTGAGAATGCAATCATCTATGGCGTTATTCAATGTGATGACAATTTCAACTTGCGTAACGCGCCGAGCAGGAAGGCAGCCACGTGATGAGCTGGAGCCAAGCTCTGCGGTTCTCTTTTACATTAAGGCGCACAAACTCCGGTCATCCTCGCAGCATACTTTTGGCTAACCATCGAAGAAAGATGGTCCACTGCATCGCGCGCTTTCAGATGCGCTTCTGTAGCCATCTGGAATGCTCTTCCTTCCGATATTCCGAAGCCACTGGGGATATGCACTGTTATAAATATAGATTGAAAAGTAATTTCTTCCTAACTGCTTTTCGTGTTTATTTTTGTATGCTTCCCCCACACCTCCAAATAGCACGGTTGGATACGTACGGTGAAAAAGACGTCCAACATACATACAGCCAATTAATGAGCATCTATTACTGCCCTTGATGTCGTTCACTGTGGTTAGCATTTTATAACCACGGGCTCCGCGGAGGGAGCGGCGAGTTGCGCGAGAGGCGGCGGCGGCGGCGTCTTAACGAGGAGGCCACGCTGCGGCCTCACCGAACGTGACGCGGTCGTGCTGCCCGCTCGGCTCTGGCATGTGCTGGTACAGCTCTGCGTCTTCGTCCCGCGCCTTCTCCTCAGCGTCTCCCTGCCGCTCCGTGCGCTCCTCCGCGTCCACCGTCTTCAGCCTCTTGTTGGCTCGGCTGTCGTGCTCGCGGTCGCCCAGGGTCCTCCGCTCGTTCGTCTCGCCCGGCTTGCGCTTGTAGCTCTGAGACGGAAGAGGGGACGGCGCGCAGCGTGAACAACAAGTGCAATGTGCAATAGAAACTATACATTTGGATTTACGGTGTCACTGAATGCAACGGCATACAGAGCACAGCCGTGCTAATCGGAGGTGCGAGGGAAGGGCCACAAAACTAAACACAAAAAAGCAGTTCTAGAGAAGTGAGTTTTCAATCTGGATGTCAAAGAGCATAGCTCTAGTGGCTTCCGAATAACGGAAGGAAGGGCATTCCAGACGACCGCAGAAGCGCATCTTGACGCGCGCAATGCGGTGCCTGTCATATCCAGACGATGTGCAGTGCACGGTAATGGCACCATGTCGGATGCTACAGGGCACGTGCGGAAGACGACGGTGCTGCAAGATGCGATTGAAGCGCTCCCGTGGACGAGAGGCAAGTCCCGAGACGACTCGGGAGAAAAATAAATCTGCACCTGCGTGTTGTCGCGCGTGTCCCGGCGGGAGGCGAGCGGCGCCACCCTGTCGGACTCGTGCCCCTCGGCCTCGCAGCTCTCGGCGGCGCCCGTGCCGTACTCCTGCTCGTGGCACAAGGCAGGGCAAGGGAGTTAGCGTCTCTTCACAGAGACACCCGAACAAAGCATTTTAGTTTAATGAATCCCGAGGAGACGTAACATCAACGGCAGACCCCGCGACCTTCGATCTTCGATGTAACCCAGGTCCGCCTATGCGAACCAGATAATGTTTACGCATTTGTCATTGTCGGACAGGGGGAGGTAGCTTGCATTAGTTTAATATATATAGAAACATACTGTTTATTATCACCTATCCTGTAGGACAATAAATGAAATGTTAAGATGAAGTTAAACGCTGCGCCATGCTGTTGGGAGCTGGTGCAGTCACCGGCGGGTTGGGGGTGACACGCTTGTGACACGCTTGTGAGACGCTTGTGACACGCTTGTGAGACGCTTGTGACACGCTTGTGACACGCTTGTGACACGCTTGTGACACGCATCGCTACAACTGTCGTTTCCCTTCTCCCCGTGAGACGATCGTAGGGGGCGTCCGTGACCCGGGCGGGCACCCACCTCCTTGCCCTGCTCCTCCTGGGCCGTGCTGCCCGCACGCTCCAGCGCCAGCTCGCTCTGCAGGCTCCCGTCGGCCGCTTCGCCGTCCGTCGCTCGCTCCGCGCGCTCCTCCGCCGCTTCCTCGTCCTCCTCGCCCTCCTCTTCCCCCTTGGGCTCCATCCCGCGGTCGCTTGTGCCGGCCGTCGTCTCCTCTCTGCGTTCATCCTCTTTGTCCGCCTCCTCTCCCTGCTTTTTGTCTTCGTCGGCGTCTCCTTCCTCGGTCTCGCCGGAGGCCTCGGCTCCTTCTCCACGTTCTTCGCCGCCCTCCCCTTCTTCGTCCTCCTCTTTCACCTCGTCGCTATTCGCTTCATTCTCCATGGCCTCTTTCTCGGAGTCTTCAGCTCCCTGCTCTTTTTCCTCCTCCTCCTCCTCCTCCGCCTGCTACGAGAATAAGACGATCGTAACATGAACAAGGGTGAACGCAAGCGCAGAAGGCTCACCGTTTACCAAACCATGGGACCATCAACTCGCTACACTTCAAAACACCTGCAGCGGAAACTTGGATTAGAACCCAGGCTCTCAACTGTGCCTGCTGCCGAGTGCCCCGACACCGGTATTGGCTTGCCGAGCCACCGGGCCACCTCGCACATAGAAGACAAGTTAAACCATGGTTAGCCAAGTGTGCGTCTGTACTGTCACTGAACTGTATGCATGTATGTATGTTGAATTTCTTTTGCACCGTACATAGCCAACCGTGCTAATCGGAGGTGCGGAAGATCCCACGGAAGATAAGCACCGGGGCTCACGGTGCTGCATTTGCCTGTTGCAGCCTCAGGGCTTGGTTGATGTTTATCTTGATTAGACAGAGGTGAGAAGTCGAGAGAGCAGGAGAGCGACCCCGGTGTCGCCGTGTACCTGTGTGCCTGCGTCAGCAGAGGCCTCCTCTTCCTGCCGCTCGCCCGCCTCCCCCTCTTCCGTCCCTTTCCCGCTGTCCTTCTCTTTGTCGAGCTCCATCGGCCTCTCCTCAATTTCGAGGGGGTTGTCTCCTGCAGTGCAGGACAGTGCATCCATTCGTTCATCATATACACAGAGCTCCACTCTGTGTCTCCACGTACATGTGCCTTTTTTTGTCGTAGTCCATCCGTCTATTGGAATTCCAGACCAATATAATAATATCATCCAGCAGCAGTTTTTTTTTTTTAAGAAATTCAACTCTGGACCAGTTTTGATTTTCCAGGTCACATCATAGGGTCTTTGTCATGAGTCAGACTTGTTTCACAACTGGTCTGGAAATGCAATAGGCCGATGGACTAAACAAATATTTCATTTGTATGCGAGACAACAAAACGGCGGTTCTGGGCTGGGTGACGGAGGGACACCGTGGCGGGGCAGTGGCGCAAGTGTCGGCGATGACGGTGGTTCTGCGTCATACCAGATTCGTCCTCCTCGCTCTGGTCACCCCCTTCCTCCCCCTCTTGGTCCTTGTCCAGGGCAAGGTCATCCGGGAGCTCAAGGGGCTCGGGGTCACACGGCTTCTGCTGGTTCTGGTACGGGTCTGACTCGTTCTCGTCAAAGTCCCGCTGCGGCACAGCAGCGGGCACAGAAACGCGGACGCACAAATACACGCACACACAGAAGCGCAGACGAACAGACACACATTCATGTATCATGTTGCAGTTCTTCCAAGGCCGTTTGAGTGTCTTGGGCTTTTAGAGCCTGCAACAAAATTCCTGTGGGATTTCTGTGAGTTCTTCCCAAAATACTCCTCTACAAAACATTTAAGAAATATACGAGACATCGGTGTAAGTCATGGGTCAGGAACCTCTTTCCTGCCGAGGGACAAGCAGCAATTCAGATAGCTTTGGCGGGTCACGCATTGAACACGTGCCTAAGCCTTCTCCGATAATAAAGCTAAAATTAACGAGGGCCAACTTTTACCGAGCGCGCTAAACTAAGAAACACAGTGATGACAGGGTCAAACATATTCCCCTCTGGCGGCTGAGAATTGCGGCCAAGATTCTTGCAGCGATGGATACATTTTGTTTATGGTCAGTAGCCGGGAGCCATGAGAAACGAAGTTGCGCACGGAATGATGTCCACCCCTGATGCAACTCAACAGCACATGACAAGAGCGACACAGAAGAACATTTAAAAAGCTCTCTTTGGGTGACAAGAGCAAACACACGCACCTCATCCTTCTGCTCGTTGATTTTCTTTTTCTCCTCACCCTCCTCGCCCTCATCCATGCCCTCCTCCTCCTCCCCCTGCTGCTGCTCCCGTTTCTTGTCGTCTTTCCGCTTGTTTTCCCCACTCTCCTCGTTGTCACCTTGAGCCACCAGCTCCGACTCCTCCTGCCAGGGAGACATCGCGAGTCACCACCACGGATGTCACTCACACTCGCAGTGAGTGTGTCGGCCTGTGGCTCCAGGCTGAGGCGGCTTACGAGTCACAACCACGGATGTCACTCACACTCGCAGTGAGTGTGTCGGCCTGTGGCTCCAGGCTGAGGCGGCTTACAAGTCACAACCACGGATGTCACTCACATTCGCAGTGAATGAGTGTCGGCCTGTGGCTCCAGGCTGAGGAGGCTTACAAAGCGAGGGATGCGTTGCGGGTGGTTTTATAATTTAGGCTTTTTACACACGCTGGGAAAGAAATCATCAAATTCATCCAAAGCTGGATTTATTGCTGCCCTCAACCAGGAGCCATGCGCTGCCAGGGGCTTCCTGCTGAAGTTGATGTTTCACTTTGAGAAGTAAAACGTCAGTTCTCCCAACTGCGGAGTAATTGGCCAAACAACCCTCGCAGAATCCCGCCTTGAAAAGCGTAAACAATAATAATGATTTTAATTCACGTAGCGCCCACACGCAAATAAGCAACTCAAGACGCTGCGCGGAAGAGGTCTAAAAAAAGGGGGCCACAATCAACAAACATAAAGGGGCACGGACAACTAAGGTAGGAAGACAACAAAGATAGGAAGGAGGCCGTGGGCACACACACAGACACAGCAAACGCGAGGCAGCAGCGCACGGACGTCCAGAGGCTTGGTGAGGCTGTCGCGGAGAGGCAGTTAAAATGATCAGCAAGCTCACAGACCTCGTCCATGCCAGGCCCAGATTCCTCCTGCTGTCCCTCGTCTCCATCCTCGTCCCCCTCCTCGTTGTCGCCCCACATCCTCTCGTCCAGCGTCTCGGAGGGCCCCTCACCCAGGTTGCCCATCTGCTTGTCCAACTCCTCCTTCTCCTCCTCGTCCGATTTGCCTTCGTCGTCTGAAATGAGAAACGACGATTAGAGCGAGCATTGTGTCCTTCTGCCGTACACAGCTGTGCCAGTGCTCATAGGAAAAAACAATCATCACTTATAACTTTCATGCGAACCATCACTATTCATGAGTAAAAATACTCAATCTTCTGTCATCAAGGTCCCTGAAAGTAGTCCAGAATCCCGGTGGCAAGTCCTGTTTTTGCAAGCACAAGGGGATGTGTGGTGTGGTCAACACCACAGCCAGCCACCTTTGTCTCCCCAGGATTTATGCGTAAAAACGTCACACCAAGTGCCCATTTAAAGCTGAGGACACCTCGGGGGGGAGGGCTCACAATCAGTTCAGATCATCGCAAACTTTTGGGAGCCGTGGCCAGGAACCTTCTAATCATCATCAAACTCAGGGGGGCGCATCGCAGTGCACCGAGCACTACATCACCGCTACATCACCGCTCGGCCCGCACTGAAAAAAGGGCCAGAGGGCTAACCCCCCCCCCCCCACCTCTTCTCCCATCCGTGACCGGCAAACACCGCCCACGGCCACCGTGAGTGCCACCCACCCGAGTCTCCGAGCTCGCCATTGTGGAGCTTCCCCTGGAAGTCTTCCGACATCTCGATGGCGTTTTCCTCGTCGTTCAGCTCGGACTGCTGCTCGGGCTCCTCCTCGTGCTGCTGGTCACGCTGGAAGGTGTCCTCCACCTGCCGTGGCATCGTCGTGTCAACTCTCTCTCTCGCTCCCTCTCTCGCGGGCGCTACGGCCTCAAACGCCTTGCTCTGTTTGAGTGTAGCAAGCGTGCGGGGCGTCGCTTAGGTGGGCAGAATGTCACGAAACAAAAGGTCCTTTCGTAACCCTCTCTCTTGGGGAGAGCAGTGGATAACCCCACGTTACAGAACGGCCTGCAGAAAGAGGGCATCACAGAACTACTTCTGAGATCAAATAAGTGACCTTTTAATCGATAAACTAGGGGGCACACTTTTTTACGATAGAAAAAAAGTTTATAGGACCTTTTGCCAGTATCCCAGATGATGTAAAAAATAAGAATAGGTTTTACCCTTTCCGGCAATAAAACAAAGACCAAATAGATACCTTTTGCAAAGCATCAAGTCTGCATTAACCACACGTACTTGTGGGAAAACATGCTCTGAAAATTAATATAGCTTCAAATCAAGAATGAATATATCTATTGTCTTTGAAACTGATAAGCCTACACCAGAGATAGCCTTCTTTATGGCCTAGTCTTACAAGTGTTAGACCAGAGAATGCCAAAAGGCGAACAGTACAAATGTTTTTCACATGGCCATCAAACTGAAAGTGAATTGTATTCACCTGGTCCTCGTTCTCGATCTGGTCGCTGACGTCCTTCACACCCTCACCGGCCCCAATGCCGCCCCCCTCCACATCCTGGAACTTGCCCGACCCCTCCCCGGCCTCGCCCTCCGTCAGCTCGGCCGGCTGACAAAATCCCTGCCAAGACCAACGCACGCCACTCCTGGTTAGCATGCGCATGCCATCGAGGCGAGTTAGCGAGCACCTATTTCTTCATGCACAACACAAGAGGGAGTAAAGCAAGCAGCACCGTCATCATCATCATCATCAGCGATGATTAATTCACTACTACTAATCGCACCTGTGATCAAGCACGCTTTGGCTACGTACGGTGCAAAATAAGTCGAACATGCACACATACGAAAGCCTCGGCGAGAGGCTGTCCGCCGTCTCACCTTGTGCACGAGTTCGGTGAAGAGGCCAAGCAGCACGCACAGCAGCTTGGCGAGGGCGCGGTGCGACGCCACCGACGCGACCAGGTAGAAGGACGCGAGGTCCGCGTAGGCGCCCAGCAGCGGCAGCGCGCGGGACAGCCGGCGGCGGCACCGCAGCGCGGCCTGCGCGAGCGAGCGGGAAGGGACGGCGGTGTAAGAGGAGGGCCTTCGCCTCCCCCCAAAACGGGGCCGTGCGGCTACAACGATGCCCGACACCGTTTGTTCCAACGGCAAAATGTTCAATCGTTCAAGAAGTTGAGTTTTGTTTAACCGCCCGAGGGTTAAAGAGATCAGGAAAGTCTCCAATTTGCAAGCGCGACGCCTGCACCACCCAAAATGAGGAAATTAATGCCCAACGAATTAAATGCTTTCATTCGTTAAGGCGGAAGCGTGACGTAAAGGGGTCCCATTTACACAAGCATTGTATGCAATGCTTTATTCTCTGATCATAGACCAGATTCATTAACAGCCTGTTTATATGTCTCATGTCTATATGCATATCTCCCATATAGAAATCCTGTGTATTTCCGAACACTTATCAAGGCCAGCATGACACGAGAGGGCTGGTGGCCAATACCATGCCTAGCACCCTTTGTCTCCCCAATGCCGATGTATACACACCACACCAGGTTCTCATTTAAGGTTGCGTCGACTTAGGGGATACCCAGGACCAGTTCAGACATCCGTCACCGATGTTGGCTGCGAGTGGAAATTGAAATCGGGTCGCCGGGTTCGTAGCAAAGTGAGTAAACAACTACACTCCTGCTCGTGTGTGTGTGTGTGTGTGCACATGTGCACACACACACACGCACAGCGCTAGCGCCCGTCTTGTCACCTGCGCTCCCACGCCGGGCTTCAGGATCCGCTGCAGCAGCTGGGACGCGAGCGCCAGGACCCGAGGCAAGGCCAGGGATCGCACGTCCGCCCAGAGCCGCCCTTCCAGCGCCGCCGATATGTGGTCCACACGCAGGGGCGGTTCCGCGCCCTCTTCGCTTTCACCATCACCGCCGCCAGTACCGCCGCCGTCACCGAGTTCACCACCAGCGTCACCGCCTTTTACACCGTCTGCGCAGGAAGGGTTTGGTCAGCAGGCATGAGGCACGGAACGATGCACGGAGAATCCATTATCGATCAACACTGATAACTTACGGGCTCAATGCACGCCATCAAATGCGTGCAGGAATCAGTTTCACGTGATACCTGCAGCGACTAGAAGCACTAAATGAACCACAATATATATGAATAAGATAATGTGATAGAATCACAACCAGCAATAGAGAGAATTCATCATGGAGCCGGGGCAAATCGTGACATGCCAAGCAGACAATTGGATTCCTGGATCTTCCTAATGACGATGACGACCATGGTGGCGATGGCAATGACAGCGCGAGGGGTGAGAATGACAGCGATGGAGTCACCGGCTCGCTTCTGCTCCTCCCGGTCTTCCTTGGCGCGGGCGACCAGGGTCTGCACGGCGCACAGCACGGCCGTGATGGCTCCCTCAACGTCGGCGCTGAACACGTCAACCAGCGCCTGCGACGCCGCATCTGCTTTCACACGCGCGCACACAAGCACGCGCACACACACACACTCATTCATTCAGGTACATGACACCTGAGCTGAGTTCAGTGACAAGGCATGTAACCTTTTCCCGTTCTGAGTCGTCTGCAAGTTGCACAGTGGGTCCCGTTCACCCCTCAATCTCAGAACGCGCAAGTGGTTAGCGTGATATTTAGAGAGGCGTTACGCCGCTGTTTTTAAAGACATCGTCGTCGCCGCAGAGAACCATAGTGACACGACCGCACTCTATGATAGCTGGCACCAAACTGTGCCAAAAGCCCCCCCCCCCCCTCCACATGGCCTTTTACTTCTGATTACGTTCTCATGACGTACGGGATGACGTACGTCATCGGAACGAGAAAGGGTTGATAGACGTAATGACTTCATGAAGCATGCTGCCACAGCGGCGTAACGGTGAGCGCACTGCACATGCAATGCGGAGGTCGCCGGTTCGATCCCATCTTCAGGCACGGCAGTTGCAGCAAAGGTGCGAGTTTCTTAAATCGTTCCCCACCACCTCTGTCCACCCAGAAGTGTAATGAATGGGTTCACCAACCGGTTGATCGACAGGTTGCATGTGGCGGGATAAAGTGTGGGTGCTTTCAGCTCTTCCAGGATGTCTGGCCAGCATGAACGAGGGAAAAAAATCCTTCTTTAAAGTTTCTCACTCGCTCGAGTGGAGGCCCTTCTACCAGCAGTGGCGTGGAGCATATAGTTGCAGGGCTGCACCTTTGCCCTTTACACGTTAGTGTAAATGTACATGCCACGGTAGATTATCAGGACCATAAGTAAAAAAAAATTTATATCCAGGAATGCCTCATTGAGTACTTGTAGAAAACCCACAACATGCAAAGGATATAACGTATATATTGCCATCTCCAGGACAAGGCTTTGTGATTCAGCAACCTTTGCCTCCACAGCTACACATTGCAAGCGTTCACCGCCAAACCCTGGACGACCAGTGATGCGTCATCTCACGGAACTCATCAGTCCTTGCAGCAAACAAAAAGAAATGCATCTAAACTCGGATATATCGACCTTACCCAAATCGCCATCCGCTGCCGACTGCAGGCTCAGCGTCTGCGTTCTCCAGGTGGTGAAGTCGGCGAGCTCCCGTTGGACTTCCTCGCGGACAAACGCGATGCTATCGGCTACGGGACTACGCTGTTCGGCGGAGGAACACTGCTCGCCGGGGGGCGTGAAGAGGCGCTGCAGGTCACCCATCTGCGACGTCACGCTTCCCAGCGTGGTGAGGCCGGCGCCACAGCGATCCACCTCCTCCCTGCACGTCAACACGGGCACATTACATTCCGCATTTGTCTCCTAGCTGCTGCATCATAACAAAGCACCAGTGGCTGAAACTAAACTATTTTTTATTTTATCGAGTAAGGCCCAGTGAGCTATGTAGCTCTCTTTCAGTAGCGACCCGGCGACAAATGACAGTGCAACGAAGTGGCTTATCATGTAGAAATTTACAGCAACCAAAAACTCTAAACGCATGTTTCTAATTGAGGAGGGAAAAACCAGTGGACCCAAATAAAAATCTACGCGACCACGGGGAGAGCATGCAAAATCCAAATAAAGAAGGGCACCCAGGTCAGAATTGAACCCACGACCTTCTGTATACCAGGCGAGGAAGTTAACATCTCGCCACCGTGGCCACGGTGGCCCCCGTGCTCATGTTCACTGGTGAATGGGACCCTTACTTACGCATGGCAGGGCACGCTCTCTCCTTAGCACAATCACCAGTAAATGTTTAAAAAGTCGTGCTTACTTTATTCGTTGTACAAATAATTTGGCGAGATCAGAGTGCAGTTCGCTCTTGGAAAAAGATGATGATAATTTTTTTTATGAAGATGATTGGTTGATGCTGATATTGCTGCTAACAACAATGACGAAAGCTGTTGCTGCTGCTGATGATCAAAATGATACTACAAATACTAATGATGCTGCTGTAGCTGCTGACGCTGTAAAATACGCCGCTGACACTGCTGACGAAGACAGTGGCTCAGGAGGATGACGATACTGAAGACAAATGTGGATGATAACAATGCTGATACGACTAATACTGAAGCTTCTGGAACTGCAGTTACTGTTGTGAAAGAATGCCACCGCCGATGCAGATGACGGAAGACGACGCGCCACCGACGCTGGCAATGATGACGACGCCACCGCCCGTTACTGCCGCCAAAGACAACGATGAGGCCAGCACGACCGTGACGGCGCCGGTAAAAAGCCGCCCGTGTCAGCCGCCAACGGTCGGTGCTCCGCCGACGTCGCACCCACCAGGTCAGGACGTGCGTTGCCGTCGGGCCGACGATGTGCCCCGGTGCCGCCGCTACCGCCGCCACCGCCGCCGCCGCCGATTTCACCGCAGCGACCTCACCGAGCAGCCGCGACACCAGCCGCTCCGCCGCTACCCACGCCGCGCTGTCGCGCACGAGCGAGGCGGCCGGCGGCAGACGAGACGGCGCCACGGGGCTCGGAACTCCCCAAGCCTGGCCGCCAGGGGCCCCGGACTCTGCATCTCCGCTGGGCAAAGCACCGTCGGGGTGAGGTTTGAGTGATGGGGAAAACGACGCCGACTATGACTAAAAGTAAAATAGGTAAAGGTGCAGCCCTGAAATTGCTTATTCACACCACTGCTCGTGGAAGGGCATCCACTCTTGATAGCCGCTCTAGGGAGTATTTGACCACGCATGCCAGACATCTTTGAAGAGACAGCAGTACGCACACTTTACAGCACCACACACGATACTGACGATCGACTAACTGCGGGTGTACCCATTTACACTGCTGGGTGGACCAGAGGCGCACTGTGAGATCGAAACCGGAAACCTCTGGATTGTGTGCTAACCATTACACCAACGCAGTTAACCAGTGCTCAAAAACTAAAAAAACAACAAACAACCCCCATTAAAATGCTCTCCGCTAATCTCCACTCTGCACCGTGGGGGCTTCTCTCTTAAGCGCCATCAGCGATTCGTCTATTTCCCCTGCGACGAGAAGGAAGGAAGAACAACAACAACATCAACAACGTGCCGGGGGGGCTGCCCCCACCGGGTTGGGGGGAACCCACCTGCCGTGATCGTGTTGGGGGCAGCACCGCAGAACGAGCCGAGTCTGCTCCAGCACGGTCAGCGCCTGGGCGGACACGCGCAGCAGCCCGCTCGCCCGGCGACGCGCCTCCTCCACGGGTGGGGCGACGGCGGCCACCGCCTCACCGGCCGCCGGGCCGCCCCCGACCTTCTCCATCGCCCTGATCAGCTGCCTGCGGGGGCGGAGCATGCGGGGGGCGGGACGCGGTGGCGCGCGAGGAAGCACGGAGAGACGCACGCTTGGGGATCGTGCCGAGGCGCAAGGAAGTGTTCAGGACGTGGATTGATCCTTTGACATTCCGATGCCGTACGTGTACGTCCTGAATCTCAGCAGAGGGATCATCAATTGTTTAAAAAACCCACAACTAAAAATTGTAACATTTCACTGAATGCCACTGCTTTCTTATGCATGCAGAGGAAATTCCTCGCAAAAAAAAAGAGACAAGATCTATGTTGTGTGTCTCTCTCTCTGTGCGTCTCTGTGTTGTCTCTCTCTGCTTGTGTGTCTGTCTGTGTGTCCCCGTGTCTGTGTTTTGTCTCTCTCTCAAATTTAGCAATCTTCGGAAGAACGTAATCAACCATACAAGGTGCTGACTGTTGTGTTAGCCGACTCTCTGTGTTGGATTGCATTGTATCTACCTGATGACGATTGCTTGTGTTGCAATCGAGACGTCATATTCTATTATGTATTTTCTTTTCTTTCTACGTGACTTTACCGAAATAACCAAAGAGCATATCTTCATATATATAAAAGGCAAAGTTGTGATTGTGTGTGTCTGTTCAGAATGTTTAGCGTACTTCCCGACATGCAACAAACTGCAAATTTGCCATGTGGGTACTTTCCAGACTGTACACCATGCAACAATTATAAAAATACACTTTAGGTTTTTTTTAGGGGGGGGGGGGGAGCTCAATAACGCATTTATTTTTTGCACGGCAAGTGAGCTGTGACGTCAAATCTGTCACGTGACCCTCGCACGTGGAAGCGGAACGCATTGTAGTGTAGCGGTTAGCGCGCCACGCTACGAACCCGGCGACCCGAGTTCGATTCCCGCTCACGGCCACCACCGGTGACGATTATTTTAACCGGTCCTGGGCCTCTCCTAGGTCGACTCAACCTCAAACGAGTAACTGGTGTGGTGTGTGAACATCGCCACTGGGGAGACAAAGGCGGCCAGGCGTGGTGAATCCAAGTCCCGGGCGAAGCCGGGTAGTAAAGCTAGTCATGCTATATTCGAAACAAGTTTTGCTTTACTGATCGGTTGGCTGGCTGGGGAGGTTGCGGGGTCGGATAGGTCGGGTAGGGACAGACGTGTCGAAAGGACGCGCGGGCTGCTATTCACAAGTTAAAATATATAAAACCGAAACATCAACAACCGCACTGGCTTGGCAGTTACGAACGCGGCGCGAGTTCCGTACCGCAGAGCCATGTGCTGCTCGGTGAGCGTGGTGAGCTGCTTCCTGTGCGCCACCAGCATCTGCAGCAGGTGCTCGGAGAACCCACGGCAGCGATCCAGGTTACCCGGTCCCATATCCTGCACATGCAAATGCACACACAAACACACGCACAAAGATTCACCATTTAGCCATAAAAGTGCCCGATACCAGCAGGTAATTGGTAGCTAAGCAGGGTGGTGTTTGAGTGGTGCATTGGTGGGCAACCGCTTTGCGCAAAACGTTCAAGAATGCTGCGGGCCTACACTGTGGGTAGTCCATTATAATCCATTGTCATACTATATAATTCTACGCTCCCACATCATACGCGTTGGTTTGTCACACATACGACACTGGGTTTACTTTTGCACGGTCCTGGCACGGCTCGGTTGTACTGTGGAAAAGAGATCCGAGTTCCACAATGGGGGTGTGGGGGGCGGGAGTTTCCATCTCCGCCAGTCTCACCTTAGAGGGGGCAGTGAGGACAGTGCGCAGACTGCAGCGACGAGCCACCGATCGGTAGAAATAGCGCTGGCAGTCCGTCCAGCTCCTCTCCACGTGCTCCACCATCCTGGGAGGCAAAAACGCAACACACCAAGTTCCATCCAGCCGCACCGAGTTAGGTCCTCCTATGAACGGGCCCCCGAAAGTACTTGTTTGAACATCGCCGGTTGCCACCGCTAGACTCATCGCGGCACTCGCGGTACTTTTGCTCGTACCCCTTGAGCGATTCCCCGAGCGGCGCGTCCCGCAGAGCGGTAGGGACGTCCACGGGGGGAAGCGACATCCACTCGTCGTCGCTCGAGATCCGGGCCACTGTGAGACCCTTGCGATAAGAGAGGCCTGCGGGAGAGAGCGGCGGATACCATGACTCAAAATTATATTGTGCTGCAGCGTACGCAGTGATGCATGACATTTGCTGTCATTCCTCCGCACCTCCAATTAGCACGGTTGGCTATGTACGGTGCAAAAGAAATTCAACATACATGCATATAGACAAATGCATGCGTTTACAAAGACAAACATGCGTTAACGCACGTACACAACAGGTCCCTAACACATAAATGCAGGGTGGTTAAAAAAACAAATGTTAACACGTCTGAGAATTTGCAACAATACCACGAGAAATGTGCCTCCAGGCTCTGGAGAAGATTCCAGGCATGTGTTGACAATGATGGCGAACAAGTGGAGACTCTGACTTTTTGAAGCGATTAGCATACATTTGTTATCATGTTACAGTGTATCATCTGTTCTTTGTCCATTCAAAACGAGTCCCATAAAATTTTAAGCACCCTGCATAGACAAATGCGCCCCTCCACACTCGGTGTCGGTCGCCGCCCTCCGGCCCCCCCCAGAACACCCGACATGCCGCGTCACCACCGACTGCCACTTACCAGCCCTGCGCAGGAGCCTGAACAGCTCAGCCAGGGCTCGCTGCTTCTGCTGCTGGATCTGCTTGGCCTCTGACCTCTGCTTGTCCTTGTCGGACGCCGGGTTCACCGACAGCACCTGCATCTCTCGGACGGACGACGCCACCTCGCCTGTGCGGGGTCACGAGGCGCCACCACCGTTACATAACCATCGGGCAGCAAACACACGACCACCAGACGGAAGGAATGAAACGCCGTCAACGCGTGCGAGGAAGGTTTAGACAAAGATTCTTCCTGAAGTGATGTCGCTATACTCGCGTGTAAGCACATGCTCAAAGACGCACACTGCTGTAACGTGTGGCACATATAACAACAATCGCCGTTCACCACGAAGTGGTGATGACGACACCACTAACGCGCGCTTTCAGATGCACTTCTGCGGCCGTCGGGAAGGCCACCAGGACCTATGCACTTTTAAATCTCGATTGAAAACACATTTCTTCAGAACTGCTTTTTGTGTTTAGTGTGTTGCCCTTCCCCAGCACCTCCGATTAGCACATTTGGCTACGTACTGTGCAAAAGAAGTTCAACATATATACATACACACACACGACTATTATTCTATCGAAGTGGTGACCGCCGTGACGACTATAGACTGGCGATCGCACACAAGCTCGGCACCTGTGAACTGGTCGAGCCCCTGGATGAGGTCGGGCAGGGAACTCTCCCTGCGCAACTTCTTGCAGAACTTCCACGTGCGGGCAGACAGCACGGGCAGTCGCCCCTGCAGGGACTCCTGGGGAGAGTCCTCGTCTCCCGGTGCCACATCCTGCAGCACAGAGTCGCATGCACCATGTGCTATGAGCCCAGCCGCCTGAGTTCAGATTCCTGGCCACTGCTAACGTCGATGGTAAAGCGATATCTGAACCAAACAGTCCTGGGGCCTTCCTTCCAACAGCTCACACTGACAACACGTTCTGTAAGGAGGAGGTCAAACGACCGCTAGAATTACCAGTGTTGGGTAGATGACTAAGGGGAATAATATGGGGCACAGCATCATCAGGCTTGCAACACTGGGTTTGCATTTGGGTTTCAGCCAGCGGTGGAAAAAGTGGGACCTCAAGTGCATAAAGGTGGCGGTCTCAGTCCAGTCACAAATGGATGCACAGGAAAAAAAAAAGTAATACAAAAATGTTTTTACTTAATTTGGTGATGTGCCAGCTCTGAGAATAAACAAAGCCATCAGTTCTAGCAATACCAATGTTATGCAAACACAATTTCATAGCAGTGTGTGAGTGGAGAAGTGCTGCCCCCTTGTGTATGGACCTGAGGTCAGAGAGCTTTGTAATATCTGCTGCTTACACGGGACATTCAATAACAGGAAGAAGTGCACTGCACACTGAGAAAAACCTGGTGAAAAAGACAAATATAAAACAAAAAGGGATTTTATGCGACGGAGCAGAGCGTGGGTGCCACGTGGTCGAGCCGAGTTCACCTGCAGAGAGGGGGAGACCCAGCTCCGCTGGTTCCTCAGCAACGTCACCACGGCCACGGAGTCGTGCGACTGGGCAGCGTCGGCCGCTACCGCCGGGCCCGGCTCGGTGAGCGCCGGTCGGCACGGTTCGGAGAGCGCCTCCTCGAACTTGCGCGAAAACCGGAACAGCGTCCTGCCGGAGGGGGGAACACGGGAGCTCGGTCACATTGAAACAATACTCGCGGTGCGAACCGCCAGAAACGCGCAGCACTAAACGTGAGGAACGTCACGCCCTCACAACGTTCAGCCGGCGCACCGAATCCAGCACGGTCGTCTCTGGAGCTCACCTGTGCGTCTTGTTCACAGCCTCCTTCATGGCCCAGAAACTGGCGTCGTTCCACCGGCAGATCTTCACAAAGTCCTGCACGGGCGGTGAGATTAAAGCAATTAAATCATTATAACCACAAACATGGCCGTACAGTAAATTATCAGAACAATGACTGCACACTAAATGTTCATAGCAAGGTAAACCGTAGCCCTAAACTGTGAAAACAACTGTAGTTTTACGGATACTGGTGATTGGGGAGTTCTGTAGTTCTGCCAAAAACATCAGGGTTTGTGTGTTTGGTGGGAAGAATGTGTTTGCTAATTACCCAGAATTCATAGCATGTCTAAGAAAATTGTATCTTATTAAAAATTATCAAAGTTAATTTCTGAAGACCAGATGGGGCGACGATAATCACAACCTTACTGAGCACCGATTTACTAGTACAGGCTCGTCATTAACACCGTCTTGTAACAGAACAATCCATAATAAGCACACGGTGCTGACAGGGCAAAGACACGACTGACTTATTAGTTGAAGATCACACTATACAACGCGGTAGTTTACAAAAAAGTATTTTGAAGGTTGACAGGGAAACTTAGAGTGGTGCCAAACATTCCAATATCGGACCAGAACGATGGCAATAGTTTACGCCGGTTCTGGCTTCCTTCCTGCTAGCCTGTGGTTTTCCCACGTCTCGAAAACTGCCTGTGATACAAAATTCTACAGCGGATTGAGATGCGATTGGCCTGAATGACGCTAGATATAGTAAAGCTACGCAATTATTATTAAGCAGCTGCGAATTGATACACGGACAGAGTGTCCAATTGACCTTTGGTTTAACAGACCGACGGAGGAAGACAAATAGAGGTGACGGCCAGCTGTGATTCACGCACCTTCAGCTCCTTCTCGATGGCCTTGCGTTTCTGCGCCAGGGCTGAGTGAACGGACTCGGAGAACTGGCTGTAGTACTGATGCAGGTTCCACAGCAATCCCAGCAGTGCCTCTGCATTGAGAACATGCGCATGTACAACAGGGACTCCTCTACTTATGAAGAGTCGACTTCCGAACTTTCAGAGATATGAACAAACCTATCCATGTGTCGAGTTCCCTGTTCGGACCGAGAGTCGTAAGTTCAACTGCCACGCAATAGATGAATGGTGATCTGCAGAACAATAAGAACCAATGGCATCTAACATCTACAGGGGATTATACAACTTTTAAAGCCATTCCCCATGTTTAGTGTACATGCCGTTGAACATGATTGGAATCGACAGGAGTAAAGTTGGACTTAAGAACAAATCAACTTACGAACAGACCTCTGGAACCGAGCTCGTTTGTAAGTAGAGGAGTCCCGGTACTTACGAACAATTGCCAGCGCACATTTGACTGCTCACGCCACCGCTGCCAGAATGGCCTCTACAATTAGAGGGGTGTCTTGAAGTGAGATCTCGCCTGGTATGGAGGAGGTTGTGGGTTCGATCCTGATGCCTGTACATTTGGAGTTTGTATGCTCTCCCCGTGGTCACGTGGATTTTTCTCCAGGTCCTCCGGTTTTTTTTCTCCACATTTAGAAACATGCCTTTAGAGTATTTGTCTGCTATACATTTTCCACCTAATAAGCCACTTCGTAGAGCTATCATTTGTGGCCCGGTCACTTCTAAAAGGTCAAATAAAAATTAGTTTTTAATAGTTAACTAGACAGGCCCTCCACAGGCTATTTGGGCCTATTCTTCCACATCAGTCAGACGGGAAGAAACCGCAATTTGCCCTACCACACGCACGACCTGCAGATTGACTAGTTGTGGTGTGCACCCATTTATACTGCTGGGTAGACAGAGCGGAGGGATTTGACAGCTTATCCATTGTTTCAACTGCCGTGACAGGTGATCGAATCGGCAAACTCTGGGATTGCAGATTAACAGTGTTAACCATTAAATCTTGTGTCAGATAGCCCAAAACACATAGTCAAAGCATGCATCTCCAAGATAACATCTATTGTAGTGCAGCAGGGTTGGCACAGTGGTAACACGAATCTCTCCAAGACAGAGGTTCTCTGCAAGCCATCTGGCTACCATGAGAGATTCTTTCATTAGGCTATCCACATATACAAACACAGAGACAATTTCAACCGAGAAGATGGATTCTGGCTTAGCAATCATTGGAAGGATTTGATAAACCATTTTGGGTCTTAATTGTTTGTTCACGCTTATGGTGGCTTTCAGACCGCATCCATTATTTTCGTCTCCCCCCTCCTCTTTTCCGAACATAGATGGACTTGTCCATCTGAACAAACTGTCAAATCGCTCTCCGTGGTGCTAACGTTATAAAAAAACCGACACTTTTTTCAAATTTTCTTGCTGTGGTTTTCACACCTGATGATGATTGCTTGTGTTGCAGCCGAAAACGTCGTGAGAATTTAATCGTTTTATATATTTTTTATTATTTTATTGCTTCCCTTCTACGTGACTTTACCGAAGGAACCAAGAAAAAAAATACCTGCAACTTACTCATTTGAGGTTACAGGTAGCAACAAGGCCTTCCGACTGTGAAAACGTGGCCGGACCCACCTGAACAACTCTTGAGACTCAGTGAAGCTAACCGGGGTAAACAACCCAAGTGATTATAAAAAATAATTTGCGTCCCCCTAAAGGAGACCGCGGACCCGATCGTCACCCCCTAGGTAAGTAGGGGCAGTGACCCAAACCACCTTTCCCCCCTTTCCCCTGCCCCGAGGGCATCTGGCCCCGGGCTTGTCATTTGCGGATTATCTGTACTCCCCATCGCTCGCGCTCTGTACCGGGCTCTTGTTTAATAAACATAATAATAATTTGCGTCGCGCACGCACGGACGCACGCACGCACACCTCTGCTGGCGGAGGGCGGCAGGTGCACGGCCTGGCAGTGGAAGGAGAGCAGCAAGTCGAGGCGGCACGGGAACTCCCCCAGGGTAGCCCCCTCCATGAAGGCCTGCAGGGTGGAGGCCACGGACGCCAGCGGCGAGTCCTCCGCGGAGACGCCGTTCTCCACGAGCTGGTGCAGCGAGAACCAGCTGACGTTGGTCTTCTCCGCGCACCGTGACGCCACGTTGTCCAGACACTGGGCCCAGCAGCTGCGGCAGGAAGGGGCAGCGAGAGGAAAGGTTTCTCCAACAAACACGATGACCGCCGCGTTCCGGAGTCCGTAATTCTCAAACCACCCGACTCACCATATCACGACGATGTTACTAAGCGCCAGACAGTTTTGACGACTGCCAATCGTAGGAAGGACAAGGCAGTTATTAAGGGAAATGGAAGAGTCTACGGCCAAATCATCCAGAAAATGTATTGTCCAATTACAGGAGATGCGCTTGCATTAGGGCTTGGATGGGTGATCACCATGGATTACAGGGGTTATCCATAAGTTTGTTTTTTAGTTAGATCGTGTAAATATTAATGTGCCATTAAACCCGGTACAGCTGATGAATAAGGTTCGTCACGTAAACAAAACGTTCCAATTAGCTACTAGACTCGTAACATTTACAACTCGAGTACCGTAACGTTTCGCCGGTAATTACAACCGGGGGGTTTTAACAGGCTGCAGGGTTAAATCGCGGGGGCAGCAGAAGGCACGAAGACAAGTGTGTGGCAGCAGGGACCGGTTCAGTGGCACCCCGCACAGGTGCTCCCCGGGACACAGGCCGCTACCTAGGGGGGGGGGCGTCACCTGAGCTCGAGCTTGCGGAACTGGATGATCAGCTGAGTGATGGCGTCCAGGTGGGGTCGCAGGCTCACGGAACGGCTCGCGTTGCTCTCCCAGTCCTGAGAAAGCACGGACGAGCGGGGCAAAGGCGATCGGCATGGCACAAGGCCGTTCGGCCGCGCGAGTGTACGCGTGCCTACACAACGCAGGCCTGGAACACACTTTAAAAAGACTAAACTATAAAAACTCTTTTTTATTTTACCAGGCAAGGCGCAGTGAGCTATATAGCTCTTTTTCAGAAGTGACCTGGCCACAAATGATAGCCCAATGAAGCGGCTCTTCATCATGTAGAAATGTACAGCAGCCAAATACTCTAAACGCATGTTTCTAAATCTGGAGGGAAAAAAACCAGAGGATTTGGAAAAAAATCCACAAGACCACCGGGAGAGACACGCAAACTCCAAATATACAGCAGGCGTCAGCGTCGGGATCGAACCCACGACCTCCTGTATACAAGGCGAGATAGTTAACATCTCGCCAGTGGTGATGTGAAGTATTGTTTGGGCAATTACAAGGAATAATTTCAAAAGACTATCCTTTCCATTAAAAAAAAATGTTGTTCGTGAAATTGGCACCGTGTCGTGAGATGAAAAATCGATTTGGAAACCCCGATGAATTGTGTGCATCATGTTACAGGGAAAGACTGCAGTTAGTCGAGACTAACGATGGAACGGCAGCATGTCCCCTGCTGGGATAGAGCGATAAGACCAGCTCATGTGCAAGTGCTAGGCAGATTGTTGTACAGAACGGCCGTGAGAGATTCATCCAGCAGTGAACACTGTGATCTCTATATTGGGTCAAACTTAACATCTCTTTAATGTTCGACGGCTTGTGCACCAGATCTTATTTATTCACGATGTACTTAAAAAAAAATCTGCAGACTACCTACTGGATCTCCTCGCTGTTTCAAAGAACAAATTTGACCTCAGGTCTTCGCTCATTTACCAGCTTCACATTCCCTATCCGTACAAAAACCGGAGGAAGGGGCTTTGCTATTGATGCCCCCAGGGTCTGGAATGCTATTGCCAATAAACTGCAACTTGAATCATTACCTATGAGATCTTCACTCAAAACTGCTCTAGAGGAGTTGTACACCCCTAGCTGCCACTGCTATTCAGTGGCTTAAAATATGGCTCTAGATTTTGGTGTTAAAATTTATTTATGTAGTTTATTGTGAAAAATTCAGTCAGTCCCTATGATCACTGTTACATTGCATTTATGGCTTTTATTTTGGTGATTTCGAAAACGTTTTTTTTGGTTTTGGCCATGTTTTTGTTTGTTGTAGTGCGGAGTTGGACTGATGGCCTTAATCTTAGTTGTCTTGCGTTTGTTGTTGTTGTTTGACTTGCATCCCACTGGGATTTTTGCACACAGCGTTGGTGTACGGTGCTATTTCAGGAATATTTTGATGTTTTTTTTCCTGGATTTTCTGTTTGCACAGTCACATAATCACTTTAGGATGTTTTCTTGTTCATGTTTTTGTTTGTTGCGGTTGCACCCGATTCAAGAGCCGAATGGCTATACCAAATAAATGAACTATGGAACTATGGAACTAACAGATCATGGCTGATGAGGATAAAGATGATGAAGGCAACTTTGGGTGCTTTTTTCATCTCTAATTTGTTTTATATTTATATAGTGCCCTCACTCAAGGTGACAAGGCGAGAATGATTCAGATGGGAGGGGCGCGCAAGGGCTGAGGACTGCGCGACTGCGATCGAGGGGTACCTACGGATCATGAAAGGCGACGGGAGGGACGGGAAGGAGTGGATGGGCGAAGTGAGTGAAGAGAATGGGAAATAGAAAAGAGGGAAGCTTTTTTTTTTAGGTACGGATTAGCTCCCTGCACACCAGCCACACTTAACTCGTCAAACCACGGGACCCGGTACCTGAGCCTTGGCCAGGAGGAGCTCCAAGCCGTACAGGAACTTGGAGAGGGGGCTGGACAGCGAGAATCCCAGGATCCTTGTCATCACGATCACCAGCTGGGGAATCAAACATCGCATCAATTGCATCCATCTCGGATCAAAGTCAAGGTTTAACACTCACCGTCTTCAAGTTTCCTTCGTAGAATCACCCCTGCTATCGCCTCTCCCCTCTCGTCTCACTCAACTCACCACCACTGCCTCTCTTTGGTAAAAGTCTTTCCACACTGCTGCTCCACGTTTCCGGAACAGCCCTTTGTCGCTCATCTAAAGCTTGGTTCCCTCCCTTAACTCCCCCTCTTTTTTTGTCCCTTTCAGATCAAGACACAGAGCTTACGAGCTTACTTGCCCATGCACCTAAACTTTTTTCCGGCACCTCGTGCTCCCACATTATGTTCGCACCGTCTTTTTTTTTATTCGCGTTTGTTCCGTTTACGACCGTTCAAGACCTCGTTTATTCGTTGTACAATGTTACTGAACGACAATCAAGACACATCACAGACGAGTGCGCCATCCATCCACACCCTGGCAGGATCTCCGCAGTCCTTACAGCATCTACCGCCGCCTTGTGATTGGTTGAAATACCTTGACTATGACATCATCTATACAAACGGTTGCTTGCATGCCATACGCGAAAGAAGAAGACTAAAGAACGCTGTACTAATTTTATGCAATTTTGACATTTTTGTCTTTTGTTTTCGTTGCTGCTGCTGTGCTCGCGCACCACGGATCTCCCGTGTAAAATAGCACAGCAACTGGTGAAACGGGATCATCCGTGCAATAAATCAAATAAACTCTGCTCCGGTAACGAAGGTGCTCCATCGACGACCCTCGGTTAACCTTTGCTCAGTGGGAGGTCACCGTCTCCTCTGCTGCCCCCAATGTCCAGAACTCCCTTCACTCAGCCATCCATTTTGTTGGCTTCCTCCTGCCCCTGTCAAATAACTAAGCCCGCTGTTTTTGCGAGTCTTGAGATGTGGTTATATTTAGACGCACTATAAATCCAAATGGTATTTAATTATACAATGGCCACTCAGCGAGCCAGACCCCGTGACGCAACGATTCTGTCATCGAAAATGTTCCGTGTGATCAGGAAATCAAGCTTCGCAACATGGAACAGCTGCTTAAAATGTACACCTCCGCTTTCCAAGTTCAGCTCAATTGACTACTCAGGCAGTTGGAAAGTTTTTGTTATTATCACAATTCATGAACTACTTGAATATTTAGAATTAATTCAGAAATATCGATTCATTCCTTTTTTTCCACCTTTAGGCTAACGGCCAGAATTCAACACAAAAAAGACGTGGCGGAGGACGAGGCAGTACAGCCAGCATCGTCGTGACGGAGCGGAAACGCGGCACGGACGAGACAAGCACCACGGGCGGGACCGAACCTGGGACCGAACATGTAGCAAGGGATCGTGACGACTCGTAGATTTGTGGGAGCGGAGTGACTCATGGGGGTCAAGGCGCATCGCCGGAGAGCCGAACGGGCGGTGCTCGCTCTCACCTGCGAGAGCGTCGGGTGCTCCGGCCACTCATCCAGCAGCTGGGAGACGCGCACCGTGAAGGCCTTCAGCGGGAGCAGACACTGCAGTGCCTGGGCCGCGTTGGGGCTGTGGTAGAAGTCGTAGTGGGCCCGCGAGGATTCGACGACGTCGGGGCCGCCCGGTGACTCGGCGACGTTGTCTCGGATGAGCTTCGACATGAGCAGGTGGGCGCACATCGTGTCCCGCTCCAGGCTTGCGTCTGCACGGGCGAGGGTGGTGGCGAGGGGGGGTCGGGGCTCATTAAACCGAAGTCGCAAGCGCACGCGGAACACGGGAGCTGTATGTACACTGCGGTGTGTGGATGTCACTTTCATCAGCGATCACAGCATAAAAAAATATCAATGGTTAAAGCTCTTAGCAGCCACAGTTAATGTATGCAGTGGCTATAAACATGATCGTGTATGCAAAGTTCAGCAAAGGGAATTTCAAATGCATTCAAAACATGGGAAATAAAAAAACAGACTATTTTGAAAATTATAAACAGAAAAACCTGCCGAAAACAATCAAGGTCATGAATTTCTTCTGTAAATTATTCATCAATTACTGTAACAAGTTTTTTGTTACGTAAAAACGCACGCTCAGCAGTGCCAAATTAATCCGCGCTGCATTCGTTGAGAAGCCCTCGCATCACGGTAACGACGACAACGCCGCCGCTGCTACGGCGACTCACCAACCACGGGGTACGCCTGTGCCATCACGGTGCCGGCGAGCTGGTAGGCCGCCGCGAAGGTGGCCATGTGGTCCGGGGGCGGGTGGGCGGTCGCTCCGGAGGGGCGGTACCAGGCCGTGTGGGTGAGGCCGCGGAAGGCCTCGGCGTGCACGAGGACCGCCACGCGGGAGCACTCCTCCGACACGAGCGGCGAGCCGCCGTCCCCCCCGTCGCCGGCGTCGTCGTCGCCGCCGTCCGTGCCGTTGGGCCGAGGGGCGGCCTCGCCGCAGCCGTCCAGGCTTAACGTGGCGGTCAGGTCGGCAAAGTCCTGCGTGCAAACGAAGGGGAAGAGTGGGGGGCGGGTTAACGATTGCGGCTCAAGTGGTTGGTAAGTGACATTAGAACTGGTCCTATACTCCCACCCACATCACCAACCCGCACTGACCCAGCCGTCGTCAAAAATGGGCAAAAATGGAGATATAACCAGCTTCCCCTTATCTCTAAGACACTGCACTTAACTGAGGTTTAACAACAACACTGGAAGGTGCAGCCTAGCTCCTCCATAATTTAGGAATTAATGAGTCGCCCGATTGTGGCTGTGGCGAAATGAAATCCATCACTCACAACGCCGATCAATGCTCAATAGCAGGCTTGACGGGAGGTACAGATGCAATCCATTTGGCGACCCCAGAAACCATCAAAGAGCTTTCCTAACTGAACGTAAAAACTCATAAGCTCGGTCCACTGCTTTTCAAATTCCACATGAAAAAGGAATCGACGAACGAACGAATGAATGAATGCCCTAATTTCCTTCAAACACGAGATCTCGCAATAATCTCGTCCCCCGTCCCGCCATCCCCCACACCTGATCGTGCTGCGGGAAGCGCCGCCGGAAGTCTCTCTCCTCCTGCTCTTCGGGCGAGAGGCCGGAGCCGTGCCCCTGGCTCCGGTAGCGGAAGACGCTCGCCTGCTGCTGGGCGCGCTCAGCCGCCCGCCGCTCCTGATCGTCGAACGCGTTCACCACGACCTGCGCGTGCGCACCGAAGCCCACCCGGACGATGACGACGCCGCTCGCATTCCTTCACGGCCCCGACCGCCGCCCCCACGCGCGGTTCAGGTAAACGGTCGCAACGTCTCAAGCTTCCACACAGCCCCCCGCGGCCCAAGCAGGCTGCAGCCGCGCTAACTGTAACTGCCATGAGGCCCCGTGTTATCGCCGTCGCCGATGATGATGATGATGTCACAATCGGTCCAGTGGGTTGAATGAATTGAATATTGACCCGAAATTAGCAAATGTCTCGTGAGCATCGCAGGGACAGTGTGTGGTGTTTGTGAGGTATGCAAATTTATTATTCTAACGGACGAGATATTTAAGTGGGCTTGGGCAGGACGCATCGATCTCATAGAAGGGACAACTGCTGGTTACCGAGAATCATGACGGACTGGCAGCCAAGGGAAGGAGATAGTGCCCAAGACTACGTCCATCGAGAAGATAAAGCGATAAAATCAGCTCGGGTCCCAGGTGCGAGGTGGATTATTAAATCACACGATCATGAGAGAAGATGAGAGCTTTGAGAGGCCATCCCTCCAGACGGTGGGGGTTGATGATGGCCGATGATGTTGATAATCACTTGTCCTCTCGGTGCCGTCCTGTTTGCACCGTCGTTCTCGACTCTATTATCCAACTCATTCGTATCGTCTCCATTGATCGTTCCTTCTCACGTGTTCAACGAGGTAACACATTCGTGTGATTTCCACGAACCATAGAAATTACAATCACCGCGTCGTATGCATGCGTGTAGCGTGTGACGCACATCTCTCTCAGGTGACACACGCTACTCCCCCCCCCCCCACCTGCAGCAGGTGCTGGAGCAGCCCGAGCGAGGCCGCGTCCATCTCTCCGCGCAGACGCATGTGGTTCCTCAGGAAGAGCAGCGCGAGCACCACGAGCCGCTCGGTAGCTCTCCGGGCGACCTCCGACCCCTCGCCGCCAGCACCGACGACGCCGGCGCCGCCCTCTCCGGCGCGGCCGAGGGCGTCCGCGACGGCGCGGGACGCGTCGCGCCGGCTCAGCGCGTCGGCGTGCGCCAGGAACGACGGGAACTCGGCCGAGACTGAGGGCAGCTTCGCGAGGCACGAGACGAGGCTCGGGACGAGGCTCGCGGCCGAGCGATCGGCGGCACCCACGCGGCGCAGCTCGGTCGCGGCCAGACGCACGCCGTGCTGCAGCTGCGCCACTCCGCACAGCAGGGGCGTGACGACGTCCGGGAAGCCCGCGTATCCCTCCGCCAGCCGAGCGCGGAACCGCTCCAGCGACGTCTGCCAGGCGGCCTCTTCGCGCAGCAGGGAGGCGGAGGCCGAGGCGGTCTCCGCCGGACGCGAGAGGGACTCGGTGATGCGCGCGAGCAGCCGGAGCGCCCTCTGCGGTTGGCAGATGCTGCTCACGAAGTGGGCGACGTCTCGCGAGAGCCGCTCGTAGGCGCGAGGCTCGGGGCGGTGAGCCTGCTTCTTGGAAAGCTCGTGCACGCGCGTGCGCAGCACCTCCATCCTCTGCTGCACGAAGCTGAACACAGAGCGGGCACATTCACAGGGCGACGTGGTTGTAGGTATCACCCGTTATTTCATTAAAAAAAATACTTTCTTATATTTTCAATGGGTTATCACCTGGTTGTAAAGAGGCCTCCAATTTTAATCTGATCACAGAGGCACTTGCAGGCTTAACAGGCCATTGACTAAACAGAGCCATAGAACCATGCGTGCCACCCCATGCTCCACCGTGCCCCCACCGTGCCCCACCGTGCCCCCACCGTGCCCCCAATGTGCCCCACTGTGCCCCACCGTGCCCCACCGTGCCCCCAACGTGCCCCAACGTGCCCCCACTGTGCCTCACTGTGCCCCACCATGCCCCACCGTGCCCCACCATGCCACCCCATGCCACCCCGTATACCCCCACGCCCCCTTACCGGATGCGTGGGTGGCAGTGAGAATCCACGCGGAGGTCTCGGCCTGAGACGATGTGGGACAACGTCTCCCGGGCTCGCCACTCACTCTCCAGCTCGTGCAGCTGCAGCAGGGACAATCATTTCGTCACCCACTTGGGAATAATTACCGGTACGCTCTGCGTTGCCTGTGTGGTTGGTTCAACGTATCTTGATTATGGTTTACATTTTACATTTTCACAACTTCTATTAACAGTCCCAGCACCCTTGTGAAGTACCTTTGTTTTTAAAACATGATAGGTCAGGACTAGAGTTGGGTACCTGGAAATAACAGACAGGAATGAGATTTGAGTTAGGAACCCTGAAGTATTTGTGAGTGTTAGGGCAGTGACTATTTGCATTATGTATACTAGAATATCTGTATTAGGGCTCGGAGCTTAGGCTTACGAAAAAGAGTTTAGGCTATGGCTCGGATGAGAATTAGCGTTAACAGCCCAGGTGCCATAGCAAGAGTTATGGATATCACTGCTATTTGGGGGTTAGGGTTAGAGTCAGGGTGATGGCGATGGTTACATTTAGAGTTAGGGCTGTGCGTACAGTAGGGCTCCAGTTAAGGATTGGTTTGCTATGGTTAGGGCTGGGGCAGGGACTAAGCGTCAAAGCACGGCAAATCTCACCTCCTCCTCCGTGTGCCGGAGCTTCTGCGCTCTCTTCACCATGGGGTCAAAGTGCGTGCGAGGTCGCCACGTCAGCACGGCCACCAGGCCCAGCTTGGCCCACAGCTCCGCTCTGTGCAGCAGCTCTTTTTGCCCGCCCCCTAAGCAACGGCAGGGGGTGGAGGAAGGGGGCGGGGGGGGGGGGGGGCACAAACCGGACTCGATTCAGAGGACGCGTCGCGGGTGGCAGAATCTAATTCGATCGACGGGCCGTAGGCATCGTCGCGCGTGCATGCCGACCGACCAACCGACCTGGCGCGTCACGCGAGCAGGAGTCGCCGAGGGAGGCGACGCAATCCTCGAGCAGCTCGGCGACGTCCGCGGGCAGGGCGGACGCCCCCCGTAGACACCGGGCCGCCGCGTCCGCGAGTCGCTCCTCGTCCCCGGCGCTCGCTTCGCCGCGGTCTCCCAGCGCCGTCGCCGTGGGCTCAGAGGCCGGGCCCAGCGACTCAGCCGCGCGGGAGAGGAGCACGCGCAGCACGGAGCGCAGGAGACGGCGGTCGCCCTCCCTGGGTGCGGCACGGAGAGTCGGGTTTAACGTGGTCGTTTTTTTGTGCGTTTGGTTTGTTGTCCTTCCCCGCACCTGCAATGATTGCATGGTTGGTAACGTATGGTTCAACATATATACATACAAAAAAAATTCCTGAGTATCCTAGATTCTTCACAGGAGGGTCTGGTGCTCCTCTACGGTGGTAGGAAAAGCAGAGTGCCTGTAAAAACCCCTCAATTTATGTACTGCCCTTATGTCAATCCACCGGTGGATGAGGGCCTCGCCAAACTTCGCGAAATGTGGCGCTTATTTTACTTTACTTGTCCATACTGCAAAGTGTGGGCTGGTGATGTTAGCCATGGCCGGGGATGAACTCAGGTCACCAGGTTCGTAGTGCTGTGTGGCAATCACCATGCCACCGTTCCACCATGTACCACATACCACCGCTTCAAAATGTTTGACTCTCACACGCGGCATTAAAACGCAAGGACTGTGAGCCTACAAATCGGTTTAAGTCGATGAATCCACGCGTAGCTACACAGACGAGTATTTGAACATCCCTTCGTCCCCTCCAAGGCGACTTGATGCTCACGTGAAATCGGGCAGCGCGGCAGATGACATGTTGCACCACGCGACTCGACCCACGACCTCCAGCTGCTGGGTGCGCTGCTGCCAGGCCCCCAGGGTCACGTGACCCGCGGGGTCCTCCTGGGGCGACCAATGGCCGTCGTTGCCAAGGATACGGAAGAGGCAGCCCGAGAGGGCGGCGCAGCTCAGCACGCCGGGGCCCTGCGCAGGGCGGAACGAGCAGGGAGAGGAAGTCAGAACTCCAACGTCAAACGGCGCTGAGAAAGCGATGATCAACAAAATGACGAAGGCCAGAGGACACAAGAGGTGATGGTGTCACTTGTTGTTCTAAACAAGGCCGCCCCTTTTTTTTTAAACGTTTTTGTAGGCTGATCTCTTTAAACTATTTCAAATTCAAAACTCAAAACTGGGAGGGCAATATGAACTACTCTGAAATGAACGCCGAATTCTTCACAAAACTCTTCTCCCGAGTTCTATTAATTCATTTTATTTGGTTGATGAGATTCCAGCTGGAAGTGCGTCAGGGTGATGCACTGCTAGTTGCAAAGTCTAAGTCGAATTGTCTTCAACTCATTTTACACGATGCCCACAAAAAAAACGATTTGTGGAAAAATAAAATGTTTAAAGAACATAAACATAAATGTGAGACAGACTGACTTGTCAAGAATCGTTCACGTGAACCGACCATACCTTGAGAATCTCGCCGAACGCAGGTGACAAGGACTGGGTCGATTTGGGGGAATCTTGGAGGTCGGTCCTCGATTTCCAGCCCAGCCAAAGCTCAGGGCGACTGGCGGCTGTGTTGCACCATAGCTGGGAGAGGGCAGCCAGCAGCAGGTCCCACCGAACAGAGGGCAGCACCTGGCGTGACTGCAGGGTAAAGGCAAAACAGAGACGCTTGTGATTTTATGACATCCTGACCCTAAATAAATTCCATGGAGGAGATGGAACGATGAAATAACCTCGTGTCCAGATGCTAGGTGGAATAGTGCATCGCAGGACCATGAGAGGTGGTGATGGATTCGGGAGGCCTTTTTAATCCAGCAGTGGATTTAGCATGACTGAACGTTTGCATGTTGGAGAAGTACCAGAAGAAAACATACGCAAATGATATACAAAAAAAAACGAATGCCTGTTTCCACAACCACAGGGGAGCGTGCTAGCACGGTGTTTAAACTAGGCCAGTCCGACGAGCACGCCTTCACACAACAGTCCCTACCCAGTCGATCCGGCACCAAGTTGGTACGGGAGCAGTGCTATTTTTTTATCTCCACGCCGAAAAACTTTTACTTGGGCCAACCCAAAAACTGATTGAGATATCATGGGGCGAAGTGGAAATGGGACGCACGCTACTCGCCGAGGCGTCTAGGCTTATTTCCTTCTCGAGGAGTGATTTTTGGCGAACGAAAGGAAATTTAACCCAGAATCCCAGCAGTGGCAACTCAGCGTTCCGACCACCTGGCCACCTCACGGGCCGCAATACAATCGCGGGGTGCCGATGCCGAGTTACCGGGAGGCCGAGAAGCCCGCGCAGGAGGCCGAGCTGTCGTGGGCACGAGGGCGTGAAGCGCGAGGAGAACGACACCAGGTGCCTCACATCCTCGCCAGCGCCCCACGGCGGCTCCTCACCCACGCTGCGGGCGGCAGGGGAAACATAATTGGGGGGTGGGGGGGGTAGGGGGGGGGGGGTCGGTGAATCGCCGTGCCGACAGGGCACGTGACCTCCGTGTGCCGGGGTGAGCGACGGGCGGTCGATCCCGACCTGTCGGACGTCGGCACGTTGAGGAGGGCGGCCACGAGTCGGCACTGGGAGCGCAGGGCGAGCTGCTCCAGGACTGGCCACAGCTGCACGCGGCTCTCCAGCGCGAGCAGCGCGGCGTCGTCCGCCGCATCGCCCGGCACGCCGGTGTCGCCCGCTTCCAGCGCGCGTTCCAGCACGCCTTGCTTCAGGGTGGTCCACGATGATGTCAGCTCCCTCAGGGCTTCTGCGATGGCCGTGCAGAATTCAGGATGAGAGGATACGTCGTCAGCTGGTTTACCAAGTCTCTCAATAATACTCTTTGGGTTCTTTCGGTGAAGTCACGTAGGTATAAAATAAATAATACTGTCAACGAGGGAGGTGTTTCGAGAGATTATTTCCATGACGATTTCAATTTTTGTTGCTGATATTTTACAATACAGTACTAATACAATGACAACTATCTTAATCATCGCAATCACCAAGTTCACGCCACTGTTGAATTAAGGTCACCATCCCAAGCTGCTGCCATCTATCGTCGGGGAGACATTCATCCTCGAGTGGATTGACCGCGGCCGATAATGACGATTGTTAATACGGCAAAAACCACTAGCACGCATGCACGCACTCACTCACCAGCTCCGACCTCCGCCCCTCCGTGCTGCAGCAGCAGCAGCTGCTCCCAGACGCGCGTCAGGGCGCTCCGAACGCCGTCGCCGTGCGCCGGGCCCGCGCGGTCGCACACGGCCCTGAGCCTCGTGAGTGCGATGAGTGCCTCCTCTGGGGATCGCGGGGCGTGGGCGAGCGGCGTGCAGAGGCGGTTCCAGGCCTCGCTCAGCCCCAGCGCCACCTCCACCGCCTCCCGCTGCTGCACACGGGGGAGGGGACAACGCGCGTGGGCGAGGGCCGCGACCGCCAGACACGGAGCGCGGCGTTCAGTGGCGCTTGCTTTAATAGAAATTGTAGATAATAAAGTTTTACTGTGCTGGGTTATATGTATTCAGAGTAACTAAGTGACCCTAAATCTACAAATAGTTAATTCCAACTAGTTACCCGAAATGAACAGCGGCGACAACATATTACCCAGGACTATTTTTTCTTGGGAAGTTTTGCCAGTCGCTACTGTATGACTGCAAACAAAAAATTCCAGAGCAGAGATAACGAGAGTCAAGAGGGAGACGATGCTTATGGTGACAATTATAATGACGGCGAGGGCTTGACAAAAACAAAGACTTGACATTTTAAAAAGGTCACACAACGTGCGACGGTGAACGGGAGCGGTGGCACAATTCTCTTTACGGGAGCGGTGGCACACAGGGCTACCTTGAAAGGCAGGGGCCATCCGAGTGACTTCCGCATCCTGCTCAGCGCCGAATGGCGTGCGTCGGGTCGGCCCAGGTGCTGGTCCAAGGCCGACACCATCGTCTTCAGTTCAGCAGGACACCTTGAGGAGGCAACAACACACACACACACACACGTTCACGATCGTCTCTCGCTCCCACCCAGCGCCGCGAAAACGAAAAGGCACCGAGTTGTGAGTTTCGACCGCTTGGGGCCACGTACCCAGAGGGGAGTAACGCTTCATCGCCACAGCCCGCCTTTCTCAGCCAATGCCAGTGCAGCGCCAGCATTCCCAGCATCCCTTGTTCGCAGGAAGTGACCTCACATGCTTCCCAGAACCAATCGCGTCGCCGCACACTCTGCAGCAGCTGCCAAGGTAACGGAGAACGATTAGAGCACGGATAGGCCAACTGACGAAAAGGAAAGAATGGAAGGTGTGACGCCCTTGCCCAGGGGAGGAGTGGGGGGGGATCAGTAATATGTTGACAGTAAGAACCAGTTCCACACATATTCTTAGTTCTTTCGGTAAAGTCACGTTGAAGGGAAACAACGTGACTTTACCGAAAGAACTAAGAATATGAATTACTGCAGTCACGAAAGCTTTAAATCAGTTCCACACAGTCAACTCTCAATTAGAATAATGGGGGGAGGTGTGGTTCAGACAAAGAAAAAACACAAATACAACAAAAAATCTGTAATTTAGGCTGCAGAAGTGTACGTATTATAAATACTTTTATTGTTCCTTAAAACGATTCGGTTTTCTTGTCAACCATTTTACGGTCACGTGGGCATTGACTCTCGACAAGTAAGGAGTGGCTCACGATGAAACCAGCACACGTGTACACACCTACACATGTTTTTTTTTGTTCCGCAAGCACAGTTTAATCCACAAGCCCGATAGCCTGCCCATGGAGAACTGAGAGCGAGGTGTAAGTGGAGACCTGTGGCTCTGTGCGTACCTTCGTTAGGTCCTCATCGGACACCTCCTCTTTGCCACCGCTCGCCCAGCGGCCGAGCCAGTCGTCCCACAGCGAGAGGAACGGGAACACGAAAGCGACGGCTGGGTGTGGCAGAGACTCGGAGCCCAGGGCACCTGGACGTGTGGGACACAAGAGCACGTGGTCACAAAGACAAAGATTCCCCCTCCACCTGTGTAGCCTACATGTACCGTTTGGCCAAGTGCTGTCCGTGAGCAACTGTGAAAGGCCGGCACAGCGCACGAAGGGTTGGCGTGGACAGAAGCACGCCTTTGTCTCTTCCGAACTGATCCTTACACACCGCACCAGGTGCTCGTTTAAAAGAACACAAGATATTCGCCACTGATGCTGGCCATGGTTGGGGGTTTGAAGGGCAGTGCACAAACCGATACACCATTGCACTCAATCACGTACAAAGACAAAGATCCCCTGTATAGCCTGAACAAACTGTTAGAGCAAGTGCTGTAGCAAGTACCTATGATGGCCGGAACGGCATTCTAGGGCATGGGTGGCCAGCGCCATGCCTGGCCGCCTTTGTCTCTCTGGTGGTGATGTTTAAACATCACACCAGGTACTCATTTGAGGTAGAGTCACCAGGGGAGGCCCACTGGTGTTGGCCATGGGCGAGAATCAAACTAAGGTGGCCCGGGTTCATAGCGCAGCGCGCAAACCGCTACACTGCTATTCCCCACTAAAGTCTCTCACACACGCACGCGCGCACACCCAGATACACGCGACTCGCGTCTGGCACAACGCTTCGCAATTCCCATGAGCTCAGCTGTGCGGCGCGTACCTTTACTCAGGGCGTAGGACGTCTTCAGCACCGACGAGTTCAAGTCTTTAAACGTCCTCAGGCCCGACTCCAGTGCCAGCGACTCCACGTACGACTTCGCTCTCCTCTCCAGCAGAAGGCTCATCCTACAGCAAGGTCCGCACCTCCGATTAGCACGGTTGGCTAAGTTCAACGCACACGCAACGCGTACGCACGTCCAGCAACAGCAGCGCACGGTCAACGCGGCGAGACGCAAGCTCACTCTCGGCTACGGCCGGCGGGTCGAGCCGAGCGGCGGTGGAGCTTGTGGATCACGCCGAGACGCAGCCGCACCTGTTTGCCAACGAGAAGAGCTGGGCAGGGCAGGGGTCAAGGCCGGCTCTTCGGGCCCTGTTGGACACGACTTCCAGGTACTGCAAGTTCCACCTGATGTCCAGAGGGAAGTCGGCCAGAGACGAGGAGTCTGGGCCACAGCCAAGGTGGGGAGGGGGAGGGGGGGGGACACAATAAAACCACGGAATTTCATAAACTAAAACGCACCGGCCGGAAGTACCACGTCACCGTTATCTGGTAGGGCCTGAGAACAGTGTGTCCTCGAAATCCTGGGCTAAGTCAGGGCATCGCTATATCCGTTTTATCACAAAAAAAACGTTATTTCCATAAAGAGCAAATGTAGCCCATTCGCAGTTTGTTCTTTTTTTGAGTGCTTAAAAATGTACATATTTTAAAAACAAATAGCAAGGTGCTACTTTAGGACTGCCTGGCGCGTGACGTTTGTGCGCAGCGTGGAAAACAAACTAACAAGAAAGTTAGCAATTCTTGATATTGGAACATTTTTGAGCTTCAGAATTGCAATAAATAAACCAAACTCCAATTTCTACTTTTATTTTTAGGGGTCCCCCTAAACAGGGTATGCCTGCCCGTGTTATTTCACAGACACGCTGTATCTACATCACCGTCTGTGTTAGGGGACAATGTAATGTCTGCCTTGCGTAAAACACCTATGGGAGGGGGGGGGGCATAAGAAACATTTCAAACCAAGAAAAAAAACACAGCTATGTCATTGCTTGCTGCACCTCCGGCTTGCTGTGCAAGGTGCTGCTGGCAGGCCACAATACGGCTCACGAGGCCGGTCTTGGACACAGAGTCGAGAGCCTCGGACGCCGCCCGCAGTACCGTCCCAACTTGGCCTGTGCAAGGGGCAAAAAAGGAGCAAACGCAATGCGGCACGAGAAAGGTTTAAAACACGCCGAAACTCTCACCAGCATTTTTGCTCAACACCTTCGCCAAAGGTTTCACCGGCTCTCGTTTTTTAACCGATGCGTGTGAAAGGGCATGCTCGCCTGCATTTATGGCGTCGCCATTGGCCAGGTCATTCAACCACCTGACCCGCAGCAGCCAATCCTGAGGGGAGGCTCGTTCGGCGACGAGTCTCGCGGCGAACGGGAGGAGGGCGGAGTTGTCTGTGGGTGGCGTCGATGGAGCGGCGGTGGGGACCCCAGGTTGGTCGTTCGGCAAACCGACGACCCCGATGCTTCGTCGCAGGTCCCCTAACGTCAGCGCATACCCCCTGCAAGAGACGGTCAATGTGAATGATAATTTTTGAAGCACCGCAAAAAATTACACCTCATAATAAAAGGAGTTGCATTTATTTAATTGTACTGGGTTTAGTAGATATTTTACGGTCCTATTATTTGTAGTGAATGGTGCTTGTGAGAATTTATAATTAACAATGTAAAATAATTACTTATTTAGCCAGGAATGCCACACCGAGTCTTAGTCAACAGGGTCCTGCTTACAAAGCCACACGCGTGAAGGGGGCACCACTCTCTGCCATTCAGATGGAACAGGCGGAGGCCTCACTTGCTGTATCGCTTTCGCATGGCAATCCAGGGTTTGGCTTCCCCTTGACACCCATGGGAAGGGGAGTTTCACAACCTTTGTGTGATCCACCGACCCTCGCCGCCAAAACGCTGGATTGTCTTCACTAGAGTTATAGTGTCCCTCTCACCACCCCCCGCCCCGTTACAAACAGATATTTAATGCATAAATGTTGAAACTTAGTAAAAAACATTATAAAAGCATGACCTGCGATGGTGAGGAATCCATTAATGCCCACAGAATCAGAATCTTCATTTATCCCTTATTCAGATGTTCCAACAGGGGCAGAAACCGACCTTTGACCTGCAGCGGCCAGGCAGTGCAGCAGCAGAGCCCCGTCACGGCGCACGGTGCAGAGCGACGCGTCCCTCGCCAGCGACGCCACCGAGGGCACGGGCTCGGGGTAGCGGCCAGGCGCCAGCAGCTGCGGCTCATCGCACGTCACGTGGGCAGCGTGCGCCTCCACCGTCTCCAGGGCCCACTGAGAGGGGACACGACCACGTGGGGGGGGGGGTAAAACACACACGTACAGAGACAAAGATAAAAAGATCCCCCATGTAGCCTTAACAGACTGTAGGGGCAAGTGCTGTTAGCAAGCACCTATGAAGGCCGGAACGGTACATGAGGGGGTGGGGGTGGCAAGCACCATGCCCGACCGCCTTTGTCTCCCCAGTGGCGATGTTTACACACCACACCAGGTACTCATATGAGACCGAGTCGACCTAGGGGAGGCCCAGGACCTGTTCAGATAATCGTCACTGTTGTTGGCCGTGAGCGGGAATCGAACCCGGGTCGCCGGGTTCATAGCGCAGCGCGCTGACCACTACACTACCGTACACACACATGCACACAAGCGTACATGCGCGTGCAATTAATCAAAGAAGCAAACCACAATACAAACTGCGCACCGAGGCTACTCTCACGAAGGACCATTGCGCCTTCTTTAAGCTTGCGGCACACGTTAAGCTGTCAGTTTTAAGAGTTGGTTTTCTCACAGAAAATGTGGGATTTCCCCAGGTTTCCTCCCAACCTGTCAACACTGTGATTGAGGCCATGTGTGCGGCACTGTCCGAACAAGTTTACAGTCAACCATGCTACCAACACAATCGAGTGACTTCGTAGTACCGACGCTGAATTTAAATGCACGGACGTGACATTACCGAACCACATTAAGGAAAAGGGTGAATGAAAGATCAAAGTGCAACGGATGACTCGGAGATCATTTGTTTCAGTCGCTCCATCCGGTGATGCTCATGGGGTAATTCTATCGGCAGTGATATGGCAGCGTAGCTCCGCTTGCCTGCCGGGTGCTGGGCGAGGGCTGCGTGGAAGCGTAGACATCGGCGCACGCGCTCACAAACGCCGAGTGCAGCCCCTGGCCTCGATGCAGCTGCTGCACCAGCAGGGCGGCGGCCTGGAGCAGCTGAGACAGCGGGCATCCTCCTGCACGCAGTGCACACAAACGCACAGCTGCACAGACGCTCGTGTGCAGATACAGACTCACGCATAGATTCATAGACATAGGACAACTAAAGCTGCCATTCGCCGTTAAGTGGTGGCGATGTCATCACGGCGCTAGGTGCACTTTAAGGCCACGTGAAGTGTCCAAGGCTCACTGGCAGGAAGTCACAAGACAGAAACCAGGAGCGATGGGTTGACTGGCAGAGATGAATGGCAGATGCACCACCTGTGCCCCCTACTATGTGTATGTTGGCAAATATAACAGTAGCCATACACTGCATAATGGAAGGCCTCCCGAGGCAATCCTCGACAGAGACCCTGTCAAAGCAGGGTCGTGTTTTGGGAACTTTGGCTGATTTCGTTTCCAAAGAACAATTTACATTTGGTCTAAAAAAAAACCTGCGCCATTGAGCTTCCCAACTAACGTTGAAATTGGTTTACGCGTAAGCTTCTCATCTGTCCATCCATCCTCCAAATTCTTCAACGGGCACTCACCAAGCAGACTGCTTCCCATCTGCCGGTGCAGCGCTATCAGCTGTGAAGCTAGAGAGTCTGCCACCACCCCCAGTCCGAGCAGCATCAGCTTCAGGTCCATCTCGGCAATCCGGGCCCTCTCTGCGGCCTCCCCTCCGCCTCCCGCGAGGCATGGCGTGGCCGCACGTCCTTGAGGCTCCCCTCCCTCGCCCGTGCCGGCGCAGCGCTCCGCCGGCACTTCCACATCCATGGCCATCTCAGTGTCGACGGCAGCCGTGGGCTCGGGGCCTGGCTCCGGCGGCATTGCCACGACGGGAAGGAAGATCTCGACGCCGCGGTTGCGCATGGCTCGAGAGATTTCCCCGTGCACCGGGTCCATAGAGAGGAAGAGTCTGGGGGAGACGTCGCGGGGACAATCGGTCGATGCTGTTAAATCCATTTGCGGAACGCTTCTCTCTCAAGGCATGCCACCCCCCCCCCACCCCCGTAATGTGTAGGTAATGAGGAATCAATAAAATCAGCTATTTTGTGCAGTTTTCTTACAAGCGGATGTTCTGCTCTATAGAATTCGCGAATGGACACTTTGTCTCGTGACATGATGCCGAGATCACAATGGAAATAAAATTAGAATGCGCAATTATTTCAAAACAATCACTGGTACTCCGCTGCAGCCTGAGCACACAATGGAGCGCAGTAGGCCCCACCAAGCCACCAGGCCAACCTGAAATCGGGGTGAGGAACGATGGTTGGCACGGTGCCGTCGATGACTCCCCTCTCGCTGATGGTCAGGACTCCCCCCGGCTCCAGCAGTGCGTTGAGCCGGTCCAGGACCGAAGGGCTGTGATGAAAAAGCAACAGTTACCAACGTGTACCGGGCCGTACCACTTGTAAACAGGTAGCAGGCACTTGAAAGACCAAAAACGCGTGGCCCAGAGAATGCCGAGCTCATGAGCGGAGGCAGGTGGATCGGCACAGATCAGCGGCACCCACGGCAAACGATGATTAACACATTATTTAAAAACACGCAACGATAATTATGACATCAATCGCGATGACGACGAAGTTGCACGAACGACGACGGTCTACGAAAACCTCAACCCGGCATAGAAACGTGCGCCGCATTTCCCGTCGGCGAGAACGAGAGTCGTCTCTCGCCTGCAGAAGTTGACGTTGTCCATGAGCAGCCAGTCGCCCGCGCGCAGCGCCTCCACAAGAACACCATCCACCCACTCAAAGGCACCGCCGCCACCTCCAACCTCCCCCGCAGAGCCAGCGCCGCCCGCCCTGGATCCCGCGGCGGTGGAAAGCGGCGATGAGCAAAACCTCCGCTGGAAGTTGCCGAGCCGTTCCCGGAGATCTGACAGCACTGCAGGAGGGGCACAATGAGTCGCAAAGAGCACGATGCAATCAATGTCTAAGCCAGGCTGTTGTTGCGTGTGAGCCCATTCCAAACCTCCTTCTTAGATGAGAAACAATCTCCATATTAAAATGCTACTGTACGTTCACAGTCCGTGTCATTGTCACTAATGAATCCGAATGCGCCCTAGTATCCATCTATCATCACGTGACCCAGGCCGCAATAACTACATTCGAATTTCCCCGGTGCCGAGTGTCTGCGGTGTGCAAGTTGCGAGTTTGTGCTGAGTGGTGAATAGTGTCTGGCGAGTGTCGGTGTCTGGTGAATGGTGAGTGGTGAATAGTGTGGTGAGTGTCTATGTCTGGTGAATGGTGAGTGGTCAACAGTGCCAGGTGAGTGTCGGTGTCTGGTGAATGGTGAGTGGTGAATAGTGTCTGGTGAATGGTGAGTGATGAATAGTGTCTGGTGAGTGCCGGTGTTTGGTAAATGGTGAGTGGTGAAAAGTGTCTGGTGAATAGTGTCTGGTGAATGGTGAGTGGTGAATAGTGTCTGGTGAGTGTCGGTGTCTGGTGAATGGTGAGTGGTGAATAGTGTCTGGTGAATAGTGTCTGGTGAATGGTGAGTGGTGAATAGTGTCTGGTGAGTGTCGGTGTATGGTGAATGGTGAGTGGTGAATAGTGTCTGGTGAGTGTCTGTGTCTGGTGAGTGGTGAATAGTGTCTGGTGAATGGTGAGTGGTGAATAGTGTCTGGTGAGTGTCGGCGTCTGGTGAATGGTGAGTGGTGAATAGTGTCTGGTGAGTGTCGGTGTCTGGTGAATGGTGAGTGGTGAATAGTGTCTGGTGAGTGTCGGTGTCTGGTGAATGGTGAGTGGTGAATAGTGCCTGGTGAGTGTCGGTGTCTGGCGAGTGGTATCAGCCGAGTGTCGGGTGAGAGCGCAGCCCGTGTTGTTTTGTTTTATACAATGTCGTTCTATGTTGGCTGCGGATTGTATAAACACGGTTTAACGTGTGGTGTACTTTCAAATGTCACACACAGAGATCATGCAAATGCTTATGTAAGCAACTGCCTTTTAATAATCAGTGCTCAAAATGCATGCATGTCACACAGAGGCATAAAAAAGTTACAATTTCGCTCAGTTCTATGTGAAGTTTTATAGTGTAAACCGTTTGAAGGAATAGAAAATGTGCCGCCAGATATGATTCTAAGTGTGTAAAAGATGCTCATGCAGAAATCATCGGTGCATTCTGATCTCCCAGAATGCACTAGGGGGTAAGCCTCACCTGTCGCAGACAGCGCGCGGTGATCGCCGTTGACAAGTTCCACCTCTCCCAGAATGCTGTGCAGCGTTTCTACGTCCGAAACCGTGACCTCCGGCGTGGCGCCACCCCCGATTGCCAACAGCGACGTGCGCAGTCGCAGCAGCCGCTCGGCATGCTGGGAGGAGGCGGGGAGGGCGGCACGGGCGAGCGAAGCGACGGCGTCGCGGGCGTCCGCAAGCAGCGCGAGCCACGGGCGACGCGCGTCCACCTAAGAAGCGAGAGACACAAAAATAGTTGTGAAAGATTACCTAAGTTCACATAAGAATAAAAAACCGTGGTGGAAACTTAAAATGGAGGTTTTTGTAGCCAATTCAATGTTCCATATTTATTTTGGGTTAAACCTCCATTTACAAATACATAAATGTGTAGATATCTTGGTAAACGTGACAATAAAAAATACTACACGGCCTATAAATCAGGAGTGGCGACATCAGGCTAGGCAAGTCCAAGTGAAGTCTCAAAGGCTAGATGGTAGGAGGTCACAGGACAGTACCATGTGTTAGGGCTTAAAATGGCACGTGAAACGCACAAGTACATACATGCAGATACATACACCAATGCATGACAATGACACTTTGGGCATAATTAATGTGCTGCTGGTGGAAACGCAGGCTCCCACTGGTGCAGTCGTCATCCCTTCATTGAGCAAGACACAAGCCCAAGGCCGGCCCAGGCCACCCAAACGGCGACAATCCGACCGCCCTTCCCCCACGCCCGCCAAACAAACCTGCTCAAACCCTCCGAGCAGCTCCGTCGTGTCCATGTCGCTGTTGACGGCCATGACGCGCAGGCGGCGGCCGGCCAGCGTGGCGAGCGAGCTCAGCAGCGCCGACTTCCCGGCGCCGGCCGGCCCGACCAGCAGAACCATCCAACCGCGCTCCACGCAGCGCAGCAGCGGCGACAGGCGCGGCACGCAGCCCGGCAACAGCTGCAGGGCGTGCGGACCCGCGAGGGCGCCGACGCCGGACCCCGGGACGCCCCGCGAGTGGCGCCGCAGGCAGCTGAAGCCAGCCTGGGTGGAGACGAAGGGCGCCAGAGGGTGACCATGGAAAATATGGCAGAGCGGCGAGAGCGTGGCAGTACCTGCGGGCTCGCCGTCGGTTCACGCTGGGCGCCGCGGCGTCGAGATTTTATTAACTACCTCGACTTGTACGCAGGAGGTCGTGGATTTGACGCCTGCATATTTGTAGTTTGCGTGTTTTCCTTGTGACCGCGTGGATTTTCCTCCGAGTCCTCGGGTTTTTTTCCTCCACATTTAAAAACATGCGTTTAGAGTATTTGGCCGGTATACATTTCCACGTGATAAGCCACTTTATTGAGGGATCATTTGTGGCCAGATCGCTTCTAAAAAAAAGCTATATAGCTCAGTGGGCCTTACCTAGTGAAATAAAACGTTTGTTTTTAGACGAGGTATTCCTATATTCATATATTCTGCAGGTGGCCTTCAGAGTTCCCTTTACTGGAGGCCCTTTCTGCCAGCAGGGGCATTAACGACCATTTACAGGGCTGCACCTTTACCCTTCATATGCACAGAGGATGCGCCTAAGAGGTTATTCACCGTGGAAATAGAGCGATGAGATGAGCTCGTGTGCAGGTGTTTTATTGATTGATGCATCGCAGGACTCGGACAGATGAAGAGGGTTTGGAGAGGCCTTCATCCGGCAGTGCATTGATCACATGGCTGATAATGATTGATGACGATGATGGAATTCATGGAGCAGCGGTCCAGTGCTTTGCACAGTGTGCAAATTACTGCATGAAAGTGGATGTTCTCTTGGGCGTGTCTGCATGTACGTTTGTTTACACAGGAAAGTCTCACCAAGTCTCATGACTCTTTTGAGGAGGGTCTTGCCATATTTTTTGCAGTACGGGGCATAGATAGGCAATGCACAATCTCAACTGAGCACTTTGCGGGACAATTTTTTATTCTTCAAATTTGGTAAACTTGCACCATGCATGAAGAGCAGGGCTCACCTGCACAAGTGCAGGAGTGACGTGCAGGTGCAGCGACTCCTCCAGCAAATCCTCCTCCTCCGTGAACACCTCCCGGTACAGCTCGTACACCTGCCCAGTTCGCGCACACAAGGAGATTCAAGTTTACACTGATGATAGACTAAAATTGAGCGAACTCAAAAAATATAAATGTATCGCCATTCTTTCCAGCGATCGAATTCAACTATTTTACAAATAATTCTCTCAAGTGGGCTCTTAGCTTGGTTACAAATACGAGACTGCTTATTAACAGACGCAGGATGAACACAAAGGGCAAATTAACCCTTTCCCGCCGTTCCGAGACGTCTGCAAGTTATAGGGTGTGTCCCCGTTCACCGCTGAATCTCGGAACGCGGAAGTGATTCAGCGTTGTTTTTTTTAGAGGCGTAGCGCCATTGCTTTCAAGGACACTGTTCTCACCGCAGAGAACCGTAGCGATACGACCGCCCTCTACGACAGCTGCACCAAACTGTGCCACACGCCCTCCCACGTGGCGGCTTTGTTGGAGCGTCTGTACCGATAAAAGTTATTTTATTTAAGTTTTTCTTCCAATTCCGTATGTGTAAGTACGTGCACGTCATCGGAACGGAATCGGAAGAAAAACTGGTGACGTACACGTACGTACGTCACCGCCACTTGAGGAATGCTACAACGGCGGCCACAACAGCGCGGTCCCGATCCCGAGCTGCGGCAGGCGGTTTTGGACACGTGCCTTGTCGCGATCCTCGGCGCTCCGCATTCGGTCGGCGTACACCAGCGCCACGTGGCGGCCCGGCGAGTAGCGGCCCGGGTCCTGGTCGGCCTCCAAGAGCTGGCACCAGCGGAAGACGTCGCGCAGGTTGAACTCCCAGGGCCCGCCGCGCTGGCCCCAGCGCCGCTCCGCCGTCACCGCCTGCACCATCTGGCCGAGCACACGACGGGAGCGAGGGAAAGCAGCTGCACTCCGCGCGATCCCACAACCAATGGCGTGCGCAGGCACTGCGCGGGGGGAGAGATACGACAGCCGTACTCGTATGGAACAAGACAAAGATCCCCCCCGTATAGCCTTGACGTACTGTTGGGGCAAATGCTGTTAGCGAGCACCTCTGAAAGCCGGCACGGCACACGCGGGGGTGGGTGGCAAACACCACGCCCGGCTGCCTTTGTCTCCCCAGTGGCGATATTTATACACCGCACCAGGTATTAATTTGAGGGAGAGTCAACCTCGGGGGAGGTCCAGGACCAGTCCAGATAATTGTCACCGGTGTTGGCCGTGAGCAGGAATCGAACTCGGGTCATCGAATTTGTAGCGCAGCGTAGCGCTAAACCGCTACCCAACCGCTCCCCACTCATACGCATTAACAAACACGCACGCATGCACAGTAACAGAGCGACCAAGTTGCACAACATAGGCACACGTGCACGGGCGAGTCAAGGCCACGTTGTTGTTATTGCTGATGCTGTTGCCACCGACGCGAGAGTCACAGGTCACCTTGTTGTTGAACTCCACCATCTTGGCGACGATGTGGCTGCCGATGTTGGGGAACATAGCGTTGGCGATGAATTCCATGTCGCCGCCGCTCATCTCGTCCACGTACACCTGGGGCGCACACAACATGGGCATCGGCCAGGTCGCTAAGCCCTTCGAAATAGGGGGCCCCCCCTTTGGCGCCGTGGTGGCTGACACACGCAAGGGAGCCCCGAGTTCAAGGTTCGCACGGTGCCGTGATTTGGTGGCGCTGACCTGATCTGATTGCAAATTCAATAAACCTTCGCATCCTCCTGCACTTGTTAACAACCGGTAACACCAGTGAGTTCATATATTAAGAGGTTTTTTTGTGTCCGCCACATTGTAGCATTCCCAAAAAAAACCCTATTATGGATATTGGTCGCGAAAGCCTACGTGTTAAACTGACCGGTGAGTTTCTAAAGTTATATATTAAGCAATGAAATTAATATAAAACATGAAGAGACTGCATTGCCAAAAATACACAAGCACACATTTTTACAACAACAAAAAAATCACCACATTGAACATGAACACTGCTTTATCACGAAGAAGTACATGACAGGCCAAAAAAATTAGTCAGTAATATATATCCATTGTAAGGCAGCACGTGTTAATTAGGAAGGTTAAGTTTTAAAAAATAATAATATCAGAATTAATGTTCTCGCATGTCCACTGTAATTTCAAGAAAATGTGTTAAACCCAACAAACAAAAGCAGGCAAACAAAATACAATTAATTTGAAAAGGCAGGAGATGGGCAGAGATAAAATCGGTACTCTCATTCACAGTAAAACCTTATAGGGCAATTACATTGCACAAAAAAGTCGCCACCATTCGCATTCAGCCACCATCAATCTCGCCTCTCTCCCCAGGCGATTCGCATCTTCTGAAGGACTTTTGGTCATTCACCACTGCCAATTCATGCGCTACCGCCCTCAATGTGTTTCATTATTTAGAGATACAAAGAGGATGGCAGTTGAGGGAACGAACGAGACAAGAGATACCCGCGCTTGAACTCCGCTTGAATTTGATTCAGGAAATATCCACTCTTGAACACCGAGAACCTCTCGCAGGGATCAGGGACGGCGTACAGCAACGTTTGGTCAACTTTTGTCGACTCGTTCCTCATCCGACGTTTCCCCCCCCCCCAAGTACGCAATTCCATTCCGTCACCATTTTTTTTCCCTCAGTTTGTCTTTCCATCTTCCCTGACCACTCTCCGTCTTTCATGGTTTCTATTTCGGTTTCCTAGGCTGCAGCCAGAGGACGCTACGGTTATGCGCGTGGGCGGCGGTCATTCAGCGAATGAGGGCGCCGCGGTGGCGAGATGTTAACTACCTCACCTGATATACAGGAGGTCGTAGGTTTGATTCCGACCCTGACGCCGGTAGATTTGGAGTTTGTGTGTTCTCTCCCGTGGTTGCTCGGATGTTTCACTGGGTCCTCTGGTTTTTCGCTCCAAATTTAGAAAAATGCGCTTAGAACATTTGGCTGCTCTAAATTTCCACACGATAAGCCACTTCACTGAGCTATCCTTTGTGGCCAGGTCGCTTCGGAAAAAGAGCTACTAAGCTCAGTGGGGCCTTGCCTGGCAAAAGTCTGTTTCGGTACCTTATGCACGAGTATCGTCGTTGTTAAAGCAACCAAAATAAATACGCGAATAAAAACAAAAAGAGACAGCAGCACTGGGGCTCGTTCAGACCTGAGTGAAGCGATTGAGGAAGGAGCGGGGCAGGCCTTTCCTGCCGCCGCCCTGCCTCAGCGGGTTCTGGCAACCGAAGATGCGGGTGCTGTCGCGCTGGACGTGGAACGTCATGCCCAGCTCGGGGACGAACACCTCGGCGCGGTGGTCGAAGCAGGCGTTGAGCCCCTCCAACACCGACTGCGACGCCAGGTTCAGCTGCAGGCCACGGGCAAACCCCCCCGACACGTCACAGCGGGCGGCGACACAGAACAGCCGCGAGCGCGTTCGCCGCTCGTTGCAAAAAGGTTCGCGGTGGTTCGAATCCGGCGATTATTACTACAGAATGTTTATTTGAAGCAGGAGGAATCCGATAATCTATGAAGCTCTTTTTCACAGATGTCCACGGTAGGGGGCGGGTCAGCAAGTTGAAACAATATAACTAAAAGTAATAATACTGTGCGCGGTGAATGTTAAAGATCCCCCCGACATTACGCGCAAGAGTGGGCCCATCGTTGGCTAGAATTGCCAAATTTGAAAATTACATCGCAAATTGCTCAAAGTGGGGATAGCAGCCATCATCGCTCCCTAACGCTTCACATCACTCTCACAGATGAGATAGTCCTCGTCTCTCTAGAGTTCTCACCTGATGAAACTTTTTAACTTATCATTACTGTTGCGTTCAATGTCATCATCATCGTCCTGCATCTCCAAACAGCACGGTTGGCTACGTACGGTGCGAAAGAAATCCAACGTACATACGCACATCGTCGTCGTCATAACTGTTCCTTCAACACCATTATAATTTCACCACCATCACCTTCATCACCGCTCAGTTATCAACATCATCATCATCGCCGTCATCACCTCGTCCAGGACCACCCAGTGACCGGCCTTGAGGGCGGCGAGGAGAGGCCCGTCACGCCACGCGAACTGGCCCCCCTGGCCCCCCTCCACGGGAAGGTCCGTGCCAAACAGATCGGTGACGTCCTGGGAAAGGAAAACGGCTCCTCGAATTCAATCGTGGCACAAACGCGAATCTTGCCGAGCCGCTGCACGTTCAGACGATTCGGCCCCAGGCTCAGTGCCGCGGTGGGAAATCCACAAACCGTGGCAAACGCTCGAGCGGATACGGCGACGCTACACCGAGGTTGGTTGCTGCAATATGGCGGTGCGACGATACATTCGTAAGATACGAGGTCAGCGGTAATCGTGTCCTGCGCATTGCAAAATATCGTAATCTCATTAAAAAAATTCACGTGATGGATAAAATATATCTATTAAATAACGGACACGATAATTAGTGCGCCAAATAAATAGCCATTACCTATTGAATTGGCACTTAACAAGCCATGTAAATTTCCACTCACATAAGTGTGTACTCGAAACTTCTTTTTATAAGATTTTATTCAATTCAGCTGCAAAGATGAGATGCTCGGCTCTATTTCAGGATTCACGCCATCTAACCCAAAAACCTCTTATGGCTAATATTGGTGGCAACAGCGTACGTGTTAAACTGCTCTATTTCATGTGCGTCCTGCGACGGTAAAGATGTTGTACAGTACAGATGTTAGCTACAAACATGGTGACTTTACATCGATAGCAAAACTAAACGGCGAGTAATTGACGATGTTAAAAGGCGTTTTCTTCTTCATTTCATTCCCCTGCGTAATTGACCGCGAGTACTTTATAGAACTGTATGTTGCAATGTTTACAATTCTTAAGGCAGGCCTAATTTTGAACGAACTGCAATTGAAGAACTCTTAAGCAATCTATATTTGTACCGAATGCAAAGCAAAAGCTCAAAAGCAATCCCACAAAAAAATGCGAAACACTCATTGGAAGCTGTGGGCGACGAACAAAAGATCACAGCAATCACCACATCGTATTGTTAAAAATTCCGTCGCGGCCGCAGCGCGATTTCGTGATCTCACCGTCTGCTCGGACAGGTTGATGCGCACGAGTTCGTGCCCCGCGGCGCGCGCCACGGCCGCCACCAGGCTGGTCTTGCCGACGCCCGGCGATCCCTCGAGCAGCACTGGCTTGCCGAGCTGCAGCGCCCGCAGCACGCGCTGGGCGTTCCGCGCCGTCGTGCTCGCATCCAGCGCGTAGTCGGGCAGCCGCGAGGACGGCCCCAGGGGTCCTGAGGGTTGCAGGGAGGGATGTTAACTACCTCGCCCGGTATGCGGGAGGTCGTGGGTTCGACTCCGACATTGACGCCTGCCGTATATTTGGAGTTCACATGTCTCTCTGCCGGTGGATTTTTTTCCGGGTCCTCCGGTTTTTCCATCCACATTTAGAATCAACGTGCATTTAGTATTTGGCGTCTATAAATGTCCACATGCTAAGCCACTTTGTTGCCAAGGTCAGGCGACTTCAATGCCAGTGGCCATAATGACCTCTTGACCTTCATTCCCACCACAGGGGATATGTCCCCTCGTCACCGCACGAGCGGCCCTACCCGTGGGAATATGGAATGGCGGCACCCCGAAGGAGCCGCTACTCCAGCGTGGGCCCAGCTGCTCCTTGGCCCGCTGCTCCCCCTCTCCCGGCGCCAGCAGGGTCAACGCCGCGGGGCCGAGCGTGGCGCCCGCGGCACACAGCAGCTTGCGGAGGAAGCACAGGCAGGAGGCCCGAGCCTCCGCAACGACGTCGCTGGACCCCGCCGTCGTGCCTGCACCACGGACAGGGAGACGCGGAAACACGCGCGGACGCTCACGACGGGACGCGCACACACGCGCGCGCAGACGCGTGTCGAGAAACCTGTTGCCTCTCAATGCTATCTCCCCGTTGTGCCATTGGTGTCACTTCACAAGCCAGGATCTCGGCGGTGCCAGCTCAACGCTCTGACCTCTGAGCCACCCGGTAACCTCTCACCTTACATAATTTTACAATTTTGCAGCCAGGCGAACGCACTCCGCAATGCTCTGTTTTTGAATACTCTTCCTTTCTAATATTGCTCAATTAACTCTCATCTATAATAACATCCCAGAGTGCCGTTTGTCGCTGGATGCTTGCTTGGCCTTTCGGGCCTTTGGGGCTGTGCTTAGCAACCGTGATCAGTTTGAGCCGATGTCTCCTTCACGAACATAAACAACACAAACGAGGGCGATGACGTTTAAAGTGTTTTTTTCCCGTCGAACGACGCCCCGGGCCTTCGAGGGAGACGGCTGTCACTTTTTTGAACACGTCGCCCCGGTCTTGATGCGCAAACTCCAGGAAATGATCGCACTTCGGTTGACGGTCGAAGTGGACCACGACCCTCAAAAGGAGTGGCGACGCCCCCCCCCCCCCCGTGGTCACCCTCTCCGTGATATTATTCGAGACAATGGCACGGCAGCAAGAGCAGTTTATGCGAATGCAGTCGCAAGGAGGTCAACACACGTTTTAGCGCAACTGTCCTTCGCTGGCTACGCGCGACAAGTGAATGATCGACGCACCGGAGCCGATGGCGTCCACGTAGACGAGGCAGGCGCCGTGCGCGAAGGCGCAGGGCACGTCGAGCGGCTCTCGCGCGCCCGCCCCCTCGTCCCCGCGGGCCCCGCTCGCCGCGTTCACGAAAAGGGCCCAGGCGAGGAGGTCACGGGCGCTCACCACGCAGCGACGGCCAAAGTCCTGGCTCGAGAGCCACGCGATGAAGTCCAGCATGGAGGCAGCCACGTCCACGCCTGAGCCCGAGATGGAGAGTAAACGATCAGGCGCAGCGAGGCTTCAACTACGGCAAGTGTTATGCCAAATTATATTACGGTAGGAATCGTAACAATGATCATAATAATTTTGTTCTATGCTGTCTTGGTCACAGGAGTTGCTCACCACACTCATCGGCGTGCGCGTCAGTGAGAGTAGGCAAGCATCGACATGGGAGCACAATACAATGGCTAATGTGGCACTGCCCTCCGCCCACCGTGATGCAGTCTTATGGTAGACCAGTTCCAATATCGGTTGACACTGATCTTGTCTGCGGCAAGGAATCGAACTTGACTTAATAGCACAGTCCGCTCGACAAAAGCTACTAAAACAAATGTGTTAAGTCTTCACAGGTCCAGTACGGTGGGGAAAGAGGCCTACGCAGGGTAAAAGGCCCTTTAAAAAAGGTGCTCACACGTGGTTGTCTGTTGAGCTGAAAACACGAATAACAGGTGCCCCGAAAGCACGCCAATCACATCAAACTAATTATGGTTGATGACGTAATTTCCATTAGCACCAGGTCCAAAAAAGGCCTTTTACCCCACATAGGCCTCTTACACCACCCTACCCTACCCTATTACTTTACTTATTTATTTGACATCGATTAAAATAATCTTGTTTCAATCACGCAATTACATTTCGCTGCTCAGCAGAGGGGGGGGGGGGTGGGGCGGTGGGCTCTCCGCTGGCCTATTACACTGCGAGCGGAGCACGTGGGCCTCACCTTGCGCGAGCGGGGAGCCCGGAGAGAGGCTGGGAGCCAGGTTGTGCCGCACGATTTGCATCATGTCGTCGCGCTCGCTCGTCTGCGGACACCAGATCTCCGTGAATCGGTTCCGCAGCGCCGGCGAGAGCTGCGCACACAAACACCTTCGATGAGCGCGGTTGGCTAAGTACGGTGCGAAAGAAGTTCAACATGTGTACGGCCAGCGGCATGCCACGGCGTCACGACGCACCGAGGCACACGGATCTCGAACCGCAAAATCGGCTGGGCGAGTCTAAAAACCGGGTTCAGCTACTTCAACAAGGGAATCTACTGCTGGTTTTCACGCATTCAGTTTACTGAAGAGTAAAAAGAAGATACCCGGTTGACGCATGAACATGAAGATGCAATCATTTTACGAAATAATCTCAAGATAAATAATCAACTGTGGGCAAGACGAAAAGATGATTGTTTATAGGCTTTCACCCATAATAATTTATTCAAAGCCACAGTGTCTCCCCTGCTCAAACAATAAGTTGGGCAGCACTCAACTCTGCTGGAGGACTTGACCCACAGCTGGGTCTGTATTACCACAGGGCAACCCATTTGTGACCTCCACACAGAGACACTCATTTAATCAACTACACAACGATGATTGGCCGAGTCGATCCCTCACTGGGAGTAATCACTGCGAATGTGGACTCAAACAATAATTGATAATGGAACATACTTATATATATTCTTAAGACGCAAGAACTGTTTGTTGTTTGGACGTTGGATCACTCATTGCTCGTGATCTATTTTGATCGCAGAACCGCGTCGTCGAACGTCGAGTCTAAAAAACCCTTTCCGAACCGCGCCGAAGGGGGCACCTCCTTCTTGCCGAAGTCTCCGCCGGGGTTCATGGTGGCGAGGATGCAGAACGTCTCGCCGGCCATGACGAGTTCCACCTCCTCGCCGTCTTCGCCGCTCCCCTTTTCGGCCAGCAGGAGGCTCTTCTCCACCTCCAGCACGCTGGCGGAGAGCCACGGACAGGACGAGGGGTCGGGCCGTGTGCGGGGAGAGGGCCGCGCTAGCCTCGCTCATCTAAGTCATTATGTCACCTCGGCCGCTCTCTCAGCCATTCACTCATTCAGTCATTCTATCCCATTCTGTCAGCTACTCACCCACTAACTCGGCTAAGCATTATCTCACTCAGCCACTCAACAAGCCACTCACCCACTCTCACTAACTCACTTAGCCACTCTCACACTCGCTCTCCACTTACTCCCTTCTTTACTAAACCACTTTCACCCACTCTCTCAGCTACTCATTTACCAGGTGACCCACTCACTCTCACGCAATCTAACTCACGCATGCATTATTCCACTCGCTAATCAATCGCGCTCTGACCCACTCAGTCAAGACACTCACTCACCAAACCACTCACCCACTCATTCATCAATACACTCACTCTTACTCTCAGAAAATCCGCTCACTCTTTCTCACTCACCCAACGTGGCAAATGCTCCACGAAATCCAAACCCATGCTGCTGTCCAGCTCCAACATCTAGCCAATTTTAGAATCCTGGACAAATTGGACATAAACCCCTCCCACCGCCCGCCCCCGCCGGTTTGACATTCCAGCAGCCACCGCGACCGGAGAGACAGCACCAACGCCACTCACCTGTTGAGGCGCTCCAAAACCGAGTCGTCCGCCAGCGAGATCTCATCCATGAGGAACGCGCCGTTATTCCGCATGGCCAGCACCAGCGGTCCATCGTGCCACTCGAACAGCCTCTGACTGTCGCCCTCCTGTACACAACAAAGACCGTTGGGGCGAGCGCTTGTTAGCGAGCACCTATGAAGGCCGGCACGGCACATGAGGGGGGTGGTGGGTGGCCAGCACCACGACCCGCCTGCCTTTGTCTCCTGAGTGGCGATGTTTACACACGGCAAGCGCCTAGTACTCATTTGAGGCCTGGTCGACTGAGGGGAGGCCCAGGGCTGATTCAGATAATTGTCACTGGGTGTTGGCCGTAAACGGTCACGACATCATACTCAGCGTCACATCGAGTTCTATTCTTGCGCGTGGCAGTCTGTTCAGGATCAAAATACCATGTTGAGGTCTGCCAGCCACAAGTGGGCTTCAGGAGAGAGTTCGTGTAGTTTACTGTATGGTTCGTAATATATGGTCCACGATGGACCATATCACATCCAGTGTCACATCCAGTGTCACATGCAGTGTCACAGAGAACGTACAAGTTTCAACACGCAGCTGCACCTCCGTTAAGCGCATCTGACTATGTACGGTGTGAGAGAAGTTCAACGTACAAACATATTCCGTGAGTCCCAATGAAAAAAATCGAGGAATTCTGCTTAAAGCTGGGATGTTGCAGCCTTGACCCACCTGGGCCGACGTCTGGTGCCGCACGGGACGAAGGCCACCCAGGAAGTCGGACGTCTCCATGTGCAGGTGGCAGTTGACGGTGTGCAACTTCTGCCCAGCGAGCGCGGCGAAGATCTGGCACAGCGTGGTCTTGCCACACCTGGGACGGACACGGGCAAGCGACGACCCAAATTAGGGGTGGAGAAAATGTCGGAGTTAAAAAAAGACAAGTCCGTAAAGATTACGCGCACACACAAGGATCTATCGCATTTCAAGGTCGCAATTTAATTCAAGAAACGGATCGTTTTCGTTTCAAATTTGTGCCGTCTCGTTTGCGTCGTTGATCAATGTTGTATCATTTGTACAGTTTCACTTGACTCAATTAGCCTATACAAAACATCACCATCTCATTTGAATACACACTCAACAATTAATCGTTGCACGCACGTTTGACCGAAGGTATCGTGGGTGTTAAAAAAAATCGGTTCTAAACGACGAATCGTTACGCGCCTGCATATCTGAGCGTGCACACGACTGAGCGTCGTAACCACTCAGTGACTGAGTGTGGGTGGTCACGGCGGAGGTGACTCGCGGCCGGCACGTCACGGCACGAACCCGGTTTCTCCGACAAGCAGCACCGGCTCCTTGAAGCGCAGGGCCCGGCCCAGGAGCACGGCGAGGCGGCGCATGCCGGACGTCCACACCACGTGCCGGAACTCCTCCGGCAACTCCGGACCGCGCCCGCCGACCGACGCCCTCGCATCTACCCGAGGATCAGCGCCAGACAACCGCAGACACTGATTGAGTAAAAAAAAAATATATTTTACCAAGTAAGGCCCACTGAGCTATATGGCTCTTTTTCAGAAGGGACCTGGCAACAAGACGAGCAGCTCAACGAAGTGGCTTATCATCACGTGGAAATTTATAGCAGCCAAATACTCTAAACGTATTTTTCTGAATGTGGTGGGAAAAGCGAGAGGACCCGGATAAAAATCCACGCGACCATTGGGAAAACGTGAAAACTCCAAATATACAGGTGTCAGGGTTGGGATCAAATCCAGGACTTCCTGTATACCGGGAGAGGTAGTTAACATCTCACCACCGTGGCACCCAAAGACATCCTTACCATAACCTTTGACATAATTATTACCAATTTAGAATAGATATTTTGGTAAGACCACGTAATGATCCAAATATCTGTTAACCGTCATCATTGCTGGTTTAATTACTGTGTGGCTGCCTGGATTCCAATGCAGATCTCAGGTCAGCGCCTCTTCATTCACCTGGCCACCTTCTACCGTGATAACAATCTTAAGTGAGGTTTAGCAAAACAATTACGCTCAATTGATAATTTAAGGAAAAACTCTCTCGAAGACATTTTAATTGGAATTGTGTTTGGGTATTTTATTATCCGATTTTTATTCTTAATGAGGGTTTAATTGGTGATTTGTTTGCATTAACAAATCAAGATATGTTGCTCTTGCTGCACTTATTAAAATCCCACATCTATCTTGAAAAAAATAAACCCTGCTTCTGTTTGCTTGCCGATAAATAGATGTCGTCGTAAGACGTCACTTGACAAGCACAACGATTCTTTGTTGTGCATGGTGATTGATTGAATATCATCTCATCTCCCTACTGTACACCGCCTACAACGGTCTACGGGCAGCCTACAGACCGCTTCGCCGTTCCCATCTTACCCAGCATCTGCCGCAGGCTCTCAAGGGAAAAGAGCTGCGCCGGGTTGATCTTCCTCTTAAAGTTCTTCTCCAGAACGCTCCGTATGACGCTCGCTTCCTCTTCCTTGCGCACGCGCCCCGCCAGCAGCATGTAGCCTACGGGGGAGACACCGCGCGGACACGGAGCGTCGAGGTGCAGCCGCAGTTTGAGGCGCTAGCGGCGGGATGTGTACATCGCGAGGGAAGAATTGCGTGCGGCACGCTGCGAGATGAAGCCCCGGGGACCCCGTGTTCAATTCCCGCTCACGGCCAACGCCCAGTGACGATTATCGGAAGTGGTCCTGGGCCTCCGTTGTTCTCTGTGACGCTGCGTGTGACGCGGTCCATCGTGGACCATATAGTATGGACCATACAGTAAACTACACGAAGCCCACTTATGGCTAGCGGAACTCAACGTGGCATTTCAATCCTGAAGAGACTTCCACACGCAAGAATAGAAGTGGAAGTGATGCCGAGTGTGAAACCGTGACCGTACAGGAGAGCGGTTAGCGCCGCGCTGCGCTACGAACCCGGGGGCCCGAGTTCGATTCCCGCTCTCGGCCAACACCGGTGACGATTATCGGAACTGGTCCTGGACCTTCCCTAGTTCGACTCAGCCTCAAATGAGTACCCGGTGTGGTTTGTAAACAACGCCACTGGGGAGACAAAGGCGGTCGGGCGTGGTGCTGGCCAACCCACCCCCTCATGTGCTGTGCCGGCCTTCATAGGTGCTCGTGAACAGCACTTGCCCCAACCGTCTATTATAGGCTATATGGGGAATCTTTGTCTTTGTAAAACAATTTTTTACATATCTGCAAGAGAAGAAACAGCTATCGACAATCGAGAAGAGGTGTCGACAGCCTGGCCTTGAACAGGGACAGGGAGTTGACAGCGTAGATTTCGCTGGAGGATTATGCTCAGCATCGTAGGGTGTTAGCATGTATATCGGTTAAACTTATTTCTAACCATACGCAGCCAACCGTGCTAATCAGAGGCGTTGGGGAAGACCAACAAACCAAACACAAAATAAATGAGTTTTCAATCTAGATTATTTAAAAGTGCGTATCTCCAGTGGCTTCCTAATATCGGAAGGAACAGCGTTCCAGACGGCCGCAGAAGCAGGTCTTTGTTCGACGGCCAGCCAAAAGCCGCTGCTGCTGCGAGCACGAGCGGAGTCCGCGTGATGAAGGGTTATGCTTCTCCTTGACGGGAGCTCAGCGCGGCCGACACAAGCGAGGTCCCGCACCGCTGCCAGCACTCGCGACGCCGGTGTGTTGCGGCACGCACCGTCGTTGGCCAAGTGCAGCTGCCAGTCGTAGGTTTTGTCGCCGTGCTCGGCCAGGCGGTAGCGCTCGGCCCAGCGGAAGAGGTCGCGCAGGGTGATGAAGCCGTGCTTGCCGGCAAACACGCTGGAGCCGCGCCGGTGAGCCTGCCACCACCGCCATCACCACAAACCACAATGGTCACAACCACCACCATCATAATAACCACCACCACAACAACAAACGCCACCACAATCACACAACCATGGGAACCACCATCACAACCAGAACCACCACAACAACAAACACCACCATCATCACAACCACTGCAACCACCACAACCACCACTGCCACAACACAACCAGAGTACAGTTCAATACAACAATGATTCCCATATGTACAACGTCACTATGGTGCATACGAGACATTAAAGATTCATTGTTTGATTTTCGGAGTTAGTTGTGTGTTGATGCAATAGATTATTAATTGTATTATACGAAACCTATATAATCTGTTAGGGGTACGCGGACAGTTGATAGGTCTGTACACGCCAAGCTAAATATTGGGAACCACCGCAAAAACATAGCTCATGCGGCAATGAGCTGGTGAATGGGTCAGTGTGTGAGCGGGTGAGCGGGACAGGGGGCGAGCGGGTATTTTCTGCGGTTGGCGAGGAGAGCGGGCAGGAGAAGAGCGAGTGGAGGCTCTCTCGGCCGTATCCGTCGGGAGAGGATAAGCACAGGCGGACGCACCTGCAGGTCGGCCATGACGGCAGCGAGCTTGGCGCAATAGGAGGGCGGCAGGTGACAGCGCTGGTGCAGGATGGTCTGCAGCTCGGAGCTCGGCAGCTCGTCAAAGTGCAGCTCCACGAAGCGGTTCCTGAACGCGCGCGACAGGACCTGGAGCAAGGGGGAGGCATGGGCCACGAGTCAGGGAGGGGAGGGGCAGGCACGCCGGACGTGATGGAGAGCTAGGAAAGCCAGACGGTCACGGCATCCTCCGATTTGTCGTGTGCGCGTGAACACGCTAACGCACAGACGAACGCGGGAAGCACGCGCGCGCACTAAACATCGGCGTGAGGGTGTTCTTACCCGCACACGTATAAATCGCGCCGGTTGCAGCGGAACATTTTTATTTTTCTCCAACTCTAAACCCGACTGCAGCGACGCTCGGCAATGGGGCGACGATCGTAACCGCGGGCTTGGCGGGCGAGGGGAGGGCCTCACCTTGCGACCGCCGTAGAGGCCCGGCGGGTTCTGCGTGGCGAACAGCGTGAAGCGCGGGTGCGCGCGCACAACCTCCTGCGTCTCGGCCACGAGCAGCTCACGGTTGTCGTCGAGGAGGCGGTTGAGCGCCTCCAGCACGTCGGTGGGCGCCAGGTTCAGCTCGTCCAGCACGATCCAGTGGCCGCGACGCATCGCCGTGATCAGCAAGCCTGGTGCGCGGGACAGTGGCGGGCAGGGAGAGTGACCGATCACACCCACAGAGCCACGAGACGCACGACCAGATGCGATTTCATTCGGGTGCTTTCAATGCTAATCGAAGCAATACAAAAGCCAAGGTTCCGTACGGCGGTCCAGTTTCACGGTTTTTCAGGCAAATATTTTTGATGAATAATAAACACATAGTCCCTTCTGAGATGCACACAATGTATTGGTTTGACATTGATGAGGATGAGCAACGGCCAATGAGATCCAAGCGAGGGTCCAATAGGCGCGGCTGAACTGGGGGAACAACACCGGTGGAGTGGCGTGCCGACAAGAAGATCGAGAGCGAGCAAGCGAGCGAGCGTGACTTGAGCGAGGAAGCAAGAGCGAGCAAGCGACGGTACGTGCGTGCGAGCGAGAGAGCGAGCGAGAGAGCGAGCGAGCGAGCCGAGTCGTGAGAGCGGGCGTCGCGTATCGTTTACCCTCCCTGAAGACGAGCCTGCCATCGCGGTCCGAGACGTAGCTGCCCAGATACTCCTGCAGGTCTGTGTGCTCGTGGTTGTTGATTCGCACGCACGCGTTGCCCGTGGCGCCCGCCAGCCAGCGCACGAGGCTCGTCTTGCCAACCGACGTCTCTCCCTGCAGCAGCACCGGGTGACGGCTGCCTCCAAAGGGGGTGGAGCGGGGGTGGTGGGTGGGGGGGGTCGGAGAGGCGGGGGGAGGGAGGGCGGTGGCCCACACTCTCGTTCAATACCAATATAAGCCGCAAAGGGATGTGTACTCGTGTGTACCCTTTGGTAAATAGTGTCTTCCGTGTTGTTTCGTTTACACTTTGGAATTTGCCGTTTTCCTGGACTTATGGAATCCCAGGTCTCCCTTGTAATAAGGGGACCCGGGTTGTGATTTTAAAATGGCTTTGGAGGTTACTTATCTCTCAACGTGCGTAGGTGTAACACAAACATGCCCACAAGACGAATACATTTATATTTTTTTTATCCACGTTTTCACACCAACGATTCAGTAAAATCGGTTGCACTAATCTCTGTTAGTTTCTAGAGCACGTTACTACTCATTCACCAGGTGGGCGGAGCAAACCGGACCCTGGGTGCGTGGACGCGCGAGACGGGCACTCACCCAGCCGCCACGACACGGGCGATGTCCTTGAGGTTCTGCCTCACGGAGGCCGTGAGGATGTACGAGGGATCGAGAGCCACCTCCTTGTCCCCAAGAGGCAGCCAGTAGCCCTCCACCTGCACGAACTTTCCGGGACAAGGGTCCGGGAGGGGCTGTACACAATACAACGACCAATTCAGGAAGCCTCGTCAAAGAGCAGGGCTGGCCTGACCGCAGATTGCAAGCCGCGTGTGGCTCCCGGCTTGATGGAGACGCGTATGAAACTTGATCTTAAACGAGAGAAGAAAATCTGCGGAAGTTGGAGCGGGCCAGTGGCACTCGTTCCCAGCCAGGGCAGCGAGACACGAGTGCTCCCCGGGGCACTGCCACCTGTTTCTAAGTTGGAAACTCCACAGCCGACGGGCGCGAGCTGACGCGGCCGCGTGACCATTCCACGTGACCACCGCCCCTACGTGACCCGCCCCACACTTTGCCCCGCTCTAACCCCTGTGGCTAAGAAACCGGACGTTGTGCGTGCAAACAGCGGTGGGGGAGGGGAGGGGAGTCTCACACCTGCTTGAGTAGAGCCTTCACAATGCGGGTGCCAACGACGTGCTTGCACACGAGATTCTCCACCACCGGGTGCGACCCTCGGTCCAACTGCGTCAGGAAGCTCAGGCAGAAGCCCTGGTGGATGCAGAGAACGGTTATTTCCGTTCGTCGAAGTTTGTAAACCAGGGTGGGTGGGTGGGGGGGGGGGGCCCTTAACGTCACAATACACGGGGTAAAAAAATGTGGGGCGATCATCGCCAACTATTCCCACTGGTAGTAAACGCATTTACTCTGAGCAACTTGTGCATTATGTTAGTAAAGCAGTGGCATGGAGTTACAGTTATGTCGAGCGAACGAAAGCAGTGTTTGTCGAAGCGTGTTTGATGAGCAACTGAATACAGGCTTGTAGAGCACACAACATTGGGCAGTTTATGTAGGGCTCCACCTGTGATTTGGTTTGAAGTCCCTGAGAATGACAGCGTTGAGTACATTCCACACTGACACACGCGGTTACAAAGGCCTAGCCGAGTTTGACACCGCACCTCGTAGAGGGAGCGCGCGAGGTTGCCGCATGGGTTCCTGGCGGCGTACTGCAGGGCACGGCATAGCGTGCGGAGGCTGAAGTGAGGCCGGTGGCCTGTGCTGTCCACCAGGCTCTCCCGTGCCACCTTGCGCACGGCCAGGTAAAAGCTATCGGACCCACCAATGGCGGTGACATTGGTGGAGGCAGGGGGGGGAGGAGTGGGAAGACGGTTAAACGTGTCAAGCAAGATGCGGGGTGCGCGTAACGCACGGTCGGGTGACGGAGGCTTGGGGTGACAAGCTAGAGTCTCATTTTGTTGCTCCACGCGAGAGCAGAGAGTGCCGATGATGGAGACCTCACGTGTGAATGCGTTCCCCGCGTGATTCAAACAGAGCACCGATTCAATCAGGGCACAGATCCTGTGCGTGTACCACCTTACACCGATGTAATTGCAGGATGTTTACCAACCATCAGGTGTGTTGAGTGTGTTGAAAAATTGTTTCGACACGAAACATTTATGAATGTTGAAAAGCTGATTATCATGTGGGTGGCCACTGGGACTGGAGTTTGGGAAATGCATCAAAATAACCATCCTTGCCATACAACACGACAAAATATAATTAACAGGTGAACAAAGACATAAAAAAGTGATGTAAGTACAGGATATTCAAGTACCAGCATTCCAGCTGCCGTGTTGCGAACCACAACAGCTGAAAGACGTCACACGGCACCGCACGCTATACCAAACGCAGCGCCAGGAGGCCTTACCTGATGATGCCCTGGATGGTTGGCCTAGTGACATTCAACCCCTTCAGGTAGTCCGAGATGAGGATGCCCAGGTCTCCCGTGTCCTCGATCTCATCCACATAGAGCTCCGTGAACCTGTCGGGGGTGAGGTGCGCACGCTCATAAAACAGATGACCCCGCCAGCAAGCATTCACGCCCAAGTTCAATCGTGGGTACAGGAGGGCAGCGGTTTGTTATCGGTCCGACAAAACGTAGCTTACGTGAGCCTCGGTCACGTCATTCGTTTTCAAATGGCACCTCATTCACTGACATCGGTTGGGTGGTGTAGAAGGGAGCTATGCGGACGAGCGTAGATATACAAACGTAGCTGGAGATTAGCCGCTTATCTTGTAGATATGGTGTGCACATTGCCTCCGAGTCAGTACCGGTTCCGTATTCCTGGGGGAAGGTCCCTCTTGCCAACGTCCGTGGCCGGGTTCATGCAGGCGAAGAGCCGGAAGTCCGGGTGACGCGAGATTGGCTCTAATAAACGTACGAACATAAAACGGAATAATTACAATTCGTTCAATCGGAGGGCGAGTGGAGGAGGGGGCGAGAGGTAGGGAGGGTAAATCGTTACGTGTGAAATATTTTGTCCATCGCTAATTACTTCCCAAGAGAGCCACTGGAGTTGCTTCACCAAGCATTTGCAGTTATTGGTGATCAGGCCGAGACCATCGCTCACCCCTGAGAACCCGGTTTAATTGCAGGTGGTTGCTCATTGGTGTTGGCTGAACGCTGTAACTAGGCCATTCCAAGCAGTCCGAGACCTTGACGGTGATCAACTTACGGATATACCGCCCAACGCGGTGGGAATGTGGAATTTCCACCACTGTCTCGGTGTCCCCGAACGTCGAATACTGCAGCTCCATCGCGCGTGCGAGCGGGGAGACACTCGTCCTGTTATGTCTACTTTACATAAAGTCGGGAAAGTCAAGCAACGCCTCATTCTTTTTCCATGTATTCACGCACACACCTGTCGTTATTTTTTTCATGTCGAGTTCGTTAAACAACTCGGCCTCCACGGTCGGCAAGGGAAGGAACGTTGGGGGGCCGGGGGGGGGGGGGGGGGGGAGAGGGGGGGGGCCGGGGCGAGGTCCCACCTGTATCGCCGCGGTCCAGCAGCACCAGCGAGCCGCGGCTGCCCTCGAGCAGCCCGCTCAGACACTCCAGCGTCTCCGCCGACGCCAGGTTGATCTCGTCGAGCAGCACCCAGTCACCCGCGCGCACCGCTTGCGCGAGGCTGCCCTGCGGCCGCGCGGACGCACGCCCCAGCAGAGCGGGTTCAGCACCGGCAGCAGCGCTGCGCTTCGCCCCATTGAAACTGCCCTCTGTGATTTGGTACAACCAGAGCACTGTCCAGGTCCGTGACCAGGAAATTATTTCCGCGACCGGCACACCACATTGAGTATACCTCGAGCTACGGCTGGGGGCTGTGAGTCGTTCAACGCAGACTCCAGTCTACCGGGAAACTCGGAAAATATTTGGTGGGAAATTAAGCTGTGGTTTACAACGCAACTGGGATTTCTAAGAGTTTCTGGGAAGAGCAGTGGGCACCCCCGGAGGCGCAGTGGTTCACGCAGTATGCCAAGAACCCAACAACATGAATTATTTAAGGGGACCAATCCTAGCTGAGGAAGAGAGGCTCCAGGGGACGGACTGGGTGGTTGTGCGTGCAAGTCTTGTGAGTGAACGGGGTCAGGTCACCTCCACGAAGCTGAAGAGCAGGGTTTTCTCGGCCACTTTCATCTGCCTCTGGATCTGCGCGAGGCGGAGTCCCAGGGCCTCCCACTGGGCGTGGAGGGCGGTGCCTGCACACACACAAGCAAACCCGTGTCAACCAGCGCGTGCGCACCGTCACTTGGACTGCGCCTGTGTACATGGCCAGACACAGACCGTAAATGATCACAGCATTAACAATGTGTCGGTCACCGCAGAGCGTTTCTGCGGCCGTCTGGAACGCTCCTTCTTCCGATATTAGGAAGCCACTGGAGCTGTGCAATTTTGCCAGATTTAAAACTCCCCCGCACCTTCGGTTAGCACGGTTGGCTACGTACGGTGCAAAAGAAGTTCAACATACATACACCTGTCCCTCTGCCCATATGTCAGTCAGTCTGTCCGTGTGCCCGCCGCCACTGTGCCTGCGTGTCTGTCCCGACACAGCCGCAACGGCAACGCGAGCTGCTCACGGCTCCGCACGCAACGCGCCAGTGTTGTGCGGAGCGTTAACAACGAGGAAAACCGCGATGCTTCCTCCCCACCGTCGCCGTGCTCGCCGTTGCGGCCGCACGCCTTGGCCTGCACGTGCAGCATGAGCCTGACGAGGTCGCTCCAGCGCTTCTGCCGCACGCACGTCTGGAGGTGGCCCAGGAAAGTGGAGTTCTGGCGGCTCGAGAAGCTGCGCACGAACAGCTCCTCGAATGCTTCGCGCAGCGGCTTCACGAGGCGCCGCGCGTCCACGGGCTTGTAACTGCGCGTGCACGCGCGCACGCGTGTGTGTGTGTGCGTGTGCGTGTGCATGCGCGCAACGGGGAGGGGATCGCAGCACGAGAGAGAAGCGTGGGATCGTGAGCGATCGTACGAAGGTCGGCATCCGCAGGTCAAGCCGCCGGGCGCAGCGAATGTAGCACGCCTTGCAAGTACAACGCGCTCTTAGAGCAGTTCCACATTTAAGCATCGACGTTTTGTTTGTAAGCAGAAGTTGTGCTCACCCTCCCAGCAGGTCAGCCGTGTCACTCTGCTGGTTCATGTTGATCACTCGGAGGGTGCGACCTGGGACACAGAACATCGACACGGTCAGCAACCATTCGACAGCAGCAGCCAAAGGGGGTTCTCGTGGGCATCTCTCACGTCTGGTTTGTAGCAGCAGAGTCGGTGTTTGGGTGGACGGTGAAGCGGGAACACGTTTGACGATTGGGTAGATCGGCCAAGAAAAATAATTTATAAGCAATTTAATATATATATTTTCAATGTGCATTTCCCGCCACATAAATACATTTTTTTTACACATCCAAACAGCCGCAACAACCATCTTGTTCATCCGCGCAGGCAGGCTTGCTTGTTATTGTTTATAGGCAAGAACCCTCTCTGATAGCTATGGGTCCTGAACCCCAGGACTAGGTCAACTCAGCCTTAAATCAGCATCAAATCTAGATTGAAATCTGATTTTTTTAACTGCTTTGTGTTTATTTTGTCCCTTCCCCGCACCCACGATTAGCACGGTTGGTTATATACGGTGTGAAAGAAGTTCAACATACATACATACATGGTTGCGGTGTGTGTGATAAACATCTATGTTCTACACATCCCACAATAATCATCATCACAATCCATGCGCACACCGGGAAGGACCGCGAGCTCGACAAAAAAAAAACAGCGGGGTCGAAACAACAACGCAGCGGGGCGTCGTGGGAGAAGGGGGGTGGGGGGGGGGGGGGGGGGGGGGGGGTTTGCTACCGAGGCTGGTGGCCAGGTGCTGCACCGTGGACGTCTTCCCCGTGCCGGTCTCGCCCACCAGCAGGACGGGCTCCTCGCGTGCCACGCACACCACCACCTGCTCCAGCAGCACCGCGGAGGGCCGCGTCGCTGCAAACGTCGCCGCGTCCCTGTACGGCGGATCAAGCGGGCGCGGAGACGTCACCCCGAGCAGCAGCACCCCCCCCCCCCCCCCCATCCCGTTCTGGTTAGGCTCGCCAAGTGCTGTTTGATATGTTACTGAGCTCAATCAAAACTGAACTTTTTCTTCTACCAGGTAGGGCCCACTGAGCGACGTAGGTCTTTTTCAGAAGCGACCTGGCCACAAATGATAGCTCAACGAAGCGGCTTGTCGTGCGGGAATTTATAGCGGCCAAATATACTTGAACCACGTGTCGATTCTAAATGTGGAGGGAAAAACCGGAGGACTCGGGAGAAAAATCCATGTGACCACGGGGAGAACATACAAACTCCAAATACAAACGCATCAGGGTCGGGATCGAACCCACGACCTCCTGCATACAAGGTGAGGTAGTTAACATCTCGCCACCGCGGCGCCCTAGTGTTGATTTATCGCCCCCTGGAAGTGTTGCGGGTCAGTTACCCACGCCTTGCACACGGTGTCCACCGCGGGTTGGAAGCTGGGTTCGTGGCACAGTCACCGGTCCTTCCAGCGTGGGAAAGACCGGTTCGGATATCATTGGCCACCGATATTAACCGCGGTCAGGAATTGAGCTCGGGTAACCGGATTCGTAACACAGTTCATCATAAATCATATTAATTAATAGCCCTTTAATCATTCCACTGCTGGATGAAGGACTCTCCACACGGTGTCAGTCATGGGGGTTGTTAAGACTGTACTTTGCCACGCTGTTCAGCGTGAGCTGAAGGTGGATGGCCCCAGTAGCAGTTCAGATATCACTCGCCCACTGATGTCAGCTATGGCCGGCAAATCGAACCCAGGATATTGGGTTCATAGCGCAGTTCGCTAACCATTGTGCGACCGCTCGCCACAAACACGCAAAAACACACGCAAACACTCGAACACACACACATCACGCTTGGCTTAGCTGGATTCCTGCTGGTGTAAGTGCAGTTTGCGAGCGCCTACTGCCGCGTCTTGGCTTCACCTGGTCAGAGTCACGGCCTCTCTCAGCTGTCGAGGCAGCGTCGCTCGTCCGACTGTAACCGTGGTTTCCGTGACGACGATCTCGGGCTTGTAGTGGCGACAGAAAAATTCCACCTGCAACAGCGGGGAAACAACAACGCCCACGACAGCAACGTCAGCCTCATCAGCGACACTGCGCCGGCTTCGGAAAACGACTGCTGCGATTCACGCTGGTGTTACCTTACAAATACAGCAACACCCCACTTTACGTACTTTCGCTATAACGCACTCAACTTATCGATACCCAATCCAGTTTCATTTATTGTGGTACCCCGCCATAACGTACTCAAGATTTACGAACTTAACCATTAAGCCCCACATTGTTAACGTTCCACGGCAAACATTCAGGCGCCAGATGTCCTGAGGTGTCCAAGCGCTAAAGAGTCCCTGACCGGCTCTCGTCTCTCTTTCATGCGTACTCCGTTCCTAATTTTTTTTTCACAGAAAAATGCTCCGATTTAAGTACTTTCAATTTATGAACCGGCTTTCAGGAACGTAAACCGGGGTATGCGCCGTATCATCATTATCATCATCAGCCATGACGGTGATGACGACGTTGATTCACCGCTAGATGAAGGCCTGCCCCAAGCCATCGCAATCTCTCAGTCCCAGGGGGCGTGAATATCAACCGAGCACCCGCGCACAATATTATTTCTGCGCTCCATCTCCGCGGTGAACGTTCTTTCAGCCATGTTCCCAAAAGGCCGCCCAACGCATTGGGTGGCGCCTCATACACGCGTGAGACAACACGCCAGACGCGTGTGTGCGCGCGCGTGTGGGAATGTGTGTTCGTGCGTGTGTGCGCGCGCAGGTGTGTGCGTGTGCGTGACGCAGAAGGACGTGCCTTCTCGCGGATGATGTTGAGTTGGAAGCCGATGATCTCCGCCAGCATCTGCCGGTTCTCGGGCTGGGACAGCACCGCGCAGAAGCAGTCCAGCGCCTGATGTGGGGGGGGGAGGGAGCACGCGCAATCCGTCAGTGCTGTGATAGCGAGCTGAACGTCCTGGTCCCCCCTCACCATGGGAAAGTCGAATTGCCACAGTCATGTGCGGCAGATTACGGAGACACCTTTGGCCAGATTCATATCTTGGCACATTTAATGCCTTGGCAACTCACCCCTTTGAGTGGTGGTGGCATCGGCAAGTTTTTGCCAAAAAAGCACCACAAAAGGAAAATTCGACAAAATGTGAGCCAGGTCATGTGTATGTTGAACTTCTTTCTCACCGTACGTAACAAACCATGCTAATCGGAGGTGCGGGGGGGGGAAAGACAACAAACTACTTTCTCATGACACGTGATGTGGGTGGAGGTGTTTACATGCACGTTTAATATCTCATAATCCTTCACCGTGTTCAGTTCTGCCTTGCAGGAGCAGCACCGAGTCAGCCGGCTCTTACTCAATTAAAAAAAAATACGCTGCAGTTTAGACTCAAGACTCGCACTTTATTTCACATGCAAAGGCCCATTGAGCTCAGAGGCTCAATACAATACGAAACATGCCAAAACTTTCATGAGTGGCGCCAGAGGCTTTGGCGTGATGATCAAACAAAGTGTCTCCCCCCCCCCCTTCACCCTTGCACAATCACGAAGGGCCAGACCGGGGGCTACGGATCGATGCGTCGTCATGTTGTGCGAGTGTTATAGGGATCTTGATTGGTTGCTACACTGGTTTTATCAGAGGCCTCGCCCACCTCCTGGAAGATGCAGAGCGCGTTCGCTTCAGCCGTGCCCTTGAAGAGATGGGCGACGCGTTGGCACCACTTGAGGAGGTCCCTGCGTGCGAACGCAGCGAGGAACACGGTGAACATTCCAGCTGAACATCCCAGGTGAACAACCGAAGAGGCCCTCCAAGGACACAGATCACTCTAAGCAGTCGGCACGTGCAGCGATCTCCTCCACGTTTCTTTAACAACGTTCTCCGGCAGGCTACATTATAATATTAGCGCCTGCTGGCAGGCCCACGTGGCGTCACACGTCACGTTTACAGACATCACGGCACCGCGACGTTGCTGTTGTTGTTGCTGCGTTAAAGGGCAGGTGGGGTAAAGAATGTTTGAGCATCCGCTATTCTTACAAAAAGACTGTGTACCACAGCAGCATTGTAAAACACAGCGATGCACATCTGTGTTTTTCCCAAATTCAACGAGGAAGTATTTGTGGTGGTCGGGGAGGGGGGGGCAGTGCCACGACCGACCTCAGCGAGATGACTCGCCCCTCCATGTTGAGGCGTCTCGGCTGTGCCGGGGTCATCTGGGGTCCCTCCGTTCCCGCACAGCTGTCCACTTCGTCTCCCGTCAGCTGGCAGTAGATGAGCAGCAGCCGCTCGGCAGCAGGGCTGGGTAAGCTGAAGCGGCTCATCAGCACCTGGGCAGGGCACAGTGCTTGCGCGTCAGCAGTGTCCCCATTCGTACAAAAACAAAAAAAATCCACATACACGGCCCGTACTCTTTGGTTCTTTCGGTAAAGTCACGAAGATAAATCTACGTGGTTCTTTCGGTAAAGTCACGTACATAGATCTACGTGACTTAGATAGATCTACGTGACTTTACCGAAAGAACCAAAGAGTATGAATTCCTGCAGTCACGAAAGCTTCAAATCAAAATACACGGCCCCGTTATTTTGTTGGCACGCTGGGCTATGAGCCAGGGCACCTGAGTTAGATTACCAGTCATGGCTAACAGTGGGGGATGATATATGAAGCGGTCCGGGGGCCTGCCCCATCACCGACAAACTCCTTATTAACATCAAGGCGCTCACCATGCACCACAGCGTCCCACTCGCACACAGAAAGACATGCACACGTGCGTGTATAAAAAATAATCAACAACAAGCACGTACACTGATCCACATCAAATGCTAATCTCCTCCATTAACCACATCGACAAAGATCCCCCGATAGTGATATAAGCAAACAACTATTAAGGCTGCTGCAGTCCTCACAGACACACACACACACACGAACACGTAAGCACAGATACACTTTAACAAGCATGCCTACACTAATGCAGACCCCTAATCTAAACATGCTCAATTCTCCCCAATAACCAAAATACAAAGATCCCACCCCATATAGACTTAAGAGACTGTTGGCGCAAGTGCTGGAGTCGACCTGCGGTGAGACCCCAGGACTGGTCCACACATTCGCCATCGATGCCAGCCGCGAGCGAGAATCAAAACTCGGCTTGCCGGATTTGCAGCACAGGCGCGCCGACCACGCCGAGCGCTCCCCCCCACAACCGCACGTGCACAAGGACGACACGCAGACGGGCGAGCGCACCTCCTTGAGCTCCGGGCGCGCCATGCACTCGACGCGCACGCGCGTGCACGCCTTGTCGAGCAGCGTGTCGTGCGAGCCCAAGGCGTGGCGGCGCAGCGTGGCCCCGTGCAGGCGCCGCGTGGCGAACAGCTGGAAACCGGGCGCCGCGCGGACGCAGTCCCCCCGCCCAGGCACGGACAGCACGCCCGACTCCAGCAGCGGGATGAGAACCGAGATCTGCGGCGGCGGCGGCGGCGGCGGGGGCAGGAGCAGCATGGGTTCAGCGTTCGCGACGGCGCTCCACAGGTGCCCACGACTAGGGTCCCGGTAAACGGGGCCCGGCAGCCACGCTCTTGGGCCAAGGGACGAGTCCGTGAATAAAACCTTTTGTTACGACCGGTGCTCTTGCACCACTGATGTTAGCCATGAGCGGGCCGCCGGTTTCATTGTGCGGTGCAATAACCACGACTACTGCTCCAGCCCTTGTACTATAAACAAACATTATCCACTGCATACTTATTAACAAATCCAAAACATGACTGTATATTTTATTTGCCCAGAAGCGTATTAGTTTCACTCATGGGGCAGCAGGGTCTGGCTTCTTAGTAATTGCTGTTTATGTGAATGAGGGCTGGGATGACGTGGCCACCCCCTCCCCCTATCCCCCACCAACCCCTCCACACCCGCCCCACCGCCCCACCGCACCACGTCGAGCGGGGCGTAGTCGATGTCCTCGAGCAGGATCCAGTCGCCGCGCGACACGGCCTGCGTCAGGGCGCCTGCTCGCCACGTGAACTCCCCCGGGACATCCGTGCAGCGGTACATGCCCAGCAGCGTCTACACGTGGAAAGCGCACGCGCGACACCCGTCATTCGCAAGGCGGACACAGGAGCACGAGGCGCGACGAGCGACTCGCCGATTCAAACCGACTTGTCGAAAATTCACGCACAGAATCGCTGCACTTCAGGACCGATCGTTGCACACGAGATTTCACCTCAACCACTTTGGTCACCGCTGGTGATTGCTGCTCGCGAGTGCCGGCGAGTACCGGCGAGTGCCGGTGCGTGCCGGTGTGTGCCGCCGGCGAGTGCCGCCGGCGAGTACTGGCGTGCGGCGCGAGCTCACTCGGCTGTCGGTTTGATCCCCGAGCTGCACGGTGAGGAGTCCGGGCGGCGCCGTCCGTCCGGTCAGCGCCGCCAGCCGCTCTACGAGCGCCGTCTTGCCGCAGCCCACGGGGCCCTCGATGAGAGCGGCGCGGCGAGAGGCCACCGCCGACGCCAGGGCCCGCAGCAGCGCACACGTAGAGGGGACCGGCACCAGCGGGCACGGGGTCTAAGCAGAGACGGGCACACGGGGTAGAGTCACCGCGAGGGGAGCTCGTACCGCTGCTGGCGGAAGGGCCTTCACCACCTGAGGGAGCTCTAGGGAGCGCTCCTAGAGGGCACGTTGGCCTACTCTTCCACATGGCCCAAACGTTCTGCAAGAGGCTGGGGTACCCACACTTTACCCCACCAGAAGAAACCTCGCCGACTGACGAAATCAGGTGGACAGAGAACTGCTGCAACGGGAGATTGAACCTGGGACATCTGGGGTTGTAAGTCCAGTGTGGTAAACCATCACACCGCGGCAGAAATCCTGAACCAATATACTCATATAAAATATACTTTAAGATTATTATAATAGGATTCACACGTTAAATGGGCTAACATTAATGACAGTTCGCCATGCGACACAGCTTTAACAAACTGCGCAAAATCTAAACATTCGCAGCATCGCGCAACGCGCTCGGACTGAACCGGCCCAAGTCACCTGCCCAGCCGTGCCCTCTCTGTGCCCGCTCCGCGGCAGCACGACGCCACACACGGGCACGACGCGCTCCGAGAGGTCGCTGGAGAGGAACTCGCTCCCCGTGCTCGCACGAGGACCCTGGGGAAGCACCCCGCGGCTCCAGAGGGGGCAGTCAGACGCCACGAGCGTCAGGGCTCCCTCCGCAACCTCGGCGGCGCTCTCCTCCATCAGCCTGCACGAGCGGGGTGGACATCAGGCAGCCGGTATGAGAGCAGCCCAGTGGCAGCAGAAAAAAAAGCCAAGCTGTGAACCGCTCAACAGCTGTGAGCTGTGATGACGTCATCTTGCTCTACGGCGGTACCCAGGAGATCGAACTTAATTCGTTCCAGAAGGACATTCGAACACCGATTTGTTCGAACACCGAATTCATTTTCCCCATAAGAATTAATGTAAATGACATTAATTGGTTCCAGACACACAAAAATCTCTCATTATCAAGCATTTTTACGCGAAGTTTACAGTAATTACATGCATTAAATCATACAAAAAAAACAAGAAACACAATATACATTGTGTATGGATAAACACCAAAAAACACTAAAATAAAGGAAATTAACGAAAAAGTTAAGGAACGATGTTTTGCGGATCTGCACTGGGTGAGAGCTACACGTTAACTGAGCCTTTCATACGGTAAAACCTTTGTCTGGGCAAGCATCATGCACGCTGCTGGCCATACGCGTCTCAGCCGGACAGGTTCTTTCAAGTCGCGATTGCCCGCTCGACCTCCGAATTTCGTTCGGTTTTCGGGGCAAAAAATGTTCGAAAATATCGTTCAAACACCGATTTGCTCGAGTTCTGGTGTGTTCGATCTCCGAGGTTCTACTGTATTTGAGACCGGAAGCAGGTGGATTGCTTCACTATTCAGGCAAATCGTCTGATGATGCTGGATGTAATTCCCGGCGAAACGTCGTACTCAAGATTGTAAATGTTGTGGATTTACTCTCCAACACAACAGTGGGCTGAAGTAGTAATTAACTGGCGAATTGTTTGCGTGACAAACCTTACTGGCTGTGTCGGGTGGTGCAGGGTTACGATACATTTAACCCAAAAACCTTTATTATGAATATTGGTCGTGAAAGCCCACGCGTTAAGCTGTACGCTCCTTACACTTTGCGAAGGGCGATTTCCTGTAGACAAGCGTCAAAGCAGCAGCGTGGTTACCGAAGCATTTGGGCTCGTCACACATTCTAAGTTAAGTCGTAAACGGTAAGGGTGCAGTTCAGCAACTGCTTGCTCACCGCACTACTGGCGGAAGGGCCTCTGCTAGAGGGAACTCCAAGAGAGCAATTCCAACAGGGTACTTCAGCCTTCTCTTCAATGCTGTGCCAGAAGGCTTGGAAGAGATGGGAGTACCCGCACTGCACCCCACCGCACATAACCTGCAGATCGACTATCTGTGGCTCAACCATATATAATGCTGGGTGGACAGAGGCGGGGGAGGTTCAACAAACTGCCGTGCCGGGAGATCGAACCGATTGCGAGTCCGGTGCGCGGACCGCTACACCACGGCAGCATCCCACAAACCAAGGGATTCGACTTTGTGCGGTCGGACTCACGCGATGCGGTGGGAGATGAGCTCATCTTCGCTGAGGACCCGGCAGAGGAACTGCATCCTCTGCCGGTCGCTCATCGCGCAGAGCAGCGCCAGGCAGTTGGCCGTGTACCTGAAAAAATAAATGCACACAGAAAACATCGGAATGCATTGGAATACAGGGTTAATTCTCGATTATCTGCGGGCAGATTATCTGGCGTACCTTGTACACCTATTACACTTGCGGGATGGTTCGAGCCACGCGAGTGCAAACATTAATTCAGGAAGCAATAAAAACAGAAGACACATTCTATTACATTCACCCCCATTTTACGTAATAACAATTAATAACTTACACTTATAAAGCGCGTTTCACCCAGTTGTCGCAAGGCGCTGCACAGAGATAAAAGCAAGTAAATAACTAACACAATTCAAAAACCTAATATAAGCACTTAGGCTCATAATTTAAACATAAATAATACCTCTGTTTTTATATTCTCATTGACATGCGTTTTACATTCGCCATGTTTTGGTTTCATTCCGGCTACCGCTCCCTCCCATTAACCCAAACAAGAGATTATTTAACATCCCAGTGGTTTATGCTTCCTGCAAAAAGAGGGAAAATCCGAATCATGGCTGTGGTGTGCGTTGCGTGCGCGTTTACAAATGCCTACCATCGAACACGGCTGTCTGGATCTTGCAAAAGGGGCACGCACACACTCCAGTCCCATTGGTCGGAGAGCACCGTGTGACATCCCTTGAGTAGCCTATACGAGGCCTCCATCAGGTCGGCCAGAGGGATGAGTTTGGATCGTTTTCTCTTCCCCTTTTCCTTGGCGGGCGCTGCACCGCCATGGCCGAGCCGCACAAATGCGGGCGGTGCCGTTTTGAAATATCGCTCCGCAAACCTGAAACACAAAATCAGTATTAGCGAGTCATGGCACCAAGCGAAACTAATACCTTGCGAGAAGTTTCTGAAATTAGCCCGAGAGAATGTCCGGCAACTCCTTTACCACAACTCAATTGTTATTAAACACTTGCTTTGACCAAGCTGAATTTACTTAGGCTCATAATATTATTAAGGACCTAATGATGGGCAGGTAACTTAATATTTTATTCCCTTGTTTCCCACTTTCCCGGGACGTTGTATTTTCCAGAATTTTTTGTTTTATTTCAAAATCACCCCAAATCTTTGGGTGCATCTTACTTTCCGGAACATCTTATAAACCGGAGGTAGTGGCACATAAGACACACGCTGTCACGATGGCTTGGAATAAGCAGCTGAGAAGAGCACGTCAAACAAGCCACTTACTGCACCGCATCTGGGCTCAGTGGCAAGAGTTTCCCCAGCGCGACGCAGAAGCGCTCGTGGAAGCCCATCCATCGATTCGAGGCTTTCGACTCTCGCGTCTCCTGTTCGGATTCCTCCCCGCGACGCTCCGACTCTTCCCCCAGACGCTCGAGCAGCACGGGCAGCAGCGGGCGCAGGGCCCGTGCCACGTGCAGCGTGGAGTCGGGCTCCAGCAGCAGCGCCGAGAGAGTGTCCAGCAGAGCCCCGCGCTCGGAGGGTGACCAAGCCTGGAGCGCGTGCGTGCAAGGGTGGCGGCAGCAAGTTTACATTGGCGGGCAGATGTTCTTGCATTCGTATACAGCGTTCTCGAAGTACTGAAATAAATCTGGGGTGGTGGGGCGGAGCCCTGGTATATCTGTTTTCTGAACAAATTATTCAAATTTAGCCATGTAACGATCTGGATAAATGTATGTCGTTCGGAGCCTCCACCACCCAACACGGCTAAACTAATTAAAATTGTCACGTGTACGAGCGATTAACATGCCGTTTGTTATTGTTTCAGCTCACCCAGAAAAATAATTCTCACAATAAACTTCAGCAATTGGATACTATTTTGTTTATTTAAGAAACAGAATTGACACATTTGTTTGGGTTATGTTGGGTGGTGGAGGGTGTTAACGACACAATTATCCATATCTATCTATTTGTGACTCTATAAAATCTATTTGTGAATCATGACACTGGCTACAAAAACGTACGTGTCAAGTCAAATTATTCACATTATATTCAAATGTTGTTAAAACACATCTCGGCAATCAATATGCGGTGGTTATTCTCTTGGGCACGTTCCCTCCTTTAGCTGTCATTCCGTCACCGGTCACGTCACTCGGTCATAACTGAACAACACAATCGCAATGTATGGGATTTTCATTAAGGGGGTTGGCACAAATGGCTAGCAAATTATTCATTATAGTACCGAGCCAGTGAAACCTGCTGCAACCGCCATTCATAAGACAAAATACCCAACAGAAATGGATGGGAGACGCGATGATGGGGCGAGAGTTAAAGGGATGAATGCTGTGAGCAACAGAAAACTAAAGCGGCCAATATCACTAAAAATCAATCGCGAACAATGGCGAGGAATGAAAATCAGTATGGAGAACCAAGCACATTAGTTAGCTGACTAAACACTACACTCACCCATAACCAACGAGCTAACACTAGACCTACAACCTAAGGGTGTCCAATAGCCAGCCAGCTACTGGGCTATACAATAGCACTTCCACAAACCTGAATTAGTCAACCAGACACAAGTTCCAGTCCTGCTCTTACCAACTACCCATCCGGCCACGACCACTAGCCCTGACTATAACCAAACAGCCACTAGCCCTAACCATAACCAATCAGGCACTAACAATAGCCCTGTTGATAACCATCCAGACACGAGCCCTAAACCATAACCAAGCAGCCACTAGCACTATCCCTGTCGATAACCATCCAGCAACTAGCCCTAAACCATAACCAACCAGTCACTAGCCCTAGACCTGACAATAACCATATAGCAACTAGCCCTAACCATAACCAACCAGTCACTAGCACTATCCCTGTCGATAACCATCCAGCAACTAGCCCTAAACCAGTCACTTGCCCCAGCCCTGTAAATAACCATATAGCAACGAGCCCTAACTATAACCAACCAGCCACTAACAATATCCTTGTTGATAACCATCCAGCAACTAGCCCTAAACCATTACCAACCAGCCACTAGCCCTGACTATAACCAACCAGTGACTAGCCTGTACCAACCAGCCACTAGCATTGACTATAACCGCCCAGCCACTAGCCCTCACACGGACCTGTAAACCATCTTCCAGGATAACGCAAGGGCCCAGGTAACATTATGCTTTCGCTCCGTCTATCCGCGTGCATCGCAGAGCCCTTTGCAGGAGAAAGGCTAAGAAGCCGAGAGATCGAGGGGGGGGGGGGGCACGAGAAGCCGAGGGGGCCAGTGAGGCCACGGGAACCCCGCCGGTCACCTGCTGCTGGGGCCGGCCAGCGAGGTGGCCCAAGCCGGCTCGGCATTGATCGCTCACGCTCGCCAGGCGAAGCACCGCGTCCATCGGCACCGCCACGAGGTCCATCTCGTGAGCGAGACGGAAAACCGCACGCACACAATCTTCCAATTAATTATAAATGACGGCGCATATAACGCTCGAGTTTTGCGGCAGCGGTGTGTTGCCGGTGAAGTACAGAAATGTGTTGCTCGCTGCAGCGTCCACGTGTTGGCAGCCCGCAGCACGTGGGCGCTGGGGGGGTGGTGTGACGCCACATCCTGTTCCGGACGCGTCACGGAGTAAAACGCCACATCCTGCTGTTGCTGCTTTAAATTGCATTTAAATTATTATTATTATTGTTGTTGTTGTTATTGTTGTTGTTAAGCATTTACATTTTTAACACCGCAGCAAAAAAAATCGCTCGAATTTATCTCGTTGTGTGAGTGTGCGTTGGGGGGAGCAGTGGTGCAGCAGTTAGCGCCACGCTGCGCTACGAACCCGGCTACCCGAGTTCGATTCCCGCTCACGGCCAACACCGTCGGTGACGATTATCTGAACCGGTCCTGGGCCTCCCCTAGGTCGACTCAGCCTCAAATGAGTACCCGGTGCGGTGTGTAAACATCGCCACTAGGGAGACAAAGGCGGTCGGGTGTGGTGCTGGCCACCCACCCCCTCGTGTGTGCCGTGCCGGCCTTCATAGGTGCTCGCTAACAGCACTTGCCCCTACAGTCTGTTAAGGCTGTACGGAGGATCTTTGTAGGGGGGAGCGGTGGTATAGTGGTTAGCGCTACGTTGCGCTGACGGAAACCCGATTATCTAGGTCGACTCAGCCTCAAATGAGCTCACGTGTGCGTTGTGTAGTAAACATCGCTGCGTGCGAGGGAGACAAAGGCGGCCGGGCGTGCGTGGTGCTGGCCACCCACTGCCTCGTGTGCCACAGATTCAGTTTCATTTATTTTGGTATAGCCCTGTGAGCCATTCGGCTCTTGAATCGGGTGCAACCGCAACAAACAACAACAAAAACTTGAACATCTTAAAGTGACTTTGTGTGACTGTGCAAACAGAAAATCCAGGAAAAAAACATCAAAATATTCCTGAAAAAGCACCATACACCAACGCTTTGTGCAAAAATCCCAGTGGCATGCAAGTCAAACAACAACAACAATAACCACAAGACAACTTAGATTAAGGCCATCAGTCTAACTCCGTACTACAACAAACAAACATGGCCAAACAAAAAAAAACGTTTTCGAAATCACCAAAATCAAGCCATAAATGCATTGTAACAGTGATCGTAGGGACTGTGACCGAATTGTTAACAAAGCCCCGGCCTTCAGAGCTTGCGACTCGCTCACAGCAACTTTCCCACCAACAGAATGTTCAGGGATCTTTGCAAATTTAGTTTTTGCATTGCGATTTATTGCGCGACCTTTTAATAAGTCTACCGTGCATAAAACAGGCGGTGTAAGCTGCCACGTTACTTGTCAGCAGGGGGCAATGCACTAAAAAAAATGTGTATCATAAATTACCATTGTGGATGTTGGCTTTCGCGACCAATATCCATGAGTTGTTTTGGGTTCGATCGCCAATTAGTAAGGTCTTGTCACGTAAACAGAACGTGCCAATTCGTTACTAGCACAGCACACCGGTTGCGTTGGGAGAGTAAACCCACGACATTGACAATTCGAGTACGACGTTTCGCCTGTAATTACAACCAGCAGCATCAGGCGGCCAGCCAGAGTTGTGGACAAATCCCTTCACCTGATTCGTTCTCAGATAGCTGCGATGTCACCTCTGGCGAAGGCAGGAGGATGGGGACGTTAATGTATGCCCGTAAATGACAATGGTCATTCAATACCCGTTGGGTTATTTATAAGATAATCAACATGCAATTATGCATGTACAATGTCCCCAACATGTGTGCTGGCTGCCTTCACCAACCCGCCATTGAGCAGGAATTGTAGTGTAATAATCCCTACGACCGGCTTTAGGAGGCCCTCATCCAGCAGTGGATGGCACCTTCCAGCTCAAGTGGCCCAAAATATCCCATGTGACTCGTGTGCGCTGTTCGTCTGGATATGGTGACAAGTCAATGTACAGGGGGTGGTCCATATGTCTTGTGACCCATTATTTAAATCTCTAAAACTTAATGTGTGTGTTTTTAAAAGTAATATTTATTTAAAACAGATGAACATGCAAAGGGAAAAAAATGTTAGGGGGTCAATTAATTGGCGGTCACAAGACATCTGGACCACCGCGTTGAGCCATGTTCTGTTGGTGGCGAGATGTTAAGTACCTCGCCTGATATACAGGAGGTTGTGTGTTCGATCCTGACCCTTAAGGGCTGTATATTTGGAGTTTTCATGTTCTCCCTGTGAACGTGTGCATTTTTCTCCGGGTCCTCCGGTTTTTTCCCTCCACATTTAGAAACAACGTGCGTTTAGAGTATTTGGCTGCTATAAATTTCCGTATAAGCCACGTCGCTGAACTGTCATTTGTCGCAAGGTCGCTTCTGATAAAGAGTTTTATAGCTCAGTGGGCCTTACCTGGTAAAATAAAAATGGTTTAGTTTTTAAACTATGGTTGGGATAAATTAAACATTCAGTGATGGTAATGGCACATTCATTCAGAAGTACATTGTCAATGTCTGTTAATTTTTGTGGTAATGATCCCTTCTGCCATGATGTTCGTGCTCTGCTAGAAAAACTGCCCCCCTTCATTATGATCACTGCCTGGTCACAGTATAACACTCAAAGTTCAGCTCTTCAGAGATGGGGAATTTCAGAGAGATACTATAATGCTAATTCACATTTCTCACTACACTTATGCCCTGAAAAAACTGGAACATATGTTGCTGCAAATTTTTAGCTGTTATGATAAGTTTGCCCATTCCCAAACACTGAATAAATAGAAAAAAATCTTGAAGAAGTTAAACTAAATCATACGTACACTACGGCATTTCAATTAAAATATATTTAAATACATTCATGAGAACTGCATGTGTTACATCGTGCAACCGTGAGAGATGGAAAAGGCTTTGGGAAGCCTTCATCCAGCAGTGGATTGATCATGGCTGGTAATGATGGCTAAAGATGATGATGACGATGATCATGACGAGAATTGCATCATGGGATGCCTGCAGACATTTGGTTGTGTTGGAGAGCAGCGAATGACCAAAAACACCCTTGAGTATTACTCTACATGTGTCATCTCATTCCAGAAGGATAAACAAGGGTTGCCACTGGATTAGCGCATTTATTTTTCAAGTTTTACTGAAAAAATGGCATACATTACAATATGGAAACGTACAACAATGTACAGCCAATAGTACAGTAACGATGGTTGCTGTTCGATATCTTTTGAGAAAGAAACAGAAAAACGCGGCACAGCTTTTCCATTTTATAACTTGCGGTACGTGACGACCGTAACATACGCGCATTTTAAATTGCATTTCTTTTGATGCGTGGGCATTCCTTAGCTCGGCTGAGTATCAGGAATGCAACTCTGCACCAAATCCATCACCGGGTACTGCAGGCAGGAGGCGTGGTGACTGCATTTGAAGTTTGAGACCGCATCGGGCGTAATACTTTAAGATAATTTTCAAAAGGGAGGGCTTCACAGAAGCCAAATTGCGCTGCAGAATTACAGTAACATAGTCTGGTAGTCCATACCACTATGAGAGAGCTCAGTTTCTACAATTAGCTTGGAGAAAACCCCCTATTATCTTATGCAAGCACCACCCATCACTTGGGACATTAAAGTTCTGTTCTGCAGACTTGTTGCCTGGCTTCAGGAAATGAAACTCGTCAAACGTACATAGGAGAGTTACCCTCTGCGTCGCGAGAATTTAATTGCCCTGGCAGCTGCTCACGGGAACACAAAATGACAGAGAAGTCTGCTGCTATAATGCGTGGCTGCAACCGACTTCACGACACAGTCACTTACATAACGTTCTGTGTTGCTGGAAGTCGGCGTGCATTTTTAGCGCTCGTATGTAACTTACATAAGACTTGTAATTTCACTTGGAGTGTCCCCGAAAAGATCTAATCAGCTCCTGGGTGTTGATGAATTTAGGCGTTCCAACCGTAACAACCAGAACATTCTTGCCGCTTTTTTAATTTCTCAGATTGAAATTGAAAAGATTTAGCCAAAGTGACCTGGTTATTATACTCAGAACAGGTGGCATTCCAGTGCACCAAAAGAAACTCTGTTCTATAGCAGGGCACTTGCAGCCAAAGTCCTTTCCTTGAAATGATGCGGACAAGAGACTCGGATCATTTCTAACCCCTCATTGCAGAACAAGAAAGACGTGCAAATAAATATGCAAACTTTCAGTCTATGACCTCAGCACGTGACAACATATTCTTCGAACAGTCCATTATCGATGCCGCTTGTTGAAATGACACATGCAGGCATACATGCTTACCAAAATATAATGTGAAAATAAATGCTCTATTTTAAATTAGAACGCGTTGCGCGTTAAACAGTTTTTTTAATACATCTCATAGTGCACGGTTTCCTAAACGCCATTCCTCTCCTACATCTTTCCACGTTTATCGATTTTATCAGTTGAATTGCAGATTAAGTCGTGACACGCTGCACATGCCTGATGATTGCTAAACACGTCCCACGTGATGTATGGAACGCTCTCTTTGTCACTATAGGCGGCCGTTGGCCAAGGCTAAGAGAGCTTAGCCCTCTCAAACCATCGTGTATTCACACACAGACTATCCAGTGAAATCTTGAGTAGCCGGACTCGGAAAGAGAGTAAGAAACTCACGACTAGCAGATCTTGTGGTATACGGACACAATGTGTGAATCCATGTCCTTGGCAATGACGTATACCACATGCTCTGTTAGTGGTAACTTTACACTCTCATTTCCATACATTTATAAAATATCTAACTTCATCGGCCGAAAAATAAATATTTAATTCATTTAAAAAGTCTACTTGTGTATATTACATTGCAGAATATGAGAGGTGGCGGTAGCTTGAGGAGGCCACCATCCAGCAGTGGATAAACCTTGGCTGATGATAATGATCTCAGCACCCTCAAAGTTTATTTGCAGCCTCCCCACAGGATATTCTTTCTCGCTGGCTATGTATGGCACTATGTTTCATAATCGAGCGCATGCAGAGTGTAGCGACATAAACACGGAAAGGTAGTCTGTGGTGGTTCACGAGGATTGGAGCTCGGGAAACCCTGCCATGGCGAAACAACTAAATTCGTGGCGTGTCACGGTGTCATCGCCCGGGCCGTGTCTCTTCCTCCCCACGCGCCCCCGCTTGCGTCTTCATCGCACGCAGCTGCTCCTCCAGCGTCCGGATCTGCGCCTGCATCTCGGCACGGTCCTGCATCGCCCTTCGCGCCACCTCCGCCCGCTCCTCCTCCACTCGACGCAGGTACCAACCCTCCAGGTGGGACGAGACTGCGTCCAGGAAGCACCGGGTCACCTGCAGGGCGTCCCTTGCGCCGGGCGCGTCCCCCAGACCCAGCGCCACCAGCTCCGGCGAGCGGCGTGCCGCACCACCGCCCGGCTCCAGGACGGCCGGGCCCTGCGCCCCGTGTTCAAACGCGTACGCAGGTTCGACCGCCACGACGGGGGCCGCCAGCTCTGCCGTGGGCGACGCCCCGTGTCGCAGGGAGGGCGGCGCGGTGGGGCTGTGCTGCAGGCTAAGGTAGAAGCCACGGCTGCCACCTGCGCCGGCGCCGCCGCCATCGCCGCCCTGCTGGGACTCCTGCCGATCGGCGGAAGCAGAAGCGGAAAAGGACGTCGAGCGGGAATGCGAAGGCGACGGCGCGAACGCGTCTATCATGCTTGTACCGGTCGCCTCTTCCTGCCTGGCGGAAGCACTACCGTTGAGTGCCTGGCCGACCGAGGTATCATATGACTGTCTGTCGGCCGGCTTCTCTCTGGGTTCAGGGCGAGGGGAGCCATCTCGGAGGCGGCTCTCCATGGCTTGAATCTTCTCGAGGCACCAGGCTTGCAGATCCGTCCTGATCTCCTGGCTCACAGCCTCCTGCGGCAAAGAACGCAAGAAATTCAGTGTGCGCATTAGAAGCCGACCGAAACTGAATTTTTGGTTTCGGCCGAAACCGAAACCAGACCGAAAGTTAAATATTGACTTTCAACCGAAGCCGAAACAGAAAGGTATATAACCGAAGTTACCGAACAAAGATTTATAAAATATGTCATGATGCAATGCTACTTTAATTAAAAATAAATCTAGAACTAATCATTCAGAGCCTGCAGTAAGAGTCGCTAAATATCAAATCTTTAGGTGTTACTTACTTAGTAATTATATACAAACAAACGAATGTTGTAGTTAAGAAACAACAGTTTTTTCGTATTCTCGCCCAGCAGGTTGCTGCGCCTTGCTTTGATCAGGATCGACTTTAGTGAAATAATCCCACACACCGCATGTTTCGACATTCTTCATGGTGATTAACCGCTCCGTTTATTAACTTTAATTTTCTACTTCACTCAGATTCGTAATTTCGTTATCACTAATTCGCTACGGAACTATTAACTGACTGAATATCAATATTATCAGACTTCGAATCTTGGTATCAACACGCGTGTAGACTTAAGCGAACGCAACACATAAAAGCCAAGGCGGGCAGGCGGCTGGGAACAGACAACAGAGGCACTTTGTTGTCGTCCCGCCAAAGAGACTCTACCCACGGATGCAGATGCAGATGCCGGCTGCCATCTGTTGACATTAGCAGACCATCGTTGCGACTGTAACCTTGCTCCCAAGCTGCTGCTGCTGACGTGTGTGTGTGTGTTTGCAGCCTATCGCATAGGATTGCCTAGCACCGACTGACCGGCCGATAGGTAGAGAGATAGACGTAGCACTAGCGTTATTTTCTAAAAAATAGATCTTCGGTTGACGACCGAAAGTCAATATCAGTTTCGGCCGAAACCGAAAGTAAACCGAAAGTTAAAAATTTACTTTCGGCCGAAACCGAAACTATGCCGAAAGAGGCCATTTGCCAACTTTCGGCGCCGAAACCGAAACCGAATTTCAGTTGGCCTCTAGTACGCATGCATGCAGGGTAGAGAGAAGGCTTCCTCGTCAGCCAATATCAATGACGAAAATGGCACGAGATCACAGACACCGCTCGAAAGCACAAAGGACCAGCCACTGTAATCAAAGCCACAGTTACTCAATACGTAAGCTGTTCATGGACCGTGTTGATGATGAAGCTGTTCAAGTGGACCTCCAAGGAAACCAAGGAAGCAGAAAACCAATGAAATGACATAACCCATGCTGTATCGTGGAGGACAGAGCTTAAAAAAATACATTGTTGTACTGTACGTCTATGATCCTATGTCTGCGCTGTCCGCCTTCACCAACTTGCAGTGACCAGCGTGGTGAGGTGTGTTCAAACAGCCCCCACGACCTGCACGGTGTAGGGAGGCCCTCATCCAGCAGTGTACTGACAAAAGGGCTGTACGTGTATATAACGTATCAGGCATGAATACAAAATTATTGAATTTGCAGTCAGGGTACAAGGTAAGTAGATTTTATGGCATTTTATTGTTGGTAAACGGTTAGTCAGAGGCACAGTGTTGGTAAATGCGCAACACAATTTTACAATGTCTTAGGGGATTACAGGTAATAAAAACATATACAAAAAAATGTATTACGTGATATAGTTATTCCACATACACGTTTAGTTGGCTGAGTAACTGTCTGGCAAAGACACGTTGCTGCAGCCTCAATCAAGGTGCTGCGCAGACATTTGTCAGCACATTCTGCTGGCACAGTATCACACCACTGACATTTATTTAGTGTTACAAGCCACTGAGATTGAGTGTTACAAACCATGTGGTGGTTGCATGCGATTGCGTGTATATATGTGAGATGCGGCATGGTTACGATTCTGGTACAGAGGTCATGGTGGTGATGGAAATCGTGGATTTAAATAAAGTCCATGAAATATTGGAAATGGCTGTTGAAATACATTAGAGTAGGCGCTTATATGGTTGGACTGGGGGTGAGGGAATCCAGAGTTTGACAACCATGAGCAATTGGCCCCTGGAGACACACAGAGAAACACTGAGATAGTGACATACACAAAGACAAAGATACGCAACAACAGCCACCATTCACCACTAAGTGACCCAGCCAACGCAGCCTCACCTGCCAGAGAACTTCAGAATCAGAATCTTTATACTGGAGGAATCCGATGGGCTATGAAGCTCTTTTCACATATGTACAGATATTTCAAGGATCTGTGAGCTCCTCGCACAATCCGGTCTGTTTGAGGCTGGGCGGTGGGGGGGGTAAGACCCCTGCTCCCTACCTTATGCTGTGACCTTTCCATTAATATTTTTTTCTTCGCACACCTCGGCCATAAGTTTGACTCATGTTTACCTTGACAAACCATAGTGATGTGTATGTGCTCCAGTCAGTAGACAAATGCTACATACGTTGGAGGGGAGCGTGGAGGGGGGGGTGTTGCCGTGTGCGTGCGTGCACCTGTTGGGCGAGTACGTCCCTGCGTTCGGCCACCGCTCGCTGGTCGATTCGGTGCAGGCACTTCGTGCCCTCGGCCGCGACGCGCTCCTTCGTCAGCTTGTTGATCCGCAGCAGCTGCAACGGCACCACACCGGGCGTCCACGTGAGCACAATCCGCCGATGTCGACCACGGTACGTGGCCGGTACGGCGACAGTGGCGCCGCTGGCCTCACTGGGGGCCCTGAGCAGAATTCTTTTTTCTGGACTCTACTTTGAAATTATGTCATCCGAGTGGGGCGACAGAAGAGATGCTGTATAGACAAGAGATATGGATGTAGTGAGATGAGAGACATCTAGACAAACATAGACATGTCATGGGATGAGAGTACAGAGATGCAGACAAGATAATATATTCGCTTTATGTCAATTCACTTGTTATGTGTATGATTTAAATTTTGAGATATTTGATGGGCTCCTATGTATTTTTTTTTCTCCAGAATTTCCAGAGTATTTGGCTGCTATAAATTGCCACATGATGAGCCACTTCGTTGAGATATTATTGCTGGCCAGGTCATTTCTGAAAAAGAGCTCAGTGGGCCTTACCTGATAAAATAGAAATAGTTTATAGTTTTAATTTAAAAAAAATGTTTATTGTTTGCTTGGGGTGCTAAGTTTTTGCTTGGCTTACTTAATGCCTAAGTGCTGCCACTGGGTGGCCTCCAGCCACTCCTGCTGAATCCACCGTGGTGGCACTTGGATGCAAGATGGAAGTTTGGCCAAGGCGGCCGCTTGTAAAGATGATTCACAAATAACATTCACGAGGAAGGTGCATGCTCAGAGTTATACCACAAGACAGAAAGAAGAACGAACGGGTTATAGAACAAACACATATAATTGACCGTTTAGAAATGTAAGTGGGGTTTCCACCGGACATGTGGCTGAAAGGGATGATAGCCAGTGGTCTAGACTAACAACTGAGTGACAGCCTTAGGAAGGAACATGCCCTTGAGTATTTCCACTGCAGAGACGAAGTCCTGAAATCAATTCATGTGCGGATGCTTCATGGATTATTACATTCCCGGAAACCCTCAAAACCTCTCCCATAACCTCCCAGATGCCGAGACAATGGGAGACCTTGGCACAGCACCACTCTACCTGGCGCAGTCTCACATACGAAGGTGCTGCCACGTGGGCAGAGGAGGACCACCGAGGCTGAGAGGAGAGAAGTCCGCAATCAAGAATCGCCAACTCCTCCCCCCACGGCCTCAGATCATGTGTATCCAACGAGCAGCAACCGGTCCTCTTGCACCCAAATTGTCCATCTCCAGACTCACTGCAACCAACCCCTAACCCTGGTCTGATGCCATGGTGCTCATCAATTACGATGGATGAACGACACTGCAGGACTGTGAGAGATGGTTATCACTTGAGGTGGTTTGCATCCGACAGTGGATTTATCATGGCTGATGATGATGATGATGAACACAATAGCATTTTTATGCATACAGTGTCTAAGTGCAACTGCATCTCAAGATGCTGTACACATGGATGAGGTTGAGGGTGGCATGCACATCAAGATAATTTTTACAAAGGAAATTTCACATCTCTGATTTGTTTCAGAGAGAGGCAGTTAGAGATTCAGCGGGGCAGAGGAGGTAAGGCGATGACAGGATGTTAAAGGTGCAAATGAAGATGCTTTGTGCAGAGAGAGACAGTCAGTAATTGGCAAATGAAATGAGGAAGTTGTAAGCCTTGGCTCAAGCAGATGGATGGAATCGGGATTAAATCATTTTATGGAAATCAGGCCACATAGATTATGCGTGGTAGAGTGGTGATACAGCGATTAGCCCCCTACGTTATGAACCCGAGTTCTATTCCCAGCCATGGCTAACATCAGCGGTGAGTCAAACCTGAAGCATTCCTGGGCGTCTACTTCACCAACCCGCATCGACCAGCATGGTGAAGTATGGTTAAACAACTCCCTACAATCGACACAGTGGGGGTTAAGATTCCATCCACTGGTGGATTGACAAAGGCCTGTAGAACCAAGTTTAATGTGATGGGGTTTTTTTTTTTGTGTGCAGTTATTGGTGACCGGACTGAGACCATCAAATTGGGCGATTGTCATTCTGGGCTGGCAGACATGCTAACAACGACGGCCTTGAACCTTTTTATCGTTGGATCACAAATGTGTCTGATAGCACGGTCCCTGGAGTAGCTTTTCATGAGAAAAATGTTGTTCAGTTTAACACGTAGGCTTTCGTCGTACTCAAACTGTAAATGTGGATTAACTCTTCAACACACCGGTGGGCTGAAGTAGTGAATTATTTGTCTTTTGTCAACGTGACACTTTTTTTGCTGATTGGTCGTGTCGGGTGGTGGAGGGTTACGACACATTTATAAATAAACGCGATCTAACCCAAAAACCTTTATTATGAAAAATGTTGTTGTCGAAAGACACCCATCGTTTTGACAGCGGATATTGTTTTGGGGGGGGGTGAAATGAATGACATATGAAACGTGTACAAAATATGAAAGTATATAACAATTGTGCTTTGAAACAGACAGTGTATACGCAAAGCTTTCGGCTGATGATGGGACACTGCCCATGGCGCATTCTGGTGGAAATTTTCACCCCAGGTGGTACCGATCAACCCCACTGGGCCCGTGAGCTACCTGGTGCTTGGTCCGGCTCTCCACCTCCCCGAGGCGAGCGTTGACCCTGTCCTTGACGCAGTCGATCTCCGCCATGAGCTCCTCCCGCGTCGCCTCCATCTTCCCGTCGACTCGCTGAATCAGCGGGTCGCAGCGACACCCGTTGAGGGCGGCCTGAGCGCACGGGTGGTGGCAGCATCGAGGCAATGAGAACAAATAATGGGCAATATTCAAGCAGGGCACACTGCTGCGGTGTCACGGTGAGCGCACTGGATTGGCGATCCAGAAGTCGCCGGGTTCGATCTCCTTGCGTGGCAGTTGAAACAATGGGAATGTTTTCTTACTTCCCTCCGTCTCTGTGCACCCGGCGGTATTAATGGGTGAGCTAGAGTGAGTCGATCGGAAGGTCAAACGTGGTGGGCCATAGTGTGGGTACTTGCACCTGTTCCAACACATCTGACCGGCGTGGAATTGAAGGCTAAATAACTCTCTAGGGGGGCTCTCCAGAGCTCTTCTCGTGGGGACCCTTTTTGGGCAGACAGTGGCGGGTTGGAAGTAATTGCGGGGATGCGCCTTTAAACTTTTTAGCAATGTAAGGCCTACGACCAAATCGCGTGGAATGCGCCCAATCTCGTCAAGAGCTAGGAATCTGGAGGGTGCTTGGATTTGACGACCACCGTGCACAGATTGTCTAGGCTTTGAAGTTGATTGGTGGGCAGCAGAGGGCAGTGCAGAAAAATCCGTTGTTGTGCTCTACTTCTATGCTCCCGTATCTACACTCGCCACCTTCAACCCACGCCGACAAGCGTGAAATGTGGATACATAACCCCCTACGACCCACACAGCATGGGGAGGCCCTCATCCAGCAGTAGATTGAGAAAAGGGCTTTACAGTCGCCCCCCCGTTGTACGACTACTCAATGCAATGTAATGCATTTCGCTAGAACGTAACTTAGGAATTTGGAAACAAATTCGAAAGCCTACGTGTTAAACTGATATACATTTACGTAAAATTTTACATTTACGGAATGTTAAAGCTGAATTATAAATTCATGGGGGGGGGCGAAGAGTAATGCTTGGTCCGTCGTTCGTCCACACGCGCACTCCATGCTGCGCCAGGTCATTTGAGTTGCGCGGTTTTTATCCTTTGCTGGTTTCCCACTGAGCCTTACCTGGGGCCACAGATGCTCATAATGAAGGTAGCCAGTGTTTTTCTAGCAGTTTTGATTTTACATTACATTACGTCTTGGGGCCAAATCATTTTCTTTTTCTGTCGGAACGCATCTTCAATTATACAATGGAAGTCAATGGAACAATAGGGCTCGATATATGGAATTCCACTTTACAGACCAATTTTCAGGAACATATTTGTTCCGTATGTAAAGGGAGGCCCGTAAATGTGTCGATTTAAAGGGCATGGTATCAAGTAGAGCTCTGCATGCAAGGGCAGGAATTTCCCACCCGAAATTGCGATATGAGATTAATGTTATTCGCATGACAGGCAACCTAGTGTTTTTAATTATCAGAGCTGGATTTTGCTAAATATAATGCAGAACCAAATTAAATGTGATGGGTTTTTTTTGCGTGCAGTCACTGGGGACCGGGCTTGCTAAACTTGAGAACCCTGTTTCATAACAAACCAGTCCGTGTGGGTCGATAGGTTATTATGTGAGTCGTCTATGTGTCAAAGTCTTACATAGTGACAACTGGCTACACTTGAGAACCTGGTATAATCACAACTCGGGGTGTTTAAGTCTATAGATCTCTCTCTCTATGTATATTTGTTTATGGGTTTCCATACAAGTCTGTGGTTCCCTTTGCAAGCGATTGGTGACCGGGCTGAGTCCATTAACGTTAAATAAACTGGTTTAATCACAACTCGGTCTGCACAATGCTATGGATCTCTCAGTAAACTTATGCCTCTCTGTGCGAGTCTGTGGGTCTCCGATAACCGGCCCGAGCCCACCAACTCACTGCCTCTGAGAACCCAGTTCAGTCGACAGCAGGCGGCTGTCCAAAAACTCCGGATTAAAACCGAGGATTTTTTTTCAGCGGTCTGCCGGGCTCGGCTCTCCGACCTCTCCGACCTCACCGGGCCACGTGGGGCGGGCGCCGCACCTGCTTGAGCTTTCCCTCGCGGTCGCGGTACAGGGTGTAGAGCTGGTAGGCGCGCTGGGTCGGCGGGGGTGGAGACGCGGGCCGGGGAGGGGCGAGGGCCGCCACCGACCCCTGGCGCGGTTTCCACCTCCTCTTGTCGTCACGGCGGCCGGGCGCCGAATGGCTCGTTAAGTAGGCCGGGTCGGAAAAGGTGATGCCCTTTGGAGGACGATGAGAAGAAGAAGTCAACAAGCGAATGTGCGTGTACATGTACAGCCCTCGCTCTCACGCCACTGCTGAGCGAGGGTCTTTCCACGCCGTGCGGGTTAGTGGGGGTTCGCGTTAGAACCCGTTGCTGTATGAAGGTCATGGGTTTGTTTGACCATACTTTACCACGCCGGCCAGTGCAGGTTGGTGAAAGTGGGAGCATCGACGTGGGAGCATGGAAGTACAATACAACATTGGATTTTTCTGCACTGCCCTCTGCTACCCATCAAGTATCCCGACAGGCTATAGATATATACCCGATATAACGATTTAGCCTATAGACAACATGTAGGGAGCGTATCATTCTTAAAGGTATAAAAGAGAATGCTGATCACCATGTACCGGGGGCTGAGCTTTATAACTGATTTATTTTAGTGCGATGGAGTAGTGGCAAAGTGGCACACTGCGCTCTGAACCTGGTGACCCGAGTTCAACTCCCGGCTACGGCTAGCACCGGTGGTGAGTAACCAGCGTGGCAAAGTATGGTCAAACAATCCCCAACAATGAAATCGGTGCAGGTAGGCCTTCATCCAGCAGTGGAATGACAAACGGTTGCACACGTTTGATATAGTTATGGCAACACAAAGCTGTACAGTCTCTCATACTTTGATACTGGCAAAAAGGTCCCATGATATAGCTGCTCACGCCAAGCTATAAACGCTCTGATAGTGGCATTGTCTTTGTACTGTTCGCTTTTTGGCATCCTCTTGTCTGACACTGGTGAGACTAGGCCATACATAAAGAAGGCTGTCTCTGGTGTAGGCCAATCAGTATCAAAGACAATTCCCATATATTATCAGAGTATGTTTTTTGTTTGGATTCTGACCACAAGTATTGTGGTAAATGCAGACATGATTCCTTGTAAAAGGTTTCAGTTTGGTGTTTTAACATCTAAACACCTGTTTTGTTGCCAGAAAAAAGGGGAAAACCTATTCTAACACTCCTCTCGTCAATTGCCGTCTGCTTTCCACGTGAATGGAGATGGATGAGAGATGCGAGAAGCTGCCCTGCGTTGCCTGCGGTTTTAATCGTCAGCTATTCACATCGAATCCTTCATTTTTCATTAAATTTGCTTCGGTTACTGATCTTTTTTTTGTTCCACACTAACAGCCTGGCGAATCAGATCTCCCTGCACAATGCATTGAGATCTCTTGAAGGACTGCATACGCACGTACAACGGCCACTAAAAGCAGGACACATGATTCTGCAGCGGCACCGACTCCAACCGAATTCGCACATTCAAATGAAGATGCTCAGAGTATCTACAACGCCAGTAGTCTCTTTGTCCTGGTATATCGACTATACCGCTTAGATTTTCCGCATCACATTCGATCTACAATGGCTTCCCCATTGAGCGATTATCTTACTGCTGTTGTTGTTGTTATTATCTCAAAAGCCCCTTTGTTCTGCCGACCCGAGATGTGTCGCGTCTCGGGGCAGGGTATAAATAATAAATTGTAATCAAAGTGACGTGGTCTTTTTTTGCGTGTGGAGCCGCGAGAACCCACCCGTGTGCGGTGTTTGAGCCAGGCTCAACGTACCCTCTTGTGAGTCCCTCTCTGTGTCAGAGGCAGGGCGACGGCTGTGGTGGTGCCGGCGGCTGTGGCGGCTGTGGCTGCTGTCGGGGACGTGGCTGAGAGACTGAGTGGAGCGAGCTGCTTCCCCCGCCTCCCCGTCCTCTCCCCGGACCCGCCCGCTCGCTGGCTGCTGCTGCTGCTGCCGTTTGTGGACGAGCGATCCTTAAACACCTTCGGGAGGGGAGTAAAATAGGCATTAAAACAGGCCATGTGCTGATGACGAGACTCAAGAGCATACCTGTCAACCCCTTATCAGTGCCTACCTTATTACAGACCAATTCAGACCTTAATAGTCACCCCGTGCATTTATAAATCTCAACGTTCATCCTACAAAGTCACATGACAAGGGAAAAACACAAACAAATAGAATTTAAAAAATGTTGCCCGTATTGAAACGGCTGTACACCGCATGGACCTGAACACTCAATTTCCCTGTACAAGAATATGGGTAAACCGTATGGGTTGACAGGTGTGCTCAAGAGAGTCAATACAAGCCTGGTGTTTGCATGTTAAAACAGGTGCTGCTGGAAAGCATCGATCTAGAAGAGTGCTTCTCAAATCACAGTCATTGTGACCTACCAACAGCACAGTTTTCCGCGATTACCAAACCAAGCTGCCTGCAATGTGGAGCCAGAGCCGGATTAACACAGCAGCTTTAGGGACTGCAGCTCCCTAAAGTCTTGAATTTTGAGCGGCTTCCAAAAATACCTATAGTTTTTATAATGATGAAAAGTGTAAGATTATAGCGCTATATGATCAATCCTATAGGTAATTTGGTCATAAAAGCCATAGAATAACTATGCATATTACTGCCAGTGATGCGCCAAAATTGTATTCGTTTTGTTTTAGCTTCGACTTGACTCTCCACTTGGTATATCGCATTTGAAATGTGGAAATGAAATAGCCAAGGTGATTAACAATGCAGCGTTTGGCATGGGGCATGTGTGGTGTTAAAACGGTAAAACAGTAAGAGGAAGGTATTACAGGATGCTACAAAAACATGTTAACACTTATATAGGACGATTGTTTTTAATGGAAAAAAAACGGATAATGCACTGTAACATGATAACAAATGTAATGTTAATCACTTCAAAAAGTCAAAGAATCTCCACTTGTTCGCCATCATTGCCAACACACGTGCCTGGAATCTTCTCCAAGTGATCTCCAGAGCCCGGAGACAGCACATTTCTGGTGGTTTCGTTGCAAATTCTCCAAAGTGTTAACATTTTTGTGAAGCACCCTGTACAAAACTATACCAGCTCTCGGCCCCCATGAAACCTAATCCGGTCCCACGTCTGCCAGTGGTTCAACTATCAATAATGCAGACTAGCTTTTTTGCCCGTCCAAGGGCGGGTGTATATTGCAGAAAATCTGAACTATTCAATATAAAAATTGTTCAGCTCATGATTATTAATTAGGGGGGGATTGCCCCATGTGGAGTGACGTCACCCGCTAATAGTTATTGGGGAGGGGTGCGGCATGTGGAGTGACATCACGCCCTCATGGTTATTGTGGAGGGGTGTGGCATGTGGAGTGACGTCACCCGCTCATGATTATTAATGAGGGGAGGGGTGCCGCATGTGGAGTGACGTCACGCCCTCATGGTTATTGTGGAGGGGTGCGGCATGTGGAGTGACGTCACCCGCTCATGATTATTAATGAGGGGAGGGGTGCCGCATGTGGAGTGCGCGACCTTCCTGTGCGTTAGTGTAAATTTCCACGCGGGCATGAATATTAATGAAGGGGGGGGGGGGGGGGCTCTTTGCAGTGACGTCACGCACGGATGTCGCACTGTGCTGCGTAGATTCATTTTTTGCCGTCACTTTCTGTAAACAAACTTCACATTTGAAGCGACTTTGCATAATGAATTATTCAATTCAGCTCGACCTTCCTCTGCATTAGTGTAAAAATCCAACCACTCATGAATATTAATGAGGGGGGGGGAGTGGGCCTCATGTGGAGTGACGTCACGCAGGGGGGTGGGCCTCATGTGGAGTGACGTCACGCGCGGGACGGACAGACATTTCTGGGTGATTATAGTAGGTAACGGGTAGTGTGGCGGTTGCTTGTGACGCCCCACACACCTTGTGGTTGCGAGGGACGGATCGTGAGCGCCTCTGCTGCGCGGGCGGCTCCCTCTCCTTTCCGCTTCGCCTCCTGGGCACGACGCTCGCAGCCTGCACGAGGAAACACGGGCACGAGCCGGTGTCAGACAGCACGGGGAGGACGGCAGGGTCGGCCTGGCCGTCGCAGCCAAATGAGCGAGTCCCTGCGTAGGTGGCTCGGCGAGTGCCTGGGTGGACGTACGTGTGGGTGCGTTGGTGGATTGTTTGCACTGGTAGTCTGGGGTGAGTGGGCAGGTGTTTGGGTGGTTTATTTGCACAGGCGGCTGGCTGGATGATCTTCTGAGTAGGAGCTTGGGTGTGTGCCTGGGTTGGTAACTGGGTGGGTGTCTTGGTGTGTACAGTGGTGAGTCTGTGAGTGGCCGACTCCATTGGTGTTTGCATGAGTACCTGGGTGAGTGCATGGGTGGGCATATAGCCGATTCATCTTCTTTGGTTCTTTCGGTAAAGTCACGTAGAATGAGAATAAAATAATAAATTGATAAAATAAAATAACACAATAAAATTCTCACGACGTTTCGGCCACAACACAAGCGGCCTTCATCAGGTGAAGGGATGAGACTGTCTGGAGGACAGCGCTGGAGCGAACGTCGTGAGAATTTTATTGCGTTATTTTATTTTATTAATTTATTATTTTATTCTCATTCTACGTGACTTTACCGAAAGAACCAAAGAAGATGAATCCTTGCAGTCACGAAAGCTTTAAATCGAAATATAGCCGATTGCTTGGGCTCACTGCTGAGGTGGATGTTTTGTTGAGTGTACAGGTGAGTTTTAAGTTCATTTTGTTTAACCAGGTGCAAACTCAAGAGAGGAGGATAGTCTCATTTGCAAGAGTGACCTGGGGCATTGGTCTGCCAGTAGGGGGCGACGATTGCTATGCATAATTCTCGGGCAATTTTCGAATTTGGCTGATTTGGCAAACCCTAACTCTAGCACACAATGGCCTACCCTTGACGTCAGGTGAGCTTTGACGTCCACTGTGAAGCAGTGAGTAGTACCTGGGTGCGTGTGCAGGTATCTGGGGGGATTTCTGTGTGGCCGATTGGGGGGTGGTCCGGGTAAGTACCTGGCTGCCTTTTTGTGTTTTAGTTTGTTGTCCTTTCCCCTCACCTCCGATCAGCACGGATGACTACGTACGGTGCGAAAGAAGTTCAACAAACATATGCCTGGGTGAGTTCCTGGCCGAGCATCTGGGTGGATACCTGGCTGATTGCCTCGGTGGGTGGCTGTGTGGGTGCCTTGTTGGGTACCCTGGTGAGTGCCTTGGTAGAATCACAGCTTAAGCGTTTGGATAAGAGCCTAAATAGGTGTCTCGATGAGTGTGTTGAGAACTTGAGTGAATTAAAGAGTAAGTGCCCGAGGGAGTATCTGGATGAATGGGCCTGGGTGAGGCTTATGGGTGAGAGTCTCGATGGGCGTCTCGGTGGGCGACCCAGGGGGCGGTGGGCGCGGCGCGGGTCGTACATGCGGTGCCCGGCTGAGCAGGAGAGCCACATCGGCGTTGTCGTGCTCCCTGGCCACGTCCAGCGGCGTCAGCTCAGCCTGGGCACACGGAAACCAGGGCACAGCAACGCTCATTACAACCGGTACAGCACAACGCGTACAACGCAGCGCCACTTTGACGGGAACGATTTTGCGTTTGATATTGCGCAGGGGTGTCTCACGAGCGCTTTACACGCGACAGAAGCGACTCACATCACATCTCTTATCAACACATTTGAAAGAGGCAACCCCTCGGTGGCAGCTGTCCCTGTGGGGCACAAGGTGACTCAGCACCTGGCCTGCAAACCGGCCATTAGTCTACTGCTAGGAGGAGGGGGAGGTGCGATGGGTGATGATTGCTTTGTATAACTCAATTGAGAAATTTGGTCACAGTCCTACCCCAGCGTGACCTTACACAAAGCACCGCCGACCTCAACCACAGAGTTTGCCCCGGCGCTGCCCTAACCCCCGGCGCGACCCACGTTGTTCTTGGGCGTTGGGTTGGCCCCAGCTGCCAGGAGCAGTCGCGTCACTTTCCTGTGGTTAAGCTGCGCGGTCACGTGCAGCGCCGTGTCACCAAGCTGACAAAAAAATAACACACACACACAAGGAAAAAGGTCCCTCCCCCCTCGTATAGCCTTTAACAGACTGTTGGAGCAAATGCCGTTAGAGAGCATGGGGTGAGGCAGCAACAACAACAGCAACACAATGAGTGGAGACAATTCAATGAATTGACAAAGTCCAGGGGTTTTTTTCGATTGGATTCAATAATGAATGCTTTATTTTTTTATTTAAAGCTTTCGTGACTGCAGGGATTCATATTCTCGGTTCTTTTGGTAAAGTCACGTAGAAGGGAAACAATAAAATAATAAAAATATAAAACAATAAAAAAAATTCTAATTTTCTTGCTGTGGTTTTCACACCTGATGATGATTGCTTGTGTTGCAGTCGAAACGTCGTTGAGAATTTTATTGTTTTATTATTTTATTGTTTCCCTTCTACGTGACTTTACCGAAAGAACCAAGAATAACAATGCTTTATTGTCTCGTTTTAAATGGTCTCATTTATATTGTTTGTCTGTATTTACTGTCTCATTCACTTATTCACTCCGTCTGTTCCAAAAGCACGGCATTCCGTTTGTCCATCAACTAAATAATGAGAGCCTTTCCAGAAGGCCTGAATCAAAAAAAAGTTATATAAAGTGGACCAACCCCCCCACATGTGGGGGTAAAGAGTTGATCCAACAGGCTTACAACAATTGTCGACCCCGTCAAAAAAATACATTTATTTTCTAGGCATGTACGCCGACACACCCTAAATACAATAGCCACTCGTATCTACTGACTCTATATATACCTACACACCCTACATACAATAGAGTCAGTAGTATCTACTGACTCTATATATACCTACACACCCTACATACAATAGCGTCAGCAGCATCTACTAACTCTATATATACCTACAGACCCTACATACAATAGAGTCAGCAGCATCTACTAACTCTATATATACCTACACACCCTACATACAATAGTCAGTAGTATCTACTAACTCTATATATACCTACACACCCTACATACAATAGTCAGTAGTATCTACTAACTCTATATATACCTACACACCCTACATACAATAGAATCAGTAGTATCTACTGACTCTATATATACCTACACACCCTACATACAATAGTCAGTAGTATCTACTAACTCTATATATACCTACACACCCTACATACAATAGAATCAGTAGTATCTACTGACTATATATATACCTACACACCCTACATACAATAGTCAGTAGTATCTACTAACTCTATATATACCTACACACCCTACATACAATAGTCAGTAGTATCTGCTGACTCTATATATACCTACACACCCTACATACAATACAGTCAGCAGCATCTACTAACTCTATATATACCTACACACCCTACATACAATAGTCAGTAATATCTACTGACTCTATATATACCTACACACCCTACATACAATAGTCAGTAGTATCTACTGACTCTATATATACCAACACACCCTACATACAAGAGAGTCAGTAGTATCTACTAACTCTATATATACCTACGCACCCAACAAACAATAGTCAGTACTATCTACACACATTCGGGAGGGATGGTGAAGAAGAGGACATCAGTGGGGGTGACGGGCAAGGCGCAAAGCGCCGAGAAGCCGAGAAGTCCTTAAAAACGCAACATGAGCTTGTAATTTGCATGAATTGTAAATAATGGATTTTAAACGCATGAATCAGTGCAAGGAATGTGAGCATAGCCATCACCATTAATCATTACATCAATGATTAATTCAGTTAATTAACTGATGACGTGTATTATCATGAACTTCAGAAATTAGTTTCAATCAGTGAATCGACGCGTCATTCAATGCCTAGTTTCTGTCAGAGGCTTGAGGGTCCTTGTTCGATAAGGGAGGGCAGCACGCGAGAGCGCTTGGCACGTACGTACGTGCGTATTTAGAAATGTTTTATCATTACCAGGTAACGACTCACTGAGCTATGCAGCTCTTTTTGAGCAGCGACCTCGCCAAAAATGTATCGCTCGACGAAGTGGCTTACCACGTGGAAATTAACAGCAGCCACACAATCTCGACAGTAACCGGTCGGCCAGCATGGCTCTTGTTTAATCCCAGACCCTGATTGCTGGGCTTCCTTCCCCAACTGAACCACAACGAAGTGGCTTAATAACGCCGAACTTCTTTCGCGCCGTACGTAAGCCAACCGTGCTCGTCGGAGGTGTGGGGATGCCCGTGAACGGCCGCAGTCGTCAAACCTCGTTCTTTTCGTCGACGGAGCAGAAAGCGCTGATGAGGATGCGCACGACGGTGACGTGGTTGTAGCGGGCCGCGATGTGCGTGCACGTGTCGCCCATCTGCACGCAACGCACACGCCACACAGCAGCCCGCTCCCCCACAAACCCTCCGGCGCCAAACCCCCCAGGGGTCCCCCAAAGCGAGCCCCCTTCCTCCCGCTTAACTTTCACGGTTGTGCTGCGCAGCTGTCCGATGTGTGCTCTCAGCTTGTGGCACGTCGACGTTCGGCACGACGACCGACAACGCGAACGCTCCAAGCCGCCGGGAGCGAAACGTCGGACGTCGCGCCGAGCGTCGCGCGGCACGACGCGGACGCTCGTCGGAGAGGGCTCTGCAGCGCAACCCGCGGAGACGGAGGACCCTGCCGGGGTGGGGGGGGGGGGGCGGGGGCACCGGTGCCCGCGGACCGGACACCATCGCGGCACTCACGTGGTTCTTGGCGTCCGGACGCGATCCACCGAGCAGCAGTCCCCGGCAGCTCTGCGAGTGTCCGTTCTGGCAGGCGAGGTGTAGCGGGGTGCTCCCTGCCTGTACATGAACACAGAGACACCCCCCCCCCCCGCGTAGCTATTCACGGAGACTGCTGGGGCAGGTGGTGCTAGCGCACACCAATGAAGATTGGAAAGGTGCGGGATGGCATGGTGTGAGCAGCGCCACACCTGGCCGACATAATGTCTCACCAGTGCTGATGTTTACACACTGTACCAGCTACTCATTCTAGGGGAGGCTCAGGAACAGACAGTTAGGATATCACTTGCCATTGATGCTAGCCATGGCCGGGAATCAAACTCAGGTCTCCAGATTCATAGCACAGTGCAATTCACCATATCCAGAGTTTAACGAATTGCTATGATTCGAATCACAGACCGAGATTTTTTTTTCATTTGTCACAGTGGTGTATATAGTAGCATCCAGAGTGGCTGGAGGGTTCCCACAAACCAAACGGTACGACAAAAATAAATTGGAAATGACAGATTCGTACTCGCACAATTTGATTGCAAGCATCGTGAACGTGGCAATTGACTTTGCGATTCTTCACACCTCACCGGCTCTCTCCATCTGCCCCCATCTATACTGCAGTCCACACCACCATCCCACAAGAGGTGGCCCTCTCAACCAGCTGATTGATACCGATAATCACGCCTCACAGCGTGCACAGGTCAACTGCAATTTGAAACTTGCTTGCTTTTAACCGGGTGAATATTTTGTCTCCTGACACGCAACCTTGCACCGCTACTCTGGCCGTTTACAAAAGTAAAAATTTACTTGGAAAAAAATAACAAACAAAAATATGTTTTAAATGCAAATCCATTTCTAAGTTCTTACACTTTCTGAAGCCGAAGAGATAATAACCATCACGCCAAGTGATTTTTCAAGAATCTGGAACAAGCTGGAAGCGAATTCCAGTATACATACGCACACAATCATAGATATAGCATTCCAGTACTTTCCAGGAATCGTAAAATCTACAGTTTGTCACCAACGTGACTTAGAGCTTGACTACAATATAAAAAAGAACACTGGCTAAATTAACACCGGGCACTGATCACGCTAGTGACAGAGGCCTCGGCTCTCCTGAAGGTCAGAGGTGGATCGAGAAACTTCCCAAGGAGAAAGTTTCTCGAATTTTAAATAGGGCACTACATTAATGTATGTATGTACGTCTGTTGAACGTCTTTCGCACTATACATAGCCAACCGTGCTAATCGGATGCGCGGGGAAGTACAACAATAAAGTATTCAATGTATATTCTCATTTTCTGTTGACGACATACCAATGTTCAGGGTCTCAAGGGGGAAGGGGGTAGTCAACCCCCAAATTCCTCCCCACAACCCACAAACTCCCCCCCCCCATGAAAACTCATCTCTCTGAAGCGCCCATTACCCCCCCCCCCCCCCCACTAGTTCTGTCCATTTATCCTGTGCGGGTTCTGTTCATCTCCTGCTTCCCATACTCGGCGAGCAATCAGGCCCTACGTACGAAACGCGCCTTATCAATGCAACACGTTATCATCATAATTGTGAATTATTGACGCAGCCCAGCACCCCCCCCCCACCTCCCCCCCCCCGGGGGGGGGGGGGGGGGGGGGGTGTATGAATCTCAAGCTCGCAGTGGCTCACGTGGTTCTTGACGTGGACGTTGGCACCTGCCTTCACCAGCAGCTTCACGGACTGGCTGTAGCCCTTCCACGCAGCCTCATGCAGAGCAGTGCTCCCAGACTGCAGGGGGGGTGGGTGGGGTGCGAATGCAGACAATCATAATGGTCCTGGGGCACATCTATACAAGGGAGCACTCGGGCACGCGTCATACACGCCGGCACACCCCGCTCCGCCGCCACCCCAGCGATTCAATGGCAATTCAGCAAATGGCTGGAGGGTGAATTATTGCCTTGTTAAACAAAATATTCATACAGCATATGAACCTCATGGCGGGACCCCGGAGTCCCGAATAAACGGAAGTCAAAATCGCAAGTAATTTGTTTTTGGCGACTCCGTCCCACCGTGCACATAAACGCCGTGACCCACCTGGCACAGATCGTTCTGTTGTCATTGTCGTCCAAGCACAGTGACGAGGACGAATGCGCAGAAGAGCTGAACAAGCGAATGCACTCCATGCTCGGGTGTGGGCAGGACCATAAGTCTTATCCAAAGCTGCTCAAACTGCCTACACGACTTAAGTCCTTTATTTGTCATAACGGTATGCATAATAGAGTGAAACTGCTCTCTTAACTTCATTATTATTTGTGACCTACCAATGTCTGCAGCCAGGATCAATCGATGACAAACCTGCAGATATTTAACAGATGAGATGCGTTGCACCATTAATTCCTCCTGTTTGATTATAATAATTATCTTGTCCGTATGCATCTGTGCAGATAGGTTTTTTTTTGCGGTTAAGCCATAGTCCCCACATACCGCTCGTATCAATGCGGATAAGAGGAACAGCGACCCACTACTCTGTAGAGCAACATTGGTATAAACGTTTGTTACAATATGAACAGCGCATTGAAAACGCGTACTATTTTACGTGCTGTTTACAAAGTGTGTTCACAAATCCACAATGAGAAAACACGGTGATGGACAGAGGGGTGTAAATTCTTTTTTCGATAGTGTATTTAAATAGAGGTACTGCGGGTAAGTAGTTTTCAGTTTTAAAGGCATAGTTTAACAAGACAACACTTGCCACCATCCTTCAAATCCATTGGTGAAAAAGGGCAAAGTTTTTGTTTACATTATAATATAATGTTTACATTATATATAATATATAATATAATGTTTATGCGAGAGCCGGGGGCTTATGGGGACTCGGGCTCCCGCCATAAGGTTCATATATACACACAGGGTGCTTCAAACTATTTTAACACCTATATGGGACTATCGCTTTTAATGGAAAAAATAACCGATGTTACACTGTAACATGATAACAAATGTATGTTAATAACTTCAAAAAAGTCAAAGACTCTCCACTTGTTCGCCATCATTGCCAACGCATGTTTTTTTTATGTAGTTTATTGTAAAAATTCGGTCACAGTCCTTGTGATCGCTGTTACGTTGCAATTATGGCTTTATTTTTTGGTGATTTGGAAAACGTTTTCTGGTTTGGACATGTTTGTTTTGTTGTAGTACGGAGTTAGACTGATGGCCTTAATCTAAGTTTTTGTGGTTGTTGTTGTTGTTTGACTTGCATCCCACTGGGATTTTTTGCACACAGCGTTGGTGGTGTACGGTGCTTTTTTCAGGAATATTTTTGCTGTTTTTTCATGGATTTTCTGTTTGCACAGTCACATAGTCACTTTAAGATGTTTTTCTTGTTCGTGTTTTTGTTTTTTTGTTTGTTGTGGTTGCACCCGATTCAAGAGCCGAATGGCTCACAGGGCTATACCAAAATAAACTGAAACTGAAACGCACGTGGCCTGGAATCATCTCCAGGTGGCCTCCAGAGCACAGAGGCAGCACATGTCACGTGGTATTGTTGCGAATTCTCTGAAGTGTTCACATTGTTTTGAAGCTACCCTGTACACTCGATTGCACACACACACACACACGGGCACGTAAAAAGAACGCCTTTAATAGACTCGGGTCAAGAGGCACGGTGCCGTTAGTGAGAAACTATTAAGGCAGACAAGGCACACAAAGAGGGCGGGTGGCCAGTTCCAAGCCCTGGCCAGCTTTGTCTCCCCAAAGCTGATCTTTCCACACCACACCAGGTACTCCTCCAAGGTTGAGTCAACCTAGTGGAGTCGCAGCGTCGGTTCAGATATTCATCACTGATGTTGGTCATGAGTGGAAAATGAATAGGGGTTGTGGGGTTTGTAGCACAGTGCGCCAACTCTAAAGCGACACGACAGCTCCCCATGCAGGCACGCACACACAGGGTAGATGTATAATTAATACACAGACACACATACAGGGACACATACATATAGATACACATACCGTACACACAAGAACGCACAAATGTGCACACACATATATAAACACACACACAGGCACACAAACAGATAAATAAACTCACCTATGCACACACTCAAGGTGTCATTCACTCCATTTCCCAGTACAGCTGTGCTCACAGATTACCCAGGGGGCTTCCGTTGCCATGTGTCGTCAAACCCACCGCCACCAGCATCATCAGGCGACAGCCACAACTTTGGCTGTCGCCTTATGAGGCTAGTTGAAATTACTGGCAAAACGTCGTACTCGAATTGTAAATGTTGTGGATTTACTCTCCAACACACCAGTGTGCTGAACTGGTAACGAATTGGTATGTTCTGTTTACGTGACAAACCTTACTAATTGGCTGTGTCGGGTGGTGGTGGTGGTGGTGGGTTTAACACATTTATATATTTACGCGATCTAACCTAAAAACCTCTATTATGGATATTATTAGTTGCGAAAGCCTACGTGTTAAACAAATCTGCATGCTGTGAAGAACCAAGGGCCATTGACAAAAATGTCACCCATTTCATATAGATATACTTTAATATTTTTCAAGGGAGTGTTATTGATGTATTGATGGATTTGCTGTGTTTTATTTTGGTATAAGAGAATGTCGTTTTGGAATGGTGTGTGTTAAGCGAGTCTTAAAAACGGTGATGCTATCAGTAACCCGCACAATCGCAGCGGCTTCCACTTTCTTAGTTATCACCGAATAAATGTTGTATTGCAGCTCTACCATTTACATTGTCGCCGCAAAAACCCATTCAATATGATGATGATGATGACAAATTGCAAGCCACACAAATAATGAAATTTCACGTCACATAGACAAAAGCGAACACCTTATTATGCATAACTTGTTGTTTCACTCGGACCCCGAGCAACTGCATCAATGATCGGTCTCTTCCCTCGCAGCTGTGTGACCTGGGAAGTGCCTTCCCTCCGGGGACAATCCCTGCACCAGGCTGCTGCTATTGACATTCAGCCCTCCTTCCCTTACTCTGCTCCATCTGTTATCTCTGCCTCTCGTTCACACGGCCACCTTGCTGTGACGTCGCCAGGTTTCCGTGAACAGTTGGAAGTGTGCTGCTACGGGCGGTGTGACATTTGGCAAAGCCGGACAGCCCCGGCCCCATAAACTAAAACGAATTAAATTTTTATTCTATGGGTCTTTCGGTAAAGCCACGTAGATAGAAGAAAAATAAAAAAAATATCACGACGTTTCGATCGCAACACAAGCAATCGTCTTCACCTGAAGCCGTATCAGCACACGTGAAGACGATTGCTTGTATTGCGATCGAAACGTCGTGATATTTTTTATTAATTTGCAATCTACGTGGCTTTACCGAAAGACCCATAGAATATGTATTCCTGCAGTCATGAAAGCTTAAAGTCTAGATTTATTTAATTTTTATTTTACCAGGTAAGGCCCACTGAGCTGTATAGCTCTTTTTCAGAAGCGAACTGGCCACAAATGATATATCAACAAAGTGGCCTATCACGTGGACATTTATAGCAGACAAATACTCCAAACAGTAACCACTTGGCAAGCATGGCTATTATTGAATACCAGACCCTGATCGCTGGGCTTCCTTCTACAACTGAACCACACCTTGAGAGAGCAGGGCCAACCCTGGAGCCAGCCGTGACGTCGCACGGTAAACTAACTCTGAAGGGAATTGCTCGGGCTCAACTTCCTGACCTTGTAGCCTCGAGTTGAGCAATCCTAAGGGAACTTGGAAAAGTGGAGAATGGAAGAGAATTCCAATGACGGGCAACCGATGGGACATATGATAATACAGTCGATGACGAAAGCAACGCGTTTCTTGAAGCGAGCAAGGTCACGGGAAGCTGATAAAGAGCGACGATGGGGAGGGCATTCCAAAGTCGAGCTGTGCGACGAGAGGAGGGAGAGAAATGTTGTCTTATGAGATGAAAAGTTAACAAGGGTATCTATAAATGACAAAGAGTCAATCCTGGCAATTGGCGGGGGGGGGGGGGGGACAAAACATGACGTTCACATGAACAAAGACCTTTGTAGTAGCAATAAAAGAGCGATAAGGAAGTCGCTGAACGAAGGTGGGCAAGGGTTAAGCAATTTTGTAAAAAGAATATTCGGGAATTTCAAGTCAAGCAGTTCGAGCAAAGAAGGAGGAAGGCGGATGTTAGCTCCTCTAACTTGGTTGTTTAACAGAGTATCTACGAGCGGAAACAACCGACCTGGCAAAGCGGGCCATCGACATTGGTTTTGGAGGCATCGACACGTGACGTTCGCAACAACAACAACGACGACGACCGCGGCAGCAGTAGCCATGAAGGAGTGACAAGGAAGCGGCAGGCAGAACGAAGGTTTGAAGATGGTCCTGTTGGACGGTGGGTGGGGGGGGGGGGGTGAGGGGGGTGAGAGCACGCCCGCGTACCGTGTCCTGGCGGTCGAGCGAGCAGCCCTCATCCAGGAGCACCGACAGCACGGCCGTGCTGCCCGCCTCGACTGCGCGGTGCAGCGCCGTCTGGCCACCCTGCGGGACAATCGGTCAGCCCGGCCCAGCCCAACCAACCGGATCAGTCACTCGGACAATCAAAATAGATTGCTCAAACGAACGCATTTTCTTCGAGCGCGTCTTCGAAAGCGTTTCCATCGGCGGAACGGAAGCTCACGGGGCCGGCTGTCGAGACAGGCGTGTTCATATTCGTGGATGGTCCTTTTTAAAAACTCTCATTTTGTGGCTCCAAGTATTTTTGGACTGCACTTTTTTTTATTATCAATTCGTCCGAACTTCTCGGGGCAGTTCTCTAACAGCGACGCAATTTTAGATGAACGTTTTGTTTCGTATTGGATCATCGTTACGAGCGCTATTGTGGCAGACAGAGAGACAGATAGACAGACAGAGCTAATGGGTTAATGCTTTTAAACCTTAGTTGGTTCTGTACACTCAGCGAGGTTAAGAACCAGGATACAGTCTACATTACAGACTGCCAGTACACTCACCAAACTTAATAACCAGGCTACAGTCTACATTATAGACTGCCAGTACACTCCGATTAAGAACCAGGCTACAGTCTACATTAGTGTTTTATAATTTTTATTTTATTATTTTTATTCACTTTATTGCTTATTATTTTTGTTTCTATCTACGTGACTTTACAGAAAGAACCAAAGAACACTTAGTTGGTTCGTGTACAAATATATATAGAGAGAGAGACAGATGCCCAGGTAGCCCAGGCATCCGATCACTTAGCAGGTCCATGCAACTGCTTCGTACGTCGTCCTGCAGGTCCAGGTTGCAGCCGGCGCTCGCCAACAACCGCACCACCTCCGCATGGCCACGGCTCGCTGCCAGGTGCAGCGGGGAGCGTCCGTGCTGCATGTCCACACACGCGCGTGCACACAAAGGCAAAGATTCCCCCATATAGCCTTGACAGACTTGGGGAAAGTGGTGTTGGCGAATACTTGTGAAGGCCGGTACAGCACACGAGGGAGGGGGGGGGGGGGAGCCAGCATCAAGACAATGACAAAGACCGCAGTAGAGCCTCGGTAGACTTTTGGGGCAAGTGGTTTTGGCGAGCACCTATGAATGCTGGTACGGTACACGAGGGGGTGGGTTGGCCAGCACCTCGCCCGACCGCCTTTGTCTCTCCAGTGGCGACATTTGTACACTACACCAGGTACTCATTTGAGGCTGAGTTGACCTAGGTGAGGCCCAGGACCGGATCAAATATTTGTCACGAGTGTTGGCCATGAGCAGTATTGGGGCCGTCCATAAATGACGTAACGCGATTTCGGACGATTTTTGACCCCCCCCCCTCGTCACACGGCGTCACAAAAAGTCAGACCCCCCCCTCAAATATGACGTCACAAAGCTCTGCCCCCCCCCCCCCCCCCAAAATAAAACATGCTTCCAATCGCCTTAAACTATTGTCATTGTAGTGCGTTTTTTTAATGTGGCGCTGCACTCTGATGTTGTAGGAGAAACATTTATACCAAAAAAAAGTCTATTTAATTAAGTAGAACGTGTTGTCTATATTTATTTAAAGTTGCGCATTTTGATGTGACGTCACATTTCTCAAACCCCGCCCCCCTCGTCACACATCGTCACAAATGTCTGACCCCCCCTCCTCCTCTCTCTCTCTCTCTCGGTGCGTGACGTCATTTATGGACGGCCCCTAAATCGAACTCGGGTCACCGGGCTCGGAGCGCAGTGCGCTAACAGTGACGCCACCACCACCCCACCACACAAACACACCCTTTAGGCTGCTGCGGCAAGTGCTGTTTGTGGGCATCTCTTAAGGCCAGCGTGATGCTAGAGGGGATTGTGTGGTCAGCATCGAGCCCAGTTTGTCTTTGTCTACGAAGTGGTGATGTTTACATGCCGCACCAGGTACTCGTTACCAAGGTTGAATTGACTTGAGGGGATTCACACATTCCCCAGTTGGTGTTCGACACGACAGGGAAAATTAATTTAGGTCGTTGGGTTCACACACCCATACGCAAAGAGACAATAACATCCCTGGTATGCCCATATAGACTGGTGGGGTAATTGCGGTTAGCGAACACCTATTAAGGCCGGCATGGCGCATAAAGGGGTTGTTTGGCCAGCACCATGCCCAGCTTCTAATTTCCTCCAAGTATTAATGTTTAATAACCACATTGGATACGCATTTAAGACTCAGTTGACCATGGGGAAGCCCAGGACAGGTTCTGATATCACTCGCAACTAATCTTAGCCGGGGACGGAAATCAAACTCAGGTCACCAAGTTCATAGTGCGCTATGCCAAGCGTCACGCCAACGTTCCGTACCCCGCACGTACAAAGGCAAGTGGCTTAGGCCAGCACCCATTACGTACACGCACACTGACATGCATGCACATATGCAACATCAACAACAGGCGTGTCGACACTAACCCCCATCTAATATCGCTTGACACGCAAGCCACCTGGATGAATTATAATTTATTTATTGCGCGGAGCCTGTTAAACTGAACGCTACCCAGGATCCCTCCAGTCGCCGATGAAACAGTTTTAAGCGCTGTGCACATTCACGCGTGCACCGCGGCTCCGTGCTGTGAAGCGTAAATTGCTGGAGGTGCTGACGGACACGGGAGCGAGGCGTAGCTCACCGCAGCCTGGGCTGGAATTGCGCCGTTTCTGCGTGGAACCCCGAGATGGGAGGTGGCGGCCGACTGACACGCCAGGGCCGTGCCAGCGCTTTAGTACAGACTTCGCTGGGACGCCGTGGCAGCGGGATGTTAACTACCTCGCCAGGTATGCGGGAGATCGTGGGTTCGATCCCGACCCTGGCGCCTGCATATGTGAAGTCTGCATGTCTCTCTCCCCGTGGTCGCGTGGATTTTCCTCCGGGTCCTGCGGTTTTTCCTTCCACATTTAGAATCGACGTGCGTTTAGAGTATTTGACTGCTATAAATTTCCGCACGATAAGCCACTTCGTTGGGCTATCATTTGTGGGCAGGGCGCTTATGAAAAAGAGCTTCATAGCTCAAGTGGGGCATTACCTGGTAAAAAATTTTTTAACAGTTTATAAACTGGCTCATCGCTTCAACGGCCACTCTGCGTCCCAGGGGCCACATTCCACACGTGAGCACGGTGCGGCACGGCCCGGCACGGCAACGCTCGTGGCAAAACAAATCCAACGCTGCCTCATTGTGACCTTAAACATTACCATCACCGTCCACATGCTCTTCCTATCATGGTGTTAACAATAATCACGATCTTTAGCTTAACTGGTGTCTGGGTGTGAGCCTATTCAGGAACTGAATATTCCTCGACGTACCATCGTAACGAACAACACACTGTACAGCACATCTGCCCTAAAATTACAAAGAAACAAAATTCTTTATTCATCCAGAAAGGACAAACTGAGCCACAAGTCTCATTTTCAAGAGAGTCCCGCATCGCAACATTTTGCCGATTCCTTTTTTCAGGAATGTTTCGCGTGTGAGAGGACGTTAGTTGCCAGAGAAATCCCAACTGTGTGAGACGTAAACAAATGTCCACACAGACAGGCTCATCAACCTACTTGCTGTACCGTACTTCCTTTTTTCTGCCCACCTCAAAGAGCCCGGCAAGCTTTGGGGTTTCACATATCTCTATGAGCCACAAAACCACGTGAACCACGAACCCTGACCTCAAAATGACGTGTGCCGCTACGCCCGTCGTTTGTCAAAAGTTCCACAAACGCGCGATACATAAAAATCATTGGCGGGGGAGAAAACAAAAACCCACACGAGCTACAAACTTGGCAAAACTGCTGTTAATTAATCATGCGGTCTTGGCCGACGATGATGATGATGATGAAACTGATGCGTTCAAACACTTTGCTGCCACAATGTGCAAAACGAGCGTGGGCTTCAGCCGTCTGGGTTCTCGCGCAAGGAAGCACAAGTTGGGACCTTTTGCCAGTAACAAAGCATGACAAAAACAAGGCTAGGTTTAACCCATTCTTTGCAAAAGGTTTCTATTTGGTGTTTGAAAATCTTAACGCCTGTTTTATTCATAATAAAGGTTTTTTTGGTTAGATCGCGTAAGTATAAATGTCTCGTAACCCTCCACCATCCGACACGGCCAATTAGTCAGGGGTGTGTCTCGTAAACAAATGGCCAATCAGTTACCTCTGCCCACCGGTGTGTTGGAGAGTAAATCCACAACATTTACAATTTGAGTATGACGTTTCTCTGGCACATTAAAACCTTGGATTGCGTGGCATAATTCGTTCCGGAAACGTGTTTGTAATCGAAAGCACTCGTATATTAAAGCACTCGTATATCGGTTGCGATCACGTGACACTCGGCAGACAAAGCGTATACATACACTACTCGTATTGCAAGACCCTCGCTCGTTTATCAAATTCATATTTATTTAAAATTTTTGCTCGTCTCGCAAAACACTCGCAGACCAAGTAATTACATCCAGCGTCAACGGGTGGCTGTGTCGGGTGGTGGAGGGTTACGACACATTAATACTCACGCGATCTCTAACCCAAAAACCTTTATCATGAATAATATCGGCCGCGAAAGCCTACTGTACGTGTTTTTAACCTGTTTTACTGCCAGAAAGGGTAAAACCTATTGTTATTTTTTCATGCAACGGAGCACGTTTCACGACTCATGCGGGTGCCACGTCCCTTGGCCGCAGCCAATCCAGCTGATGAACAACTCCGCAGCGGCATGGAATACCAAGGAGGCACTCAAAGCAACACGGGGGGGGGGGGGTGGGGGGGGGAGGACAGCATTCTCGCCGGGGCATTGCGGAGCAACGCAAGGATTAAATCTGATTAGATCCGAGCCTCGTAACACAAAGCCGGGAGCAGTCCAAGATTGCCCTCTCTCCCGTCAAAAACAAAGCAAAACAAAACCACCATAATCTGACACCCGCAAAAGCACGGACATAAACGCCTTCCAGTACAACAACAACAAAAAAAGTTTTGCTGATGAAAAAAAACACGTGGGTAGGAAAAAAAATGGCCAACCGTCCTTGGGTGGAACGAGGGTTGCGTTTCACCCCTCACGTGCCAGCGCTGAGGTTGTGGGTCCCAAGCAGGCGTCGTCATGACCGCCGAAGGGCTGCAACGCGATAGCTTCTGGCGAGGGAGGTTAGTTTTTGTGGTTCGTCGTGCGGCAAAAGGGGGCAAGGGATGCCGGTCCGGTGCCCGAGGCACGAGGTTTGTTTGTTTCATATTTTGACTTGAAACTTTCGTGACTGCAGGAATTCAGATTCTTGGTTCTTTGGGTAAAGTCACGTAGATGGAAAATAATTGTTTTATTAAACGTTAACAAAGATTAATGGAAAATCATTTAATCCTAACCAATGACTGATTACTAATCGATTATATAATTACAATACCCTAATCACTGCACCTGATATGAGTTAAGTGATGACGTCACCCTGCTGCTCTATATAAAACCGGGAGCAAGCGAGGGCTTTACCATTCTGGCGAATTGCCTGATGATGCTGGATGTATTTACCAGCGAAACGTTGTACTCAAACTGTAAATGTGGATTCACTCTTCAACACACCGGTGGGCTAAAGTAGTGAATTATTTGTCTTTTGTCAACGTGACACTTTTTTTTTGCTGATTGACCGTGTCGGGTGGTGGAGGGTTACGACACGTTTATAAATAAACGCGATCTAACCCAAAAACCTTTATTATGAATAATATTGGTCGCGAAAGCCTACGTGTTAAACTGAGAATCATTTAAGCAACAAAAAAAACCCCAGGACGGGTTTCGATCGCAACACAAGCGGTCTTCATCTCTCCGCCTGATGAAGACCGCTTGTGTTGCGATCGAAACGTCGTGGGCTTTTTGCTTGTATATTTCTATCTATTAAAACTTAATTTGCATTTTCTATCTACGTGACTTTACCGAAAGAACCAAGAATATGTTTGCTTGTCTTTTTCTTTTTACGAGCGCGGCCGCGAAACTCGGCCTCGCTCGCTCTCTCTCGCTCGCTCGCCACGCCGCGTCTGACGCCCCGTCAAGGCCACCTCGTCGCCAACTCATCAATCATCGCGCGGGGGTGCACGACGCTGTCTGTGGGCGGCGGGGAGGTGCGTGCACTTGGCCGCTGAGTTTCTCCCGCGCCTCTCACGCCCACGCCGCGGTTTTTAAAAGCTTCCTTTCGCGTTTGTTCCCGGGAGGCACATTCCCCACAACTGCTGCCTCTTAAGGTGAATGAGATAGTAAGTCTGAAGAGCGTGTTGCGAACTGTCACTCGATCGACTGCATTACCCCCGTGTTTATTTTTTTGTTTGTTTGGCGAGTGCGTGGAGCTGTGGTTGCAGTGGTAAGCACACTCCACTAGGAATGCGGTGACCCGAGTTCAATTCCCGCCCGTGGCTAAAATCGATGGAGAGTGATACCTGAACTGGTCCTGGGCCCACCCTTCCAGATCTAATACTGACCGGAATGGTGAGGTATGGTCAAACAACGCCCATGACTCCTGATATGGCGTGAGCAGGCATGCATTCACAACTGGATTGACATAAGGCTGTAATTGTGTTTCTTACAATTGCCTCACTTTCTGAACGAATTATATCTCGACCGAGCGGAATTATTTTAATCGAGAGGCCGATGAACTCGAGGGAAGACGCACGACAAAAACAGACACACGAAAATACAAACGGCCATGGACAATGACCTCAAGTGCACTGCCGAGATCTGCCACAGAGCTTGAACAAGAACTTGAAGAAGGAGCACAAATCACCAAACGTCGATCAGAATTCAAATGTCAAAACGATGGCAGGCTCAGCTGAGTGAGGGACCCCGTTCACCCCCTGATTACAGCCCGAAGCCAGTGGGGGCAATTCCACATTGTGGGGGACATTCTATTCATAGGACAACTTCTGTCAACTTCCCCATGATGGCTGAGTCAGCCCCCCAAAACAGGATTCGAACTCCCAACCTTCTAATTGCAAATCGTGCACAACTACTTACTGCTCCATCACTCGTCCAAGTTGTTAAACATCGCTAACAATGATCACGCTGTTATTAACGTTCATTCTCGATTTATCCGTGGACGGATTATCCACATATATGGATTAACAGTGTTCGCAAAAAAAAACGTAAGTAAAATGTGTTACGCGCTTGCTGGTTACAGTGTTCACCGCTCCTCGCTTTTAGAGGGCCAGCGACTCAATGGCCACGCGACCACTAAACGCGAAATAAACTGATCACTTGAAGAATCAATAAAAAAACACACCAGGCACATTCTTTGTCTTCACTGCAATTCTGCCTATATGAATAAATACTTTTTGTATTATGTGTTAATTTTTGTGTTTTGCATTTATCCAAATTTCGGTTTTATCTGCCCCCCCTACCCACCAGTACCTTGGATAACGCAGAGTGGACTGGATTATCTACATATCCAAGGCTGCCTCACTGAGTCAACTAACCCATTTTACAGGAGGGTACATCATGGCACAAATTTTACCAAAAGTGACTACGCGAACTGTATTCTTATTCCAGACGGCGCTGTCCCTCGTAGTCCCTCGTAGTCCCCCGTCTCTCTCGCTGTGCCTCGCTCTCGCTCGGCTGGACATCTACGAAAAAGAGCTTCATAGCTCATCGGATTCCTCCAGGATCAACATTCTGATTCACTCGCCATCCCTCGGCGTCTCTCTCGCTGTCCCTTACTGTCCCTCGCCATCCCTCGCTGTCTCTCGCCATCCCTCGCTCTCCCACGCCATCCCTCGCCATCCCCCGATCTCCCTCACCACAGTGGGACGCACCTTGTTGATGGCGCTGGGGGCGCCTCGATTGATGAGCTCCACGACGTCGCCCACACGGCCCCTGTGCGCCGCGACGAGCAGCTTCTCGGCGAGCAGGTCCACGCCATCGCGCCCGCTCATGGGGCGACCCGCTCAGTCCTCGATCGCACGCACGTCCGTCCGTCCGGGGCAGTCCTGCAAAAGTCGTCTTGGGAGAGCGCCTTCCTCCCCTCCCCCCCCCACCAAGTTAAACCGCGAATGTGCGGCACGGCGGGCGGTGGATGAGGGGTGGTGGGGGGGAAAAGAGTCTTGGCGGTGGTTGTCACGAGGTTGACGCAGTCGTGCGGATCCGTCTATCGAAGAGGCGCGGCGATTAGTTTCGCTCCTCGGCGTTTGCTTTTGCCGACCTGACAACGCTAGCTCTCCGAGTGTTGATCGAGCTGCTCCGTCCTGTTAATTGAGGTAATCCGTGGATTTTCTTGCAAATCCAAATGAGCTTTGCATTTCCTCGAAGTTTCATTGTTGTTGTCAATATACGAGCCTCACTTGTGTGGGAGTCGGCACCGTCAGACTGAGCTACATCACATCAGACCACGATCTCCATCACAAATCCCAGTTCTCCTTCAAGCTGCCGAGTCTGGCTCTTTCATCCTGCCACTTGGAAGGTCTCTTCTGAACAGCTGTCACACTTGCAGAGAAATCCACTGCTGGGAAGCAATTATATTGCCTGAAAGGAAAGAGAACACAGACACACGTGGATGGTGGAACACAAACATTCTCACTGCGTCTTTTACCTCAACAGAGAGAGATCGTCCTGACCACCCCAGCCAAGATATCTGGTAAAAAAAAAAAATGTGCAGCCCTGCAATTGCCTTCTCACGCCACTGCTGGCTCAAGGGCCTCCAACTACAGGGAGCCATAGAGAACCCCCCGTAGAGGGCGTTTGGCCTACTCTTCCACGCATGGCCAGGCACCGGAGGCGAGAGAATTTAAGAAACCTGCCCAGTTATTTCAACTGCGGCGCTGGGAGGTCGGATTGACCCGGCGACCTCTGGACTCGCGAGCCCAGCGCACTACCCGTGACACCGCCGCTGTGGCAGCATCCCTAGTCCAATGGAACCTGGTTGCAGAAAGTAAAACAAATACAGAACGCTTCCTTAGCGCAACGCCTGCCGTCGAGCGGAGAAGTGCTGCTCACTGGGAATGGGAACTCGCGTGTGCGAGCGTTCGGTAACAATCCTCGCCGTGACCGTTGCTCGGCAACTTTGTGCGGCGTGGAGGGGGGGCCTCTCGCCACCCCCCCCCCACCTCCTAAACACTTGAGGGCGTCTCCTCGACGCCAACTCCCAACGACATCCACACTGGCCACAAGGTTTTGCAAGTCCGCCCGCAACGTTTGCAGAGATTGATTTATTTATTTTGTTTTAACTTCGTTTAACGCGTGAGTGGGCTTTACGCGACCAATGTTATTCACAATAAAGGTGTTTTTTTGGGGGGGGTTCGATCGCGTAAGTGTAAATGTGTCGTAACCCTCCACCACCCGACACAGCCAGTAAGGTTTGTCACGTAAACGTCGCGCTAATAGTTAGTTACTAATTCAGTCCACCTCTGTGTTGGGAGAGTAAATCCACGACATTTACAATCTGAATACGACGTTTCGCTGGTAATTACATCCAGCATCATCGGACGATTTGCCAGTATAGTGAAGCAATCCACTTGCTCCCAGTCTTTAATAGAGCAAGATAACGTTTTACTTACTTGACAGTCCCCAACTATGGTCGAGAGAGTTCACGCACGAGTCTCTGGCCACCCGGCTGGCTGGCCGTCCGTAACGTAGGGAGGAGGCACCATCACTCTTGTGACCATAATCCAATGTGAAATTCAACTTTAGTATATAATCGTGCTGCTGTCTGAGACTTTCCCCGATTGAAAACCGCCCAAATTGATGCAAGCGTTGGCCAACAAAAATCGGAGACACAAACCACAGGGAAAAAAAGACGATTTGTCAACATGCAAACACATTTTGCCCTGATAATTATCCATCGGCTTATTTACTGCTAATTGTATACTTTCGAGGACAAACGCATGTTGGAAAGTGTCACATAATCCGTGCATATGTATGATTATTCAAAGCTTTTTTTCCATTAAACTAATATAGAAATCAACCTACCGCTGAATTTAAAGGGAAATGCAGCATAATAAACAGGCAGAAAGCTTCATTGATGATTAATAAAACAAACTTTTAGGAATCATGTAATGATGTATGTATATATATTGAACTTCTTTCGAACCTTCACGTAGCCAACCGTGTGTCACTAGGTTGACGTTTTAAAAAGTACAGCAGTCGCACACCGCTGTGACGCAAGATGAGCAAAGAGCTCGCTTGACTTGAAAGTTTTTTTTTTATCCTGCATTAGCAAAGATTCAAACTCGTATCCGTGAAATAAAACAACCCCCCCCCCCCGCAAAATTTTAAACGCCACTTTCGGGTAGCCGCTAAGCGGATGCGTGTAACCCGAGCGTCGAGACGCATGGTCACTCTTCCCGGCCACTGGGGGCGGACGGACCCACCTCGAGTGGCTCGAGGTCTCGGCCTCCTTTAGCGAAGGAGGAGCGTGAGAAAGTGACGCCAACTCGAGAACGCAACGCGCACGGTGGTGGGGGGGTCCCCTCCGGCCACACCAAGAAACAAGTCCGGCAATCGCAACGCCAGCCCCCCAACATCCTTGCCTCGGCGAAAATGGGAACGCGGCGATGGTAAGGTGGCACAAAAGGCCCCCGTCGTTTAAAACGGAGTGCCCCCCGGGGCCAGTAAACGTCGAGACAACGCGTTGGTTTAACAAGCCGGACTCTGCTGATGAGAACAAAGAAGCGGAAACCAGTCCCCGCGCGTTTGCTCGCTTAAGACAAACGCTGCAGGATAAATGTGATTCTGGAAAGGCAATATGATGATGGCTAAATTATGTTTTATTTATATGTGCAGATACAAAATTGCTTTCTACTTACATATGCCCATTACGCAGCTGTGATGAGATGAGCCGTTGCCTTTGCATGATGGTGAAGGCCGGATAGCAAGTGGTTTAATCTCCAGGATTTGTGCGTGCAATAAATAGGTTAATCCTCGTTCAAGCAATGGATTGTGTTTATGTTCATTTGGGTAATGTTTTTTCACCACAGATGGAAAATAATATCAAAGAGTGCGCAAAAAGTCAACACATTCATCACCATAAAATGAATATGAGTACAAGCGGCAGTGTTATTGACACGTGTTTTGAGTATTTGTGCATGTGCACCACTGACAATGCGTTATCGCCGATTGCATAAATATGACGGCGAACCAAATTGGTTTGCATTAGAGGCCGACCGAAACTGAATTTCTGGTTTCGGCCGAAACCAAAAGTAAACCGAAAGTTAAAAATTGACTTTCGGCCGAAACCGAAACTATGCCGAAAGAGGCCATTTGCCAACTTTCGGCGCCGAAACCGAAACCAAATTTCGGTCGGCCTCTAGTTTGCATGCGAATGGTCAGGAGACGTTCCACTACAGATAACAAGAACTGCTTGTGAGGATCGCCGCTGGCTGTTTGTGAGCATGGGAAAAGCTTAGCCGAGAAACTGTTTGCCAATGGCCACGCCAGCGCGCAAGGGTTTACAAGGGCCCGGAAATAAATATTTGAAAACGACACGGTTGAATTCATCGTATAAAAGACTGGACGATGGGGGGGTTGGGAGTGGTGGGGAGGGGAGAGAGAGAATAACAGCCCGAGTCACAACCCAGGACGAGAGCGCCCCCACACCCACCGCAACACTACAACAACAAAAACCCGTACACACGGAAAGATGTTCCAGTGAAAGGAATTCCGAGCGCACACAACTTTCCGTTAAAGAGCCAGCTTTTTTCACTTGATGCTGCCATCATTCGCTGCCTCGATGCTAAGTGAGCAAATTACAGCAGCGCTGTTCGACAGGCCACGGAACACGAATAATAACCAGGGGGACGAGACGCGTCGGCTTGCAGTGCGTTGAACGAAATGTGGACGTGGAAGAGGGCTTTCTCGGGATGCGCGCACCCCTTACACGTCAAATCCACACACGCCGTGTCAACGTACAGGCGCCGTCGCACGTACACACGCAGCTCACGAGCGACTGGGGGTGACGAGGTCACGCAACCTCGTGTGTGTCAACGCGGCTCCCCAACACAACTTGGCGCCGGGAAACCAATCGGTTCGAACGGACTTCAGCCCTCGCGTGCATCCTTCTCTCACCCCCCCCCCCCCACCAGATAACGTAACTCACGACGCCCAGGACACATCGCTCTGCGTGTACACAGACTATCACGCTCACCCCCAGGACACATCGCTCTGCGTGTACACAGACTCTGACCCCCAGGACGCAGCGCTCTGCGTGTACACGGACTCTCACGCTCACCCCCAGGACACATCGCTCTGCGTGTACACAGACTCTCACTCTCACCCCCAGGACACATCGCTCTGCGTGTACACAGACTCTGACCCCCAGGACACATCGCTCTGCGTGTACACAGACTCCCACTCTCACCTACGGGACGCAGCGCTCTGCGTGTACACAGACTCTGACTCTCACCCCCAGGACACATCGCTCTGCGTGTACACAGACTCTGACCCCCAGGACACATCGCTCTGCGTGTACACGGGCGTCAATCAAGGACAATCGTGCGTAGTCGCGCTGTGCTCTCCGTTCCAAGGGGGCTCCACGGAGCGCATTCCTACAACAGGCGCTGTATTTGGCACGGCGGCGTCATTCGTGGCAACGGCGGACGAAGCGGTCGTCGTTCGTTGCCCGCTGCAGTCTCGTTCGCGACTGCGAGGGGAGAGAGGCGATGGAACCGCGGTCGAGTGCGGGCTTGGCTGCGCGAACCGCAATTACGCGCGCGGACGCCAAGTTGTGTTGACTACAGGAACACGCGCTCAAGTCTGAATGGGAAGTTTAAACAAACAAACAAAAAAACCACGTCCCGAAGGGACCATCGCACACCAGAAGACGCGCGCACGTGCAAGCAACGATCGGAGGCAGCGGACAGCAACGCACGGCAAGCATCGCCATGCGGCCTCGAGGGGTCCCCGTCACTCGACGTGATGCTCCGAATCAGCAGCGTCCGACAAAAATCCGCCCGTTCATTCCCGGCTGCCCGTGTCCGCGCCGCGGCACGGGGGGGGTGAGTGGCCCCACCGAGACAAGCGACTCAGGAAACGCCGCAACTCAGACGAGAGACGCACAGCGCGGACGTACCGATGACGCGACGCCGGCGCGCAGCGCGCAGAGATTCGGTTGTTCTCGCAGCACCGTCAACAACAACAAGAACGACGGCTGGCAGATTTCGCCCGCACTCCTCAAACTCGAAGCTTTGTCTCCACCCCCCCCCCAGACTCGGGGCTGTACCCCGACCTGCCCCCTCTGCTCCCCCCCCACCCCACTGCCCCAGCCCTACCCAGTGCCTGCTGCTAACCCCGACGTAGCCTCCTCCACCCTCACACTCTCATCCCCAGCAGGCCCCAGCGCGGTCACCCCAGTCCCTCGCGCTCGTTTGTCATGCTAATCCTCGCCAGCAGCCCAGGCGAGAACCCAGATGGAACGTGGCCAGCAGCGTACAACCTGCACCCTCCACCCCCATCTACAGCCTGCATGCTCACCCATCTCTCAACTCTACAGCTTGCTCCCCCATCACCCCCATTCCCGTTATCCAGAGTCTACCTCCCCCCCCCTCCATCTATCTCATCCACAGCCTACTCCCCCATAGCTCTCATCCTTCCGATTAGCACGGTTGGCTATGTACGACGCGAAAGAAGTTCAACATTGACACATCCCTCTTACCATCCAATTCCCTCCATCCACAGCCTGTATCCCCCCCCCTCCATCCAAAGCCTGTACCCCCCCCCCCCTCCATCCACAGCCTGTATCCCCCCCCTCCATCCACAGCCTGTATCCCCCCCCCCCCTCCATCCACAGCCTGTATCCCCCCCTCCATCCACAGCCTGTATCCCCCCCTCCATCCACAGCCTATTACCCCAATCCCTCCCATAGCCTGTAACCCCCTATAGACACACCGCACTCCCATCACCCATATGCACATCCTGTACTCCCCATCTGTCAAGCGCCTTCCTCAAGGGACCGATCCCAACTCCATCCCCCCCTGCCCTTAGCAACCAAACATCTCTCCCTAGCGACGCCGGAGCAGAGGAGGGGGACCAACTTCGCGCGTGTCACGTGGGGGTGACTCGCGGTCATCTTTGCGGACGCGCGGCCACGTGGGGGTGGAGGGGCGACCGAGCTCCGGTGGAGTCAGAGTATGGGGCAGAAGGAGCGGGCAGAACGAGGCCTTTTTTACTCTGAGCCCACTGCTACTGTGTGTGTGTCTGGGTATTTTATACCATCGGACACTCCACCTGCACAACTCTAAATCGGTGATGGGGCAGTTGTGGAGAGAGTGGAGAGTTTCCCATACCTGGGCAGTGTGCTTATGACCGGCTCCAGTTTAACAGCAGAGGTCTCACTCCGAATCAGTCGAGCGGCAATATATTTTCATCAGTTGCGTAACGCTGTGTGGAAGCTACTTGGTCTGTCGCTCCGCACTAAGCTTCAGGTCTTCTCGGCCACGGTCATTCCCTCCCTTCTCGACGCTTGCGAATCGTGGACCCCCCCTAATGGAACATCTTCGCCGGTTAGAAACATTTAGGCTGGCCTGCCTACGATCCATCCTGGGTTTAACCAGGTTGGATTGTGTGAGGAGCTCACAAATCCTTGAAAGATCTGGGCACGGTCCCATCGGTGAGCTCCTCCGGCAGGCAAGGCTGCGTTGGCTGGGTCATGTAGCCCGCATGCCCAGCCACCGCATGCCGAAACAGCTTTTGTTCGGCCGGATCGAGGGGCTAAACGGGCGCGGCACGGACTAGAGAAGAGATGGAGTGATGTGGTACAGGAGGACGTGGAGCTGAGTGGACTTGCCAATGACTGGTACCAGCGGTGTCAGGATCGGCCTCTGTGGAGGAGGCTTGTGAAGGACGCTACTGGGAAGTTGGAGGCAGTCGCCCTCCAACAACAACGGAGGGCGGAGGAGCGACGCTCACAACAACGAGCGGAGCGCCGGGTGGCTAAAGCACAGCAGGTTGGCACAGTAGGGGGCACAGGTGGTGCATCAGCCAGTCATCTCAGTCATCTTAGTCAGTCGACCCGTGGCACTTGGGTCTGCCCCGTGACCTCCTGCCAGCGGGCGTTCGACACTTCACGTGGCCTCAAGGTGCACATGGCCTGGCACAAGCGTCGTGGTGATGTCACCGCCACTTAGTGGCGAATGGCGGTTGTTGTTGTTGTGTCTGTGTGTGTGTCTGTGTGTGTCTCTGTGTGTGTGTCTGTGTGTGTGTGTCTGTGTGCGCGCTTGGTGGGAAATAGTGTAGCGGTGAGCGCTTTGCTGCGCTACGAACCCGGCGACCCGAGTTCGATTCCCGCTCACGGCCAGCACCGGTGACGATTATCTCAAACGGTACTGGGCCTCCCCTAGGTCGACTCAGCCTCAAATGAGTACCTCGTGCAGTGTGTGAAACATCGCCACTGGGGAGACAAAGGCGATCGGTCGTGGTTGCTGGCCACCCCACCCCCCTCGTGTGTTGCCCCAGCCTTCATAGGCGCTCGCCAACAGCACTTGTCTAAACAATCTGTTAAGGCTATACGGGGGATCTTTGTTTTTGTATGTGGTGGGGCTGCTGACAAGGATAAGGATTTGCATTTATATAGGGCTTGAAAACGGCAGAATGTCACGACGCTACATGAACACGCTCGGAAAATTACACGACACAAGGAATATAAAAGACGATAAAACACACACACACAATGAAAGTATAACTGAATTAAAACAGGCAAAACAAAAAGCAATTTCCCTGGCTATGCAGGAGTTCATGACTGTAAAATACCTCGTGATTTCCTCGGGGAGAAAAAGCTGGATGTAAAAGTGTGTCCAACAGACGTGTTAAATAAACATCAGATTATGATTACATACTTCATCTAACTTACAGGCCTTTGTCCATACACTTCTGGATAAATGCCTTCTCACACCAATGTCGCCATTAGGGCGGTTATCTCCGATCAGCACGGTTGGCTACGTACGGTGCGAAAGAAGTTCAACATACATAATTAATGTGACCGTACTTCAGCATGATAAAATGTTGCGTTCATTTCAATTGATCAGAATAGGGGAAAACAATTTACTTGCGATTTGTTTACAATGTGAATTCTTGTCAAGCCATTTCTGTTTCGGTTTTCCGATCATGGCGACCCTAACACGACACGACACACATCATGGGGGGCGGGGGGGAGTGGAGGCTGGGGGTTTGCCTGCCATTTGTTTAATTGTACATCAGAGTTAGCATTCAGAGTGAGG